CTCAACTCAATGCAAGACTCGACTCAATGCAAGACTCGACTCAGTAGGATGTCACACTCATAGCACCTAACTTTAAATGGGTGCCATTTTATTTTTATATGCATATAAGAACAATAATCAATAATAATTGAAATAATTCTCTTATTTGGTTAACAAAAAAAAAAATTCAAATTTCTAGAATAATATTTTTATATTTGAATAACTAAATTATGTATAAATAAATATTATAGTTTTTAAGTATATTCTATAATTAATAGTCGCTAAATTGTATTTAATTATTATTAGTGATATATATATATATATATTTTGAGGTTGATTTTTATTTCAGAGTAGCTTAAGAAAAGAGATCACTTGCACTTATGACCTAAATTAAATGTAGATATGATCAAAGATTTATAACTAATCTAGCCAGCTCAATGCATTAATAGTTAGAGATTAATAATATGATAATTAATAGTATAAGTTGAAAATAATTTAAGAATAAATAGTATAAATTATACAACTTGATGAATAAAATTCATTTCAATTGTTAGAACAGTCTCACACATACAAATAAAAAAAAATAGATCATTTAAAATATATATATCCTATTGAATCAAAAGAAATTAAACAAAATGATAATAAAAAACATCAGTTAAATCATGATCTAAACAAATAAATAAATCAGAAGGGAGGGTTTCATCGATTATGAATCTAAACAAATATACTTTTAATGTGATATTAATTTCAAACCACTTCAGAATATTAATTAATTAAGTATTATTTATTGAAATGTTGATACACACCAAAAAAAAATTTCTGAAATTCAAAAGTCAATGATTTAAAAGAACTACTAGTCTCATTGAGTTGACTGTTTGGTTTAGTAGAAAAAACTAATGTTTTCTGGAATAGACAAGACAGAAAAAATAAAATAATTTCCACGTGCTGGTAGTATTTATACAGATTTAAACAACATATATTATAAATTATAATTGCTGTACTGAAAATTATGTTCAACTAACGGTCTCCATTTTTTTTTTTTGCCCGTTGGATATTATATATAAAGAATTTTTACGCTCTCCGTTATAAGTAATAGTTACAATAATTTAAAATTCATTAGGGATTATAAAATTTATTTGGGATAAAATAATCCGCTGCAAACAAAAGGAATTAAATGTTATAATATTAAAAATTAAACCTGAGACCTCTTAATCTCGAAACATCACCCTTGTAATCAGACTAGACATCACTTGCAACCATCTTCTATTCTTGATATAACATTTTGGTGGACCATACATGTAGCACACCTGATCTCAAATTCTAACAGGAATTCTTAATTAGCACATGGCTATATTTGAACTCCAATATTTTTTAAGTGACAGAAGGATTTTTTTTCTTCTTCCTCTCATTTAATAGAGTTTCAATTTGAAATTTAATAATAAAAAAATATTTTTCTCTTTCACTATTTATATAAATAGCACCAATAAAATTGATAATTTTCAATCAATAAATAATTAGATTAGTAAAATTGAATTGCATTTCATTAATTAGGTGAATTTTGCCGGCATATTATTAATAAAAAGGATAATAATGAATTTATGCCTCAATTTTTTTAAAATTTTTAATATGATAGCTAAATAAAATATATTTATAATTAAGTGTTTAAATTAATAATTTTCATATAATTAGATGCATTTCATCAAAATCAATTATTTTACTCGATTATTTTAATTTATATATAAAAAAATATATGAATTGAATGAATGTTTATATTTGACATTATTTACCGAATAAAATGCGTATAAGAGAATAATCTTTTCTTACATCATAGACTCGTCAAAACACACGTAAAATAGATTATAAATCATTAAAAGGGATCTAAACCAAACTGAAAAGAAATTATTATATAATATTTCTTGAAGCATGTGACAAAAAATTGATTTAAACATATGAGAAATGCTAAATCTTAATCATAAATATTTTTTTCGAGACGTCAAAAGTTATGAGTTTCTTGCATTTCTTTAGACAGCTAGCTACTTATGATTTTTTTTTTTTAAGCACATGACCTCTCCATATGCGTCCAAACAAAACTACATCGTACATTATTCTCAATCTCAACTAATCTCAGCTGTCCCATACGGCCCCCATTAATTTATTTTTCAAATAATTAATATAGACAACCCATTTGTCAGGGTTAATTGAATTAATTTTTCCATGGTCTTTTTTTATTAATATAATTTTATTGAAAATAATATAAATACATATAATTTATTTTATATATTTAATATGAATTTAGCCCACAATTAAAAAAAAAAAAAATTTGTTGGTCAGAATGATAAAATTAACAATCTTGATAATTTTTTTAAGAGTGAGAACACAATTCTAAATTTATGATAAACAGATATATTGAAAGAGTTACAAAAATCTTTACATTCTACCATTTGAATTCTACGGTTTGAACGCGTTGTGTTTCTAAATAAGAATAAAAAAGAAGAATGGATCAAGTTTGTGGATGTCAGTCACATACGGTTGAAATTAGATGATCTAACAACTAACATTCTTCTGTAAGACTTGGCAAACGACGTGTCTACAGAAGGTATAAGAATCCAATGCAATACACTGAAGTGTACGAGTGGACAAGAAATAGTAAATTCTTTATATTATAAATAGAAATTTCTTAATAAAAAAAGTTATTCTTGATCCTATTTATGGTATTAAATTAACTTAAATGTACCCATCTAAACTATTAATTAGTATTGGTTAGGTAAGTTGATTCCATTTGTGAATCAAAACACGAAATTAGTAGTTGATAATTAAGATTAAATACATAGTAGCAAGGACAAATTATAAGCGAAACAAAAATAAAAAAGGATCTCCATTTTTTTCTCAAAGCACCACATTTCGTGTAACAAACGAATGATTGTTTTTAATATAATATTTATTACATTTAGAATTATATATTTTTTAAGAAAATCATTAAATTTGTCTAAAATTTATAATAAATTATTCGATAAATAGACTATATTTCTCCCAATTTAATACTTACTTTCTTAAAAGCTTTAAATTCAAGTAATAATTATTGGTTATATAGAAGGGTAAATATGAAAAAAAAATATTACTTTTTAAAATCACAAATATAATAAATATTTTGTAATAAATTATTTTTTTCAAGTGTAATAAATATTATAAATAGGAGTTTCCATTTTTTATTCAAGATATATTATGATACAGAAATATTATACAATCTTGCAATTAAACTATAGAAATATTTGTAGTTGACTGTTTGTTGGCCATTTGAATCGCTGACGTTACGTGATTGGATAGAAATTCAATAATTGAAGCACTGGAGAAGAGACAAAATTTAATAAATTTTCTTTTCAGAATAAAAGAAATTCAATAATTGACATACTAGAAAAGTTACAATATTTAGTAACAAATCATCTTGCATTACATTCCACTCCACAAGGGAAAAAGAGAAGGTGAAAGTCAAAAGTAATAGTACAAAGCCAAAAGAGGCTCATAGAGTTATGAGGTTAAATAACTTCATCTTCTTTATATATATATTGAGATTTGACAGTTGCAATTGCACGGAATACTATGGTTGCGTAATAAGAATAATTATCTCTTTAATGAACCACCACATCGGTTTTTTTTTTTTTTTACATTCCATCCACAAGGCGAAAAGAGAAGGAAAGTCAAAAGTAATATAGTACAAAGCCCCAAAAGATTAGGCTCAGTAGTGAGCTCTAATAGAGGTTAAACAACTATCATGGTATACGTTATGTATATATTTGAGATTTGACAGTTGCAATTGGCACGGTAATACTATGGTTGCGTCAATAAAGAATAACTATATACTCTATATATGAACCACCACATCGGTATTTTTTTTTTTTTTTTCTTTTTTTTTTTTAAAAGAAACTTTAACTTCAAATATGTTGAACCATAAGTATATACTATATATATATAATATTTTTTTTTTTTTTTATATATATATATTATCTAGGCGAGTGCGCAATAAACATAAAATGGAGAGTGATGTTATTTTCAGGCAACGATTCGATAGTGAAACGTTTCAATCCGGCGACTATCTAACAAACACGGGCCTCGCACGAAAGAGACAGACCACAGAGTCCAGTTTAGATAACGCGGTACAAGAAGAAGGAGTTTTAGAACAAATACCCACAGTCGAACGACAGGTAAACAAACAAGAATTGGTAAGAAATTAGCCTAACATTAATTATAATAAGGCAAAAATTGTGAGAGAGAGAGAGAGAGAGAGAAGAGAGAGAGCCCAGTGAATGGAGGCGAGGTGCGCCACTAGCACCATTGCACTTCTGCTACTGTGTCAAGGACAAGTACGAAGCTGGACCCACGCGCTGAATAATTCTGCACTCTTGTAATATATAAAAATGACATCTTTGCCCTCTTTGTGCCCTTAGAAGTTCTGGGGAAATTAATTGAGTGATAAAAGCGGTCTTCTAACACCCATTTCAGTGCTGCCAAAATGAAATATAAACTACTTTAGCCGTGACGGCCGGCGCTCTCTTTCAACTTTCGAAGTCTTTGTTCACTTTGCGGTTTTACCTTCTTAGATTTTTTAAGATAACTTCATTACTCAAAGGAGCAGACACCAAAGGGCCCTAGAGAGAGAAAGAACAGCGTGAGCTATTGATGGCTTGGTGTACGGTTTACAGTCGCGTGGCGGCGTTGAAAAAATGTGTAACAAGGTCTTTGAGCAGTTTTTTTAGTTTGTTTTCTTGGCGTGTAAGCTCGATAATTGTATTAGCACCAGAGGACAAAGAATATAAACCGAGAAAAGCCGCGTTTTAGTATGGCCAAAAATCTTGAGACGATGAAGAAGGTTGAATTCTGGTTTACATGGGTTGAGGCAAGTAATTCAACTTTTCTTGTGGGCAGGACAAGCGTTCAATGTGGGTTATACTTCAGGTGTGTGGCGGCTAAGCTCCAAACTGATTGCTTCTTTTTTTCATTGATTGGGTTTGCTGAGGGTGTCTCATGTGTGGCCGGTAAGTCCAACTGATTTTTCTTTTTTATATTGATCGTTTGCTGAGTGCTTGCTTAATTTCTGTTTGTCTCATAAGAAAATCAAAGAGATGAAAAGAAAAGAAGAAGGGAAAATTTATCTCAAATTCTTGAATTTTCAAGATTTGGGACTTGAGAGAAACTAGACTTTAGGCAATAGGCCTAATCGACAATATTTTGGAAAATAAGGCCGATCCACGACGGTAGGTAAGTGCCATGTCCATCCTTATCTATTCAGAGGTAAAGTAGCATAATTTTTTGTTGTGAAGATGAGTTTAACATTGTATTTGGTCGGTTGAACCTTGAAACGCTGTTTTGCACTTGCTGAAGGACCTCGTTCCACCTTTTGTTTATTGCTAAACAAATTGTGGAAATTGATGAGTATGATTTGTGACACTGGATTTACAGGACATGAAATTTGGCTGGAGAATTGTGGTGGGTACAATAATTGGATTCTTTGGAGCAGCATTTGGGAGTGTTGGAGGTGTTGGTGGGGGCGGTATTTTTGTTCCCATGCTCACCTTGATTATTGGATTTGATGCAAAATCATCCACAGCAATTTCAAAATGTGAGAAAATTCTACTTGTGTGCTATAGCTATCTAGTTGTATGAGTTTTCTTCCTGATGCAAGATGCACAGGAGGTCAAATGCAAACAAACTCAAGACACCATATATCTCCAACTAGGTTCAGCAACTTAATTAAGAGTTAAAAGTCGTCATATCATTTTAAGTCCATTCGTCATATCTTTTAAAGATAAGGACTTCTATATCCTTTCAGCTAAATAAATATCATAATGTCCCACTTCTATACTCATAACACCTGCACTACATCTAAACAAACAACCAGTAATGCTAAGGACAATTTCTGCTACTTAAATTTTATTGTTCCATCAAAATATCCTGAGACAATTGCATGAGCTTCTGTTTCTTTCGGTCAGTTATGATTACCGGTGCAGCAGCTTCAACAGTTTACTACAATTTAAGGCTTAGGCATCCTACACTTGATATGCCCATCATTGACTATGACTTGGCACTCTTGTTTCAACCGGTATTGGTGCTTGGAATCAGCATTGGTGTTACATTAAATGTGATTTTGGCTGACTGGATGATCACAGTTCTTCTAATTATTCTCTTCATAGGTAACAATTTTTTTATTTTGTAATTTTGCCATATAGCTTTTGGTTTTTGATAGGCTGTATTGTTTTGCAGGGACATCAACCAAGGCTTTCTTAAAAGGTGTTGAAACATGGAAAAAGGAAACCATAATTAAAAAGGTAGTTAAATAACTGTTTCATTTAAGGTGAAATAAGCACATTTTGCATTCAGGATAATTTCTTTCAACCCATTGTCTCAACTTGTTTCTGATTTTTCAGGAGGCTGCTAGACGTTTGTTATCAAATGGTAAGTTGTTAAATTGGTACTTTCTTTTTTGGTTATGCTTTTGGGATCTTTGATATCTTTCTTTCAGATTAATTTGCTCTTTATTCAGGTGATGATAATGATGAAGTGGAATACAAGCCTCTTGCTGGAGGCCCGAGCAATGGCGCAGGACCAGAATCAAAGGAGAAAAAAGAAGAGGTGAGTATGTCAATATGGTCTGTGAGCCTTACAGTGGATCATGGTTTTCTGAACTGGCTTGTAACCATTTCAGGTTTCTCTTTTTGAGAATGTTCAATGGAAGGAACTCGGAGTTCTCTTTGCTGTCTGGGTGATTATCCTTGCATTGCAGATCTCCAAGGTCTTATAAGTCTATGCCTTGAATATTTTAAAACATGCTTTGAAGTCTCAATTGATAACTAACTGACCAGACTAACCGTGAAATCTTTTCTTGTTGGCTTCGCAGAATTATACATCAACTTGCTCAGCAGCATATTGGGTTCTCAACATATTGCAGGTACCTTAACTATGATAATCTCAGAATAAATTATATTGTTCTCCATTTGATTTTTATTGCCATAATGTTAAATCACCAGCAATTGAGAGTTTGGGACAAGACACTGTCATGGGGAGCTATGAGCTTGATGAAATTTTGGCGCTTCAAACTTATTCTTTGTTTTCTTGATTTTCAGTTTCCAGTTGCTCTTGGAGTTAGTGTCTATCAGGCAGTTAACTTGTACAAAGGACGGAGGAAGATTAAATCCAAGGGAGAGGCCGGCACAAATTTAAAAGTACACCAGTTGGTTCTTTATTGCTGCTGTGGAGTATTGGCTGGATGTGGAGCTAGCTGAGCTTTGATGAAATTCTTGGCACGCTTTCAAACTTATTCTTTGTTTCTTGAGTTTTTCACGTTCAGGGGTTGGCTGGCTGGAGTTCAAGTGTCTATCAGGCAGTTAAACTTTGGGTACAAGAGGAGGAAAGGCGCGAGGAAGATTAAAATCCAAGGGAAGAGGCCCGGCCACAAAATTTAAAAGTACACCAGTTTGGTTCTTTATTGCTGCGCTTGGAGTATTGGTGGTAATTGTAGTGTGTGAGTGTTGCTTAAATGGTCTTTAGGGGAAGGAATTTCATTTTGAGCCACTTATATATACTTGTCGAAATTGCGGAATAAAAGAAGTCCATGCCCACAGGTAAAGGTTGTCTATGACCTTTTGAGGGTTTTTATATGTCTCTTTATTGCTGCTGTGGAGTATTGGCTGGTGTAGTTGGTGGGTTGCTTGGTCTTGGTGGAGGATTCATTTTGGGGCCACTTTTTCTGGAATTGGGAGTCCCTGCACAGGTAAATTTCATGCTTGAGGGTTTTATTCTTTCATGACCATTAATTTGGTGTTAGATGGTCAACTTTTATGGATCGACCTTATGACAGTCATTTTGGATCAAAAGAAACAGATTGTCTTTATTTTAAAGAAAGAGAGCTCATGTCAATGTTGAAATTGTTATGTTATGGACTTACAATATTGACAACAATTATCCATCTACATATTAATTCTATAAACCCTCAAGTTCATGGCTGATCTCATTTCATGAGAGATTTCATGCAGGTTTCAAGTGCCACAGCCACATTTGCCATGACATTTTCTGCTTCCATGTCAGTCGTCGAGTACTATCTCTTAAAACGTTTTCCAATTCCTTACGGTGAGGTTACTGCCACAATGTTAAATTATGACTTTTATCAGCAGAGAAACAACATTCAGAATTCATTTCTATATATAATTATTATTTTCAAAATTTTTTATGCAGCTTTATACTTTGTTTCTGTGTCCACCGTCGCGGCCTTTGTAGGGCAGCACGTTGTAAGAAGGCTTATCAGTATATTAGGGAGAGCATCTATAATTATCTTCATTTTGGCATTCACAATATTTGTGAGTGCAATATCCCTAGGTATGTAAAATCTTGAATTGCAGGTTTTTGTGCAATATCCCTAGGTATGTAAAATCTTGAATTGCAGGTTTTTGTTTTTCCAAATAAATTGAAACTCTCACAGTGAGATTCATATTCATGTTACTGATTAGGAAATGGAGTTCATTTTTTCATTCATTTCTTATTACTAACATTTTCTTTTTTCTTCAAAAACAGGTGGAGTTGGCATAGCAAATATGGTAGAGAAGATTGAGAATCATCAGTACATGGGATTTGAGAACCTCTGTACCTATGAATCCTAGGCTTGCTTTTATTTAACCATTATTTTTCTTTACATTCAAATTTCTCATATGTCAATTTGTGAATCCCAGGATGTTGGCCAATCAATGCAAACTATCCTGGTGTGAATAATGGTTAGCTTGTGCCAAATTTTTATGTTTCACATGTACACCACTCATGGCCTGAGCTTTGGATATTTTATCACTAGAAATTTAATCTGTTGTAGTTCGCAAATGCATAAATTCATTATTGTATTTGGCAAAATAAAATCTTATCACCTCTACAATTTTTATATTGACCTATTAAATACTCCAATCTATAAAATTGTATTTATTGAATGCTTTAATTTGTAAATTTTTTTTATTAAACACTTTAATTTTTAAATTTAAATTAATTAAGTATTTATTAAATAGTTAAAAAAAATAAAAATTATTATTTTAAAAATTATGCTAATTACATATTAAATTAATATTTCACTTATAAAAACCAAAAATATCAAAAAATTATTGTTGTTAATATAAAAAAGTGTATAATGTTATCAAAATTCTGGTTCTATGATTTAAATGTGGTGACACAAAATTTTGTTGTGTAAAGTACAAAAGTGAATTTTGCATTTGGCTACATAAACAAGATAAAAGATTATCTTTTTAGTAAGTTCTCTCCTAAACAAAAGGATAAATTAAAAGATACTTGCTTCGTCTCATGATTAGAAGCTCACTTTTCGACTCAAAATGCAATCCTATTTCTATTTTAAAAATTATTTATTATTTAATTTTTTAATATACTCATATTTAATATATATCTACATTCCTAATTGTATATACTACAATTATTAACAGATGAGTATTAAGAAAAAAAAAATGAAACAAAATATAGCTAAATTAATTTAGTCTATGTGAAAATCAAATTAAGCATATATACACACACACAGGACGTGAAAAATCAAATCAAGCCTATGACGTGAAAAATTCAAATCAAGCCTATATAACTATATATATATATATATATATATATATATATATATATATATATATAGGCACGTGCGGGATGGAGAGAGTACCTCGTAAAGCAATCCACCTGCCTGTGCTATGACCAGTATATCCGTTGCCGACCATATAATTCTTAACGTCGACTTTTGGGTGAACGTTTACATCAAGGAACAACAGAATGTTAACTAGATGACAAATTCCTTCCATGAAAGGCAAAAATTATAACAGCCAATGTTGTCAATGTGTTATCCAAGATAGTGGAATTGGCCAATGATAAAAGCCACCAAGGCATAAAAACATAGCCCATCTCCTTTTTTTTTTCTCTTTTTTCATGACAGTCTGTAGTATGATTAGTATTATATAAATATATAAAAAAAATACAGGGACCTAAAAGAATTGTCTTTTAGACTGTAGAACTACCAGGTTTGCTTTCATGATGTGACTTTGAAACAATGTCTGAACAAATGCAAACAAATTTAATGCCTTGATAGACTGTAACATTTCTTCCAGGATTTCATGGAGAAACTCGTCCAGCTTCTTCGTCTCTCTTCTTTATGTAGCTAAATTCTTAGTATTTTTAATCACTGTATCCTATAATTCATCTTTGGAGGCTTGCTTTTTGGCTCTTGAATGTTTGTTGATGACTGCTGCTAAGTCCTGACTGCTGCTGAAAGTCCTTTGGAGCTGGATTTTTGTTCGAAAGCTTGATCGTCCAAACAAAAAAAAAAAAAAAAAAAAAAGATTTTCATTCGTTCAGAATGCAAAAAACTATACCAAGTATGAGAAAAAGAAAAGGGAATGGGAATGGGAATGGGTACGCATATCCTTATTTGATTACCGGATTTACTTTATCTGTTGCGGTGTGCCCACTTAAATGGGACCCACATGTGTGAAAGTAAGAAAAAAATAGGAGCAGCCAGTTCAACAGTGATGGCTTTGAATTGCTACACATGGACGGTGAGCATGTTAGGCGGTAAACGCGTTAATTACGCGTCTCTCATTCCCTATAAATAGAGGCAACTGCAACTCACACAACACACAGCAGAAATACGAAGGAAAAATGTAGAGAGTTAGTTAACCAGTTTTAGGAAGGGTTTCCTAAAACTAGGGGAGAGAAAAATAGTGAAGATTATTTTGGGGTGTTTTTGGGAAACACTTTGTGTGCTATTATTTTTATATTACTCTCTTTGGGTACCTACTATTTTTAATAGTGGAAGAATGATTCAGAGTTTGTTCCGTGGACGTAGCCCTAAACAGTTGAGGGTGAACCACGTTCCGTGGACGTAGCCCTAAACAGTTGAGGGTGAACCACGTAAATTTCTGTGTGTCACATTTCTATTTTTCCGCTGCGTTAATTTTCTCTTAATTGGTTTATTTTTTCCGCTGCGTTAAATTTTCTCTTAATTGGTTTAAAGGTGCCTAATAATTGGTATTAGAGCCTGATTCTCAACATTATCGCCCTCTGGGTAAAACAGAAGCCCTCTGGGTAAAACAGAAGTGTTGGGTAGTCATCCACCTGCAAGAATCAAGAAATAACAAGGGTTAGCTTCTTAGCATCATCAATTTGCAAAATCAGTGATCTTACAGTTACAATGAAAGGATCCAAAGTTTTCTTGTTAATGGCATTCTAGTAACTCTTTAAGTTGCTGGAGAAAGAAAAGAACTCCTTGAATGTTGAAATTGCATGACAACCATAACTAATGATTCACAATATTCATCAGGTTGTAAGACACATTTCAAGCTAAGTGGAATCAAGATGATAAATTTTTTCAGCAAACAAATGAAAGAAATCAATATGGTCATCTGGACGCAACATCAACTAGGAAACTTGTTTTAATAGTTAATGCTGTTGCCATGCGTGTGATGAAGGACTTAAAATGCTTATGACATACCTGCAGTTTTGGATGTTCATTTGCAGAAGCATCTATCTTTCCAATCACTAAATTCTCCAAACCTTTGAAATGCTTGGCCAATTTCTGGACCTGCTTACTTGTAGTCTCACAATTGATGCACCATGGTGTATATACCTGTTCTTATAACACAAGGTATTTCATGAAGAAAGTTAATAGATTTCACTTCACAATATTAATATAATTTTATTGAAAATAATATAAATACATATGATTTATTTTATATATTTAATATGGATTTGTGAATTATAAATTAGTATTAGTTAGGTAAATTGCTTCCATTTTTGTATGGTAACAAGGACAAATTAGAAGCGAAACAAAAATAAAAAAGGATCCCCATTTTCTTCTCAAAGCATCGCATTTCGTGTGACAAACGAATGATTGTTTTTAATATAATATTTGTTACATTTAGAATTATACATTTTTTAAACAAAATCATTAAATTTGTCTAAAATTTATAATAAATTATTCAATAAATAGACTATATTACTCTTAATTTAATATTTATTCTCTAAAAAACTTTAAATTCAAGTAACAATTATTAGTTATATACAATGATAAATATGAAAAAAAATTATTACTTTTTAAAATCACAAATATAATAAGACAAAATTTAATAAATATTCTTTTTTCTTTTCAGAATAAAAGAAATTCAATAATTGACATACTAGAAAAGTTACAATATTTAGTAATAAATCATCTTGCATTACATTCCACTCCACAAGGGAAAAAGAGAAGGTGAAAGTCAAAAGTAATAGTACAAAGCCAAAAGAGGCTCATAGAGTTATGGAGGTTGAAGAACTTCATCTTCTTCATACATATATATTTTGAGATTTGACAGTTGCAATTGCACGGAATACTATGGTTACGTAATAAGAATAATTATCTCTTTGATTCGTAATCATGAGATGTTAATTTCATTCTTCTTACATTATTGGGTTACCACCACATCGGATTTTGTTTTTTTTTTTTTTTTTTTTTTTTTTTTTTTTTTTTTTAAAAGAAACTTATCAAATTGTTGAATATATATATATATATATGTTATCTAGGCGGAGTGGCAATAACATAAAAATGGAGAGTGAATGTTATTTTCTAACAAACGCGAAGAAAGAGACAGACACACAGAGTCCAATTTAGATAACCGGTACAGAGAAGGTACAACAAATCCCACAGTCAAGACAGGTAGATAAACAAGAACGAAGAAATAGTAACATAATATAATTAAGAAAAATTTGAGAGAGAGAGAGAGAGAGAGAGCAGTGAATGAGGCGAGGTGGCACTAGCACCCATTGCACTTCTGGACTGGTCAAGACAAGTACGAAGCTGGAGGTGATAAGTGCACTCTTGTAATATATAAATGAATCTCTGCTTTGTGGTTTCTTGATAATTGATAGAGAGAGAGAGAGAGCAGTGAATGAGGCGAGGTGGCACTAGCACCCATTGCACTTCTGTACTGGTCAAGACAAGTACGAAGCTGGAGGTGATAAGTGCACTCTTGTAATATATAAATGAATCTCTGCTTTGTGGTTTCTTGATAATTGATAAGCGAGTCTTTAACCCATTTCAGTGCTCAAAATGAAAAACTACTTTAGGTGACGGCCGGGTCTCTTTCACTTTTCGAGTCTTGTTCACTTCTGGGTTTTACCTTAGATTTTTAGATACTTCAATACTCAAGGAGAGACACAAAGGGCTAGAGAGAGAAAGAAAGGAGCTTTGATGGCTGGTGTACGGTTACAGTGGTGGGGCTTGAATTTCAGGTCTCTTGGAGCAGTTTTTATTTGTTTTCTTGGTGTAGCATCGATAATTGTTGTAGCAGAGACAAGATTAAACCGAGAAGGTTTAGTTGCCAATGAGAGTGAAGAGGTTGAATCTGGTTTCATGTTGAGAGTAATCAATTTCTTGTGGCAGGAAGGTCAATTGGGTTATACTCATGTGTGGCCGGTAAGTCCAACTGATTTTTCTTTTTTATATTGATCGTTTGCTGAGTGCTTGCTTAATTTCTGTTTTGATCGTTTGCTGAGTGCCAGTACGCAGAACCGAGTAATAAATATAATTGACTGTATTGAAAAGAATAAACTTGCCTTTAAATTTCTCATGTGTGGCCGGTAAGTCCAACTGATTTTTCTTTTTTATATTGATCGTTTGCTGAGTGCTTGCTTAATTTCTGTTTGTCTCATAAGAAAATCAAAGAGATGAAAAGAAAAGAAGAAGGGAAAATTTATCTCAAATTCTTGAATTTTCAAGATTTGGGACTTGAGAGAAACTAGACTTTAGGCAATAGGCCTAATCGACAATATTTTGGAAAATAAGGCCGATCCACGACGGTAGGTAAGTGCCATGTCCATCCTTATCTATTCAGAGGTAAAGTAGCATAATTTTTTGTTGTGAAGATGAGTTTAACATTGTATTTGGTCGGTTGAACCTTGAAACGCTGTTTTGCACTTGCTGAAGGACCTCGTTCCACCTTTTGTTTATTGCTAAACAAATTGTGGAAATTGATGAGTATGATTTGTGACACTGGATTTACAGGACATGAAATTTGGCTGGAGAATTGTGGTGGGTACAATAATTGGATTCTTTGGAGCAGCATTTGGGAGTGTTGGAGGTGTTGGTGGGGGCGGTATTTTTGTTCCCATGCTCACCTTGATTATTGGATTTGATGCAAAATCATCCACAGCAATTTCAAAATGTGAGAAAATTCTACTTGTGTGCTATAGCTATCTAGTTGTATGAGTTTTCTTCCTGATGCAAGATGCACAGGAGGTCAAATGCAAACAAACTCAAGACACCATATATCTCCAACTAGGTTCAGCAACTTAATTAAGAGTTAAAAGTCGTCATATCATTTTAAGTCCATTCGTCATATCTTTTAAAGATAAGGACTTCTATATCCTTTCAGCTAAATAAATATCATAATGTCCCACTTCTATACTCATAACACCTGCACTACATCTAAACAAACAACCAGTAATGCTAAGGACAATTTCTGCTACTTAAATTTTATTGTTCCATCAAAATATCCTGAGACAATTGCATGAGCTTCTGTTTCTTTCGGTCAGTTATGATTACCGGTGCAGCAGCTTCAACAGTTTACTACAATTTAAGGCTTAGGCATCCTACACTTGATATGCCCATCATTGACTATGACTTGGCACTCTTGTTTCAACCGGTATTGGTGCTTGGAATCAGCATTGGTGTCTATGACTTGGCACTCTTGTTTCAACCGGTGTTGGTGCTTGGAATCAGCATTGGTGTTATATTAAATGTGATTTTGGCTGACTGGATGATCACAGTTCTGCTAATTATTCTCTTCATAGGTAACAATTTTTTTATTTTGTAATTTTGCCATATAGCTTTTGGTTTTTGATAGGCTGTATTGTTTTGCAGGGACATCAACCAAGACTTTCTTAAAAGGTGTTGAAACATGGAAAAAGGAAACCATAATTAAAAAGGTAGTTAAATAACTGTCTTTCATTTAAGGTGAAATAAGCACATTCTCATTCAGGTTAATTTCTTTGAACCCATTGTCTCAACTTGTTTCTGATTTTTCAGGAGGCTGCTAGACGTTTGTTATCAAATGGTAAGTTGTTAAATTGGTACTTTCTTTTTTGCCTATGCTTTTGGGATCTTTAATATCTTTCTTTCAGATTAATTTGCTCTTTATTCAGGTGATGATAATGATGAAGTGGAATACAAGCTTCTTGCTGGAGGCTCGAGCAATGGTGCAGGACCAGAATCGAAGGAGAAAAAAGAAGAGGCGAGTATGTCAATATGGTCTGTGAGCCTTACAGTGGATCATGGGTTTCTGAACTGGCTTGTAACCATTTCAGGTTTCTCTTTTTGAGAATGTTCAATGGAGGGAACTCGGAGTTCTCTTTGCTGTCTGGGTGATTATCCTTGCATTGCAGATCTCCAAGGTCTTATAAGGTTTCTCTTTTTGAGAATGTTCAATGGAGGGAACTCGGAGTTCTCTTTGCTGTCTGGGTGATTATCCTTGCATTGCAGATCTCCAAGGTCTTATAAGTCTATGCCCTGAATATTTTAAAACATGCTTTGAAGTCTCAATTGATAACTAATTGACCAGACTAATCTTGAAATCTTTTCTTGTTGGCTTCGCAGAATTATACATCAACTTGCTCAGCAGCATACTGGGTTCTCAACATATTGCAGGTACCTTAGCTATGATAATCTCAGAATAAATTATATTGTTCTCCATTTAATTTTTATTTCCATAATGTTAAATCACCTGCAATTGAGAGTTTGGGACAAGACACTGTCATGGGGAGCTATGAGCTTGATAAAATTTTGGCGCTTCAAACTTATTCTTTGTTTTCTTGATTTTCAGTTTCCAGTTGCTCTAGGAGTTAGTGTCTATCAGGCAGTTAACTTTACAAGGACGGAGCGAAGATTAAATCCAAGGGAGAGCGCCGGCCACAAATTTAAAAGCTACAACCAGTTGGTTGATTCTTTATTGCTGCTGTGCGAGTATTGGCTGGCTCTTTATTGCTGCTGTGGAGTATTGGCTGGTGTAGTTGGTGGGTTGCTTGGTCTTGGTGGAGGATTCATTTTGGGGCCACTTTTTCTGGAATTGGGAGTCCCTGCACAGGTAAATTTCATGCTTGAGGGTTTTATTCTTTCATGACCATTAATTTGGTGTTAGATGGTCAACTTTTATGGATCGACCTTATGACAGTCATTTTGGATCAAAAGAAACAGATTGTCTTTATTTAAAAGAAAGAGAGCTCATGTCAATGTTGAAATTGTTATGTTATGGACTTACAATATTGACAACAATTATCCATCTACATATTAATTCTATAAACCTTCAAGTTCATGACTGACCTCATTTCATGAGAGATTTCATGCAGGTTTCAAGTGCCACAGCCACATTTGCCATGACATTTTCTGCTTCCATGTCAGTCATCGAGTACTATCTCTTAAAACGTTTTCCCGTTCCTTATGGTGAGGTTACCACCACAATGTTAAATTATGACTTTTATCAGCAGAGAAACATCATTCAGAATTCATTTCTATATATAATTATTATTTTCAAAATTTTTTATGCAGCTTTATACTTTGTTGCTGTGTCCACCGTCGCGGCCTTTGTAGGGCAGCACGTTGTAAGAAGGCTTATCAGTATATTAGGGAGAGCATCTATAATTATCTTCATTTTGGCATTCACAATATTTGTGAGTGCAATATCCCTAGGTATGTAAAATCTTGAATTGCAGGTTTTTTTTTTTTCCAAATAAACTGAAACTCTCACAGTGAGATTCATATTCATGTTACTGATTAGGAAATGGAGTTCATTTTTTCATTCATTTCTTATTACTAACATTTTCTTTTTTCTTCAAAAACAGGTGGAGTTGGCATAGCAAATATGGTAGAGAAGATTGAGAATCATCAGTACATGGGATTTGAGAACCTCTGTACCTATGAATCCTAGGCTTGCTTTTATTTAACCATTATTTTTCTTTACATTCAAATTTCTCATATAGCAATTTGTGAATCCCAGGATGTTGGCCAATCAATGCAAACTATCTATTTTTCTTTACATTCAAATTTCTCATATAGCAATTTGTGAATCCCAGGATGTTGGCCAATCAATGCAAACTATCCTGGTGGGAATAATGGTTAGCTTGTGCCAAATTTTTATGTTTCACATGTACACCACTCATGGCCTGGGCTTTGGATATTTTACCACTAGAAATTTAATCTGTTGTAGTTCGCAAATGCATAAATTCATTATTGTATTTGGCAAAATAAAATCTTATCACTTCTACAATTTTTATAATGACCTATTAAATACTCCAATCTATAAAATTGCATTTATTCAACGTTTTAATTCGTAAATTTTTTTTATTAAACACTTTAATTTTCAAATTTAGATGAATTAAATATTTATTAAATAGTTTAAAAAATAAAAATTATTATTAAAAATAAAAATTATTATTTTAAAAATTATTTACATATTAAATTAATATTTCACGTATAAAAACCAAAAATGTCAAAAAATTATTGTTCTTAGAATAAAAAAAATGTATAATGTTATTAAAATTCACAGCTTTGGTCCATGATTTAAATATAGTGACACAAAATTTTATTGTGTAACGTACAAAAGTGAATTTTGCATTTGGCTACATAAACAAGATAAAAGAAACAAGATAAAAGATTATCTTTTTCGTAAGTTCTCTTCTAAACAAAAGGATAAATTAAAATATACTTGCTTCGTCTCATGATTAAATGCTCACTTTTGTCTCAAAATGCAATTCTATTTCTATTTTAAAAATTATTTATTATTTAATTTTTTAATATACTCATATTTAATGTATATCTACATTCCTAATTATATATACCACAATTATTAACAGATGAGTATTAAGAAAAAAAAAACAAAACAAAATATAGTTTAGCTATATTAACAAATTTTAATTTAATCTATGTGAACATATAATTAAGCATATATATATATAGACACACACACACACACAGAGGACGTGAAAAATCAAATTAAGCCTATATATATACGTATATAGGCACGTGCGGGATGGAGAGAGTACCTCTTAAAGCAATTCACCTGCCTGTGCTATTACCAGTATATCCGTTGCCGACTGTATAATTATTAACGTCGACTTTTGGGTGAACGTTTACATCAAGGAACAACAGAATGTTAACTAGATGACAAATTCCTTCCATGAAAGGCAAAAATTATAGCAGCCAATGTTGTCGATGTGTTATCCAAGATAGTAGAATTGGCCAATGATAAAAGCCACTAAGGCATAAAAACATAGCCCATCTCCTTTTTTTTTTTTTCTCTTTTTTCATGACAGTCCGTAGTATGATTAGTATTATATAAATATATAAAAAAAATACAGGGACCTAAAAGAATAGTCTTTTAGACTGTAGATCTACCAGGTTTGCTTTCATGATGTGACTTTGAAACACTGTCTGAACAAATGCAAACAAATTTAATTCCTTGACAGACTGTAACATTTCTTCCAGGATTTCATGGAGAAACTCGTCCAGCTTCTTCGTCTCTCTTCTTTATGTAGCTAAATTCTTAGTATTTTTAATCATTGTATCCTATAATTCATCTTTGGAGGCTTGCTTTTTGGCTCTTAAATGTTTGTTGATGACTGCTGCTAAGTCCTGCTTTTCATGATGTGACTTTCGAAACACTGTACTGAACAATGCAAACAAATTCTAGAGCTGGTCACTTGACAGACTGTAACATTTCTGTCCAGGATCTTCAATAGGAAGAAAAACTTACGTCCAGCTAATCTTGCGTCTCTACGTCTTTTTTATGTAGCTAAATCTAGTATTTTGTATATCCATAATTGCATTATCCTATAATTTCAAAACATCTTGGAAGGGCTTGAAACTTTTTGGCCTTCTTAAATGTTTGCTTGAATGTACTGCTGCCTTAAGTTAACCTTTGAACATATAAGATTTTGGTCCGAAAAGCCTTGATCTAACAACAAAACAGGAAAAAAAAGAAAAAAAAAAAAAAAAAAAAAAAAGATTTTCATTCGTTCAGAATGCAAAAAACTATACCAAGTATGAGAAAAAGAAAAGGGAATGGGAATGGGAATGGGTACGCATATCCTTATTTGATTACCGGATTTACTTTATCTGTTGCGGTGTGCCCACTTAAATGGGACCCACATGTGTGAAAGTAAGAAAAAAATAGGAGCAGCCAGTTCAACAGTGATGGCTTTGAATTGCTACACATGGACGGTGAGCATGTTAGGCGGTAAACGCGTTAATTACGCGTCTCTCATTCCCTATAAATAGAGGCAACTGCAACTCACACAACACACAGCAGAAATACGAAGGAAAAATGTAGAGAGTTAGTTAACCAGTTTTAGGAAGGGTTTCCTAAAACTAGGGGAGAGAAAAATAGTGAAGATTATTTTGGGGTGTTTTTGGGAAACACTTTGTGTGCTATTATTTTTATATTACTCTCTTTGGGTACCTACTATTTTTAATAGTGGAAGAATGATTCAGAGTTTGTTCCGTGGACGTAGCCCTAAACAGTTGAGGGTGAACCACGTTCCGTGGACGTAGCCCTAAACAGTTGAGGGTGAACCACGTAAATTTCTGTGTGTCACATTTCTATTTTTCCGCTGCGTTAATTCCCTCTGGGTAAAACAGAAGTGTTGGGTAGTCATCCACCTGCAAGAATCAAGAAATAACAAGGGTTAGCTTCTTAGCATCATCAATTTGCAAAATCAGTGATCTTATAGTTACAATGAAAAGATCCAAAGTTTTCTTGTTAATGGCATTCTAGCAACTCTTTAAGTTGCTGGAGAAAGAAAAGAACTCCTTGAATGTTGAAATTGCATGACAACCATAACTAATGATTCACAATATTCATCAGGTTGTAAGACACATTTCAAGCTAAGTGAAATCATGATGATAAATTTTTTCAGCAAATAAATGAAAGAAATCAATATGGTCATCTGGACCCAACATCAACTAGGAAACTTGTTTTAATAGTTAATGCTGTTGCCATGCGTGTGATGAAGGACTTAAAATGCTTATATGACATACCTGCAGTTTTGGATGTTCATTTGCAGAAGCATCTATCTTCCCAATCACTAAATTCTCCAAACCTTTGAAATGCTTTGCCAATTTCTCGACCTGCTTACTTGTAGTCTCACAATTGATGCACCATGGTGTATATACCTGTTCTTATAACATAAGGTATTTCATGAAGAAAGTTAATAGATTTCACTTGAAGCATTTAATTCTTAAGGCCAATGGCTGTGAAAAAGTTAGGGGCACAGATGATTATCGAATGATGCACCTAACTTCATATTTACTTAATATAATGCATTAAAAGGATTTCCTAATTGAAGCGGAATGATTTGTTGAGTGGTTTCTAGAATTTTGTTTCGTGGATATTTGTTAGCATACATGTCTTACTTTTTGGTAATAGGTGTATAAGATATCAAGGGATGCTGCCCAACAAAGCAAAATTTACCCAGCAGGGATGCTACTACTACACTTTCAGAAACCCTTTTCTGTATACACAAGGAAGCTTAATTGCAATACAAGCATGCATGCTGATAAAGAAGAAGAGATAGGAATAGGACTTTTTTTTTTTCCTACTTCAAGCCCCAAAAACTTAAACCGAGATACAAGAATAACTTAAAAAAGGAACAAAATTCAGGCATACCTCCAGAAGAACATTTTTGGGACTGCTTAACACCAAGTCATCAAAAGTCTTCCCTACAATGATCTGGACACCTGTCGCATTCTGCAATTTCCAAAATCCCAAGATGATAGGAAATCAAAATAATGTGAGTCAAACTTATATGAAAGTTCCAAGATTCATTAGACATTTGAACAAGAAAATAAATAAAAGTCTGGATTTCAGAAGATCAAACGAACAGATCGTGTTTTATACAAAATAAGATGAGCTCAGGTGCAAAGCGTGCAATCAGACAAATTGACATGATGATATCACTTTTTACTGAAACAAAGGTGAATTAAGTTGTTTACACTCACTGCTACATCACATAACCAATAGCTTTTTGGCTATGTCAAAATACCACCTTCTAATGAATTACAGAAGCAGCAATCAGACATCAAATATTTAAAGCAATCCATGGAAAGAGAAATATATCCTAAAATATTTTTAGCAAAGCAAATAAAAACATAGAATGTATCTTTCCCCAGCAAATTTTTAAACAAGTTTATATAGAAAGTAAATAAGCTGAAGGACAATCTTATTTCCTCCATAGGGGTAATTGTAATGTCTCCAGAATCTTATTGACTCGTACAAACCATCAAGTCTACAGCTACTCTTTTGGTAAAACATGCAACTATTACTCCCCAGTCTTTCTTAGACAAACAGAAAACCAAGAAGCATAAAAGTACCCTCCCATTCGCATTGCATTTAACACCTAGAATGATAGAGGAATGACTAAATAAGAAGGGAAAATAAGGGACTCACATTATCAGGTATTGGTTGTGATTTAAAGTAAGGTGACTGACTTCCATGGAGAAGCGCTGAGCAGAATTCCTACAAAACATAATTCATATTCTAATAAACCCGGATATCCTAAAAAGGATTTTAAAAAAAAAAAATGAAGCTGTGCATTACTTCTATGTTGCTTGGTGTTGGATCTGACTCTAACAAATACCTTGAGTTGATTCTGTTATCAAAAGCAGTCACCTGTATGACAAACAGAAATATCTCTCATCAAATTAAAGCCTGAGGGGAGAAAAATTGAACTACAGCTGCAACCATGAAAATTAAGCAAAGTCAGAGCTGAAATGTGAAAATAACAGTTAGTTGCGGACTGGGAACTAACCACAGTATTTTTCACATCTTCAAGCCCAAACAAGGTTAAGAAGGGCTTTGCCAGGTTTTCATCTGCAACATCTATATATATGAACATTATCTGCACGGAGTGGAAAGCTTTTAAAAAATATATGATTAATAGGCAACTGACTGCTCCAATAAAATAGTCAAAAAAGCACCTCTGATTTGAACTTCCTAGCAACCTCTTGGAGAGGTCCAATAAGATTTCTGAAATTATCAGCCTCTGCAAAGATCATAGCCTGGAAAAATGGAGAGCAAATCATCATACGATTCATCTCATAAGATTGTTTTCTAGAATAGCAATTGTTTTAGTTATGACTTTTGAAATACTAGACGAATAGCAATTGCTACAAGATTCTTATTTTTAAATGCTCATACTGCAATCAGGAAGACATGAAATGTCACTTTAAGGTTCCATAAGAAGTATTAGAAGGCCTGATTTGCATCCATTAGACATGTTTAATTTCAAGTGTTAGTTCTCTTAGTTTAAACCCAGATATAACGACACAGCTTCTGCATGGTAGGAGAAACGTTAGTGCAATACAAACTATATCTGTTCATTACACATCGTACAGAAATCTGACAACAATATATTTGTTTTTCCCTGCAATACCAGAAACAGTGAAACAAAACATAGGTAGGACCAACAAGTTGCTCCAAGAAATATCAATTATCTAATATAGGACTGCAAAACATCCAAGGATTAGTATTTATTTACCTAGCTGTCACATCAGTGCTAACCAAGAAGACATAACTTCAACAAAAATCATTAGCTCTTCGAAAAAATTGGGCTAAATTTATTTGTGGTACTTTATGAATGAATTAGAAACTAAACACAGTCAGGGCCTATAAAGTCGCCTTTTTGAAAGGAGGACTCTGAATCCAGTTGAGCCTTGAGCTTGATCTCACACTAGTATTAAACATGATAACTTTCTTGTATTCTAATAATAGCGAAAGCTAAATTGAGCACAAATGAACGTCTTATTGTGCAAATTGGTCTTATGAATTGATGTGAATTTGTAAGCATCCAATATATTCAACATAAAGTCAAGATGCAGATTTGTTAGTTAGTCAAGTTTGAATGTCAAACGAGCAGAGGCAAATCCTGAAAGAAAAGGATAATTGAAGACAGTGACGCAAACAACCACCACCATTAAAGTAGAATGTGTTGTCAGAAAATTTTTCTCGACTTTTACAAAATGGAGATGGAATGATAAAGATGCCCAACTCATAATTATAAGTCCTCTTTCGGTTCAACTCTTTTTCCTCATCTTAAGGTATTCTATCCTCCATGGATCATCAGGTCATTTTTCTGATAGTAACTTATTAGACAAAAGTGATCGCATAAACAACCATTATAAGCCTCTACGAGAAATTCAAAATAACTGTAATCCTTATGAAGGAAAATAAATTTCCATGCTTTCAACCATTAAACAGTAAGCTGGGGAAAATTTATATCTTGGTTGTGCTTGTTTTTCTTTGTTGAGCTATACACCAAAAATAGAACAGTTAAGTTAAAGGTAACAGCAACCTGAAGTTTGATAGGACTGGAATAAACTCTGACTGAATTTAGTTCAGTTAGCCTGGTAACCAATGGAAACTTGTTATGCTCCACAAACTGCAGCAATTTTTCCATCTCAAAGGTCCCTTCTGCATAGTAAACAAATTGAATTAAGTCAGTAGACCGATCAACTTCAGTTTCAGAAAACATGACAACAATCCAAGCATAGAACAGCTAGTATGCCAGATTGTTTCATAACAAATCCTAGAGCAGTACATATGCATCACTTACCAATCAAAGGCAAAATTTTCCATGAAAACAAAAATGAAATAGAATAATTGTGCTCTTCAGGAATAACCATATAATAATGCTGCAGCACCACTATGTTATAATCAAATTGCCAACTCACCATATGCTGTATACTTTTCAGGCTCGCTTTTAACAATTCCAAAGAAATTGCTAGATTTGATATCTGGAAAGAGAACTTTAGCAACCAGAGGATCACTCACTTCAACAAACTGGAGCTCATTGTCAATGGTTGCTGCTTTTACAAATTCTTCATAATCATGTCCCTGAGGAAAACCTCATATTTTTGGAAATAAACTCTTGAAACTTTAAGTCCTCTGTTATTTCTAGAAATCTTCAATTACTAATTATAAGGTAGTTGAAATACCACTTACCTCAAATTTCTCCAAAAGACAAAGAACAAACGTATGGTACTTCTTAAGAAACCCTTCTGCCTCAGTAACCGAGCTTATTCTCATAATAGGAACTCCAGTCTTTTTCCTAGTCCATATCACTAAATCCTCTCTGAAGACAAATTAATCCCATATAAACAAATCAACGAAGATTCAAGCAACATTAACATAAGATACTTAAAAACTCAAATGACAAAAAGTATTTTGCAGAACCAGATAAGTTAGTCAATTATGATTCAGTAAAAAATAAATAAAAATAAGAAGTGGGGGACTTACGCAGAAAATCCACCAGTGTAGGCCTGAGAGCTTCCATTGACAAAAAGAAGCAGAGTAGGGAACCCTTTAATACCAAGCATTGAAGCAGCTTTAGGGTACCTTTCAGCATCAAGTTTAGACATCAATAGAGTACTTCCTAACTCCTTAAGCTTATTAGCAGCCTCAGCAAATTGAGGCATAAGCTCAGCACTCCTTGGACACCAAGGTGCATACCCAAGAATCATAACAAACTCATTATCATTTATAACCATTTTTGCGTTATCACTGTTTAACTCAACAACTATTCGCTGTGCCTTTGACAATACCTCAGCCTCCTTTTGCTGTACCTGTTGTTGTTGTTGATCTTCTTCTTCTCCTTGCTCATCTATTGCTATTAATTCTTTCAATTCATCATCATTTTCAGTGTCAATTTCTGATTCGTCAGAGGCAGAGACAGAGATTTTGGATGTGAGTAAGAGGAGGACAGTGAGAGATAAAAAAATGAACTTTGAAGTTGGATTTCTTGAAAACATGGTGATTTTGATCGGCTTTTTTCTGGGTTTTCGAGAAAATGTTTGTGGGATCGAGTGAGAAATGCTTTGGAGATTAATGGGCATTGAGGGTTTTATTCTGGAGTCTGAATCTGGAGATCTTTCCTTAATTAGTGGAGAATTGAGAGTGAAATGAGAATAGAAAAATCGACGTGCAGAGAACTGAGAGATTTTATTTCAGTCAAAAAGAACAAACATTGATTTGGACAGCCCTTCATGAGCCCTATTATAAATTGTGGATTATGTTCTCGTTAATAATTTTTTATATAAATATTTAACATTTATAGACCATTTAAGGTTTTTTACATTAAGATTAGGGGAAAGTACAATTAGATCCACAAATTAGTAAATTATATCTTAATTAACATATTCATTCCTTTATTCATAATGATAATTATATCCTAATTAACATATTCATTCATGAGAAATTATTATAATGTTTCTAATTTTCGCTTTAAATTAACCTCAAGCTTTTATGTTCAAAATATTATCTATTCATTGTTAGTTATACTATATTTTATACGAAATATGTGAGCATTTTCGACCTTTTAGGTGGAAAAGAGATTTGATATTGATTTTACAGTAAAGGTTAGAAATATCATAATAATTTTTTCAAAGTACGAGGGATGAAATTATTAATTAAGATATAATTTAAGAATATAAATATATGTTATCCTTTAGATTGTAATTTAAATATTGTAATTATTTTTTTAATGATAAAATAAAAATAGAGGGAAAGATTAATTAACTAGTGAAAGAAAATATATTAGATTAAATTACAAAAAGCCCCTTATATTTAGCAATTTTTACATGCCAACCCTATGTACTTTGGGTTCTGAAAGAATGCGAATTGGCCCATTTTAGGCAGACTTATATTGTGTCCTCAATCCTCAAACACAAACACAGGCAGCATTGTTTAAACAGCGATTGCTTATCCTGAATACAAACAAACAGTATTATTCTTACAAAAATATACATATTTAAGTTTCCCACTTGTCCTACACGAGCAGAACACCAAAATGAAAAGAGAGAAATGGAAAATTCACTTGTATTTCTCCAAGTGGTAGTGATTTCTATTTTGAAGCTCAGCAACTCAAAACGATAGCTAGTTTTTGGTACACCGCATCGATACAAATCATATGTTTAACTCTTCAAAATGAGATCAATCATATGTACATATACCCTTTTTGAACTTGATTGGTTTGGTGCTAGTGGAATCAATTACCACAGGGCAAGAAATTTGCGTTTTATGCCTGGTCCTCACCAGCTTCCCAACTACATTGCCTCGAGACCGGATTTCGAATTTCAGTGTTAATGGAATTACAATACCAGTTTGTGAAACTGTTAAACTTGATCCTGCTCCATATAGAGGAACCTTATCTCCTTCCACAATCACTGATACAGTTCGTCGACTCTTTCTAGGCTGATAGTGTTTCTTCAACTGCAGTATCAGTCATTAGATAAGAATTTGCACTTTCCACTATGTCTAAAGTAATCAGCAGAGAAAATTATAGCTCAAAAGTGCATAAGATAAGATTTCTGGAATTCGCCTCTTTGCTTTTGGAGGGTCTAATCAGAATCCATCGTCCAATACTAAATCAAATAAGAAGATATGACTAGGCTATGGAAAGAATTGTTACCTGACCAGTTGCAACTGGGATTTCCGAGTATATGAGATTGATCGGTGTGGAGCTAACATGAATGCCAAATATTGTAGCAGGGTTGTTTATGCTAATCCTCAATGAGCCATTCACCGTTAGCATCTTTGTCGGAACACCAGAAAAGTCTGAACCTTCCCCAGCATAAACATTACTTACTGACAAGCTCTGCAATATTCGAATTTCCCATTAGAAATGAATTTTAGCACTGATTATAATTAGCTTAGGAATGATTAGTTTGTAATTAACATATATCTAACTGGTACTTGTTAACTGTTTGAGCCAATTGAAGGTTTGTAACAACATTATTAGGGGGCTTAATGTGCAGTGACTCCCTTTCATTAAATGAATGTTAACCATACCAATTTCAGAATCCTTAAACAAAAACTGCCTCAAAATATTCTCAAAACACCAAGACATTGAACGTATAAATGGGTAAATACTATAATAAGCAAGCCTATAATCCATATTTCATTATCGATTATCTTCAACAAAATATATAATCTAATGAACACATTAAAGAAATATAATACAAAAATAAAATGAAAAAACTTGGCATACCTTGACAGTAATCTCTGCTTTATAAGGTCGGCTAGCCCCCCATATAATCAAGCAAAACACTGTAAATAAGATTATAAAACTACACAAAGCAATCAAAGCCTGAAACCGCCTAGTAAATGCTTTATCTTCATCATAGTCCCCTTCTTCCATGATTACATTACATTCAGGCCATCCTTTCTCATTCCACCCTTTCTCATTTCTTTTCCTGCTGCCTTTCCTTCCTGAAGAGGACCTAAATATACCCGAAAACCTACTAGCAGACGAATTTCTTGAATGGCGTCCAAAAGAGGGGTGTGAAGGTGACTCCATTGGACTTGGTTGCATTGAAGAGGACTTGTCCCCATCATGTGAATCCCTTGAAGGGCTTTGCACATAATATACAGGGCGCTTTGGAGACCTTGAAGGTGATGATGGGGCTAAACTTGTAATATCAGATTCAGATTTTGTGGAAAGCATTGTAAAGAATTGCTATTAATTCCCAAAAAATAAAGGTAAAAACTTTAGCCCTTAAGCTTCCACTCTGTTATGCAAGAACACAAACATTTGCTAATCAGAATTAACAACTAACTGATACCCAGAAACCTTTTTAGATGCAAATGACTATTTTTGCTCAAACCCAATAAAATTCAATACCAGAAACACAAGAATTGACTTTAGAGTGATAGAAACAGGGAAAAAAAGTTTATTTTATGCTAAACTGAAATTCTATTCAAAGAAAGAAGACACAGAATTCTCACCTGAAGAGTCCAACCAGAAAAGAAAATAACAGTACAAGAAAGCAAACTATGAAAAACCAAAGGAAGAAATTCAAGAACCACCCAAAACCAAGAATTACCATATACTCTGAACTCAACAGAAAATCCAAAAAGAGTTCTTGAAACGAAGTTACTCGTTGCACTGACACCTAGCACGATAACTGTCCCATATATTCAGAAGACAGTACCAAAAGCCACAAATTCAGTTCTGTCTTTGTTTCTGAACCAAGCCAGCGCTACTGAGACTGGTTTACCTTTCCATATCAACAAACCAAGAACCAGTAAGATAGCTATGCATGTAACTTTTTGTAGAAAAAAGGGACTATAACATAGTTATAGGCTAGGATAAGGAGCTTAAGACCAAACCTCAGGTATGGGAATGTGTCGGCAGGGTCCAATAATGATAATATCGTGCAAATTTTAGTGGCTCTAAATCGATGTATTCTTTTGGCGACTCTCTTGACTCTCTACCTAATATTGATTTGTTATTAATATCTGTTTTCTTGAAGAAACTCAAAATCTTGGTGGGTTTTGCAAGAAATGACAAACATTATATAGATATTTAATTTATGTTGGGTGCAAATTGCAATTGTGCAATTAAAGAATATATTCATTTCGTTTTTATTCCTTTTCATTTGGTTTGATGCCTTGGGAAAACTTTACATAAAATTTTTAATATATACAGAAACTACAAGAGTGCTAGTGTCGCTTTACTGTCTGTGGTTTTATGGTTCGACTTAATGATTTTTATAACAGGAAGCAAGAAAACAGCATTCAATTGTATTACACCAAATGGGTATTTATTTATTTTTTATATTATATAGTTTTGATGATAGTAGGATTGACCAATTTTTCTTGCCATATTAACAATAAATCAATCAACATGGTTGGCCTTGGCTAGTCTGGTTGGGTTAAGACAAGCCCTCAAGCAGTTCCAATCATTGATGATAGATAATAACAAGACAAGGTTGACACTAGTGGACCATTTTGTAAGTTGTGACATTGAGCACTATGCCTCTCCAAAATGACCAAATATATTGCAAATTTTAATAAAAGAGGGTATAATGAATAGAAGAAGAAGAAGATACTAATTTGTTGGGCCAGATTTGGGCTATTAGAGCCATCGTTTAGGTCTTGTGGGACATTATCTTTTGTCCTCAGTTTCATGAGTGGGTCATTCCAAGCCCAAACCAGCTGGGAAGTTGAAACGATGGTCTTTCATAACAGCATGAATGAAACGACAGAACCAATCATGTCAAATATGGCGGGGTTTCCCTCTTGAGACAACCACCCAAAGTACGACAGAATCAACGCCACGTATTTAATTCTTTAACATTTTCTCAAACAAAGTGACATGTCGTTCACTCTCAACGCAATTACCCATGCTTTCCCTCTCAAAAGCCTTGAAGTAGCTGTTTCTCTGTAAGAAATTGAGCTACCTACAATGGCCTCCTTGGACGAAGAAACGGCCAACAAAATCCTCAATCAGGTTTAAAGTTGCACCACAACACAAATACGTCCAAAATCATTTACGACCAATAAAAGCTGATACTATTTTCCGTTATTTTTTTTCCAGGTGGAATTTTACTTCAGCGACAGTAATTTACCCCGCGATGATTTCCTTGCGAAAAAGGTTTCTCAAAGCAAAGATGGCAGTATCCTTCATTTCAATCAGTACGTACTTGCTGTGTGGATATTGGTATGTGTATCTATGTGTGGGTATCGATTGTGTCTATTATCTTTGTTTTTCTTAACTTTGAAAATTAGTGGTTAGCTTGGCTCTTATATGCTCGTTCTCCAGAATCAGAGCTTTACTGGGTTTGGGTAAAATAAGACAAGATGATATTACAAATGTCGTATTAGAATCAGTTGCTGAAATTCTGCGCAAATCGAATTCTCTCAAAGTTTCTGGCGATGGTAGGATATCTAATCATGCAGGAACTTATCTTCCTTGTTGTTTTTGGTCAATTATTTGCCTATTGATAGAAGTTAATGTTTTTTTTTTTTTTTTTCAAGGGCAAAAGGTGGGCAGGATTAAGAAGCTCTCGAAGACAGAAAAAGTTATACAGCAAGTGGATTTAAGAACAATTGCAGCATCGCCTTTCCCGTATGATGTTACATTGGAAGATGTGGCATCTTTCTTTTCTCAGTTTGGCAAGGTATAGCTTTGCTAAGCTCTGAAGCAACTTGTTCTTTGGCTTATTATTATCTATGCGATCATAAGCATGTCATTTTTGTCCTTAGTGGTTAAGTCATTTTGAGATTTGAAGTGGCACTATGGAATTGTCATCTTGCACAGTTAGTGTGCTTGAAATTGATGACAAATTAAACAATTGCTAAGGAATTTTTCTTTCATTACTGTTATTAAGTTGACTATCAATAGAATATGCAACAAATTTTAGTGTCTGTTTCTGGAGCCTTTTCTTTTAAAAGAAATGTGAGAGGGGAGGAGTTGTTCTATTGATAGAGTCTGAGCAGCGTATGGTTTTGATATCAGCACATTATTTATTTGTTATTTCTTTTGTTTTTGCCTTCTTTAAATTCTTTTTTTGGTCTTATAGGTTAATAGTGTGAGGCTACCCCGTCATGTGGCAGACAAAAGGGTTTTTTGTGGCACTGCTTTGATTGAGTTCTCTACAGATGGAGATGCTTTAGATATCTTGAAGCAAAATTTAGTTTATGCTGGTGCCAGTTTAGAATTGAAACCAAAGTGAGTAACGACTGTTAGTTTTAATCATGATGAGCATTCGTGTGGTTTTCATTAGCACGTATTGATCTGAATGTTTTAGTTCAGAGTTAGACTGCATTGGTTTGTCTTCGCTGCTGCCTGTATGTTATCTAAAATTCCTCTATTGAATAAATAAAAAAAACATAACCTCTTCCACTTGCTAGGAATTGAGGCTAACTGTCTATTTCCAGTCATGCGACATTTGGAGACAAGAAAAAGGAATTGCAAGGACTGTTAGTTAAAGAATACTATAATTTATCGATCCAAATAGGAGATGTTATGTCCCTTTATTTATTTATTTCTTTTTTTTTTTTTTTTTTTTATCTTTTTTTTTTTTTTTTTTTTTGACAGAAACAGAAGTTATTATGTATAACCATTTTCCAATTTTCTCTATGGGTGGAAACGTTGGCTTTTAAACAATGAACAGAAACCCATTATATTGGGACTGAACCTATATGGAGAAGCGTACTGTTTTATGGTTCATCTTCAATGTATTTCAAGTTTGAGAGTCACATTTTATCCTGTTTGTTACTGAAATATTATTGTATACTTTCTATATTTGGCTTGGGAATCACTCTAATAGAGAATATGAATCACTTTGCTGAAGTTTCAGGCATGAATCCAAGTTTTCATTGTTTTTTTTTTTTTTTTTTTTTTGACAGAAACAGAAGTTATTCTGTATAACCATTTTTCCAATTTTCTCTATGGGTGGAACGTTGGCTTTAACATGAAAGAAACCCATTATATTGGGACTGAACTATATGGAGAAGCTACTGTTTATGGTTCATCTTCAGTATTTCAAGTTTAGAGTACATTATCCTTTTGTTACTGAAATATATGTCTACTTTCTATATTTGGCTGGGAATACTCTAATAGAGAATATGAATCACTGCTGAAGTTTCAGCATGATCCAAGTTTTCATGGGCAATGTTATGAGTCCTGCTTGTCAAATTTTTTGATAAAGTTATCATGAGATGGTTCATTTGCAAATTAGTGTGTCAGAGTTACAGGGTAAGATTTTGAAATATTGTGCTTGGCATGTATAAACAATAAGACCAGGGTTCTTTCAATAAAGTATCTTGCCACTGTCAAAACACCTGTTATTATTTTCTCTAGTCATTCTATCTTTCAACTTTTATGATAAAAACTGCCTTATCCTTTGTGTTCTTCTTTTGGTTGTTTAGAAAGGAATTCGATTCTGAGAGAGCAATTATGACAGAGAAAATTGGAACAGACGGCTCCTTTATGGACTCAAATTATAAGAATGATGCCAGCACAACATCCATGTTAGTTGCTCAATTATTATTTTTTATTTTTTTATTTTTGCTGTCTATCTTCCGGTTTGTCAATTTCTTTACTTGATGCAATCAATTATCCTGATGACAGCTGCCCAAAAAGTTCAATAGTTACATTTTCATTAAAGAGAAGATCAATTGGAAAACCTGTTAAAAATGGAGGCACTGCTCCGTTGATTATTAACAGTGGAGCAGTTTGTAAAAGAGATAAGAATTTGGATTCCAATGGATTTGTTGAAGAGATAAAAAGTGCCTCAGAAGATATTGTAGTAGCACCTTCCAGGAATCCTGAAAAAGAAAAATGCAAAAAAGATAACAAAGAGATCATTTCTGAAGACAACAAGAAGAAGGATCTGCAAGATGCCATTTGCCATGATAAAGATCTATCTCCTGAAATTGTTTGTCAACATAGTAAAGAGAAGATAACTGGTGGAGAAAGGTGCGCTAGTTTAGTTCTTGAAGAGAAGGATGTTCTCTCATCTAAGGACCTAAAAGATGTCTTTCAAAGATTTGGTGCTATTAAGGTACCATGGTGATCATTTTTCTCTTCATCTCGTTTGCCTTTTGATTCAATTAGATTATGTTTCCTTGCATTCCTAAATTTTATTGAAAATGTGTTCTGCAATTTCGGTGATTTGTATCTTCTGAGAACTATCCCTCAAAAGTTCAAAATTTGGCTTCCAATTTTTTTTTTATTATTATTTTTTTGCAACGCCGGACCTATTTGACGTCCAAGGTAGAAATGATATTACATGGAAATTTGGGACGTATTGCTCATATGGATTATTAAATCTACATTGCAACACTTGCACACAGGTTCAGCAATGGAAAAAACATTGAGAAAAACTCAAAACTAAAATTTGTACTTGGTTCAGCAAATGGCCAACATACACACAGCTACCTGAAATTTTTCAATATGGATCTGATACAATCACTATGCATCATTTCTTTGTTCTTTAATTATATGTGTTCTCTTGTGCAGCATGTCCATTATCATGATGGAGCAGTTTCAGGTTATATTTGTTTTGAAGCAACAGAAGGAGTTATAAAAGCTTGTGCTGCTGCAGAATTCATTGAAGAGGGTCTCATTGTGAAGAATTTCATTGTTTCATTCGAAGCAGTTTCTGGTAAGCAGCAACGCCAGAACTTTTTACTTGATACTTTAGTGTTGGTTAAGTGGTAGTAAAATTTAGGCAGAGGCATCTATGTATCGATGTGATTCTGGGGGCTTGAATTTAATATACGTTACTTTGTGCTTGACTTTGGTGCAATTTCTCCAACACTTGAGGAGCTTCAAATCCTTCAATATAAAATAATAAATCACCTTAGCTTATGGAGATCTTTATCAAGGTTTAAGATGGAACGTCAGTACCAAGGTTTCTTTTTTTTTTTGGCGGGGGGCGGGGGTCACTGTGGGGTAATATAGCAAGAAGTAGTCAAATCGAATGAGTAGTTCAAATTAATCATATCTTAAATTTGCGAAGTCATCCCACTAGTGCACCCATCTCAGCAATCATTTGGTTGGAGCTTCAGTTGAAGTCATTCACTTGGAGACAGCTAGCTTAAAAGTTCTTATTTCATTATTACTTTTGTCTTTTCAGGTAAAACTGATGAACGATATTCAAATATGCATTGTGATGATAACAAGGAAGGTTGTCACATAAGGAGGGATGACAGAAAACGGTATGCCTGTGAATGCTTCTTGGTGCAATATGTTATAATTTGAGTGCTCTGTGGAAAGGCATTTGCATGCATGGAAGGGCTGCTTGCACATATGGGGTTCATATTCTCCATTCATATCAATATATCCCTTCCATGAATCATTTGCAATTTATCAGCTCAGAGAATTTTCTGCAATTTTTTGGTCTAGCTATCATTGACTTCTAAATTGCATATGTTTTGCTTTTGCCTTGCAGGAAACACAGATCCAATCAAGGTGAAAGACAGTTTGTAGGCAGAAGTTCCCACTCCAACGAAAGCGATTCTTGAACCCAGAAACCCAAAAAAGGTCAACAGGTCAAAACTTTTTAAGATTTTGCACAAATTTCTGTTATTTAATCCAGAATCATTTCAATAGTTGGATCATCAATTGTGGAACGACATGCCCATTCCTTTGGCTACTAAAGAAGCTAACGCTCATCTTTCCTTGCAGGTGAGTGGTGACTCATAAGCAATTATTGGTCCATTTAGCATAATTTTTGGTCTAAAAAAGAGGACAAGTGAGCATGAGAATAGATTCAAAGGAAAAAAGAAGCTACTAGTAATAGATGTAATTTAGCAGGTGCATGAGCCAAAATAGATTTTATGTTTTGCAGTTTTTGGAATTTAACTGCAATATGGGTAGTTATGTTAGAAATTTAGCAGGTGCATGAGCCAAAATAGATTTTATGTTTTGTAGTTTTTGGAATTTAACTGCAATATGGGTAGTTATGTTAGAATTTATCTCGTCTTCAGCATTCTAGATAGATAATACGGATCATAGAAATTGGTATTTGTTATCTTTTCTTTGTTTGATATTTCGGCCACCGCAAAATATCTCTGATATTTCATTGGGGATCAGGTTACCTCTGACCATGCACTTAACTTTTAAGTAAGCAAACACTCTTCTTTTTGTTTTTTATTGTTATATTTTTCCTGGTTAATAGGTAACGAGAATTGGAAATGAGAACACAACGACCACTTAATGGTCAACATGATCAAATAATTAGTAAAATTACAGTATGATCCCTGGGGTTTGTAAAATACAACAAGCTCATTTCTGTCTTTTTTAAAATAGATTAAAACATTTTTGTATTTTTTTATTAGATTATAAAGGGATTTCTGTCCAATTTTTGCATTTTTTCCATCAATACTTTATGAAATGATGAAAATATCCTTTTTATTTTTAAAATATAGAGACGAATTAGTTATATTTTTTAAACTATAGAGACCGTATTGTAATTTTTTTTAATAATATTTTAGTATCTCTCATTTGACCTTAGTGTTTTTTTATTGATTTAACTGAAAAGATGCAAAAAATAGATCTAACAATTTAATAGTATAACGAAAGCAAAACATAGAAATAAATTGGTATATTTTAAAAAAGGCAGAGACGCACTAATTATATTTCGCAAACTATTGAGATGTACTGTAATTTTTTTTAAAAATAATTTTATTAGCCAAAACAAAACCCACTTTTGTTTTCTTAAACACCATGATCCCATAAGGTTGTGCACAAACAATAGAAGACAAAAAAAGAAAAAGAGAGTTAAGTTTTAAACCCCTTTTTTATCTAATATTATTAGAAGATTAACAAAAACGTAATAAACATAAATCCTACTATTTTAAACGAAAATGCAATAGAGAGAATTCCTAATGATGTATTAAAAAATGGAATGTTTTACCAATTTACTTTTATCCTTTGTTTTTTTCTCTTCAGCGCAAATGTTATCGTAATGCATTTTATAGCTCTTGAATTTATTGAATTTGCTTATTTCTTGAATTTTTATTTATCAACATTGAACCTTTTTTTTTATTTTTATTAAAATTAAATATTTTTAATTGAGATTATGAAATATGTCTATTGCTCAATGAAATCACGTCATTTTCAATTGGAAGAAGGAAGACAAAAGTAATGGAAATGGCTTCTTTTTTCTTTTTTTTTTTTTTTTTTTTTTTTATGTCTATTGCTCAAGTGAAAATCACGTCATTTTCAATTGGAAGAAGGAAGAACAAAAGTAATGAGGAAATGGCTTCTTTTTTCTTTTTTTTTTTTTTTTTTTTTTTTTTTTTTTTTTTTTTTTTTTTTTGAGAATGAACAATCCTTTGATGTTTCTTATACTTTGATTTCATTTACCTTTATTTTAATCTCAAATGGAATTCGAATTTTCTTGTGCCATATTATTTTTCAATCTATTTTTTAATATTAATAATCTTGATTTATATTTGCTCTTAACTAAATTATAATTTTAATAAAAATATAAAAGTTGAAAGGGTTTAATATTGATAAATAAAAGTTTAGAGTTTTATTGAGCAAAACTTGATAAATTCGGGGATTTAAACCAGTAGTTTGCCAACATCATTAAAAAATGTCTAGCCTCGTAAATATAATTTATTGCATCCACCGAACATGTTGATGTCACCATAACAGGAAGAATTTGGTAGTGATAACAATTCTTTTTTTTTTTTTTTTTTTTTTTTTTTTGATCCACAAAAAAGATACACTACTAAGAGTGTTAGTATTGCCTCTGTCGGCTCAGGCACTGGTCAAGTTTTGAAGCCCCGACTTAGACATTCTTATAGGCGCACTGATGGGGAGAATCCCGCCCCTCGAGGAAAAATCTATGCTCTAATAGGAGAAGACGTCTCTTTTCTACAGGTTTGTAGTGTTGTAGTCCTCGGTAACGACAGTAGAGTCCAGTTTAAGATAACTCACACGTCGTGACTCCTATACAACAGAGTCAATATTTAGACATCATGCTTAACGAAATGCTATCGTGGATGATTAACATAAATCAATAGGAGACGCTGTCTCTTTTCTGTAGGTTTGATACAACAGAGTCAATATTTAGACATCATGCTTAACGAAATGCTATCGTGGATGATTAACATAAATCAATAGGAGACGCTGTCTCTTTTCTGTAGGTTTGTAGTGTTGCGGTTCTCAGTAACGACAGTAGAGTCTAGTTTAAGATAGCTCACACGTCGTGACTCCTATACAACAGAGTCAATATTTAGACATCATGTTTAACGAAATGTTATCGTGAATGATTAATATAAATCAAGCAGACGGATGATCAATGTCTTTAAGAATAAACAATGCAACTCTTTTATGGATAGGTTTAATTTATAATTTCAATAAACCAGTTAAGTTTACTATAAGTTCAATATTATTAGAGTTAGATCTTTTTGGTGGAAGAGAATCTGAGTGTTTTTTTAAAAAAAAAAACTAATGCGATTTAAATAGGATTAAATTTATTTGAATGGATTCGAGACATATGTGATTTAGTAAAAAAAATCAGACATTGAACACAAGATATATGAAATTAGGATTAAGCAAACGGCCGATTCAGTTCAAATCGAACCAAATCAAAGCCATAAATACAAATTAAAATTTCTTTACAACAAATCAAACCAGATCGAAGTTTGTATGTGAATCAAATCAATCGAACCAAATCTGTCAATTCGGTCTATTTTTGTGAATTTATATAATTTCGGTTCGGTTCTAAATCTAACTGCTTAATTTTTATGTAATTGAATTGAACCAAATAATAAATTTGATTCAAACCAAACGAACCGACTAATTGAATCTCTCTTAGACATCTGACCGAACCAAATCGATATGAGTCGATTCGATTCTATCAGTAATTTTGCTTACCCCTATATGAATCCATACAAATACAGTTATGATAATATTTAAAAGCAGGATAAAGACACAATATTATATATTAATACTTTAATTATTAATTTAAATAAAAATAATTAAAATTGTTTATGAAACGAAAAAGAAGAAATTGTTCAAACCATTATTCAATTTCTTGAATAACGAAACTGCAAAATACATTGTATTGCAGCGCATCATAATTGAAAAACCTTTTGGCTCTTTGTTCAATTATTGCTTGTCAAGAAACATATTCTTCAATATCAAACAATAATATTTACGTAACAAAAGATGGTTTTCTCATCACATTTCTTTCATTTTAATAGATAAAATTTAGTAATATTACCCCAAATTAGGGTAAATTTATCAATATTGACTATATAATTGGCGACAGTAAATTTTTTTCCCATTTTTGATCTCAATTTTTTTATGGATAATTGAATATAAAAATGGGAAATTATAATCTATTCAATTATCGAAGCAAAATTGACAACTAATACTCACGAAAAAACAAACAATCCTTGACTTCATTTTGAGCCTCACCAGCTTTATCCTTCCATCTCTATCCTCAATGACTTTGACACAAGTAAGAGAGAGATAAAGAAAGAAAGAGAGTTACTTTTTGGTAAGGTAAAACCAAAAAAGGTCCTCAATATGACGAAAGAAAATGACACAGAAAATTGGACTATGTGCCAACCCCAGTATTGTTCCTCCACTATTGGAAATGAGAGAGAGAGAAACACACATGGTTTGTTCCGTCGGAGTGCGTAGGTAATTTCGTATGGGATAAATATAATTAATTAAAAGGATATATAATATAAAGATTGAATCAATCAAAATGGTTTAAATTATTTTGTATTAAAGATAAGTCTAACTCATTATAAATTTAATATTAAATATATAATTGAATTTGATTTGATTAATTTGCTCTTAAGGCCCAGATTCTCAATATGATATCAGAGCCTGAGACCCAAACTTGCATGAAGGAAGTTTCCATATTGGGTCGTACTCTGATTGACCCATGTGTTGGGCCATCGTATACTTGTCAAGTGGGTAGTCTCACTTGAGAGGGGGAATGTTGGAGTATGTGGGTAATCTTATATTGGATAAATACAATTAACTAAAAGGGCATACAACGTGAAGGGTGAACCAACCAAAATAGGTTTGGTCATTTTACGTTAAATATAAATTCAACTCGTTATAAACACAATATTAAATATATAATTGAATTTGATTTGATTAATTTGGTGTTAGCCAAGATTCTCAACATCTTCTCATAAGGCCTTGTGTTTCTTTTACATCGGTTCTTGCACTTTTAAAAGTAGAGTTTCAGAAAAAAAGGAAAAGATTCTCTTTTTTTTTCTTCTGGAGTTTTCTTAATTTGGTCATTTTCAAGATAAGAGATAAATTTGAGTTGATTGTTCGTATCAAAACTGGGTTTTCTTTGTTTTGAGAGAGAGAGAGAGAGAGAGAGAGCAAGAGAGCAGAGGTGAAGATGTTGGAAGGAAAAGCTTTGATAGAGGACACAGACATGCCTGTGAAGATGCAAATCCAAGCTATGGCTTCTGCTTCTCAAGCCTTAGATCTCTATGATGTCCTGGACTGTAAATCCATTGCTGCCCATATAAAAAAGGTACCATCTTTTTCTCAAATACACTCAAAAGTTGAAAAACAAGAAGAGATTTTTTTTATTAGTTTCTTACTGGCCATTGTTTAGATTATATTTACCCCTCTATACGTATCTATACACAGAGGTTTCTTTTTCTTTTGGCCTAGAACAAAAGAAAGGTTTATACTTTGTTACAAGACTAATAATTTCTTTTATTTTACTGGAATATACTAATTAAATTAATTACTGATAAAAGAAAATAAAAGAGAAAATGGGTTCTTATGCAATTTTTTTATTGAATTTTCTGCTATTCTATTTTGACAGGAGTTTGATATGAAATATGGAGGTGGATGGCAATGTGTGGTGGGTTCCAATTTTGGGTGTTTCTTTACTCATACTAAAGGGACTTTCATCTACTTCACATTGGAGACCCTCAACTTCCTTATCTTCAAAGGGACTTCTTCTCCTTCTACTACCCTAAGAGAAATTACTTGATCTATCAAGTAATTTCAGAGAACACGAAATAACTTCTATCCTTGAGAAATCGACCAGGTAAGTTCAGAGCAGAGCATGAAAAGTGACTCGATAGACTGGGGAGAGAGGTAGAAAAGAAGAGAACATAGATGACCACATGAAAATTCCTATGTATTTTCCAATGTGATTAGAAGCCTTGTAAATTTAATGGTTTTAAGGGCACTTGTTAATGTCCCTTATTGTATACTAGATGGTTGCTTCTAATTGTAATGGTTTCTCCATTCTCAGTTTTCTCGTTTCCCTTTATGCCTTTATTTTTATTCTTGGAAAATGTCACATTCAATGTACAGGACCCCAGGAATAAAAATAGTATCTGGCGTCATTTATGAAGATTCAAATGTATCATCATAAGACACTAATCTTTCCAAATTGAATCACTATCAATGCAATTATGAACTATATATAAAATAAAAGCAGGATGTAGATATGGCTGAAAATAGTAGCGTGTCCTTTCAAGGTTATCCTTACTAGAAAATAAATAGAGAGTTAATGCAAACAAGTAAAACAGTACTGATACACGGTATTTTCTACAAGCTCATCAATTTAGTGAAACTTCAATTATGGGGGTGGGAAGGTTCACTTCGATAAGACACCTTGCTAATCAGTATCGCATCATGAGAATAAGCTCAAATTTTATTAGATTTTAATGGTGGTGAAGAACAAGTAGCTACATGAGAAGAGTCTTGGCTTCCCCAAATTTCCTTGGAGGTTGCTACTAAAACCAAAAGAATATTGGAAAATTAGATTACTAAATAAGGCTAAATGCTTTCTCAAATTCCAAGCTAACAACTGAATGTTTTGTAATGATTTTTTTCTTCGACAAATTGATAGTGATAATAAAACTCATCAGATATCAATTGTACTTAAGTATACTTGACGACAGCATTTCAAAGCAATAGCTGAAGCAACTTTCCTCACATATAAAATCATATCACTGGAGTCGAGCGGGGCTTGTTGCTGAAAGTGTGCTCCCAAGTTTGCAATCACAAGGTCTGACGTTGCTTTGTTGGCCTCTTTAACTTCATTCCCCACCACAGGAGGTTGAATGACAACATTATTGAGGCCAAACAAGTATTCGGGAAATATTGGTTCGTTTCCATATATGTCAAGCACCACCTAGCCGGCCTTCAAACAGGTCCACCAAAATGTGTATCACATCCATTGTTGATAAGAACGCCGAGTAGTGACTTACAGTGCAGCAAAAAGATTCACTCTTTGCAATTGCTTAAGCCAGCAATTGCTTCAGCATAAGGTTCAGTAGAACCTCTAGCAATGTTGATGGAACTTATTTCCCAAATTAGATTGCTCTCAGAAATAACAAAGCCAACTGCTGAAAATTTGGAAAGCCTCATAATGATGGTGATATAATCAGTAGCACATAAGGATACAAAATGTCAGCATCTAGTTCAAGCCGCCAAATCAATCAACTCATGCACCTTCCTTCACATAATTATATAACAGGAGTCGAGAGTGGCTTGTTGCTGAAGTGCGCCTCCAGGTTTCTAATTACAAGGTCTGCCATTGCGTTGCTCGTTTCTATAGTGTCGCTTCCCACATGAGGCTGAAGGACAACATTGTGAAGGCTAAACAACTCTTCAGGAACATTAGGCTCATTCCCATATACATCAAGCCCAGCGCCGCGTAGCCTGCCTTCCAGAAGTGCAGACACCAGCTCATGTTCATCAACATGAGCACCTCTTCCAATGTTGATAAGAATCCCCTCTGGACCCAATGCGTCAACAACTTCGCGATTAATTATATGTCGAGTTTCCTGAGTCAAAGCACATGCCACAACAAGGATCTGGCAATTTTTTGCCAAGTCCAAAATATTTGAGAAGTACTTGTAACCTGTATGTGCCTTTTGAGTTCTGGAGTAGTAACTCACAGGGCAACTAAAAGCGTCAGCTCTCTTTGCAATTGCCGAACCAATCCTGCCCAACCCAACAATTCCGACTGATTTACCACTGAACTGAACAACAGAAAATAATTATTATAAATAAATTTGGAACTAGAAACCAGGTGATTTCAGTCTCAAGTCAAAACACCCAACGCAACCCATTTCAACAACCATTTAAGAAGGAAAAAGAAACAAAAACAAACCTTTGTTGCTAATTCAAAATCACCAGCTCTCCACTTTCCACGTCTCACATATCCATCACAAGCACAAATCCTCCTCAAAACTCCCAGTATCAATCCGATTGCGAGGTCAGCAACATCATCAGTCAACACGTCAGGTGTATTTGTAACTCTAATCCCCTTCTCTTCACACTTTCTCAAATCAATTTTATCTAGTCCGACACTGTAACTAGCCACAATCTCCAAATTTGGCAATGCATCAATCAGCTCAGCGTCTGCGCCAATTTTAGTGTTGCCCACAATTGCTTTGATTTTGTCTTGATTGGTTCTCAAGAACTCACCTTTTGAGTTACTTTGCCAGAGTTTGAAGAGCCTGAAGCGAGATTCTAGTTCTTGTTCGAGGTATGTGTACATTGGGCAGGTCATTAGGACTCCGATCGTCTCCATGTTTTAGTGGCTGTGTGTTTTTATGTGAAAAATTGAAATGTAAACGATACGAAAGAGAATTGAATTGGGAATTAGGGATTGGCATGTCTCTCTTTTTATACAGAATTTGATGAGCCCGTTAGAATTGTTTGGATTGGGGTTTTGGGGACCTTAGTGGCTGAGCTTAATTAGGTAAATTTGTTCTTTATTCAAAAATAAATTCATATATCAATCAGATTTATAGATGTGATTACTAATTAAAGAAATAAATCTCATTGTTTCGCATGAAATTAATTTGACAATAAATCTGTTAAAGAATGCTATTGACAAAAATTCTCATGTTTAATGTATTATGAACTAAATTTTTAAATTTTTAAAATTCATGGCTTTCTCCACATGTAATTTTATTAAAATAAATACATGTATAATTTTTTTTTTAAATCTTAATAGATTATTTCACATAATTAAAGAAATATATATAATTAACTCTATACTTTTTTTTCTTTTAAGAATTCATAATAAATCTTTACATATTTTTCATTTTCGTATCACAGACATCCTAACCTTTACAAGATTAATCAGTCCACCCTTAATTGACAATTTTTATACATATTCCATTGGACAAATTTGAAATAATTATTCAAACCACCCCCTTGCACATTGCTTCTTGCAGATGGTAAGCTTGTCAAATGAAGGGGAAAAAAAAAATACAGAAAAAAAGATGCAAACAACAATGTATTTAAGCAGCAAGAAGATAATCTTCAACATACAATTCAGAATCTCTGAGAATATTTTTCTTCCATTAAGGCATACCGTACTTGGCCAAAACAGGAAATAATGCTAGCTAGATTAACTGCACGTCACAAAAGCATAATGAAGGCTCCAGTCAATCTTGTATTCACAAATTTTTTATGTCAAAATCAAACCACTGGTGTTAACAAAGGTTTGTTCAAAAAGTGTGCTTCCAAGTTGCCAACAACAATATCAGCCATTTCTTTCCTCGTTTCCTCTGTGCCACTTCCTACATGAGGCAACAGGACTACATTCTCCAGCCCAAATAGCTGCTCGGGAACATTTGGCTCATCCTCGAACACATCAAGTCCAGCACCACCAAGCCTGCCTTCAAGTAGTGCAGACACCAGCTCAGGTTCATCAACATGAGGACCTCTACCAATGTTGATGAGGACACCCTTTTTACCTAATGCATTGATGACTTCACGGTTGACAATGTGGCGGGTTTCCTCAGTTAGTGCACACGCAACAACAAGGATTTGGCAGTTGGCAGCCAACTCAACAACACTTGGATAGTACTTGTATTTTACATCTCGCTTCTCTGTTCTAGCAAAGTAACTAATTGGACAGCTAAATGCTTCAGCTCTCTTGGCAATTGCCATGCCAATCCTACCCAACCCAATTATGCCAACTGACTTCCCAGTGAACTGAAAAAAAGGTAACAAATAATTCAGATAACCATCAAGAACCATAAACATATGAAATGAACCAATAAAACACCACCATTATAGTCTAATTTGGTTAAATTTTGTGCCTAAACAAAATTATAAGATGTGAACCGTTGAAACAATTTCTCACGTAGACTGAATTGTTATAGAATGCTAGAAAGTTAAAAGCTCAGAAAAATCTCGCATTCCCATATGTATCCAGTAAGTTGGAGTTAAGGTCTCACAGACAAGTCATAAAGCAACCAAGAGAAATAACAATTTATTATAGTAATAGTTTATTTTTTATATTAAAACATGCTGCACCTATGCTAAATAGAAATATAAGAGATACATGCAAAGCACAAAGAAATTTCACGGCTCCACATCCAAAATTAAGCAGCCAGCCTACGTCATATAAGGTTAATTAACTTCTGATTGCTCCACATAGATTTGCACTGCTGCTTTAAATAACTATCTGCACAACAAATCATTTACTTTCCAGTTTCCACTCAACTTTTGTTTCAAAGTCGAGTATCCAAAGGCATACTTGAAGCTGGAAGTTTAGAAATTTAGCTCTTTTAATTTTCAGCTATTCTAACATCACATGATATGCTCATTTATCATGTCTTACCCACATGCTACACGAAGATAGAATCAAGATAGACTTTTTATATTTAACTATGAATTCCCAGGATCAAGTATTTTAAGAATTTTTCATGGTCCTTTAAATGCTTTCAGGCATATGTTTTGTTTAAAATGCAAATAGAATATTAACCCACAGCATCAATGCTCCAATACTGAATTAAGCTGCCACGCCACTGCTTTCACAAACCAGGGATGTAAAAATCAACAAATCCCCAATAATGCAAATTGACAACAATAATTATAGAAATAAATAAATAAATAAATTGTTACAATTGTCAAATAAACTGAGCACACACCAACAAGCAACCAAACCTGTTTAAATGCTCTTGATAATAAACATATCAGCTAAAACAAAAATGAAAAGAACTACTTAGCGCAGCAAGAAGATTGAGATACAAACAACACAAAGCATAACTATTGGCTCACAGGTCAAGAAGTGGTTCATCAAATTATCATTGCTCGGAGGAAGAAAAATCACGTTCTCATGGGCTATGACTATATTTCAGATGCGGTCAATCAAAACAAGGTCTGATTTCTTTTGTTAAACTAATTTTCAAGTCCATTTCCTCACTAGCCTGGAAGAATACTGCAGTCACAACTTGCAAACTAATGGCATCAACTCCAAAAGTGACCATCAATGCCAATAGACACACAAGGGCCACCAACTAAAGCTCCACAATCTAGAACCACTAGAACCATTTGAGAAACATGAACCAATGTAATTCTCCATCCATATTACGAAAAGACAAAAATAAATTAGATGTGAGAAAGTATTAGTTTATCCGTTCAAAAAGACACAAACTACTAATTAGCCATCCCACAAGCCTACTTCCATAAGTGAATTTACTCTATCAGGCGGTCAATGCCAAAAATATTGCTCAAAGTCAAGAATGAATTCGAAATCCATCACATAACAAAATTCCTAATTTTTTTGAATCCTAACTGAATAATTTTCAGATACAACACAAACTTTTGGCCCCTAAACTAAATAAAAAATAAAGTTGTTTTACTTCCTATAAATTCCGCTCAATTGAGCATAGGGGTTCTGAATCATCACTAATCCCAATACATTGAGGCCAGTTTCTCACAATTTAAAAAAAAAAAAAAATGGAACACACGTCTGAATAACCCAGAAGTCAACAAAGCAAAGAAACGACCGCAAAATTGTAAAGCACAAACCTTAGTAGTCAACTTATAATCACCCTTTCTCCACTTCCCGCTCCTGACATACCGGTCACTCTCACACAACCTCCTTAACACAGCCAACATCAACCCTATAGCCAAATCGGCGACGTCATCAGTAAGAACATCAGGTGTATTTGTGACCCTTATCCCTTTCTCCCTACATTTGGGTAAATCGACTTTGTCGAGCCCCACACTGTAACTGGACACAATCTCCAGCTTCGGCAATTGGTCGATCAGTTCGGCATCGGCACCGAATCCGGCGTTACCCACGATGGCGCGGATCGAATTCTTATGGGAATTGATGAATTGGGTCTTGTCTGGGGCGTTTTGGAGTTTGAGGAGGGTGAAGCGCTTCTCGAGTTCTTCGACGAGGTAAGGATAGGTAGGCGGGCAGGTCATGAGAACACCGATCGACTCCATTTGGCTTCTTTGATGGATGGAGTCTGTGTCACCTGATAGTGAGAAATGAGGAGAGCGTTTTTGTACGAGTGGGGTTATGGAGCTGAGACTGAGACTGGGTTGTGGTTTTGCGTAGTTTTGGTTGGTCGGTTTGTGGCTTTCAGTAGCGAAGTGTGTGGTTCAGTGGTTGGTTTGGTTATATCACATATGAGTTTTGTTTGGATTTTATTGTTTGTTGTTTCATCTATGGACCGGTTCAGGACAGCAGAGGAAATTCAGTTTTGGGACGGCTAGTTGGAGTTGGACTTCCCAACATGTTATCAGTTTTAACGGTAAACGGACACGGAGACGTTATTTTATTCATAAAAATAAAATAATTAACTTTAATGGACCAGCTATTATAATTACCAATTGAATTAATACTGTCATTAGGATCAATATATAACCTTTTATAATAGAGCAATGCTAATGGCTCCAGTTGAGCCCCAGCTCAACAAGAATATTTAGTCATGCATTTACCTAATTGCCCTTTAAAAGCACTATAAACATTTCTTCTATCAAAATTCTAGTTGAGTCGATCTCAATTTGAGCCAAATATTTTTATTATTAAAATATCACCTTACCAACTACCAAATTCATTCATTCACCCTATTCTCTTTATGCAAAAAAAATTATATCACTCCTAATTCAATTTTTATTTTGATATATTCAACCCTCGAACTAATAAAATTATATTAATTAAATAATTTACTTTACATTATTTTTTTATTGAATAATCTAAACAATTAAAAATAAACAGATTATTATTCCATGTAGTAAACACAAATTACATATAAAAATCAAAAAACGCTAAAAAAAAATGAAAAATCATTGATAATATATAGAAGTGTTCAATATTATCAAAATTCATAGTTTTTAAGAATAAATTAAATCCCTGTAAAATTTGAAGTGTCGCATTATTTTTTTTCACGTAAATTATAATGTTAAATTTATGTATTTGGTTTATGATTAACAAATTATTAGACTAGTGGAGCTCCATATAAGGGTAAGAAAGTTAAAATCAAAATTTTCGGGAAGGTTTTAGCAAAATACCTCCCCAGCTCTAGCACAAAAATATACCTGAATACAAGTCTTTTCTTCGTTGGATCGAATCATAATTGGAAATGGAAACTAGAAAACAATATTGAAGAATCAACTTCTTAAAAAAAAAAAAAAAAAATTAAGAAACGATGCCCATCCATCTTATTTATTTCCCTTTCTAACAAAAACAGTGTTTTAAGTTTTCTTTTCTCCTAAAATCACAGAGGAAATCATTTGAGAAATGGAAAATCACATGCAAAAGTATATATTTAGACTTCCAATCTGAACCGTCCATTTGTTGACTTGATGTTTTGACGAAAAATATAGGAGATTTAATGAGAGAGACAGAAATGGCGATTGCACATATATGTGTGTCTTCCCGAGTTCTTTGCAAGGTTTGACCTTTCAAAATTAAAAAACAACCATTCAATTCTTGAAAAGAAAAACACAAACACAAACACAAATTAATCAAAAATCTTTCCCTGTTGTCTTGTTTATTTCCTCTTAATACACCTCATTTCCTCAAACATGCACCCCACGTTCTACCAACACTTTCAATATTCAACAATAACATCAAGATTAACACAAAAACGATAATTATTAATTAATCACAAGAGCAAAAAAAATTCATTTTGAAGTTGAAAAAAGACCAAGAAATGTATTGTTTTCAAGTTTAAACTGTTAGAATGTATTGGGTTATAGTTTCTGTTCTTTGTTCATACCTTTATGTAAGAACTATAATGGTTCGAGCTATTGAACAAGAGCAAGAAATTTAGCTCTTGAATAAGAGCAAGAAATTTGTCAGGTTAAATTGTTACATTTTAAAGGTATGAACGAAAATTCAGGACGTTCTAATGTCAAGGGTCTTAGCGCTGATGATGCTGCTAAACTTGAAGGTGGTCCTAAGTCAAAGGCTAATAATAAAGATGACGCAGGAATTACACTTCCAGAAGTTAAAAAGAATCCAGGCAAGTTTAGTTTTAAATTAAGTTAGCTGGGATTGATTAATTTGCTTATATATATCAAATCTTTTATTGGTTATGCTTTTCATTTTCTTTCTTGGGTTTTCATTAGAAATGGAGCAGATGAAGGAAAGGTTTGCTAAATTGCTTCTGGGAGAGGATATGTCTGGAGGAGGAAAGGGTGTTTCTTCTGCGTTAGCATTGTCAAATGCCATTACAAATCTTGCTGGTACGTGGATCTCTTTCTCCTTTTATAATATGGAAGTATTTAAATTTTTATCATTTTCCTTTTCTCGAATATTCTTCTTCTTCTTCTTCGTCTTCTTCATCCTCTTGAAACAATAATTGGGAACAAAAGATTTGTTTTTCTTGGAAAAAAAAAAAAAGTATTTACAGTTTATTACAAATCGTTTGTAGGTGATTTGACATTGGGATGGAAATTTTTTTTTTCCGAGAACAGCAATACCAAACATATCCTAAATAGTAATTTTCTTTTTTTTTTTTTTTAAGAAAACCAGGTTTCAACCTTGATGCCAATCGAGCTCTAGTATGCTGATAGCTTACATTGCTATTTCTTCTCTCTTTTGTAGCTTCTGTGTTTGGTGAACAATGGCGTCTAGAGCCCATGTCTGAAAAAAGGAAAGCAAGGTGGAGAAAAGAAATTGATTGGCTCTTGTGTGTGACTGATTACATTGTTGAATTTGTTGCTTCTCAGCAGAAAAACAAGGATGGGTCGTGTATGGAGGTAAAAGTCTCCCTAGATTCTGTTTCTTGAATTTATACATCTTTCTCCCTCACTCGCACGTAAACTTCTTGTCTTTATTTCTCCATTTCACAGATAATGGTGACACGACAACGGAATGACCTTCACATGAACATCCCTGCCTTGCGCAAGCTTGATGCAATGCTTATAGTAAGAAGACAAGATGTTTCATCTTCTTAGTTTGTTGAATGTGAATGATAATAAAATAAAAAAAAAAAAAATAATCTAATGGTATGGTAATGGCTTTGCAATATTCAGGGTTGCTTGGATAACTTCAAAGAACAAAATGAGTTCTATTATGTTTCAAGAGATGCACCAGACTCCGAAAAAGGCAACACCAAAAGAAAAGATGACAAATGGTGGCTTCCTACTGCTAAAGTTCCTGCAAATGGTCTATCAGAAGCATCAAGAAAATTTCTGCAGTATCAAAAAGATTGCGTAAACCAAGTGCTAAAAGCAGCCATGGCTATAAATGCAAATGTTCTAGCGGAAATGGAGATTCCTGAAAACTACATTGAATCCCTGCCAAAGGTAAATAAGGAAAACAGCAAAAATTCTCATCAACAGATCACTGATACAAGAGAATTGACCACATTTTAATCTTGCTTTTGTCAGAATGGAAGGGCAAGCCTTGGGGACTCGATTTATCGGTCTATTACTGTAGAATTCTTTGATCCAGATCAGTTTCTGTCCACCATGGACTTATCAACAGAACATAAAATCCTAGACCTAAAGAACAGAATTGAGGCTTCTATAGTGATCTGGAAGAGAAAGATGAACCAGAAAGATGGGAAATCTACTTGGGGTTCTGCTGTTAGTTTGGAGAAGAGAGAACAATTTGAAGAGCGAGCAGAAACTATCTTACTCATTCTCAAGCAGAGGTTCCCTGGAATTCCTCAATCTTCACTAGACATTAGCAAAATTCAATACAACCGGGTAAGGATTTGTCCCTTTCACCGTGAATCTCTGAAGCATTAATACTTCAATTGTAGACCTATATATCTATGTCCGATACTTCACATATTAAGTACTAATACTTTTCTTCCATCAGTGTGACTGAGAACTATTCTGCTAATAAATTCTATAAATGCTTATGAAATTGGAACTTCTTCTTGGTAAACAGGATATAGGGCATGCAATCTTAGAAAGCTATTCAAGAATTCTAGAAAGCTTGGCCTACACAGTTCTGTCTCGAATCGAGGATGTTCTTTATGCTGATTATGTTACTAGAAATCCATCATATGCTGGACAGAAGAGGAACCCTTTAAAAGAGACACCTCAAGAACCTTTAAAAGACGAGTTGTCAAGGAAATCGTCAGAGGGTTCAATGACACTGTTGGATTTTATGGGTTGGAACTTGGAATTGAATGAAGGGATAAAGAAGGAATCATCTGGAAATTCAGATGAGATGATTAAAGAAGAAATAAAGCTAACAGAAAAAATTGCCAACATAGTGACTATGAAGAAATCTTCCTACCTTGACAACTTAGGAGGCGTAAAAAGCCCAACCGCCCGTCACTAAGATAACAACAATAAGAGGAGGAAAGAAAAGAAAAGATAGAAGATATAAACAAAAGAGTGACAAACCAGCCTGCATTGACATAAGAATTTTGGTTGTTTTTTTTTTTTTTTTTTCTCTAAGATAACAACCCAATAAGGAGAGGAAAGAAAAGAAAATAGAAGATATGAACAAAGAGTTGACAAACCAGCCTGCCATTGACATGAGAATTTTCGGTTGTTTTTTTTTATTTTTTTCTTCTAGTTGAGTTTTTTTTGAATTTTGGTTTTTTTTTTTTTTTTTTTCTTCTAGTTGAGTTTTTTTTCACTTTTATTCTTAGTCCTTCCTTTTGTAAACAGGGGAAGAGAAGACACAAGGGTAAAAACCATTGTATTTGAAGTATTTCTATACATTCTTTCATTTGTACATGAAATGCAAATGTAGTAGCATCTTAGAGTTTAATGTCATTTTGATCGAGTTCAAAATAGACTTTAATGTCATTTTGAACAGAATTCTTTTTCTTTGTCTCTTAAATTGATTCTCTTCCTTCTGAAAATAGGGAAGAAAGAATATGAGAGTAAAAACTGTTATAATATTTGAAGCATTTGATTTATTATTTCATTTGTACAAAAAATGTTCTGGAAAGTCTATTTGATATCTATTGTTTGAGCTACTATTGCAAAACACTATTTTGATCAATTTCAGTCTATAGCAGCATTAACACAATGCACAGAATGGCTGTATAACTAGAGAATGGCCAAGTTCACACACTGGAAACAAATATTTCTTGAATTAATAACACTAAGTAGGCTTCAGAACTTACAAAGTAAAAAGATACATACTATGAAAAAGATAGAAGATTATCAGGAGTAAGTAAATTAGATCTTGCCACGTGGCCCCTTCTTTGGTGGAAGTTGTGGGCCCTTCTTGATTGGTAAAACGTCACCAGAAGCTGTAGCACTCAGGTAAGCTAAGGTGGAGCCACCTCCTAAGATCAAGAACTTGAGTAACAAACCCCTCTTGGTGAATGGAGCTGCAAATGTCTCAAAGAACTTGCTCTGCAATTTCATTGACAAAATGCAACGTATAAGTTACAAGAAAATACATAATGGCAAACAATAAATGGCTCCCAAATTATAGACATTTACGAAAAATGTATTATTATTAGCCTAATCTGCAATTATAAACTCAATGTCTAGAGTCATGTTGGAAAATCAAAAATGAAAGTTGATTTTTTTTTTTTTTTTAACTATTTGTTGTTACAAGCTATCATTCGCTATGTTGCATCTAACCATCACAACATGCACCAGCTGCCAAAAGTTTTCTTTACACTTTACAACAACTTTAAATCTTGAAACTTATCAAATTATTTATGCCCTCTACAAATTTTCTTCCCAATCCTGTTCATGTTTTATGCACATCCTTCACCTGGAACCAAATCATTTATGAACATTTTACAAGACCAAACCATGAACAATTTACAATTTAAGCTCATAATATTATTAGCTTCCATAGCTCAGTTGGTTAGAGCACCCGTTTAGTAAGCGGGAGGTCTTGAGTTCAACCCTCAATGAAAGCAATTTATTTATAATTATATTTTTTTAATACATTTTTTCTACCTTAGACGAATTACCTCTCTCAATGAAAGCAAATTTTTTTTTTTCAATTTCTAATTACATTTTTCTACCTTAAACAAATTACCTGCAGTGGGTTGTATGGAGATGGAGCATCTGATCCGTACAAGTCCCATTGGCCAGTAGTGTTACCCAAATCCTCCAAATCAAAGTATACACTCTTATCACCATACTTAGCCACAACAGCACCATTCCTATCAAAGAAAAACAAATTTTGTCAAACACTTGAACATTTCTCAATGGAAAAAAAAAGTTAGTACCTTATGTTTTTGGGTCTCAAGCTTTGGCGAGAAGGCTTGACATGGAGCTTTGTTCCTGAGAGGGAGCTGCCACCAAGGCCCTTAACGGTGGCTGGCTGCACAGAACCAAAGGTTGCTAGAGAAGCCATGCCTTAGATTTTCTTTTGGTTCCTCGCAAACTTGTGTGCTGTGTCCTTAAGTTTCCAGTTAGAGAGAGAGAGATGCAAAGGAGTTGGGGGTTTTTGATCTTTTGCGTGGATCTTAGCTGGACACGTGGCATAATGGGTTTGCTTGAGAGAGATTTGAAGAGTTATTTGTGTGGTGCCATGTGGTTGCAGATGGATAAGCCTATCCATTTTATGATTTCCTACTAAATTAAACCCATCAACTAGGTTACCCTTTTTTTTTTTTTTTTTTTTTTTTTCATCAACTAGGCGTTACCCTTTTTTTTTTTTTTTTTTTTTTATTTTGCATTGCATTTTTTTTTTTTTTTTTTTTTTTTTTGCATTGCATTGCATCAAAGGAGAATCCAAAATTGTAGAGTTAATTACAGTCATAGATTGCTCCGACATTGATTTATTTGCATAAATAAATACTAAAAAAAGTGAAATTAGAAAAAGAAGCCATAAATGAAGCCCATAATGATCTACACTCAATGAGCTAAAATTGTCTTCATGGCCGAGGGTAGAAAGCCCAAAAGGCCTAGCTCCTTTCTCAAAGTCTACAGTCCAAGCCTCCATTATAATTTGGTGGGCTGGAGCGCAGGGTACTATGAAATCTAACCTAAACAAAAAAGAAAATCAGAGAAAAGGATTCACCCTAGAATATAAATTCATGTTCTTTAAAAAATATGTCTGAATATTTTGTATAATTTCCTTATATGTAATTCCATATAAGAAAAATATAATATTTATTAATTAAAAAGAGTTTAGATAACTGATAAAGCCTCCCCCACTTCCCCTCTTATCCCTGAAGTCCCAAACTTCAGAGAGAGAAAACAGTGCCACTAACAATGTCTCTCACATCCTCTTTCAATTCTCTTACTCTTTCATCCCCTTTCCTCCATGGCACAACCCCCATTTCTCACTTGTCAAAGCCCACTTCTGTTTTTTCCTTGCAACCCCAGAAACCCTTCACTTCTGTCCCTCCAATCAGAGCCATGAGGTCAATGCAAGGCAAAGTGGTTTGTGCTACAAATGACAAAACAGTCTCGGTTGAGGTAACCCGGTTGGCTGCACATCCAATATACAAGGGAAGGATTAGAAAGAAGAAGAAGTTCCAGGCTCATGACCCAGAGAACCAGTTCAAAGTTGGGGACATTGTTCAACTCGAAAAAAGCAGACCCATTAGCAAGACTAAGGCTTTTATTGCTATTCCAGTACCTGCTAGGAATAAGAAGGAAAATAAAGAGAATCAAGAAGTGAAGGTGCCTCAGGAGCTCGGAATTCCTTTGGAGTCTCAACAGCCAGCTTAATTTGAGGTTTATGGTTATGTAATTGTGCTTCTTTTGTGAATTTTGTGATGTATTTTGATTTCTGGCACTAATGTTATTTGGTTTTTAGTGTAATTTAATGCTCTTAAAATTGAATTTTTAAATATGATTGTTCTAGTTTTATTATCAATTTACTTTTTTTTTTGGGGGGGAAATTAACATAAACAGGTTCGCTTATTGTCTGTGAGTTGGCTGAGTATTTGTATATAGGAGGAGCATATGAGTTATTTTGGGGTTAGAGTCTTAACAGGAGAAGAGGGTTGATCTTAATTTTCTTGGTTGCTTATTTGCAAATTGCAATTGATTTGAATGTAGTTAGCTGTTTTGGATTTTGTGGTGATACCTTAGTTGAATTGTTGTGTAATGCATGTAAAATGATTCATACCAGTCTTATGATACTGCTTTTAAATTTGTGTTGATTGTGAAGTTGGGTTATGCTATTTCAGAGGTATCAATTGGGTAAAAATAATATCTGACCAATCAGGAAAAGAAAAAAATGTTCCTACTGCATTTGCTCATTTGTCTGAATTGGATTTGGTTGATACCATTACATTATTGTTCATAAATAACTGTTGGTGCTTTGGTTTTATGGCTATATATATTTTCTAGTTATACAGATGAACTTGCTGCAAGAGCAACATTCGGAAAATGAATGGGGTTTCTTGTTGCACATTCTATTTCATTTTTTCTAAAATCTATTGATTATATCTAAAAATCTATTGATTATATATATATATATATATATATATTATATAATTATATAATATATATATATATACAGTAACATCAGCATTATATATATACAGTAACATCAGCATTATTGTGTCTGAATGCAATCATATTTGATGAATTTCTGATTATGATGCTGAGTAGTCTTAATCTTGGGCTGGAATCATGAGATGAAATTACTAATATGCTTACTAAGATATTAACAGGGCATAGGTTTGATATGGAGAACTGAATATAGATAGAAGCTATATGAAATGGCTTGAAAGTTACACCATTGCATGTGTTGGCAATGATCATCAGTTTAACGCGTTTTTTTTCTTTTCATCCTCTGAATTTGGTTCCTGTGATCAGTGAAGATTTTCATGCTGCAATTGATTCCCATTGATTCCAAGAAGCAGCAGGATTAGTGTATGACTGTATTTTGATAGCCACGCTCAGTGGTATTTTTTATATGCCACTGAGATTGAATGTTTTGAGTTGTGCATCATTTTTTTTTTATGGAAATCGTTGATCAGTAAGAACTGAGTTTGGTCAAAGCTGCTGCTTCTCTTGGCTCTGGTGATGAGTGTGAAGGTAATTAAATAGTGATTATCTGTATAACTGAATTTCTTTGAATGGGGTATTTTTAATTGCTATGTAAAGGCTAGGGTATTTTGAAGGAGTAGCTATTTGAGAATTGGAAAAGGAAATAATCAAAGTAGCTAGTTAATTTTAGCAAAGATAAAATCGAGAGTGACAAAGTGATGCATGTCAGCAAAAGAAGGTAACTTTGTGGTTGTAAATCAGAGCAGCTTTTGTCTCATGCAGGAAGATGAGAATAGGTTGAAACTTGAAACTTCAGGGGTATGTCCAATTGAACGAATAAATCACATGATGAAGAAGATGATAACTGTTTAGAACTCATGGGAATCTAAGGACTTTTGTATCTTTAGCCAAGGACAAGCTACATATATGGATGACGTGTTGATATCAGGGAATGTTTTGGTTAACCTTAATCTTATGTCTGTGTTAAAGGTCAGGAAGCCTGTTAAGTGGTTGATGGAAATCTGAATGACAATTGTACATCAATGTTATGCATTTTTCAATTTCTGAATTTTAAATGACTATCAATACAAATAAAATTTTACATGATATACATGTTTCATGCTTCTTTTGGCAGTGATTGATTGCCTAAATGAATGTACACTGCTTTATGCAGTGTTTTTATGCTGCTATCTTTCAATATTAAAGATTCTCAACTAGTGTCCCTTATGGTTTGTCCTGAGAATCTGCACCTACCATCATCTGAATGTGTTGCAACATGATTACTCCAAGCTTGTCTGTTTTGTGACTTATGCATAATTACTTTATGGATAGATTCTTAGCATTAGAGTGAATATTGATAACAAATGATGCATATACACTACCCCAACTAGTTTGAGTTTTTGTTGCTATAAGATCACAAGTCGTGGTGATTTAGAAATGATTTTACTTTTTCTCATGATATGTCAGTCAAGTTTATTCATTCGAGAATGAAATTGCTTTGAATTTTTTGGGATTGCTTTTCATAACCATTGTGGTCTGATACTCTGCTTGAATCGTTTCAGATGGTGAACTTTGATAAGGTGGCAATTGAAACACCCACAAAATGGCATCTGATAAATATTAGTTATATACATGAAGATATTTCACTCTCCTAGATCTATAAAATTTGTAAAACACACCCCCCTCACACTCTAGAATACCAAACCAGAGAGATGCACTGGGCTCCAAAGCCCCCCACTCAACCACAAACAAAAAAAAAAAAAAAAAAAAAAAAAAAAAAAAAAAAAAAAAAAAAAAAAAAAAAAAAAAAAAAAAAAAAAAAAAAAAAAAAAAAAAAAAAGCAATCCCATATAAAACCATCCCTCTATGAGAATTAAAATTTGGAGGGAATAAAGATTAAAAGAAAAACCCACCTAGAAACCTATAAGTTTTACAATTAATTTGTGTCGTTCTAACTATCAAAGCTAAATCTGATCAACTATCTTCACACTGCAAGCTTGTCTTAATATTTCGCAATGTGCAGGATATAAGCGTGTTAACAGACTCCACAGATTCCATAGTTAGTTTTGCTGTGGGGGATGTATTAGTTAAGATTTGGAACGCCATTGTCAACAAAGATCCCCCTTCTGTGCCCTTTTCTTCTTGCCTGGAAGTGATCACTAGGGGTCTTGATTCGAGTCCATCAGGCAGAATTGAAAATCCTGAGGGTAATACAGCTATATTGCTTGAATCACATCCAGTAATCACAGATTGCATTCCACTTATATCCACAGCTGCATACACTACCATCGATTCGTAAGCATTTGTGCAGCTATCTTGTAATATCCACATTGTATTTTCTTTTGATTTCATTGTCTGCGATTGAAAAGTTTAAACTCATGAATAAAGAGAGAGAAATAAATTTAACTCCAAACAGAAATAGAAGAACAAACTCACTTGTATAGCTACTGCGTTGCCTCGATCCTGCCCTTTCGCCAAATTTGCAATGGATTGTACTGTACCTCCATTTGACATTATATCCCACTGAAACAAAAACCAAAATATTTTATTAGATCAAGCAACTCTGCTGAATTGCAGTATATTTTATCTAAAGCAATCATATGTTTTAATATATACCTCATTTCTGCGTGCATCATCTCGTAAGAAATCGAAAAGGACATGAGGAGAGACAGGCAACCATACAGAAGAAACAGCACATAAAATCACTCCCAAGGGTTCACCAGGATCATTTAAATTCTTTCTGGAAGAAACCCTAATGTCTTCTCCTGTTTTGCTTGTGACTTTGTTCCATGTATGGTAGCTTGATGCTCCGATTGCGCGACAAAAGCTCCATGTCATTCTTTGTGCCAGTTTCAGAATACTTTTCCTCCCAGCTAGAGTTGCAACCCCTATTTTTCAAAAACGGTAATAGTTGGAATTAGAAGTTCCTAAAAATGGAAATCAACAGGGAAATTGCAGAGAATATTAGTATACCAGTTGAATCTTTTGTAGGAACATTGGTTGCCATGAAGAAAACAATTCTTTCACATTGAAGCTGCAGTGTTGCCATCCAATGCCTTGCACCAAAAGCTAGACCACTATTGACAATGGTACGGTACATTGTATGAACTGTGCTTTTCTGGCATTCTAAGTGTTCTACCCAGGTCACCTGAAAGATTTAAATCCATCAACTTCAAATATCTTAAAAATACAATCTTTATATTATTAATTTCCAAATAAATTCCCCCCCCCCCCCCCCCCCCCCCCCCAAACAAAATCTAAACAAAAATCTTATAAACCAAAAAAAAAATCACAAATTATATGTACAAATTGTCAATTTTAAGACATTAATAAACATGTACAAACTATCTAGGATAAGTATAAGGATTTGAAACACATTGAAATACTTAAACTTTGTCCATTTCTGATTTTGAGGCTCAAGGTGCATTTTTCTATTTGAAAATGGACAGAAGATATCAATAATGTGAAACCAAATTATCAATCTTGATTCTTGAGGGGATTGAAAATTGAAACTAGATTTGATAAAAAGGGAGACAAAAGAAAACAAATAGAAGCAGCCAAAAGTATTTGTTTGCAAAAGACAAAAAATGGTACTATTGAAATGGTTTCAAGCAATAGTGAGAAAGAAACAAAAGAGAATTAATTAGTTGCGGCAAATGAAGTGCAAACATTTTTGAAAAATCTGCAACCATGATTCTTGTTGTCTCTCTACAAGAAGAAAAAACAAAAAAAATACCTAAACACTTGAAATTGTATAATTGAGTTTCAACATGACATTTCACCCAACTTCCGATTGAGATTAAAAAAAAAAAAAAAAATGTTTAAAAAAAAAAAAAAAAAAATGTTGGTACAGAAGACCAAAGTACCTTTGCAATGGCCATTTTGATTCCCCAAATGGCAGCATTTAAAAAAAAAAAAAAAAATGTGTGTACAGAAGACAAAGTACCTTGCAATGGCCATTTGATTTGTCCTCAATTATGCAGCCAGAAGGCCTTTTTCTGCACTTGACAAGTGACGCATCAATATTGTCTTCAACTTTGTCAACAGAAACATCAACAATTGCCCATTGCTCCGCACTAAGTTGCTTGCAATATCTAACAAAATATATTTCTCTGGTAGCCACCATTGGAGTCAGCATCTGCACCTCTGCAAACATCTGCAACAGAAAGTTAAAAAAAAAAAAAATTACCAATCAATTTTTATTCAAAACCCAATTAACCAAAAAAAGACGATTTAAAAAATTAAAAAAAAAAGTGGTCCACACCAGTCTCTTTCTTTCTGTAGATATGATTATTATGTAAGTTTTCAAGCAAAAAGTATTTGTATTTATCAAAAAGTTTAAGACTTTAAGGGAAATGGGTCATCCCAATTATTATTTGCAGCGTAAATTTTTGCGTGGTAGTTGCTTCTTTTATGCTAAAAAAATCCCACTTCAATCAAGTGCTCATGATTTTGTCTTCACAAAAATTGATGTTGATTTCCTGTTTATGAATTCTTTTCTTAAATAAACATATTTATATGTGTAATAATTAACGAGACTCACCAATTGCACTGCCCCATTTCTATTTGGACCTTCCCCATTTGAGATAACATCAACTGTGGCTGCCTTAGAGATCAAGCATGGGAACATTTCCTTCCATTGATTCTACAGTAAACAAATTAAGATAATTTAGATAATTAAAGTGCATTATTAATACTTACAATAATTTTTATATCTCTTACCACATCGATGAAACTCTGAACTAATCTTGGAAGATCAACGAACACTACTCCAGTCTCTCTAGATGCTTCAATGGATCTTTTTGGTCTCCCATTACTTTGATTTTCACCTCCAAATTCTTTCATGTACTCGTCATAATTAAGAATTTCGCGACCGGTCTCCACACTCCTAATCCATAATGGTTCTCCAGCAGTAGCCATTTTTCTAAGCTCTTCCATTGCTTGATTAACAATTTCCATGATTCTTGACTTCTCAAGCCCAAAGATTCCAGTGTAAAAATCTAACGAACTTCTATTTTCTTGCTCACTTCCGGCCGAGCATGAAGGTGCTGCCCCTGGAGGATATTTTCCTAATGCTGTTCGAAGCTTTTCAACCTATATACACATATTTATGTATGCATGTAATTAATTAACATTTTTTCTAATTATTGCATCAAAATAATCTTGAAAATCAATTATTACAATTATTAATTCTAACCTCGACTTTAAGTTTCGCATTTTCGATACGTAATTGTTGTTCCTCAGTTGTTAAGGCAGTGTCTCTGCTGGTGGTAGCCATCCCACAATTAGGGCAACAAGCCTTATTAATTGTCTCCCTCATTGCCTTATTTTCCTCTCTGAGTTTCTCCATTTCTGTCTTCAATAAAGAGTTCTCATGTCTCTCTTGTATTGCCTGCAGCAATACGATAGTCATGCTATTATTATTTTGTATATATATAATAAAAATATACGGTAAATTTATTATTGGGATTACGACTTAATTAGTTATTATTGTTACAGAAAAATAAGAACATATTAGTAAGAATTACTCGACCTTAATTTGAGTTCTGCGATTTTGGAACCAAAACTTGACTTGTCTAGGAGCAAGACCTAGCTGTTTGCTCAATTGTTGTCGTTGTTTTTCATCTGGATGTGGAGATTCTTTAAATAGCCTGCAAATCAGTGCAAAATTATAATAATTAATCACATAAATATGGAAAATGATAAAAGTAATACTAGCATAGGCCACATTTTAATGACCCTAATTTGGAATATTCCATATGAAAAGAAATGCCTTTCTGTGTGTTCTTTTGTGGGTTAATTGATGGCAATAGACTTGTAAAACAAAGGAAAAAGATACTTTACAACGTAATTCTGAGTCATCTTTTTTAATTACTTTATCATAGTAATTATGTAATCTTTAGGACTAGGAGTTCATAGTAAAAATATGAAGTACGTAGAGGTAGACATAAAAATAAAGTATTCTTATTAAGTACATCGTACTTGCTAAAGTATGTATTTAATATATATATAGTCTTAATTATTAAAATCTCGAAGTTGATAATTATAATTATCATGCATAGTTAATTATTAAATAATTAACTATAGTTTATTATTAATCTTAAAGAAAACAGGCCATGCACACACCTAATAATAGCTCATGTATTGCACCTATAATTCCAAACTAACTGCAGCTATAATAAATTATTATATGTAGCAAAGAAATATATATTTTTTTTTTTTTGAAAATAAAGTGAGAAATTAAGAGAACTCATACGCTTCCATTTCTCTAATTTGCTCAGCAGTATGTCTATGATATTTCTTTCTCTTCTTTTTCTTGTTCTTATCATCACCACCACCATCTTCATCATCATGTTCTCCTTCGCCTTCAAAGTCATCATCTGATCTTGATCTCATTAACCCCGAGTTTTCGCTACTAATTTCAACAGTTTCTTCTCTTCTTTCTTTTTCTCCTTCTCCTCCTCCGCCTCCGCTTCCTTCATCTCCTTCCTCCACCTCCATCGCTCGACCTTCCGCCAAGGGTGCATTATTCGCTCCCCTGAATATTCCCGCCTTCAAATAACAATTGAACAAATAATTATTAACTATGTATAAAGAAAAAGAAGCAGTGAAGATGGTATAGTAAAGAAAAAACAAAAACAATAATAAAGAATAAAAATGAAGGAGAGAAATGATGATATTACAAGACTGAGAGAGAGAGCAGGAGAAGCAAAGAAATCTTTGGTATGAGAAGAAGGTGGATTAGACATGTCAACTCCCATGGCAAAGAGAGGGCTTTCTCCTTGGGGTGATGAAATGGTTGTTTTAAGGAGGAAGTAAACAACAATGGAGATAGAAAGAGAGAGAGAGAGAGAGAGAGAGAAAGAGAAAGTGGGGTCTTATTGAATTAAGGATATAAAACAAAAAATCAAGTTAGTGTTTGAGAAAGAAAGAAAAAGGGCTGGTAGGAGTTGACTGTTAGATATTCTTTGAGTGAAAATGTGAGGACCCAACTAACTCTAAGCAGTTGAATCTACTCTTTCCAACGGTATTTCCAGCTGGCTAGCTCCCTTTATTTCCTATTGCTATATATGGCTTTTCAGCTTATTGGCTCCACCCAATAAATATATTTATTAATAAATATAATTTCTTTTCAATTTTTATATTAGTGTAATATTCTCCCATTTTTAGCAATAGCCTTTATTTTTTTTACTAAAAAATCACAAGTTTCATGTAATATATAATCATGCATTGTCTCTTTGATATAAGAAAGTTTCAAAATTTATACACAGACGAATTATAATGATATTAATAATAAGATTTTTATTGGAAAAAATTATTAAACCATTATATTTACTTATTAAGGATATCAACAACGCAGAGTCAGAGTCAGGAATCAAAATTAAGAAGCAAAAAAAATTTTCAAAAATTTTGAGATCAAATAAAAATAATAATTTTTTTCAAGGAAAAAAATTTAAAAAGAAAAAATTTTCTGATTTAAAAAAAAATAAATAAAAAAAGAGGTAGGAGCTTTAGATATTAGAATCATAATCTAATATTGATGACCTTTCTTTAGTCATCAATTAAATTAATTGAATTTCGAGTGATGAAATTTATGTATTTTATTATTTATCAAATTTCTGTATTTATTGATAAAAAATAGTTTGGTTATGATCCATGTATTAATAAATTCTATCATAATTCCAAAGGTAAAATTTATTTATCAAATTCTACCATTTTTTTTACTAATAATGAAATTTAAATTACTTAATTCTATTCCAAAAATATCTCTTCAACAAATTAAATCTATAGATTTTATTTTCTAACTAAAAATAATAAATATAAAATTCCGTATATTTCCATAAAATTTATGAAATCATGAACCTCACATTTTTATATCCTTACCTTAATACTTTTGTTGGCAACTTTGCCAAGTTCTTTTCTAATTCCCATTCTTAGATAGCCCAATGGCCTCTCCTTTCCTTATATTAATGGCTAAGAATATATTTTTGTCAAAAAATAAAAGAATAGAGAGACTTTAAATCCATGAAAAGATAATGAAATTATATTTATCATTGCCTTTACTCTCTTTCAAATGAATGGTTCATATGTATATATATGTATGTATGTTCTTTTAATTTATGACCATACAAAAAATAAAGATAATGCATTATTACTTTGTTAATTATAATTAACTTGTTTTTTTTTTTCTTGGTATATTATTTAGAAAATAATAATTAAATTATGGTCATTATTAATTCAATTAATTATCTCCATCTTTCTTCCAAGAACATAAATATATTAGTATGAAAAATTTATTAAAGTAAGTTGGTGAAGAGTTAGGTATATATATGCATTTTCATCTCCCACACGTTTTGCATAACTCTCTTGATTAACAATTATTCATTGCATGTGGCTTTTATTTACTCCATTTCTAAAATTATTGGGCAATTTCACATTATAAAATTTCAAACTAATTTGTCAAAATTAATCTTACTCATAAGATTTTTTTTTTTTTGAAATTTTATATAATTAATATACATGAAAAATATATATAATTTATTTATTTAAAAATTGTAAAACATTCATCATCATTTATTATTAAAATTTATATATGATTTTGTTGCTTTCTATTATCTATTGATTTTTTTTTCAATAAATTAATTATTTTTTCAATTTAAAATTTTAAATAAAAATGTACTCTAAGATATTTTTTATTTTTTTAGGAAATGAGATATTTCTTATATAAATTGTTAAACTAGATATTTTTAATTGAATTTAAAAATTTCTTAATAAGAAAATTGTTGAATATTTTTTTTCTACAATTAGAAGAAAGAGATTGGAATATAATTTTGTTGTTAGGTCGTAATCCTGTATGCATTTATTATTAACTTATAGTTAATTTTTTATAAAAAAATTATTGAGTAAAAACATATATATTTGAACATGAAAACTTTTCTTAAAACAAATAAAAAACATATAATGTTCCTCTATTAGATTTCTATTTTTAATTTTTTTTTTTGGATCTTTTTAATTTTACATTTACATTGAAAGTTGATTTATTTTAATATCAATAAATGATCAATAAACATCTATGATTTATTTTTTTAATAATTTTAATTATATGATTAATTATTTAATATCTTTAATTATTTTGACATTAATATATTTGAGGAAAAAAAAATTTTCTTTATCAAGAGAGCTGACTCTGGACTCTATATGTATAAAAAAAGAGAAACACAAACAAATAATTAAAAATAATTCATATATTTGATTAAAAGTCGAAAACTACTTTTCCTCATTACAACTATGAAACAACTAATGGTCATAAATATATCTTAAACAAATCAAATTGAATTTAGTTTCAAATAAATTATTGAAGGTGTACATCAAAAAATTTAAACATATGCAACAATCCAATGACTATAATTTCTTTTAATTTTAATATCAATTATACTTTTCCCACGTTTTTGTTTACTATACAAATAATTTTTAGAAAAAGCATATCAATCTTCTTTAAAGAAAAATAATTATACATTTCAAATAATAATACTAAAACCAAAAATATTCCATCAATAATTATTTTATATATATATCAAAAAAATATCTCAATAATAATAGACATTATTAATAATTTTACTGCAACAATTTTTATTTTTTTGAGAAAGTTAAAAATCTGGTCTCTTATTATTTCCATATCTTTATTTATTTATTTATTTATTTACAAGAGGTGTTATCTTCTTTTTTTTTTTTTTCTTTTTGTATGAAAGGAAAGGAAAGCGGCTTGGATTAGCCGAGCCGTTTTACTGGAAGCAGCCAAGTGGAGGCTAAAGTCATAGAAAAAGATAGGGTCACAGCTAACTTGCACGGTAATATGTGAAGGTGGGGGTTATCCACTTATATTGTACTATGTGTCTTGATGTCATTTAAAAGGATTCAATTAATGAATTTGGCTCCAAGCTTTTGAAATTGGATAAGATAAGTCAAAATGACAAAATTCTTGATTCTATTATCTTAATTACACTTCACTTATGATAATAACACATTTTACATATTATTATTCTACAACCACTCCCATCACTTAATTAGAGAAAGTAAAGGCTTTTTTTTTTTTTTTAATTCACCAACAAATTTTCCCCAATTATTTTTTAATTGCTAATTTTTCAATTTACCTAACTGTAACATCCCAGGCTCTACCGAGATATTGTCCGCTTTGGGCCCCAGGCCCGCACGGTTTTGTTCCTGGGCCAGGGAACCACCTCCTAGCCCAAAACGAAGGCTTTTTTTTTTTTTAATTCACCAAAAATTTTCCCCAATTAATTTTTAATTGCTAATTTTTCAATTTACCTACTGTAAACATCCCAGGCTCTACGAGATATTGTCCGGCTTGGGCCCCAGGGCCCGCCACGGTTTGTTCCTGGGCCAGGGAACCACCTCCTAGCCCAAAAAACGCGTCTCGGAGAACTCAAGGGCCTGCTACTTCCTTATGTACAGTACTTCACCTTTGTGCTTAGCCGATGTGGGATTTCGCCTAAGGGCAGTCCCTGACATACACCCCCCCTTAGGGACCACGTCTCCCGGGGGGGGGATGAGTTTTGACCCCACCACCAGCCATTAGGACAAGGCTTGCCTCTGGATTACCCAAGTTTGTAACATTCCCAGGCTCTTACCGAGATTATTGTCCGCTTTTTGGGCCCCCAGGCCCGCTACGGTTTTGCTTCCTGGGCCAGGGAACCACCTCCTAGCCCAAAACGGCGTCTCCGGGAACTCAAGCCTGCTACTCCTTTATGTACAGTACTTCCACCTTGTGCTTAGCCGATGTGGTGATTTCGCCCTAAAGGTGCAGTCCCTGGGACACTAAACCCTAAATTATTTTCTTGTTTAACAAATTTTATTAACATGAGCACCTATTGAGTCTCGGGAACTCAAGGCCTGCTACTCCTTATGTACAGTACTTCCACCTTGTGCTTAGCCGATGTGGGATTTCGCCTAAGGTGCAGTCCCTGACACTAACCCTAAATTATTTCTTGTTAACATTTATTAACATGAGCACTATTGAAAGTGAGTAAACCAAACATATCTTTTCTTTTTAAATGAGTTGTTAATCATAGCTAATTAACTTAAGTTGGAGAAGAAAATTCATTTGTGCCTTACAAAGTAATTTAAAAAAAAAAAAATTGATGAAATACCTAATTAGATTGCTAATTGGGATGGAGACACAGAAACTTCATTTTCCACTTGCCATTAATGGTCTTTAGGTATAAGATTTAAAATTTAACAGAATAAAAAATTTATTAGCCATTAAACCCTTAATTATATTGGGGAGATGAGGAGCCATATATATTATTTAACACAAAAAAAAAAAAAGTTAATTATTTTATTTTTGTGATCTAAGTAAAGGTCCAATAATTTTTCGGCTTGGCTTTGGTAAAGATATAATTTTTAGGGTTTTGACTAGCAAGTGTTAAAGTTTCATTCTTCAACTTACAGTTTTCAAAACTAACTCATGAGAGAGTGTTTTGTTGGGTGGCAAGAACAATAGTGGAGGTCTTTTTTCCCTTCCTCTTCTTTCTTTTATCTTGTGCCCATTTATTTATTTTATTTTATTTTATTTGAGAGGGATTTTTTTAATTTTTAATATAACAATGAAGTTGTAAAGCTAATTTTTTTTTTCCAAACTAATGGAATCTTCCCTTTTAATTAAAATAAATTAAGCTTATTTTCCCCCATCAAGACCAAAACATCTTGATCATAGTTAATGCTCCAGACAAGAGGGGGAAAAAAAATCTCATATAAGCCATTATTAGCCATCACCTTGTATAATTAAAGTTTTGGTGCTATACATGTTATGATTGAGTTGATCTGATCTGCAATTCAAACAACATCACAGTAAGTTTTTTTCCTTTCCATTGTTTTATTATTTCATATTCCCAATTACTGTTATGTGCTTTGTTAGTTAGGAATGGTAGCTGATATGAAGCAATCACATGATGCAGGAAAAATCTAATAAAAAAAAAAAGAAATAAAATATATTAATTGATTTGGAGTTCCTTTTGGATTTCTCTCTCTGCTTTATCTTTTTTTTTTTTTTCTTCTTCTTCTTCCATTCCATACAACTATTTTTTCATAAAGTTTCTTATAAGGCAAGTCGAGGATCCAAATCTTTGAAATGAAAAAGAGTCTTGAAAATCAAAAGGGATAGAGGAAAATGTGGAAATTTTGTCATAATTATTGAGAAAGAGAATTCAGAATTATGATGTGATTATTAGGAAGTTACAAGGAAAGAGGAGAAAAAGTTTAGTATAGAAAAGAAAAGATTACAGTACTAAAGTATCAGCTATTTCAATTATACAGAATGGTGTCCATAGAAAGTTAACTAAAAGAACTTGTAATCTATGAAGAAAAGGCTCCTCCATTTAAAGGATAAGTCAAAAAGTGATATGAATATACAAAATGTAGATAATGCAAGACTAATCAAAATATTATTTATGAGATTAACAATTGGTTTCCTGCTTTTCTTTTTCATTCAGCTCATTATCCATTTAATCATTCTTATTTTTTTCATCTTATTACTAAAAATATATTCTAATTCTGTCCCTAGCTCAAATAATTAAGTGTTTGCTTACAAAAGCAAATCACATTCAAAAGATTATAAACACTTAAGATATAATATTCACAGTTTGCTTGCATATTGTGATATCAGTGATATGCATGCATGCAGACAATTATATGTTTCACAAATACAAACTACAAATAGCATGTGTAAAGAATAAAGACAGATGGTAGACTTAATATATATAATACTTGTTGTGAATAGATCATGTATATAACTTTGCATATTAACAAGTTCTAATTTAAATTTCTTGATCACCATTATAATCCATATAATAGCTAGGCTACACAAATATATGTTGTTCTAGTAAATTCCTGCATCAACATCATCTTAATTATAATATTATATCAAAACAAAAGTTTCAAATTTACTGCTTTCTTTTTTTTTTAGTTAGGCTTCTGCTGGACTTTGAACTCACAATCTCACAGCAGTAAATATGACTGCAATACCATTGAACCAAAGCTCATTGGTTCTCTCTTTTCGACTCTCATATCTTTCCATGTCCTAGAACTTATGGATTTTGAATATTACCATATGTCTAACAAGAACTTTGCCTCTGTAAACACACAATATGATAAAAGCCTTCCAATATAGTAATTTGCATAAGCTAAGACTAATAAAATGACATTTAATTAGAATTTTCCAATTAAACTAGCCTGAAATTTTAACACGACACGAAATCTCATTAGACCCACTAAATGCAGAAAGAACACCTTTGTAGGGATGCTGTCGCGTTGGGAAAGTAGTCAAATAAGGGTGCCTTGACAGGCTGTTACGACACCATTAGCAGGAATCACGAAAAATCCTGCATTATAAAAGGGTTCTAATCCACATTGGGGAAGTGGTTCTAATCTTTATCCAACTTTGAGAGGCAGTTAGATGTTGAAGAGTAGATGTTGGAAGTCAGGTAAATAGCTACCACCACATGATGCCATGCAATATTGAGTATATCATAACAAAATGGAACAAAAGCTGATAAGATTTAATATAATAGATTTCTTACAAAGAGCCTTGATGTGTATCTGTACAATTTTATGTCACTCGTCCATGAATGCCCATTGCTTAACATTAGGTCACACAAGTTTCAAGATGAAAACGGATTGACCACCTCTTCCTCTCCTTGTTTTGATTGTAATTGAACTAATAAAAAAAATTTAGTTCTCTCCCTCTTCAACCCTCTTCGCAAAGGACTCGTTAGTTGAAAAGCAAAAACGTGACCTAATGAAAAAGAAATAAAGCACAAGCATGCACAAACTATAGCAACTGCAGATAAATGACCGAGTGAGATTGAGTAAATTCTGATTGTCACTTCTTTTCTATCCTATCATCAACTAAAAAGCTTACATCATGGAGTTAATTCTGTGAAGAATTGTTTTCTTTTTGTGTTTGAACCCTTAAATCTCTTTAAGCCTTAGCTACCCAGTTTTTATATCAAAGTAATCATTCCTTCCGACTTGAATCTCCCTATCAAATTCATCCAGAAATTCATTAGTTGAAATCACAAGAAGAGATTTTTAAAGCAAGCAACCTGCATCAGGAATTCTCCAAATTTAACACAATCAAGTATGGCTGGAGCTCTTAATTTCAAAGCAGTTAGACATTAGACCAAAACTATGTTATAATAAATAGACTAAGTAATAATACAATTAAAGAATTCATTAGCACTAAATTCCAACAATCTCTATTGAGTAGTTCAATTTTGTAACCAGGCCTGAAAAAATAACTACCAGTCCAAAACTAACTCAAGTATGCCTTCCCTACATCTCCAGCTTATGTTGTTGCTTTTATGAAGCTTAAAAGTAAAGCCAACTGGATTCTTTCAAGATAAAGTCATCGCAAGAACATGGATACACAATTGTCGGTGTTTATGATGACCGATTCTCTATAATCATATCCAGTGATCTTATCTGAACAAGGAATGACCCAGCCGATATTCAGCTTCAGAAAAAGCGAAAGATGTCTAACAAAAGTAGGGTGCAGCATAGACAAATAAAGAAAGTGTTACTAGAGATCTATGGATGAAATATGATATATCTAGGTTGTCACAAAAACCACAATGGTCAATGCAACTCATGCATCAATTTTAGACAAATAATCAACAAGCACGAAACAAATTTACATAGTTTTGCACTCACTGAATAGTGACTATTAAAGCAATTGCGACATGATTTGACACAACAAGTAATGAAGAAAATTCTGGAACCCATCCTTTCATCAATGGCATCCATGTATAGGATGCAAAACATACATTTTATGTTATTATGGGATTGGATAGCACAAAATTCAAGTCAGAAACTAGCACTGAGTCGGAAGTGTATTAAAGCATAAAGAATGGTTTGTACTTTGGAAATGTTCTTTGTCAACAATGTTCCGTTGGATATTTGCATAAATTTCTAAATATTAATAAAGAAGTATGACATAGAACGGTTACGTAAATGAGAATAAACGATTATACTCCACCAGGAGTTTTGATCAATGTCTTTTGATCTGATGAATAAAATAGATAATTAAGTTCTCAAAGAGGATTAAGTTCTCAAAGAGGTTTATTGATATGAACAATGATAAAAGATAATGAATATGTTCATAATACAAAATAACATATTTATAGGTTTAGGCTTAAACATTAAAAACCTAAAAATAACACAAGAAAACGTAACTAGACAAAACCCTAGTAAGGATGGTGGCACGGGCGTGCTAGAGGTGACACGGCTGTGCTGGAACTCTCAGAGGCTAGCACGGGGCGGGCTTGGCATGACACGGGCGTGCCGGAACTCGAATTGTAACTAGACTCGATGGCACGGGCGTGCTTGTCATGGCACGGGCGTGCTAGGACTTCCAGAGGCTAGCACGGTCAGGCTATCTGTGGCACGGGTGTGCCTGAATTTCTTGGTCTTGGGCATGCCTCGCGTCCTGGACTTCCAGAGTCTGGCACGGGCATGCTAGAGGTGGCACGGCCGTGCATCTTTTTCCTTGGTTTGCATCGATCCAAGTCTTCCAAATATTGAAGTGCAAGTTGCTCCGCATCAAAGTATCATTAACTTTAGTTGGCAGCTTAACAGCCCCATAACATTTGAGAAATGCACTTTAAGTAAATACAACTTTATTTCCACAAAAATGCACTCTGCACAAAAAGAACTAATGTAATAGATATTTTTGGTGTTGACAAGTTTATTTGAAGAAATTGTTCAAGAGTATGCTCTAGTGCAACAGGCTTCATGAATTGCAAGCCCTAGGATGGATGAGATGCATGTGGCCGTCACCCTGGATTAAGGTGTCCTTAAGAAAATATTATTACAGGATTAATCCCAATGCCTACAAGATCCACGATAACAAAGTGGAGGTTAGTTATTTCCCAATATCTATACAAGTTACAATAGGGAATGCACAAAAGGAACATAATGTCTAACAAATAAAACCCTGGAATAAGGTAGCAAGACACAAAATTCTAACTAAAAACTGGCAACCTTAACAAGTACAGACTAGAGGACTGAAAATTTAATGTGGAAAAATATTTTCTTCTGTTTGATTCATCAATAGGGACAAATATATATACACATACAAGATACTATAAACTTATTAGGAATCTAACTCCTAACAGAGTTCTATTCACAACTAATCCTTAACACTCCCCCTCAAGTTGGAGCATAGATGTTAATCATGCCCAGTTACAAAGATAGTTAACCCGACGTCCATTTAGAACTTTCGTAAAAATATTTCCTAACTGTTCACTTGTTTTAACGTGCTCTGTAGAGATAACAACCTGTTGTACTTTTCACGAATGAAATGACAATCAATCTCGATATGTTTTGTCATGCCAGTTACAAAGATAGTTTAACCGACGTCCATTTAGCAACTTTCGTAAAAAATATTTCCTAACTGTTCACTTGTTTTAACGTGCTCTGTTAGAGATAACAACCTGTTGTACTTTTCACGAATGAAATGACAATCATCTCGATATGTTTTTTTGTTCGTTTTTTCCCAAAAAGCGAATACTAGGATTTGATCCAATGTTGAAGAGCCAGCTTAATTTATCACACTATAACTTGCCAGGCCAATGATGACTTTGAAGCCAATTTCCTCTAATTAACTAAGCCAATTTCCTCTAATAACTGACGAATCAAAATTAATTCACAAGCAGATTGTGCCATAGCTCGATATTCTGATTCAGCACTCGATCGTGAGACTATATTTTGTTTCTTGGTCCTCCACGATATTAAGTTTCCATCCACAAAGACACAATATCCTAAAGTTGATCTTCCATCAACCTTCGAACCTACCCAATCTGCATTTGAAAAACACTCAATGTCCAAATGCCCATGATTACTGCAAAGGAGACCACGACCTGGATTACCTTGCAAGTAGCACAAAATCTGTCCTAAAGCTTCCTAATGGATAACAGTGGGAGAAGACATAAACTAGCTTAAGACGCTCACAGAGTAAGCAATATCTGGATGTGTTACTGTAAAGTAATTCAGTTTGCCCAATAACCTTCTATACATCTCAGGATCATCAAATAGCTCACCACCAATTGAAAGTTGCAAATTAGGAGTCATTGGAGCACTGCATGGCTTGACACCCAACTTTCCATTGGAGTACTGCATGGCTTGGCACCCAACTTTCCAGTTTCCTTTAGTAAGTCAAGGACATACTTCCTTTGAGATAAGAAGATGCCTCTCTTACACCTAGATGCTTCTATACCCAAAAAATACTTCAACAATCCTAAGTCTTTTGTCTAGAACTGAGTCTAGAGGAATGACTTGAGTGATGTAATTCCTACAAAATCACTCCCTGTAATAACAATGTCATCAACATAAACCACAAGTAGAATCAAACCAGTGTTAGTACTTCTGAAAAATACAGAATGATCAAGAAGTACTCTTCTGCATGCCAAATTGGTGAACCACATTGCAAAATCTACCAAACCAAGCTCGAGGACTCTGTTTTAGGCCATAAAGAGATTTTAAAGAGATTTCGAAAGTTTACACACTTTACCTGACTCCCCCTGAGCAACAAAGTACCACATTGCAAAATCTACTAAACCAAGCTCGAGGACTCTGTTTTAGGCCATAAAGAGATTTCGAAGTTTACACACTTTACCTGACTCCCCCTGAGCAACAAAGTCTGGTGGTAGCTCCATGTTAACTTCCTCCTGAAGATCCCCATAAAGAAGGGCATTCTTAACGTCCAGCTGATGTAAAGGCCAGTCAAAAGTAGTTGCTAAAGAAATAAATAAATGAACAGAAGACAATTTGACGACAGGAGCAAAAGTATCAGAATATCAAGGCCACAAATCTAAGAATAGCTCTTAGTAACTAATCGAGCCTTGAGACGAGTAACAGACTTATCAGGATTCACTTTAACGGTAAAAACCCACTTACAACCAATAGCTTTCTTACCTACTGGGAGAGGCACAAGATCCCAAGTACCATTAGCATCTAAGGCAGTCATCTCCTCTCTCATTGCTGCACACCAACCAAGATGGGACAAAGGTTGGGCAATAGTGTTAGGGGTAGAGACAGAGTCTAGGTTACTTACAAAAACACTTCTATTCCAAATGAAAGTCCCTAAACATTTTTGGGCTAACACTGTCTCTACTGCATGTTATTTACTCCTAGAATGGTCACCAACACTGACAGCCACCACATGCAGGGAATCCAGTGATCGGATTTTGAGGGAACACCAGAATTTTCTATGCAAATGGGAAAAATCAAGTTTAAAGAGCCACAAGCTATGATACCATGTAAATTTAATGTAGAAAAATATTTTCTTCTGTTTGATTCATTAATAGGGACACATATATATACACATACAATATATTATAAACCTATTAGGAATCTAACTCCTAACAGAGTTCTATTTACAACTAATCCTTAACAAGGACAAAGGAAAGAATGATCTTCAAAGATAGTGACCACCAGTGTAAAAGAGCAAAGATGTAAAAGTTTGTGATAAAATCCTTCTTCTACTATAAAATGTAATTTCTCACAAAAATGCTAAATATAGGGGGAGATCTTTGTACATGGGAGGTATAAAGAAGAAACCATACCAGGATTAATTATTTTATCAACAAGACACTCGGGGATCCTATTGTGGGTTTCTATAAACTGTAAATGCACCAAGCAAAGGTAAATGCTCCTACGTGCAATTCTCCAATTCCCTAGTTGTTGTGCTTTTCTTTTTGAAAAGAAAAAATAATTGAAAATGGAAAGACATTTTAATGGAATGATAGAGGTCTGATCTGAAGGACCACATAATGAAGGAGGAAGGGCCTCCCTCTTCAATAGAATGATTCTTTTGCTAGGAACCAGCGTACTTGAGATAGAGTGCCAAGCCATGTATATCCCACTCTTGCTAGTCAGAAGTGGTTAAATTCCATAGTTTTGGTATATGTAAAGAACAATCTTCTGGAGGAGTTAAATTGTGAAGTGGAAGATAAATAATCATTTAAACTAGTTGTTTCCTTTCTCCTTTTTCTCCCTACATCAGATTATAGTTGATTTTCTAAATTCTCTTCTGCTGGCAATTGACAACATTTGCCTAATTCTCTGCTGTTGGACTCCTGTATCTGTTCACAAAGACCATCACCATCATTTAAATCCTCCAGAGCAAGCCTTGACTAATATTTATGGATGTGTAGTCTGCTAGATAAATTGTGCAAACAAGCTTAGGGAGAAATCTATTTCATCAATAGAGTAGGACTGAGGTATGTGAGTTGTAACCAACTTTAAGTAAGGCATAATAAATAAATGTAATTTTAGGTTTTAAAAAAGATTTTAAACAATGCTTTTTCTTTCTTTTACTCACCCAAATTTCAAACCCTATTGAAAGAATAACAAAGAACTGTTCAGTCCATATATTAAGCAATTAATTAAAAAAAGCATCGAGATAACTGCAAAGCATATCACAAAAACAGAAACATCCAATTCAAATGAAATTTACTACAAGAAAATAAGAAAAGAGATTCATAAAAATTCACAATAACTACACAAAATCCTCTTTGTCAAACTATCAGCAATCAAATCAAGATACAAAGCATTAACTAATAGATTAAAAAAAATGCTCACCGACATGATGCTAATCTGATTCTGCTGTTGTGTAAAACACGTTGCATTCTTCATCCAAATCCCCAAAATCAGGATGCCAGTTTATCCTTACAGGACTCACAAATTTGTCTCTTTAGGCCTTTAAGGACTCCTGCATTTCAGTTGAAATCTATTTAGAGTCACCCTCAAGAACAACGATCAACTTTATTAAAAGAAACCAAAAGTTTATATTCATAAAATCATCCAAAATTCACATTTTTCATTGTCTTGGGTCAATTACAATAATGAAGCAATATTATTAAAACTGAAAGCAACCTAATACAATCCATTGCTTTATATCACTAAAAGTTTCCATCTTTCATTTAATGTGAGAGCCAAACAGAATCAGTATCTCTCACCTTAATAATGACACGGGTCCGTTTGTTTAGTACGAAAAAATGTAGGAGGAGAAGATTCAAATCAGAATTTTTAATCCAGCCCTCTGGGTTGCGAAGATAACAAAAACTTATGCAAATTAATAGCGAAATATTTTGAATTCTCTGCAATTCTGGGAGTTGAGGGTTTGCGGACGTTAGTTTGAAGAGTAGTAGCTATTAGCTAAGCTGCAGGGATGGCGAAACAAATCCGTTCACCAACTTACAAAAATTTTGGAGATAAAACGCAGCGTTGCAGGATTTGGTAATATGGAATGGGCCTTTATTGGACTTGGTTGCCATCTCCTCTTGATGTCCAAGCACAACTGTAGAAGTAGGGCACGTTAACTGGGCTCAGGCCATGAAATATTGGGTTAGAAGGTTAACGCTTTTCCCTTGTTTAAGCGCATAAGAATGTCCTCCCTGTCGTCCACAAACGACAAGGAAAGTCTTTCCTGCCGTTTTAATGAGAGGAAATGTTTTTCGTCCTTTGTAGAGGGCCGGACTTGTCGTCGAGAAATACGGTCACTTCACTTGTTACTTTCTATACACCCAGCCACACTTGAAAAATCCTATTCTGAGGTTAGTAGTCGCTCTCGCACCATCCTGGCCAGAGAGACCGAACATTTCTGTGGTGTTCATATCTCAGTCGCTCCCTCTCTTTGTCTCCGCAATCAAAGAGGTAAAAAATGTGCCAATCCCAGTTTTGTTTTGTAAAAAGCAATTTACCAGTGCTTCTCATAATTTGATCTTTTCTACTACTTTGTTTATTCAAATATATTTTATTTCAGGTGGAGATGGCTTCCATTGTTGCAAACTTACCGCCTACAGTCTTGGTGATCCCAAGTAGAAGCACCCTTTTTAGTACTCGTCAAAAGCTTCGCGTTTCTCCCATTAGAGGTAAGCCTTATAGCTTCTAAAGATTCTAACATGGCTGTTATTCTACTTTTAACTTCAGGAACTCTATGGTTTGGTTCAACCGTTCTTGTCTATCTATAATAGTTTTAGAACGTTATTTTATTGGAAAATTTGATTTTTGAAGCTCTGTTGCTCTTGGTGGATAGTGCAAGAAAAACTGATATCTAGAAATTAAGTGTTAGGGTGAGCTGAGAGTTGGTTGAATGAGCAGGATAAAAACAAACCGCCTGCTCTTGCCCTTTGATGTCAGGATGAGTCCATCTTAAAGCAATTTAGAATTCTATATTTTAATTCTGAAATTGGTTATGTTTTAGCTAAATTCTATGGAAATTGATAGAATTTGCAAATGAATCTGAACATAATAAGGGTATAAGTTAATAGCTAAAATGATTCCATATTTACAATCCAATTCAAACAAGTGAATCCATTTGACGAACATTTGGTTTTTTAATGAAATTCATCTACACTTAGTGTAGGCAAGAATCAAATGAATGCTTCATTAAATCTACACCCTGCGAGCTAATGGAATTTGTCCACGAGTTATGAATTACGGTCTTCATGTTAAATTTAGGGTAATTTCCATAAGTTAGGAGTCCAGACATTGTTGTTGTGGTATTGAAAGCTTGGGTTTGTGATTGAGAATTCATAATGGAATAAATTTGCAGAAGTCGGTTTGTCATGCAAGGAACCTGGGTTACATTCCTCTTTCTTTGCTTATACTCTCTTTTCTTTTCTCCTAAAGACTTGACAATCTCGCATTGCAGAGAGACAAAGTTGTGCAGCTGTTGTTGTGAAGGCTGCTGGAGAAAGCTCTGAGTCATCTACCTCCCTCAGCATTGTTAAGTCTGTACAGAATGTTGTGAGTCTCCTTTATAAACTTTCTTTTCTGTTGTGTTCTTTGTCAGTTTAACTGTTTCTAGCCCCTTTTATAATCATTTCTTCTTATATTTGTAGTTTCTACTAACAAGCAAAGATGAAATTGTATTCATGTTGCTGACTACAAACAATATACTTGTTTTTAAGATTCACAGATGCTTTTATTATAGTTGTTATAATTATGAATATATATAAACTTTAATGCCCATGTAGCATTTAACTGTTTCTGATATATCTTTGATTGATTGAAAACAGTGGGATAAACCTGAAGATCGGGTGGCTCTTATTGGTTTGGGGTTTGCAGCTATAGTAGGTCTATGGGCATCAGCAAATCTTGTATCGGTAAGTACTTTCACTCATTCCTTTGAATATTATAAGATAATAATATTAGCAAAATGGATATACTGGAGACGTCTTGAACCAAAAATTAATTAATCATGCAATTAAATGAGTATGGTGGAAACAGCCTGCTTGCTATTGTTAATCGGTCTGTTCAAGCTCCAGGATCAGTTCTGGCTATTGCGAAATGAATCAAGTTTCTCTTGCATAACCGGCCATCTTTTTGGATTTACCACATTTATACAGAAGGCAACTTTTGTGCTGATTGGATGGCCAAGTTTGCTTCATCTCTTCCATTAGGTTCTCATATTTTTTATGATCCTCCTTCTGGCATTCCTTTAATGTTGCATGTTAGGGACATTGCTTATTCCAGATTCTGTTCTAGTTAGTTTGGTTTCTTTTCTCTTGTATTTACCAAAAAAAAGAAAAATGAGTATGGTGGAAATTGATGATAAAAAGATTAAATGGACCTGCATACAAGTATTAATTATTATTATTATTATAATACATCCATAATCCACCAGCCTTTTCCTTTTCTATTCTCCTACTTATGTAAGGAGTTAAGCATCTATCTTTTTCTAATCAAGGGAATGCAAGGCTCTATATACTCCCAATTTGCTTATGCCTTCTAATCGAGTCTAAAACCAAATTAAAGTTTAGATATTTTTCATGAAGATGTCTATATAGTTACAGGAAAAAAGATCTGGAAATTAAGTTTAAAGTTTAAACCATGAGAGGGGTGATTTTACTTATTTTAGTTATATTTATAGTAGAGATCTCCGAATAATATATTACCACCCTCCCAATCAGCACAGAGCAATACATATGCCAATGCACACTCTACTTATCGTTCTACTGCCTTTGCCATAACAATAAATCTGATAGTTTTATTTTGCATATTTTAATTGGTATTAACAGGCTGTTGACAAGTTGCCGGTCATCCCAAGTGCATTAGAACTAATTGGCATCCTGTACTCTTCGGTGAGTTCATATATCCACCAACTATTCCTGATAATGTGAGATGAAAAGAAGCAAAACTGGCAACAGCATAAACAGACCTTATGTTTGACAGAATTTAAGCTTCATTTACTACCTTATCTTTTTTTTTTTTTTTTTTTTTGGTGAGTTCATATATCCACCAACTATTCCTGATAATGTGAGATGAAAAGAAGCAAAACTGGCAAAACAGCATAAACAGCCTTATGTTTGACAGAAATTTAAGCTTCATTTACTACCTATCTTTTTTTTTTTTTTTTTTTTCTCTCTCGGTTTGGTTGCTTTACATTTTATTTGATTCTACTGCAATTTGTATTTTCTTTATTTGCTGGACTAATTACAAAACTTCTGTATTATTTTCAGTGGTTTTGTTTTTTTTTTTTTTTTTTTTTTTCTCTCTCGGTTGGTTGCTTTACAAGTTATTATGATCTCTACTGCATTTGTATTTTCTTTATTTGCTGGCACTAATACAAACTTCTGTATTCATTTCAGTGGTTTGTATACCGGTACCTCCTATTCAAACCCGACCGGTACGTAAAGTTCCAGAAACCTTTTGTTTTGTTTACCAAGTTAATTTAAAATGTTTTAATAGCGCATGATCCTCATATGGAATCCTTATTTTTCCAGTAACTGAACTTTTTAATTGTTACTCATTTTTGCCTACAGGGAAGAGTTAGTCCAGATCATCAACAAAACAATATCTGATGTATTGGGCCAGTGAATAATGCTTCCTAATGCAGTCTGTAGTGTAATTTCAGATCATGGATCTTTTCTATGTTAATGCGTCAGATGCATCTGTATTAGTATATAGAAGCTATGAACATTTGATTTAAGTATTTTAATTGGTGGATACAAGTTTTTGATAAATCAAATGAAATCCCAAGTTCCTTTTTTTTTTTTTTTTTTTTATTATTTTCACTCCGTGCTACTCTTCAATTGTTTAGATTATGTGAATTCGGTTAATTGAAAGACTGAGCCTTACCATAAGCCATCAGAGGTAATTCTTATATAGTAGTCAGTCCCAAGTATTTTAAGTATCTCCGTTTACAAAATAATTACGTCATAATTACACTATTTAGTTTCTACGAAATAACTTGGATGACTTACAGACTCGAACAAATCATCACCCACGAGCTACCCTCTTTTATATTGGGCATTATTCAATGAACTTCACTTTTGGCCCAGTAGGAAAAATTTAATACTAGTATTGGTGGGGCGCGCCAGGCCCTTGCAGCAGTTCAACGCATGGGCGACGCTCGAAGACCCCAGTAGCAAGCCACTGGAATGGGCCCTCCCCTAAAAAAATTAATTTAATATCATGTGGACCAATGGCCCACGTATCAGATATTAAACTGATAAGAACAGATACTACACTTGATCTTAGCCAAAAGGCCGAGAAAGGTATGCTTAATTCTGTGTCTCGTCTTCCATTTTGTTACCCTCCTCAGCTTGGCCATTTCAGATTATTTTTCGATGTGGGTTTTAGCATAACAGTTCACATCAAAATCTATTAGTGCATGAGATATATGATAATGCCAGGCTTTGGCTTATGGTTTGCTGAGAAATAGAATAATAACGGCGGCGACAAGGAGTATGTAATAAGTTAATTTCATATTTCTACCGAAAACTTCACCTGAATTAGGGATCTATAGATGAAATGACCAGCCATATTGATTTAGTTTTTATTGCTTGCCAAATTTATTTAATGAAACAGAGCTATCTGTTAACCAATGTGAAGATATCTTTTTAGCTAATTATGAAAACCCAACAAGGTGCTAGTTCAACACCATTAAGAACTAGATGTATTACGAGAAGGAAGAGGCATAGGAAAGTAATAGGAAGTTAAAAAGAAACTGATTTAATTTGAAAGGGTTGTTTTATATAGAAACATATGGAGAAGCCAACTCCCTCAGTTTTCAGTAGTTCTATGCAGAAGTATAATAAAGTTTATGTCAAGGCCTTTCTTATTACAACTATATCAGTTTAATGTGTTATTTCAATTGGGTATTATATATGTATATTCGCGTCACACATATTTACTAGTACACAAATAAAATAGCATATCGGTGCAGGGTTCGATCAAACTGTATCAGTGCAGTATACCCCTATAGGACATTCATCAAAGCATTTAACTCAGTTTGTTGGTTGGCTCTATAAAGAGCTAACCTTCAAAAATTAGCGTATGCCACTATTAGAGGCAAGCACACGGTATTCTTTAGTAAAAGGCGAAAGAATAGTTCGCTTTGTGCTTACCACATGGCTCCGTTGGTATTAAAGATGGAATTGCTTTCAACTATATAGGCAGGTTTCAGTCAAGGTTGTTAAGTTCTAACCAATGTGGGATTGAATTATTTCTATGAAAAGAATAAGACTGTACCACATTCTAATTAAAATGCCAAGGATATGATGCCTGCATGCATTATCTATATGCTACTATAGAATGCTTTTTGGCTCCCGATCGTCGCTGGTAACTATTCTCGTAAAAGAAAACATCACTTAGATTGGTTGTTAAAAAATTATATGAAAGAAATGAAAGTTAATAATTTCATTTGGATGACATTGTTTCTCAATAGATTTTAAATTTAAGTATATCAATCCTCTAAATTCAATCTCAGTTATTAAATAATAGAAATGAATATTTAAAAGTCTATGCAGGCTAATATCTTCTAATTAAATTAAAGCCTAATTACTCCAATGAACTTCCTTTAGAAAAGAAATCCACAAACAATAAATATAAATACTCTTAGGGAATACTATAAAATGAACTAAACATCCGAAACATTTGCTAACATAATTAAATGTTTAAAACTTAAAATTGCAGGGCTTCTCCCAAAACGGGAGCCCTTCCAGAAATTTTCGAAGGCCAAAGTTCAACCAACCCAGGCCCAAGCTCACCGTATTTGGGGCTCCTAGGAAAAGTTTTTTAACTAGCTTTGGTGGGGCGCGCCAGGCCCTTGCAGTAGTGCAACGCATGGGCGACGCTCGAGGACCCCAGTAGCAAGCTACTGGAATGGGCCCCCCCTAAAAAAATTAATTTAATATCATGTGGACCAATGGTCCACGTATCAGATATTAAACTGATAAGAACAGATACTACACTTGATCTTAGCCAAAAGGCCGAGAAAGGTATGCCTTCTTTGTTGTTGAGTTTCTTTATTTATAATAGTCGTTCCCTTTGTTCTCTTTGTTTTCTTACGATGTGGGATCTGAAGGCAGTAACCACATGCAACCGTCCGCGGCTGCAAGCTTAAGTTAAAATATGCTATGGCCAAAACGTTATTATTTGGCTCAATAATTGGCAAGTACTCAAATGAGTCCTTGCTTTCAAACAAGACTGAAACGACCTTTACTATGTCATCTGAAAACCCGATTTTCAATTCATTTAATGCACATCTCAACCACTGTTAAACCCAAAGCAAAATCACAAAATATCGTTTCTTTTTCATTTTCTTCCAATCAAACACCTTCATACTATGCACTCTTTCTCCAATGTTGCCTCAACCAAAAGGCTCTAGTCCCTGGAAAACAGCTCCATGCTTGCTTATGCCATCTGGGTCTTGGATTTGATGAATTTTTAGCGACTAAATTAGTCAATCTTTATTGCATTTGCAATTGTTTACGTGAAGCACACCTGTTGTTTGATAAAATTCCTAAAAGAAATTTGTTTCTCTGGAATATATTGATCCAGGGATATGCGTGGTATGGTCCCCACGGAGTTGCAATTGAGCTTTATTATAGAATGTTTGATTATGGTTTAGTGCCTGATAACTTTACTTTCCCTTTTGTTCTAAAAGCGTGTTCAACGGTTTCAGCTATTGAGGATGGGAGAAAGATTCATGGACAGGTAATAAGAAGTGGATGGGAAGGGGATGTGTTTGTAGGTGCAGCTTTAATTGACATGTATGCAAAATGTGGTCTTGTGGATAATGCACGTGAAGTTTTTGACAAGATTGCTGTAAGAGATGTTGTTTTGTGGAATTCTATGCTTGCTGCGTATTCTCAAAATGATAAACCAGATAAGTCAATTTCTTTGTGTAGTGAAATGGTGTTGTCAGGTTTGAGGCCAAGTGAAGCCACTCTTGTGACTGTCATATCAGCTTCAGCTGCTATTGGACTCCTTCCTCAAGGTAAGGAGCTTCATGGGTTTGCATGGAGATGGAGGTTTGAGTCAAATGATAAGGTGAAAACAACATTATTGGATATGTATGCAAAGTGTGGTTCATTGAAGGTGGCCCATAATTTGTTCGACCAACTGAAAGAGAAAAGGGTTGTATCTTGGAATGCAATGATTACTGGGTACGCAATGCATGGTCGTACAAATGAGGCGCTGGAATTGTTTGATAAAATGAGGGAAGTGGCAAAACCTGATCATATAACATTTGTCGGTGTTCTGTCAGCTTGTAGCCATGACTGTTTGCTTGAAAAAGGTCGGTACTTTTTTGAATCAATGGTGAGAGATTACCATATTGAACCAGCAATTCAGCATTATACGTGCATGATTGATCTACTTGGCCATTCAGGTCGATTAGTTGAGGCTTATCATCTTATAATGCAAATGAGAATGGTGCCAGATGCTGGTATATGGGGTGCTTTACTGAATTCATGTAAAATCCATGGGAATGTAGAGTTCGGGGAACTTGCACTAGAGAAATTGATTGAGTTTGAACCTGATGATGCTGGCAACTATGCGATATTATCAAACATTTATGCTCAAGCCGGGAGATGGGATGGAGTTGCAAAGTTGAGAAAATTAATGACTGATAAGGGACTGAAAAAAAGTATTGATTGATGTGGAAAACAAAATTCATGCACTTGTTTCTGGAGACACTTAAGCATACTTAATCTGAGGCAATATTTGCTGAGTTAAAGAGTTTGGAATTGGACGAATTAATGGAAGATGTTGCTTTGTGCCTAATATAGGTTCAAATTTTCATGGTGCAGAAGATGGTGGAAAAGACTAATAGGACGCACAGAAAAAGGCTAGCTATTGAATTTGGATTGATATCATTTTAGAGATGGATTATATACTGTTGGTCATTCTTGGTGAACTGAACATAAGTTGGATTGCAAGATTCATAGTTCAAGAACAAAAAAGTATGGTGCAATTGGTGCGGTGCATTGGAAAAATCTAAGGTAGGGAAATGAAGAAGAGCCTAAGTGATGGTTGCTGTTTTCAAAGGAGAAATACATAAAAAAAATTATGCAAATCCTTGGATTGGAAGTAGACAGGATAAATTTAACAAAATGAAGACATCGGTAGGAGGCAAGAGAGACATTATCCTTATTTTGGAAGAACATAACTTGAATTTTAGGAGCAAATATAATTATCCTTTGCATTTCTAGCGAATAACATCGAATAGGATAGATTCAAATAACATGCACTGTTCTCATCATTTTGTTCCTTGGAATTTGAATAAAAACTATGGAAGAGAATTGAGTCTCCAGTCATAGGTGAGAAAGTGGGTGTTTTTTTCATTTTTTTTTTTTTTCTCTTGGATTGTTACCAACTGTGGCAGTAACCTCACTTGAATTTGGAGATGTTTAAGCATTCTGTTCACCTTGAGCTTTTGGAGTAAAATTTAAACCTATCTTTCGGTCAGATCTCAGTTTAGATCAGATTTTAGTGCTGATTTCACTAATTCTGCTGCTGCAAAGTTCAAACCAAATGTATCACAATTCTAGCTGATAAAATTTCCACATTGCGAAAAGGTATGCTAAAATCAATAAAATTTCGCGTACAGAAAGTAACTTTTTGTTCTGTTGAAAGAACTGGTCTAACATATCTTTCTGTTGAATTGATGATGAAAATCTTTTGTGTTAGTAATTTTTATATTACATTCATAATCAATCGGAAAACCTTACCTTTTACCCCTCCAAAAGTGATGAGCTTGGCAAGACAATCATGTAAACATGTCAAAGCAAGCCTTTCCATCTCTCCATAGAAATCTGCAGTAAATCCATGATTCAGAATCTCTTCTGGAGAAGCAGGTCCATGGAATAATATTTCTTCCTCATCACACATCAATTCATCTCTCTGAGATAAAAAAGCCTACCTTCTTGCACATTAGTACCATCAGATCTAGAGACCTCTACATCAAGGGTATCAGTTTGGTTGCCAGTACTCAAGTTGTTATCAGACGTCACTTTCTGATCATCAGGTTCCTTCTCCTGATTTTTCCCATTCTGGTCTGCAGGAATTGTGGCTATCTGGTTTTCTTTTGCTTCCTGCATGTCTACAGTGGCATTTTTTTTTTTTTCATGGAAGAAACGTCGCAGCATTCAAATGTGAAAAGTCCCATCGTGCACACAACTCATACAAGATCAATCATAAAATTCTTCTAAGGGTGGAAGCAATCATAGGAAAAGGAAAAAAATTTACATAATTCATGTCAATAAAAAAATGGTAGGAAATAAGAAAGCAATTACAAGAAAAGAGAGAGAGAGAGAGAGAGAGAGAGAGAGAGAGAGAGAGAGAGAACAATAGAAATAATTCAGGTCAATAAAAAAATGGTAAGATAAGAAAGCAATACAAGAAAAGAGAGAGAGAGAGAAGAGAGAGAGAAGAGAAGAGAGAGAGAGAGAAGAACAATAGAAAATCTTTTTGCAAAAAAACACAGTAAGATGCTAAGAGAGAGAGAGAGAGAGAGAGAGAGAGAGAGAGAGAGAGAGAACAATAGAAATCTTTTGCAAAAAACACAGTAAGATGCTAATCAAAAGGGAGTTATTATAAAAACACATACTCAGTAGTTTTCTTCTGTTTTAAATAAGCCTAACTTATAATTTATATCAAACTAATTGAACCAGCAAATAGTCAATTGGCCAACTATGGAAGTGAGTTCTTGATTTAAGGAAGATGAGAGAGGCGGATGGCCAGATTGGGGAGTAATCCTACACTCAAATTCATGTGTTCTTAACCTGACCGTAAAATTTGTATGCTTTAATCCGGAATCTGTTATATTTCATGAGGTGTGTTAATACCGGGAAGAATTTTAGCAGCCTTGGATGCCACCACCAAAAATGAACAGAGCTCTCTCGTGTCGAGCGGTTGAACGACGTCCGCCAACAATGATCTTGCCACAATTAGCAAGGCTAATTAGTTCATGCAGATGGAAAACATAGAAAATCCTAATAATTGGAAAACTTTAAGGACTACTAGGGAAAACAAAGACCTGTATGCAAACTTTGAAGAGCCCAAGACTGTAGAACTAAGAATACAGTGAGCAGGAGTAACAGAAAAGGTAGGGAAGGAACCAGAAACTGTGACTGGATTTTCCTGCTAAAAATCATAGAATATACAGCAACTTAAGTAGGAAAAGATGGATAAGTGAAGTAATAAGTCAAAGAGAAAAATTAAAGAATAAAGAAAAGTCCATCCCTATCCAAGAAAACATAAATAATTGAATATTCAAAGGAAGGTGGAGATGGATAATATAGCACTGAACCGCAGAGATCAAGGTAATGTAGAGAATAAATATAATGAAGACAAAATCAAGCCTATTCGAGCTAAGGGCAAGATAATTCCACTTTTATTCTCATAGCAAAGCTAATTGCTAAAATATCATATTCCCATTAAACTTACAAACTACATATGTAAGATACGACCAAAGTCAGGACTCTGGATGTGAAAATTTCCATACCTGTTGATCTTGTTTAATGTCCTGAATTTCCTGCTCTTTCTTGTCCGAATCAAGAATCTCTTGGTACTTTCTCTTTCTGGTTTCTTGAGAGAAGCTATAGCCTGAGGATCCAATAGCAGCAAAAGTAGCAGCATTTGTCTCCTCAACAGAGGCTTTACTGTTATCATATTCTCCCCAAGAATGAGCCGTTCTCTGCTCATTTACTTCCAGATTCTTGCACTTAACACATTTGCAATTCTCTGAGCATCTGATGTTTGCTTGGAAGCACTCGCAGTACTTCTTGATGCAATTAGATTTTTTGCAGTGGCATCCCTTCTGTTCTCCTACGAGCATGATTGGAACAGTCTTCGCATTATCCTATGTTTGTGCAAAACACGTTAAATGCAGTTAATAAAGTTAAGACAGAGAAACAAAAAGACATTTATGTAAGAAACAAGAAATCCATCAGCAAATTCAAATTGTTATCCACTAATCAAACTGCATTGTAAAACTTCAACACTAAAACTCACATCTTTAAAATGTTCTGTAAATTGAATGTTCCATGATATAAGGCAACAATATTATGTCAAGTGAGGAGTTATTCGGTAATGCTGAAGTTTAAGGACCTAGGAAGGCTAATTCTACCATGTTTCTTTAGTTCATTAAGGATACACATTTGTAGACTTGATATTCTCTCATGGTAAATTTTCAATTCTTTCATTTCTTTCAGTCTGCTTGACGTTCAATTTTTTGCTGTTATAAATCCCAATTGAATTAAGACCCTAAGCAAAAAAATAAGTAACTGCTAGACATGCGAGCGTAACTGTTATAAGAGCATTAGCAACAACGGTAATACAGCAAACCTGAGGTGAAAAATCAGATCTTTAACTACTAATAGAGGATATTTTTCAGTTTACTGAAATTTCAAGAACATATGTTATATTCAAAAGTTGTTTAACTAATTTGACTTGTGTGATTTGCATTGGGCTTGAAGTAAGGAACAAATCCAGCAAGCAAGCTAAGAGGAGTGAGGGTGAAAGACAGTTTAGCATACAAACAGTACATAAATGGTTCTAAGCAACAACAGAATGAAGAAAGATGATCTGATCCTGATTAATTCAGGACGATGGCTTGCTGAATGGACCTACACGGATAACACTTGCATACCCCATCAGTTTGGGAACTGCTAGCAATCTTTGGCTTGAAAGCTTTTCGGTTACGCTTCAGAATACTTTCAATAGTTGATTTCCTTATAGCCTCATTCTCAATATTATTATGACAAGCAGAACAGCCGCAACCATCACAGAATGCTCCAGAAGCAAAGCATTCACAGTACCTGCCAATTTGTTGATGATCATTTTCTAGTTAGTGAGAGCCAACAAATGTAATTTCCTCCTATTATGCAGCATATCATTAGGAAAATCCATTCATACATGCATTGGGGAAAAACACCATTTTCGTAGGCCGAAGCAACAACTTCTGGACAGCTACAAAGAATCATTGATACAGGATAAAATAATGATACGTATATAGTTAAGTACATTAATGTAAGATTTGTCTTTTACTTTTTCAAATATATGTAGATTCTGGACTCACAGTTGTATGCATTTCGATTGCTTGCAGTGACATCGTCTGCGAATCATTGGAGCACCGCTGATTATTCTGGCGCGTAACCGTGGCATCAATCTTGGAGAGTCTAACTTCCCATCATGAAATAAATAAATGGAAAATTTCAACAAAATATTATCAACTTTTCCCGATCTGACAACAATAAAGCGTTAGCAAAAGCGATTCCGTATCAATAGAGGCAATCGCACGCAGAATTGCAAAGCTAAACATTTCTATGCACTGGATTTTTTTTTTTCTTCTCAAGGAAGGTTTTCAACTAAAACGTTTTTAGTGAACAAAATTCAGAGGGTAGTTAAAAGAGAAATACAATCGCAAGTCATTCCAAATTCCAATTAATCAAATCAGGGAGCTATTTTAACTTAGAAGAGGACTCACATTGCAGGAAATGGAGAACGTGGAAGCGAAGGTGGATCTGCCTGCGGCGATGTAGAGACCAGAGGTGACAAACCGAACTCAGTGAAAACTAGCCGCCTAGCCAGCTTTCTTTGATTGAAACTTGATGTGTCCGTAACAATTATTGTAGTTCTTTCTACTGATTCTAGCGTTTTAGGCGGGAAATCCAACGTCACATCAACAGTATGTATTGCTTTTTCAAATGATTCAACTGTTTTTTGGCGGGAACTCTCCACCCTCGTTTTGCTCCATCAACACTTTAAATTCTCGGAAAAAGATGCTAGGTTAATTAAAATTCGAATAAATAAATACTTCTGGACTCTGTTTACAACCCGATAAAGTGTGAGAAACGATGAGGAAAGGCCAATGTTCAAAATTTTAATGTGATCTTGGAAAAGTAAAGTATGAGTATGTAGTAACGATTAAGTAAATGCCTAAAAATGAGGCAAAGTCCTTCGGTCTATAGTCTATACAAGAGCAAACTCATCGGGAAACGTACGCTACTAACCTTTATCTTTTGCTTTTGGATTCGTTTTCTCAGCAACCAAACAGAATTAAAAGCTTTCAATTACACTAAAACAATGCAAATAGGCAAAAAGAAGTGAAGGAAGAGAATTACAGTGAAGCTAGATTTCGGAGAGCTCCGAGTCACTGAATAGAGAGAAAGAGACAGATATTGGAACGAAACTTAGAGAAATTTGAAATCTGATGAAATGACTCGCTTGCAATTTGTAAACATGTATAGGGCGGAAAGTATCCTTGAGACGACAGGAAGAAGTTCTTTTGAAAAGAAAAAAACATATTTCTTGCGAGTAATTATAAGTTGCTCATTTCAGTCGCGGTTTATTGCACCTCCTTTCCGTTCCAACTCGACGCTAACAAACGATATTTTTACTTTGTTTCTACTTTAGGTAGTTACTAAAGCACTGGTTTTTTTATAAATTTTATCGAAATGAAATTTCAATTCTAATTTTTTAATTAATTTGTATAATGAAAGCTTTTAATATTAAATTCCAGATTAATTTTTATATTTATCTCCCGTGGGTTTAAAATTTAAAAATATTTAAATATTAAAATATAAAGCTCATGTAAATCTAATCGTCTGTTTCTCAATATGCAGGTTTAAAATTTAAAAATATTTAAATATTAAAATATAAAGCTCATGTAAATCTAATCGTCTGTTTATCCTTAATTTTTCATCTAAAAAGCCCGAAACTGTCAGTACAAATATTCAAAAAATAGATTAATTTACAGCTGAATTAAAATCCACAGTTTATGTAAAAGGCTTTATATCATAAAATAAAATGAACTAAATTCTAGCGGTGATAGCATATAATTTCCCTATAATAACAAATATAAAAAAATGATTACATACAAATATTTTAAATGACAACATTATTTTTAATTGGTTATGCAAATAATAAAAATGTAAAATATTATATTTAATCTTTTCATCCATTAATATCATCTTTGTACTAGTAAAATATCCACTATTATTGAAAGACACATCCTACAATCGTGATACCCTCACTTTTATTTTCCAATTATCTTTATTTGTATTCAAAATTTCAATTATATCGTACTTTTAACTTGTATTGGATAATTTACAGCTGCAAAAACATGTTAAATAGTCTTTAAAAAATGAGACAAAAAAAAGTTTGAGCTACCCCATTACTGAAAATAGTTGAAATGAAGAAAATTCTGAACTTTAAGAAAAAAAAAAAGAATAATATATGTAAAATGAGATATCAATACACTTTTGTCAAAAATACATAAGAATATAGTGATACAACTTAATATATATTATTTTTAAGAAAGTTAAAGTGTTTCTTGAGAGTGAACAATTTAAAATTTTTAAAAAATGCATTACTGCACTATTTAAAAAAAATTAAACGAAAACACTAATAAAAATACACAAATAACCAAATCAAGCGTTAAAAACATTAATACACTAATAAAGCATTGAAATGTTTGTGTAACTTCACAAATTTGAAGCCATTAATATACAGAAACGTTTGTTATTAAACTTTATCATTTTTTAAAAAATTTAATAATTAATAATAATTACTTAAATCCATTAATACATTAAATAATCAAATCAAATAATCAAATCAAATCAATCAAAAATATTAATTCAAAATAAATTCAAAAAATAAAAATGTAAATATCAATATCAACCATCAAATCAAACCAAATCAAAAACACTAACTCAAAATAAATTCAAACCAAACCAATATATTAATACATTGAATAATCAAATCAAATCAAATCAGAAACACTAACTTTAAATAAATTCAAATAAAATCAAATCAAACCAATACATTAATATATTAAATAATCAAATCATAACATGCTAATTAAAAGCCTGATTGGAGGAATATACCACATGTCAAATTAAAATGCCAAGTGGATATGACACATGTCAACTTTCTAAGGAAAAAATGCTTACTTTATATATATACTAGCAATATATCCATGCTATGCACGGTTAAAAAAAAATTAAAATTAGAGAATATATATATATATATAAATATAATTTATAGATTATTAAATGAAATTTATTTTTTGTGCTATTAAAAAATATTATAAAAATATATTATAGTAAAAAAAATAGCTTTGATTTTTTATTATCAAATTTTTTATTATTAAAGTAAAAATTAGTAGATAGTATGGTGGTTCAGGAATATGATTAAAAATATTGAAATTTATAGAGACAATAAAAAAAAAAGCAAATGGAAGGTGGGTAAAAATTCATTAATTTATTTATTTTAAAATTAATGTAAAATATATTAACTCATTATTTTCATTAAAATTCATGAATAAATAATTTATTTTAAATAATTAAGAGTTGTAATAAATTCTTCCAACTTATCATATTATTAATATATAATTATCCATATTTAACATAATTTAATTTAATATAAAATTTTTTAGTTTTTAATATTAAATAATAGTTGCATATATCATTCAAATTTATAAATTATGTAATTTATTTATATCATTAAAAGTTATATAAATTGTTACTCAATACACTGTTAATTCTCTAATGTTATATTAATCAATTATATTTAAGATAGTTTAATTCAATCATAAATTAATTAATTTTTAAATAAATATAAAAATAAACAATTAAGCCACACACATGTCATTAATTTAGAATCCCACGTGACAATACTAAAAAAAATTCTTCCTACTTTATATATATATATATATATATATATATTATATATATATTATATATATATATATTTGATATTGATTTATGAGAATATATTAATAATTTTTTAATTTTTAAATTTTGTTTTCATATTTTAATCGAGTGTAATTTATTTGTTATATCAGTAGTTAAATTAAAAAATATATATTGATATTGATTTATGAGAATATATTAATAATTTTTAATTTTTAAAATTTTGTTCATATTTATCGAGTGTAATTTATTTTTATATCATAGTTAAATTAAAAATTCACAACTATGATTGAGATGACTCAAACTCAAGACCTACTAAAGATTTTTCACTCTTCACATAAGTGAGAAGACCAACCAGACCATCACCTAATTGGTATAATAATGTTTTAATATGATATAAAATAGTGTTTTAATATGAGATAAAATTAGTATTTATTTTACAGTAAAATTAATTGCAGCATTTTTAATTTTAAGAATGACAATTTAGACCTTTTACTATATATTTTTAGAAAATCGATTTGTTCGAGTCATTTTATTAATTTTGTGAAACAAATGAAATGTTACTAAACGGATTGAGTATATTCATGTTGTTTCGAAAAATTATTAACTCATTCTTAAATTTATACTCATTAAACTATTTAATTATTCCATTTAAATAGTGATATTTTTATAGTTAAGTAGATGATTAAATAGTACTCTAATGTTAAATGTGAAGGACAAATAATAACATTATTTTAAACGTAAGTTATTAAAGAAAATTGAATATTATATAATATTTCATGGTAAAATAAGTACTTTTTGGATATAATAATTAAATATATTAACAACACTTATAGTAAACTTCTAAACAAAAAAAAGAAAACACTTATATGTCGTAAAAGATTTAACGGTAACTCAATCAGTAATCTTATCAAACTGTAAAAATATTTAATAAAAATTTAGAAACTGAATAATTAATTATCCTTTCTTTATTGATCAGGCATTTGAAATTGTTGAATGAAAAATGACACCAAAAGGTGATAACAAATAATGAAAATTTAGGCTAGAAGAGAAAGAAATTAGTTCTCCTTTAAGAACGGTGATAAAATATAAAGATAATTACTATGTAGTATGTACGTTTTAATTAAATATATTGGTAAGGATTTCAATTTTCAAAAATTTGCTTTTTTTATGAAAGTTTAAATGTGAATTTTTGCATTCAATTTAATATGTATGTTCACTAATTAAATTTTATTTATTTCATTCTTAAAAGTATATTATGCAAAAATATAAAAAATTTTACAATCTAATTTGCCACTTCATTGATGAGTTATCCATGAAAATGCATGGTTCATGGTATAAAAAATTAAAATTCAAAATCTAGATATCACTCTCTCTTTTAATTATTTTCAGATTCAAAAATAATATTCATAATTTGGTATATTCTACTGACTTTTTTTACGAGCATTATCATATATATTTTTAAGTGTGAAAGCTAATCTGATTTTATGTTAATTTATTTATTTTTTTATAAATTTGTTATGTTTTTAAATGACAAATAAATTAAAGTCTTCAATGAATGGAAGTCTAATAAAGATTTCTCTATATAAATATTTTTCCACAAATTTAATATCTCGTATTAACTAATTTTATTTTCTAATAAATTTTTTTTTTGGAAATTTTATTTTCTTATAAATTTGTTATGTTTCTAAATTACAAATAAATTAAAGTCTTCAATTTGGATATGGTAAAAAGATATTTTTGATTCAACAGCTTACCATCCTTTATGACCTATGTCATATTCTCATTTACTCAATCTTACTGCCCAGTAATCTACATTTACCGGTTCATTGGATCGACTGTCATTTCTCTATTTCCACACCGAACTAAAACCATTTCCCCTCTCTCCCTCCTTTTCCATTTCTCTCTCAAAGCCAGTGCCAGATAACCATCAACAGCTTAACCAAAATCAGAGGCAGCTATGGCTTAAATCCTATCGCATTCCCAATTTTAAGGTTTTTATTTATGCTCTCTTGCCTTTTCACCTCTTTTCTATATCATAATATTCTCATGAATTTCATTAGATTGATCACGTTCTTTGCAATAATTTTAGTATCTGAAACCCTTCTTCCATTTGTTAATCAAGTTCTGTTTAGCTACTTACTCAGTCTTACTCACGTTTCTTTTCTTCTTTTTTAATTTTTGAATTTGAATTCCTACTGCTTTTATAATTTAAGATGAAATCTGATTGCATTCAGATCTTGAAATATGTGTTAGTGTCGGTGATATAATCGAACTAATGATCTTGATTCTATTTAGAAACAGCTCCATTGTTGGATTTTTTGTTTGTTTGTTTGTTTGTGATCTATGATTAATTATTCTTTTTTTTTAATGGCGTATCGGATTTTTAAAGTCAGGGATTTGTATGTGGGAATAGGATTGAATTGTTTTCAAATTGGCTGTGCTTAAAAGATGGCGTGGTTTAGCGGGAAGGTCTCCTTGGGGAACTTCCCGGATCTTGCTGGTGCGGTGAATAAGCTCAGCGAGAGCGTCAAGAATATTGAGAAGAATTTCGACACTGCTCTTGGCTTGGAGGAGAACCCCGAATCTAGCAGCGAAGGTACTCTCAATCTCTCATGTATTTCTTGTTTTTAGTTCTCTTAGTTGTTGACAAAATATTAGGAGCTGCAAGTGCCTCTTTATTGAGGAGCGTAGTACAAGTTGCATTCTTATTCAATTTGAAATTGGTTAATTCAAATAATCGGTTTAACAGAAATTATCGAATGGCACATTCTGCATCTTTATACAAGAAAATTTTAAGTTGTAAATTAGAGATTGCTTATATTTATAATTTCTCTCCAATTTGCCTTCCAGCTTCGGGACTATGGCCGGTTATGTCCTTTATGGGGCAGAAAAGTGAGGATAGTGATACTGAATCTTCGGGGAAAAATGACTCTCCTCAGAAATTGTCTACAGTTGAGGAAGATGAGACACGGAGGTCTGTTGGCAAACAATCTACAGTTGAAGAAGAAAACCAAGGGCTCAAAAATGAGAAAGAGGATGAGCATCCAGTGATTGTGGAAAAAAAAGATAATGTGATCTTAGAGCCTGTCAAACATGAATCTGGACCTGTTGAACCTCCTGAATCTGTTGATCATGATGTTAAGACAACGGTTTCAGTTGATAATAAGCAGGAGGAACAGATATCAGAAGTGGGTCCTGCTGATGAATCAGAGTTGGTGGAGATTAAGTCAGGAGTTGTTGGAGTCAATCAGATTGAGGATGATACTGTCATGCATGCTGAGTTGCATAGCGTGGTTGATAGGCATGAGAGGAAAGATGAACAGAAGATGCAAGCAGAGGACACAGTAGAAGAAGGTCCTGTTATTCAGGCTGAAATCTCAAATGATGCCCAAGCCGAGGCATCAATTGATCCCCAAGCTGGAGTTGATCCATCTGGTTCACCAGTCAGCACTGAAGAGGTACAAAAGGATCGACGAGTTTCTTTCCCTACTGCACTTCATGTAGATGAGGCTTCAGAGATGGCTGCTTCTAGTGACAATGATGCAAATGTTAAAATAGTTTCAGAGGACAAGCAAGCTAATAGTGGTGAGATGGAGATCAAAGAGCAAAGGTTGAGCTCGGCATCAAATGTTTCTGACTCCATAGATTCAATGATCGAATTAGAAAAGGTGAAGATGGAGATGAAAATGATGGAAGCTGCATTACAAGGTGCTGCAAGGCAAGCTCAGGTATTTCACTTGATATAAAAACTGTTGTCTGGGAAAAATAAATAAAATACTAGGAACTTTTTGTAACTACTCTGATACATTCTCCTCGTGCTATCTTGTGTTTTTTAGGTGTCTTTTGGGGACATCTTATACTTGTATTTATTTGTGTAAAATATTTCAGGCAAAGGCTGATGAGATTGCAAAGTTGATGAATGAAAATGAGAACCTGAAAGCTGTGATTGATGATTTGAAGGTAAATATGAATCTTACTTCTTTTATTCCTTTGCATTACTATGGACTAATTACATATTTATGTTAGCTTATTTTATTAATAGACTTTTTTTTTTTTTTTTTTTTTTTTTTTTTTTTTTTTCTTAATTTTATTAATAGGACTTTTTTTTTTTTTTTTTGTTTTTTTTTTTTTTTTTTTTATATTCTGAATCATGGAAATTTTTTTTTTTTTTTTTTTTTTTTTTTTTTTTTTTTATATTCTGAATCATGAAAATAGCATTTTCCAACTACAATTTGTTGCAATACTCCATTTTTTTGGTGTAGGTTATAGTTTTGATGGTAAATGCAGTGGTATTTTTAACTTTTACTTGCTATTATTCAGAATTAGGATAAAGCTTGTAATGCATTGCATTCTACTTCTGTGTTTATCTAGCTATGCTCTTCAATATAGATGCTTTATATCTCCAATGCTGTCACATGCTTAGCTTGTAACTTAAAATTCTGATTTATGCCCTAAGATTCCCCCCATCTGATTAGTTTTATGGGAGGTGGTCATCGTGTGCTTGTTTGTACTTACAATTTGATGGGTTACCTAATGTCTATTGGAGAAACTTGTTCAGCTTCCTTTAATTTATTGTGCTGATGATAATTTTTTTTTTTTCCCTTTGACCCCTCTTTTTAGTTTGAAGCTTGATTATATTATGTTAAACTCTTTCTTCTGTCTCTGGGCTAACTTGACTGAATGGTATGGAACAGAGAAAATCCACTGATGCAGAAATTGAGTCTTTAAGAGAGGAGTACCATCAAAGGGTTGCAACTCTTGAAAGAAAGGTACGCTCTTTCATGTTTTTCCTTGATAAATCTACTTATTTTTAATAATAATAAAAAAAATCATTCATTAAAGCCTGATTTAGTGCCTTTTGTATATTTGCAACTGCAACCAGAAATGAGTTGTTATTGTCTTGGAGAATGAACAACCTTGATTGTTACATGTTTAGCCCAAGATATAATAAAGATTGGCTCATACAGCTATATGTATTGCTTAACATATAGATCCTTTCTGCTAATAGGTCGTGTACTGCAAGATATTCTTAGCTGTTCCATGCAATATATTCTTGAAAAATGATGCTAATATGTAATTTTTGTCTACATTTCTGAAAGCCAAGAATGATGTTTTGGCTGTTTTTCTGCAATACCTTTTGTCATATAATTATGTTACATGTAAAAAAAAATGATGCGGAAAAAGGTGTTTCATGTAGATTGTTGGCAGCATTTGGATTTCAATATGTCTTAGAAATGTATAATGTATTTTCAAAGGCCAGTATGATCTAAAAAATTTCATGCAGCAGATCTCGTACAAGTAAAACTTAAAAGTTTAGCTTCTTGTGGTCATATTTTCTGTATGCTTTAATGGAGAAAGAAACAGTTTATTAATCTTATTGCCTATATTTTTGTTACTAATTTCTAAGTTTGGTTATAGGTTTATGCACTTACAAAGGAAAGGGATACACTCCGGAGAGAACAGAATAAAAAAAGTGATGCGGCTGCTCTTCTAAAGGAAAAAGATGAAATTATCAGTCAGGTTATGGCTGAAGGTAGAGCTACCATTGAACCAATCTTCTCCTGTTCTTCTATGGAAAGAAATACAAAAGTTTTTCTGTTACCATTTTGTGGGGGCATGTTGAAGCTATTCTGTTTCTCATGTTTAGGCATGTAGGACCAGTTAGGCTTAGGCTTAGGCTTACATAAATTGTCAATTATTGTACTTATATTTCTTCTGCTAATAATTGTTATTTCGATGGAATAACTTGTTCACAAATGCATTATTTTTGCTCAATTGACATATACAATGACTTAGCAAAGTAATGAGGCTCTTGTTTTTGTACACACTACATGTTTGACGATATTTGTTTGCTATTACAGGAGAGGAACTTTCAAAAAAGCAGGCTGCTCAAGAATCTACAATTAGGAAATTAAGAGCTCAGGTTTTTACAACCTTAATAATTCTCTGAACTCTACACTTTGTTTGGGAAAATAAAGAAGGGAGGAAGAAAAATAAAGGGGAAGGAAAGTTTTGAAAAAAGAATTATATATATATATAGAAAAATAAAGGGAAGGGAAAGTTTTTGAAAAAAAAAGAATTATAATATATATTATTATATATTTTTTTTTTCCTTGTTGGAGTATGTATATATTTTTTTTTTTCCTCGTGTTTGGATATGGGAGGAAAATAGAACTATTTTCCTTCTGTTAACACATTCTTATAGCTTTTTCTATTTTTCTCTCCAATTTGGAGAGAGAATTTTGAAAAGGAAAAAAAGGCTTGTTTTCTTTCCCTCCTGATTTTTCTTCCTCTTCCCAGATAAGGGAAAATCAAAATGCTCTCTTATTTTCTTGTCTCTTATTTTCCCTCATCCAAACAAGGGGTTAATGTTTAATAATAGTGCAGCTGCCTTTCTGATGTGGGAAATGTTCTCTTCTTTTACACTGTTTTCGTGTAAGCTTAGATTCGGGAACTTGAAGAAGAGAAGAAAGGCTTGATGACTAAACTTCAGGTAATTTGGTTTAGAACTTCTTTTTTGCTTTCTTATTTTTTTCTAATATTACTTTTCCTTCCATTTGAATCTGTGATGAAATTATCTACTCTATATATGCTTGTTTGATTTTTGGACCTCTATGTGCTTGGATATTTCTTTGTCAATAATGGATTAGTTCTTAGAGCACTTGCAAATGATAATTGTAGCATTTATTTTATGTATTTGCTATGGTTGGCTTGAATTTAGCCAGTTGAACTGTTTGCAATGTTTTTCAAATCATTGTTCAATATCTTCTGATATCTGTTTATTGGTATGTGCATCTATATGACGTGAAAATAAAGGCAATTCCACAAAAACATTGGGGTGGAGGAGCATCCATTTAAAATTTTATTATTGTATCTGATTTGGTCCTCTGCTTTTCATTTTATAAATTATCAGCAAGCGCTAGTGAAAGTCGGTTTCATAGTTGTCTATGAATGTGCTTGTGTTCAAATAGTTATTTTTATGGTCATTATTTCGTGGTGCAAATATTAAGTGAAGTTTACGAACTTCTGATCCACTTCCAGGTGGAAGAAAATAAGGTAGAGAGTATCAAGAAGGACAAGACAGCAACAGAAAAGTTGCTGCAAGAGACAATAGAAAAACACCAAGCAGAACTTGCAGGACAGAAAGAGTATTATACAAATGCTTTGACTGCAGCCAAGGAGGCTGAATCATTAGCAGAGGCACGAGCAAATAATGAAGCCAGAACTGAATTGGAGAGTCGTCTGAGAGAGGCTCAGGAGCGTGAAAGTATGCTAGTTCAGGCACTTGAGGAATTAAGACAAACTTTGAGTAGAAAGGAGCAGCAGGTTTTTGCTCAATTTGGCAAGATTGTTGATTGGATCCGGTTAACCTGCTATAAGTGATGGTTATATTACCTTTTTATTACTTTTGAATTTTGTAGGCTGTTTTTAGAGAAGACATGCTCCGAAGGGACATTGAAGACCTTGAAAAACGTTATCAAGTGTGTTCAACTTTCACCTATTGTGTTTTAAGTAAAAGCTTTATTCTGCATTAGTTTTTAGTTGTTATAGGTACTTTTACTTATTCTTTCTAGGCAAGTGAGCGCCGGTGTGAGGAGTTGGTTACTCAAGTTCCTGAATCTACAAGGCCTCTTCTAAGGCAAATAGAAGCAATGCAGGTATTGTGGTGATATTTAAAGTTCTACAGGGATCTTTATGCTCTTCAAACTCTGGTTGGTTTGTTTATACATTATCTTCTTTCAACTATTGGTGATAGGAAACAATGGCTAGAAGGGCTGAAGCTTGGTCTGCTGTAGAGAGATCTCTAAATTCTCGACTCCAGGTTCGTAAGCATATTTCTAGTTATGATATAAAGTGTGCAAAATTTGTATGTTGTATTGATTAATTTTTGGTACTTTTTCAGGAAGCAGAGGCCAAATCTGCCTCTGCAGAGGAGAGAGAGCGATCTGTGAATGAACGCTTGTCACAAACCTTATCACGAATTAATGTTCTTGAAGCTCAGGTATCCATGGGTAACCTTTTGTTAGTGATGGAGTCTTTTTTATCATTAAACTTACTGAAATCAGTTGTATGCTTCAGATTTCATGTCTTAGGGCAGAGCAAACGCAGTTAAGTAGGTCCCTCGAAAAGGAAAGACAGAGAGCTGCTGAAAATAGGCAAGAATACCTTGCAGCCAAGGAGGAAGCCGACACTCAGGAAGGTCGTGCAAATCAACTTGAAGAGGAAATTAAACAGCTGAGGCAGAAGCACAAGCAAGAGTTACAAGATGCACTAATGCACAGGGAGCTTCTACAGCAGGTTCCATTTTTAATTTTTTTTTTTTTTTTTTTTTTTTTCTAGATGCACAGGGAGCTTTCTACAGCAGGTTCCATTTTTTTTTTTTTTTTTTTTTTTTTTTTGGTACCATTCATGTAGAGTCAATGGATTCCATAATCGGGTGTTCAAGATCTACCTTTCTTTCCAATGTTTCTTGGCCATTTACTATGTCATAGCTAGGATTTGGTTTCATTGATGCTTTGGTGCACCATGCTCAACTTGATTTGTTTCAATCTTTGAAGAAATTAACCAATGAAATAGGGGATTGTTGCTTTTCTCTCCCCCAAACTGATCTGTTTGAAACTGATATTAAGGAAAACAATATATTGATATTATTAGAATGATTTCTTTGAGGCTATCTAGCTGGGTGGTTTTGCAGAAATTAGATAAGAAAATTTTCTTGAGACTTATTTATCATTGGCAGTATAAAGTTTTATACATCTTCACTAAGCTGTTTATTTATTACAGGAAATTGAAAAAGAAAAAGCTGCTCGGTTGGATCTGGAAAGAACAGCTCGCATCCATTCTACTTCTGTATCTGATCAATCCCCTATAGCAAAGAGCAATTCTGGCTTTGAGAATGGTATGGTTATCTATTTTGCAGCTTCGCGCTAGTTTATTTATTTTTTGCCTTGTTCATATTTTCTGATATTTTTCAGGAGCCTTGAATCGAAAGCTTTCAAGCGCTGGCAGTCTAGGCAGCATGGAGGAGAGCTATTTTCTGCAGGCTTCTTTGGACACATCTGACAGTTTCTCAGAAAGGAGAAATCCTGGAGAGTTGAGCCCATACTACATGAAGAGTATGACACCTAGTGCTTTCGAAGCTGCCCTTCGACAGAAAGAGGGTGAACTTGCATCATACATGTCTCGCTTGGTAAACATCACTTTTAAAAAAAAAATATTTGCTTTTGAAATATGTGCTGCTACCACATATTCATTCTGTATGTTTCTTGTGCTTAGTGAATCTGGCTTCTGCAGAGCTCTGATACATTTTCACTATTCTATGAGTTTATGGGGATAAAACTTGTCACTCTATTTCATATACACTGGTAGGTTAATTTTTTTTTTTATTTGCTTCAGGCATCCATGGAGTCGATCCGTGACTCTCTTGCAGAAGAGTTGGTCAAAATGACAGCACAGGTGAGTTTCTGTATGTTAATCTGGGCAAGTCAAATTTATGATATAGGTGATTTCCTACATCTCATCATTCTTTTCTGATTTCTTCGGTCTACAGTGTGAAAAGTTGCGGGCAGATTCTGCCTTGTTACCTGGAATTCGAGCAGAGCTAGAAGCACTTAGGCGCAGGCATTCTGCTGCACTGGAATTGATGGGTGAACGTGATGAGGAGGTACGTATATGATAACTCAGTTTGGGATCGCTTGTTTTGATTTCAGAGAAACTTTTGACCATTAAATTGTTGTGGAATGAGGCAATTCAGTACGGTATACAAAGCTGCTTCCATTTTTTTGTCCTCTATTCCTGCTACATGTTACTATTACTTGATGCTATCCTTCAGACTTTAGAAATTGTTCCAGCATTTTGGAGGAGTCTTATGATACAATTCCTAGCGTGCTCCCGACTGTAAACACTAGTAGTTCTAAGTTTTGTTTTATAGGCTAGGAAATAAATGGGTAAGGAGATAGTAGAAGCAATATTATGCTTATGTGGTGAATTGCAAGGAGAAAAAGAATATGCATGAAATGATTCTATAGCTATCGAGGGTTCTGTGCCTGGCATTTTACATACAGTTGACCACTTGTTTGATAAATACTGAGAAATATTTGAAGATAGAGAACTATAGCTCAAGGGTTGCCAAATTTTCATTTGCTTATTGTGCTTTCTACCAAAATTGGTGTTATTTTAACAGTGTGACCATGTATGAGAATCATTTCATTTTAGAGGGAGATGGTAAGAAAATCTTTTTAATTCATTGAAGGGGTCCAGTAGATATAATTGGTAGCAAATGTTCATCAGGAAATATTTTGTTCTTCTTTTGTTCAATTCGTATTTTATTCAAATGGAAAATGCCATTTTATTCCGACTTGCTGTTTCTTTCTAGTTGGAGGAACTGCGTGCTGATATTGTAGACTTAAAAGAAATGTATAGGGAGCAAGTAAACTTGCTTGTGAATAAGGTATCTTTCAACCTACTTAATTTTCTTGTTTTATCTTTCACAATTTCCCCAAAATTTGTTTCATTCATTCATTGACAGATGCTTGTATTTGTTGGCAGATACAAATAATGAGTTCATCAATGGGCAATACCTAAGAAGTCAACTTAACAGATCTACCAACGAGTTGGGAAGATCACGGGTATAGTTTATAGTGCATTTAGCTTCAGGAGTTTTTCCTCTATACTCAATCGTTTGGATTTAGCGTTTTGTTTCAAATGTTTTGACACGAGTCATTTAAAGAGCATATTCTTGTCAAAACTTGAAATGTATTGTAATTTAGATGAATCTGTTGTATAGAAGAAACCTGAAAAAAGATGGATCTGTTTTTTCGGCTTGAAGATGTTCTCAATTATTTGATTCATTGATCATAATTAAAGACATTTTTTGATTTCCATTTTCTTTAGAAAAGAAATCAAAGACGACTTGTGCCTGTGCACTTTCAGTATATATAACTCATTTTCTTACATTTCTAGGGAAAGATTCTCACAGGGATTGGATTTGCTCCAGATTGCTTGCGAGTTCACTTCCAGCAAGAAAGGTCTATAAGTACGTAACATCACCGATGTGCATTTTGGCTGGATACCAGCTGGTGACAGCCTACAAAGTATTCTATAATACTTTTGTGGTTTGATTAAGACGGATAAACTGTGCATCTTATTCAATAGTTCAATAGGATCTTAAACCTTTATTTTACGAGGGAAAAAAGGTAGAATATACTCTTTCGTACGATTCTCATGCGTAACTTTCGCTCGCAGAGAATGGCGAGGGGGGTACCAAATTGGTACCATGTGATAGGTGCAATCTGGCGGTACAAGAATCGTATTCGTTTTTCGATTGCCGTAATGTGGCTTGGGTTCTACACTACGATGACAAAAGCCCATTTCTGTAAATACACTCTCATGCTTGTTTTTATGAGCTGTTGGTTTCGTTTTTGTATCATCAAGCTTGGGCTTTGTTCATATTAATTTACATTTTCCTATACCATTTATGAATATTTTTTTCATAATAATAATAAATGTAAATACTCTAATCGAAAAATGGATTTATTTACCTGCTGTAAATTGTTATAATGAATGTAAAATCATAAAATAAAAAATTTCAAATTTATTGGGATTAAATCCAAGTTTCCCATTATATTGTTGCTTCTTTGTTAATTTTCGCTTATTTTAAATGGGCCGATAAAATAATTGGATGGGAGAAGGGTGGAAAGGAAACGGAAAAATGTTAAAAAAGAATTATTATTATTGTTATCATTATTTTATAGGATTACACATTTTTGCTATTATTAAGTGCTTTTTATTCCTTTTCAACAAAATAAAATCGTAATGTTTTGGCCTTTTTTATCAACCAATGAACCAACTTCTTTTACATTTTAGTTTTCCCTCGTGTCCGCATGTTAGTGGACAACTAAAATAAAACATATCATAGACCGAAAACACCAGATCCAACTCCCCACTGACCAGCAATCAAAGACGCAAAGGTGACAGGTGTTACGTGGCGAGCGTCTCCTACCTCTCCTCTCTCTCTCTCTCTCTCTGCTTCCTCTCTACTAAGCACAAAACACCAGTACCATTTGTATAACCACCTGCGCACGTTAGTAGTAGCCACTTTCCTCCCTCTATCTCTCTCCTTCATTCCGCAGATTTCCTTTTCTTCATAAAAAAGGAAAAAGGAAAAAGCGGTTTCGAAATGGTCGCTTCGGATTTCCGTTTCCTCAGTTGAAAGCTGACACCTTATTATTGTGTAATTAATATAAACTCACAGGCGCATTTTAGCCACCTGAAACACTATTCTCCTTTTCTTTTTCTTTTTCCTTCGCCACTCTGTCTGTCTCTGTTTTTTTGCCTTTCAATTGCAAATCTGTTTCTGTCGCTCCATTTTGGTCGCTCCTGCTAACCATATTCATATAGGTACTCTTTCTATATATGTAATGGAAATGTGGCTTCATATTGTGTTTACTTTTGTGAAACTGAAAGCTGTTAATTCTTCTCTGATTCTTAGATTGATTTGAAAATGGTGAGTTTTTGTAAATTTTTAATCTGTGAAACGGTAAGGTGTTTTCGTTCTTTTTCCTTTATATTTTCATTCCTCTCTCTCATAAATCAATGTTGTTGTATCAATTATACAATGTCCATTCCTGCTTTTCTTCATTTTTTTTTTCTTTGTGATTACGAGTCTGCGACTGGACTATATAACCGCGAAATTCAAATCGAGAGCTGTAGATGTTTGCTGCATCAGATCTAAAATTGATAATTTACGTTTTTTTTTTAATTTCATTTTGTGGATTTGTGTGTTAATGAAATTAATATTGCACCGAATTTAGTAACTTTTAATATTTAATTAGTAAATTTGATTAGTGGTTGATCATTTGGTAGTGGTGGTCTCTTGCTGATGTTTGCCATGAGAGGGCGTCATATGGACGTTGCGTCCTCGATGTACAAGCGTGTTCCATCGAGAGACTTTATAAGTGCTTACGATAGAGAAGAAAGTTCAGGTGTGTTCTTAAATTTCCATATTTTTGTTTTAAGATTTTTTTTTCTTCTTTTTTTATTTAATTTCAAGTTGGGCTTCCAATATTTTTAATTGCATAGGCAGTTTTTGTTTTGCCTTTTTGAGGAACTTTATTGACTATTGAGTGTCAAATATTCTTTTATTTGAAGACATTTAACATTTAATTATTATTATTGTTGCTCTGATGTGGCGGTACGTTTTGTTCCTCCAGTCTAATTAGATTCTGCAGGTGTAATTGATATATTAATGCAAGTTGCTTGGAATGGGAATTTTTCCTTTTATTTTTTGTAGGTTTTAGTGTAGTTCGATTATTAATTAATAAAGCAGCTGTGTGAGGAACCTCCTTATTGCTTGTACTGTAGGGATCTTACTTGCCCAGTTGGGCAGTTCAGTAGCCCATTGGTATATTCAGTTCAATTTTTTGAAATCTGATTGAAATCACTTTTCCTCGTCATGACAACAAATAACCATCAAAGAGCTAATGGATCTAATAATACAAGCATACTTTGTTTAGTTAGTTAATGTTTACAACGCTGCACATATAGCATTTCTTTCTATGTATAGCTAATTCTGTAATTCTATGACATATACTAACTCTAGACTGATTTTCTCTTGTGGACTGTAGTGCTGCATGGCACAGGCAAAGATAATGGAAACCCTCTGGGGAGGCGTTCTTTGTGGCATGTACTGGTTGCAACTATTTCTTCTTTTTTGTTTGGCTACCATCTCGGGTAGGCCTCATTAAAATTTAATCCTCATTTGCTTTCATTTTCATGTTAGAGGATTTCAGAAGTGATAAATCCAATTGTTTCCTTGGCTGATACAGTGTAGTTAACGAGACACTAGAAACTATTTCTTCAGACCTAGGCTTTAGTGGGAATATGATGGCTGAAGGTACTTTCCGAGATGGACGTTACTGTTTTGTTTTATGTTTTCCTTTGATATATCATTCTGACGTGTTCTTTTAAATTAAATGTAGGTCTAGTGGTGAGTACATGCCTAGGGGGTGCTTTTATTGGATCCATATTCAGTGGTTGGATTGCAGATGGAGTTGGGCGACGCAGGGCGTTTCAGCTGTGTGCTTTGCCAATGATAATCGGGGCTTCAATGAGGTATATGCCTGCAGGCTCATATATTTCATCTGCAAATTTTGTTATTCACTGGTCTTTCCATAAGGATGTTTAAAGCAGATATATATAGCAAAATAGTGGAGTTTTTTTCAATTAAGAAGATGGAAAATTCTTGGTTATGAAACGATGCATCATGAAACAAATTAAATTGTTTATTATGAGGTTTCACTCCTGTAAGTTTTATTGAATAGATGCCAAACATAATTTTGTGTGTATGTGTATTGTGATAGGCTGGAATTATGTAAATTATCTTGGTATTTTTTTTTTCTCATATATATCTGATAATTTCCTTGCTTCAAATTCCCTGTTTCTACACATTACTGTCCAAGTATTAATACGTTTTTCTTGTATGCTTATGGTGCTGTTCAAATGTAATATTGCAGTGCAACAACCAAAGATCTATGGGGCATGCTTTTGGGAAGGCTGTTTGTTGGAACTGGGATGGGTATTGGCCCTCCTGTTGCAGCTCTCTATGTGTCAGAGGTGTATATTAATTATCTGTTTACTAATATAATATTATTATTTTTAATTTACGTTGTTTTGGCTGCTAGCTCTCCTATTTTTCTTTCCTCAAATTCTCTTATTATGTTGATTTGAGAAGGATCCTCATTATATACCATCAAAAAGCAGGTTTCACCAGCTCATGTTAGGGGTACTTATGGCAGCTTAACACAAATTGCAACATGTCTTGGAATTATGGGTTCTTTGTTTATTGGAATTCCAGCCAAGGATAATGTGGGCTGGTACGATATGGAAAATAAATGTTTCTGGATTCTCGTTGAGAGACGTTGATTCTTACTGTATTTAAAATAATAAGTTTTTTTTTTTTTTTTTCAGGTGGCGCATTTGTTTTTGGGTGTCTGCCATTCCTGCTGCAGTCCTTGCTCTTCTCATGGAGTTTTGTGCTGAGAGTCCTCATTGGCTTTTCAAGGTTTTCTGCTCTCAGCTTTAGATCACTTTGGTTACTTGGGTTTGCATTTTGGCTGAGCTTTATATGGCCTTACTGAATTTGATTCCAAGTCTGGATGTATCTAAATACATGTCACCACTTACACAGTTCTTTGAACGACGTTGTTAAATTTCTTTTTATATATATCTACATACTCTATTCAATGAAAATTTCATCATGGAAATATATCTGGCCTGGTTTGGGGCATTGGTTGAGCTTAGTTTGGCTCTACTGAAGTTTGGTTCCATGTATGGAAGTATCTGCATGTATAACTAACTATACACGCAGATAATTGTAAAAACAGCAATTTAAATTTTGTTTTTAATGATGAAAATCTACATAGAATTCGAAGATTGCATTCATCATAAGGAATAGTTCTTAGTTTTATATCATCATCAGATAGATGTTTAAATAGTCTTGGCTCCCACTGACGACTTAAATTTTCCAACTAAATGGTTATCTGAGATATTTAATTTAAAAAAGTATTCCAATTAGATTCAGATTCGGTTGAATTTGATAAAAGTGATTAGGAGATCCGCTATAAGGTACACATGTCAAACCATCATGGTAACATCAAAAGATAATTCTGCTCAGTTCTTGCAAAAGGAAGTTCAGAATCATTTAATGTGCATGATGGATATGAAGCAGGTTGCCCTCCTTGTTTCTATTTTTCTTTTACCTCTTAAATTTGCTCGGAACTCTTTGAATAATGTTTTGTGTTCTGCTATATTTTTGGAAAGTCTATAATAGAACAACTGGTAACAATATAGCTGGACAGCTTTTGTTACCATTGATATGTTGAAGATAATTTTATCAAAGTGATGCGGACTGAATTTTCTGGATTGCATCAGAGAGGAAAGGGTGCTGAAGCGGAAGCTGAGTTTGAGAAGCTTCTAGGAGGATCTCATGTCAAATCTGCAATGGCTGAGTTATTGAAGTCAGACCGAGGAGATGAAGCAGAAAAAGTAAAGTTATCGGAGTTACTCTATGGTCGCCATTTTAAAGGTACAAATGTTCTTTTATTTGTGGTAGCATATATAGATCAGTTTCCCTCCAGATAATTACTTTTGACTTCTCTATTTGCAGTGGTTTACATTGGGTCTGCACTTTTTGTCTTACAACAGTTATCTGGCATAAATGCTGTATTCTATTTCTCATCAACTGTCTTTAGAAGTGCTGGTGTTCCCTCTGACTTTGCAAACACATGTATTGGAATTTGCAACTTACTGGGTATAGATATGGCTTTACTCCCGTGCCAGACATTTTATTTGTGTACTATGGTTTGGCTGTTTCTCCTGATTCTTTCTTAATATTACATCAGGATCAGTGATTGCAATGGTTTTGATGGATAAACTAGGAAGAAAGGTGCTTCTTATTGGGAGTTTTTCTGGAATGGTAAGGAAAAAAATATTTCCTGGAACAAGTTTCCTTGTTTTTGTTCCTTTTATGTGGTGGTTATGCCTGTTGTAAACTGAAGAAATACTCTTTTCAGTTAAGGTACTGAAATGGTGGCTGGGGAAGTTACTGTTCAGTCTCGTGTATAAAATAAAATAGTTGTTCTTATGTCTATCTGCACTCTTATGGTCACAAGCAGATGTTGTGATTTTGTCTTAAAACTTATATTTGATCATTCAGTTGAATGACTAGGTAGTCATCTAACTTAGTCATAAAATTAACTCTGATTATCCATTTTTGTGATGGCCTCAAACATTGAAAAGATTGGTCTGAGGTCCAAATTACAAGGATTTTCTTGACAATAATAAAATTAGGAAATCAATTATATGGTAATAAGGTTGTGAGATCAACATATGTTTGTACAAACTGTAGCATGTCTGATTTTCAGTTCTTTATTTTCTTTCACAACCATAATCCTTTGGAAAGAAACATGTTACATTTGTGATTCGTGATACCTATCCATATCTGATTTTGCACTGCGCAAAATAACTGTTGACGTATGTCAGCTTTTTACCTTTTGCATTATGATGTACAGACAGTGTCAATGGGTCTTCAAGCTGCTGCAGCTAGTTCGTTTGTGCCAAGCACTTCTGCATTATATCTATCTGTTGGAGGCATGCTAATGTAAGTAGCCAGTCTACAACTTGTACAGAAAGATAGTATATACAAGTATAAAATAACTGAGAGATTATCCAATCTCATGAGTCATGAGAGCTTGATTCATTTCTATCAGATGGTTCAATATTAATAAGAATTTTATAACTGATTCTGTTAGAACAAGGCATCATTTGAAGATTGAAATGGCAACTGGCCAAACCTGAGAATTATATAAATTGCTTTAGTGAATAGTATATTCTAATATTTGAGTACTTTGGATAGTGAGCAAACCATGTTAAAAGTTGCCAGAATTAGTCTTCTTCCCATAAGTTGTCAAATGGAAAGGAGTAACCTTAAAAGACCTGTCTGCTTTCTTAATATTTTATATCTCTGCCAGGCTTGCTCTTTGATATCTGTTATTTGAAACATGAACCTGATGATGCAGGTTTGTGTTGACATTTGCTCTTGGTGCCGGTCCAGTCCCTAGTCTACTTCTCTCCGAAATACTGCCAGGTCGAATTAGGGCAAAGGCAATGGCAGTTTGCATGGCCATACATTGGGTAATTGTCTTCTGCTAGTCTTCCTGTTATGTTTTTGTCAGCTTTCGTCTTTCTCCCTATTTTACAAGTCGCATCCAAAATTTTATGACTAGTGAAATTCAGTTTTATAACTCTAATGAATTTTAGATCGACTGAGATGTCACTTTCCAGTTGTCTCCTCTATCTATCCATCTGGGAAATTGCCATTTCTTGAGTGTGGATCTTTAGTGATTCAGAATGCAATATTCTATATCTCAACCAACAGTGCTGTATCTACCATTTATATAAATTCCCAGAATACAATTTATGTTTAAAATATTAATTACAGATTAGTGAGCTAAATAAGACATGGGAGTGGAAATAACAAAGTCTCGGAGTTTTGGTATTTTGCCGAAAGGCCTAGAGTTGCAAATCCTTGGGTTGAGTACTTGGTGCTGTTATTGCACTTAAATAATTTTTGTTTTCTATTTTGAGCATGTACATTAAAAGATGCCTATCCTCATGTACATTAAAAGATGCTTTACATGCTGATGTTCTTATTCTGCCTTTCTGTTCCCTTTCCATTTGTCATAAGACTTTTATTAGTTTGCGTTACACTTTCATACCTAAGAATAAATGGTTTGAATGGTGCTAAAGTAAATTATGGACATCTTGGCCACTAGTGCTGAAATTTCAATTGTTGGTTTTATGAACTAATTCCTTTGTTGTTTGAATAAATTTGTCCATTCCCCCTCTATTTCATGGTACAGTTTATTTGAACTTTTTCAAGTAATAATAATATAAATACAAAGTACACATTTTTTTCTGTTTTGCTTTCATTTCTCTGTGTAATTTCAACTTCTTAAACTTTTGAATTACTATTGCTGGATTGCTGATAGAACCTTGGGCGTGTCTCATAGGTGATAAACTTCTTCGTGGGTCTATTGTTTCTGCGTTTGCTGGAGCAAATTGGGCCTCTAGTCTTGTATACAATTTTTGGTAGCTTTTGTTTGTTGGCAGTGATTTTTGTGAAGAAGAATGTGTTAGAAACAAAAGGAAAATCTCTCCAAGAGATTGAAATTGCACTACTCCCATAAGAATAAAGGTAATTCCTTATTCTGATACTTTACATTTTGTTATGAACTCCTTTTTTTTTTTTGGGGGGGGGGGGCTTAGCTAAAACATTTCCTTTAGTCTCTATTTTAATTCCCTCTATAACTTGAATTTACTGTTAGGTGCTAATTAAGCAGTTAGATGATAATAAAATTGGAGGGCATCCATTTTTAAGCATAGACATAAGTTTATCCATTGTTTAATGCTTGAAAACTTGACAAACAAACTTGGGCAAAGGAAGCATCCTGATTCATTCAATGTTCATTACAGGGCAATCAATGAATATCATGTTTACTTCTCAGTTTTAATATTGGTCATTTCACTTTTTTTCTCTACAATGAATGGCATCAAATGGCATCTTACTGCATGTTGGATTATTTTCATTATACATTTCAAGGTCAATTTCCCAAGTAGTGCATATTATGCAACAGTTCATTTTCTTTTTCCTCTTTCTGTTTCTATTAACGAATATCTTACTTGTGTATGTTGTTTTTTTATTCTTCTTCAACTATTTAATGTTCTATTTGTTGATTTCTCACACTCAGACGTGTATGGGTCAGATTGTTCCTTTTGGCACACTTCTGATATTGGTGCTTCCCTCCCCATAAAAATTTGATTTTCTACAATTGGACGCTGTTCTTTATTTATTCTCTCGTGTCAGTTTATTCTCATGGCCTATTAAAAATCATTTATGTTTCTGAAGATTAATGATCATTATATGGATCTTCTTTTAAAAAATAATTCTCTGTTTATCTTAAATAATTTTGGTGGTTCATCCGTGTCTTCTCTATATAAATTGGAAGCAAAAGTCAACCTACTTTGCTTCACAAATAAAGCTCAGATCAGAATCAAGAGTCAACTGTTGGCTAATCATTGTTTTCCAATTTCACTTGTGTTCAGTCCAGTATTGTACTTTTCACCCAGGAATTCGAGATGAAGTATAACGAAGAAGGTTTAGGCTAGATAGACGGCAAATGCAGCATACATATTACAATTATGGACTTGAACCTTTAAAAGGGCAGTAAGACAGGATAGAGATAAATATAATCATGATGCCTCGGAGTTGGTTTGGAGATTCAAAGAGCTGAATTGAGCTTCTTATGTTTTTGTCTTAACAAATTTGCTACTTGGAAGTTGCAACCAGCTGCTCTCTATTGGTCAAGCATGCCTAACCTCATAGCTTCTTCCTGCATTTAGTTGTACGCTATGGTTGGAGCTGGGACTTGAAAAGGGAAAAATGGCTGAAAGAGCTACTGGTTAAGATGGAGATTTATTTTGATTCTCTTATTTCATTTTCCAAATCTGAGGATCATTTATGATTTGCAGGGAGATAAATATATAATTGGCTATTCATTTTCCCTATATTTCTTGCACTGGTTCTTGGCTTGTTTATGGCTTCAAGTGAGCTTCTTCGTGGAATTATGGAGAGCTGGAGAACTTCAATTCTCAATTTATTTTTCTGAGAATATCATAGTTCCTTTGCATTGAAGTTATAGAAGCAATGTGATGGACAAAAAGATTGTTCTTACAGCATATGTTCACTTTACCGTATTCAACCGACGTGCAAGAAAAGTTTTTACTATGGCACTTATAGCATTAACTATCACTTGTAACAAGTTATGTAGTGGAAGATTTCAATAAAGCAAACTCCTTTTGAAGGTTCAACAAATAAACATTGCAAATTGTTGGTGTTGCAGATGGGTAATCTTTAAGGAAAATTTTGCCACAAAAATTACAATTTGAGATGGTGAATCTTTAATTTGTTATACATTTTAGACTTTTAGGTTCTGGTAAGAACAAGGGTGGAGTATCATTGGAAATTTAAAATGATCCGTTTGGGGGGTAAGCACTGTTTTTTGTCAATTTGGTTCAGTTTTCAATTTTTAAAAATCAAGATAGTCGAATTTATTCAATAAATTAATTTGAATCAAACCAATTTGAAATATTAAAAATAATCAAAAAATTTGAATTGAATTAGTGGAATTACACAAAACAAAATATATATAATCAAAATTGAATTAATTGAAAAATCAAAACTCCTATTCCCTTTTAAATGGTAAATCAATGAAAACTCTTCCGAATGGAAGGCTTGAGGGCTAAAATTCCTTTTACTACAATATAAAATTACTTATCAATTATTTGAAATGCATGGTGACATAACAAATGATGCTTGGCTTGTGACACAAGCTGATGCCATAAGACTTAATTGGATCCTTTTCCTGTCAACTTTTATTTATATATAATTTCTATCTTTAAATGAGTTTCTTCACCCCCTATTAGACTGGACTGTCCTTAAAATGGACATCCGTGTAATATGTAATTTTGTTTGGAATTTACTTGAAAATTGTAACTTGTTGTCAACAAGCACCATACTATGAATGAGTAATTGTTCTCTTAATTTAAATGACACTGTCAAGTACCAAGGTCAACGAGCCGTCGTTTTTATGATATAGAGTGGCAGAGTGGTCTGTTGAGGACAGGACGTGGCATGTTTTAAAGCACATGTCGTTTATCGTTGATGGATGCCTCTTGGATAAAGCTAGCGTTAAATGACAGGTCCTATAACTTACAGACGATTGCTTTCAACTGAACGAACCGTATTCTGCCGTTTACGGCCAATACGAAACGTCAACGTTTATCACCGAAACCAGAATATATATACTCGGTTCAAAAAATAAAAAAGAAGAATATATAGACAAAGCTCTCTCTGTTGGTTGTATTTATCCTGGTAGAGTTGATAAATTTATTAATTTTATGAGATTTTAGGTTTGTTTCTGCTGAATTCAGTCTAGATTTTATCAATGTTTTACTATCATTTGTATTTTTTTTTTTCCTGTCTAAATGCCTACCATGCGTTTGATGAAATGCAACACTGAAAATAGAGGTCAGTAATATTACTGGATTTGTTTGTTTCAGCTGCTGTGAAATAGGATTATATACCAACTGACAATGGAAAGCGAAGATGATGTGGTGAAGAAGACACAAGTTGTGGAGGCTCGGGCAAGGAATATTAGTCACAATGTTCGGTGCACGGAGTGTGGGAGTCAATCCATTGAAGATTCTCAAGCAGATATTGCTATTCTCCTCAGGAAGGTATAATATCATTCAATAAATCATATAACATATTGAGTTATGATTCTTACTGCTTGTTAAAGCTTTGATATTTATGGAACCATTTCTCTGTATCTGGGTTGCAATGCTTGTTGTATAATTGATCAGTTTATTAATTTTTGGTTTAGGCTTGAACTTTTGTTTTTCTTTTTTGCTGCTTAGCTAGCTTTTTAAATTGTCATGAACAAGATTGTGTAATTCTTGCCAGTTACCATTCCCTTCACTAGATAGGATTCTTCTTGGAGGTTTCTGTTATCATAGATTATTCCTAAATGACTGTTCTGATAATTATTTGGCTGTAGCTAATTCGTGATGAGATTCAGTCTGGGAAAACCGACAAAGAGATCTACAAAAAACTTGAGGATGAATATGGGGAAACTGTACTTTATGCACCAAAGTTTGATCTACAAACTGCAGCCTTGTGGCTATCCCCGGTTAGTTTAAATTCCAAAGTAATTATTATTAAGTAAATTAATTGTTTCTTTAAATTTTATACATTACCAAGTAATTGGTATCTTGGGATAGCTTCTAGTTGCAGGTGTTGCTGGAGGAATATGGGCTTTCAAGAAGCACAGGCAGAAGACTAATGTACACATAATGGCATTGAATCTTGTGAGAGGTGTTCCATTGACTCCAAAAGAGAAGGAAAATATGTTGGAGATTCTCACACCTCCTGCCTCAAATGCAGCTAGTCCGTCCTTCTGGTGGAGAAAGTGGCGTAATTGATAATGCCTTTCTTCTTTTGACTGCTGCAAATCTTCTTCAAGCTCTGGAGTTTTGTGGAGGGAACTAAAGTATTATGGTAGTGATCTGAAATTAACTTGTTTATAGGGGCTGGAATTGTTGCAAAAAAGAAACTTAAACCATTGGAGGATTTTGAATGTAATAGTGTCCAATTTTACTATTCAGCTTTGCTTATCATGCTTGGTAATGTTTATGATTTTTTTTTTTTTTAATTTGACTAAATTATCTTTTTATCTCACCTAATTACATTGATCTTGTAGCTAATATTTTTAGCAGAAACAGTGGTAAAATTGGAAATGATTAATTAATACTCATTAATCAACTTTTCAAAAGCTGCAAATAATAATCAACTTTTAATCTTAGGTTTTAAAAACACAGGACAATCAAGAGAAAAGCATAGAACCAGAACATAATCATCCTTTTTAAAATATGCGACGCCATGGAAAAGTATAGAAGCTTCCATGAGCTCCATTGGTCTTAGATTTGAGAGCAGGTACGCTATTGACTTCAAAACTTTGAAATCTCATAATTTCTGTTCACATTTTCCAAACAATCTTTATATTCCTTTTATGTTCGTCGACAAAGAATTGACAGACTGCAATTAAAAAGAAGATATTGATCAATTAATTTGAATTTGTTTCATCAAATGGATAGGCTTGAAATCACTAACCAGCTTGAAACTAGCACAACAACTATTGAGCCTCCATTTGAGACGACTCAAGAATCTTGGTATGCTGATGAACTGATTCTTGGGCATCCGTGGACGACAGGATTGTTCGATTATCGCAAGAATAAAAGAAACGGTAAAATTAGTTTCCCATCTCTAAATCTTCCAATTTTTTTTTTTTATTTGAACATCAATAAAATCATGTTCTTTCTTGTGTTGGTAGCCATTCTTACAGCATTTCTTCCTTGTATGACTTTTGGACAAATAGCAGAAGTGTTGGACGAAGGGAAGTCTAGTAAGTCCTTTTTTCTTCTTGCAATTCTATAAAAATGGATGATGATATTAAGGTACTTACTAGTGATGATTGCAGCTTGTGGACGAAGGGGTTCCTGTTACTTGTTGTTGATGCTTACTTCCTATGCTCAATGGGTTTGGAGCACTGAGTATAGAACCAAGCTAAGAAGGAAGTTTAATCTAGAAGAAGGTCCTTATACAGATGTGGCAACTCATATTTTTTGTCCTTGCTGTTCTCTTTGCCAAGAGTTTAGAGAGCTTCAAAATAGAGGACTTGACCCTGCTTTAGGTAAATCTCTCTATTCTATCTTTATACATTTACAAGTTCTGAAATTTGAGATGAGTTATTTTATGAATGTTGAATGTAGGTTGGAAGGGAATCCTTGCTCAACAACAGGGAAGACAGTCTGATGATGAAGAATTAAATGTTCCTCCATCAAACCAAGTCATGTCCAAGTAAATTTATTAGTTTTATTTGACAATAAAAGGAAAAAGGAAAGAGATTATTCACCTGAATTTTGTTCTTGCTTTGAATATTATGTTTCAAAGCTTGTATAGCAGAAAAAAGAAACCTGTGAAATTCTCAGAATTGTGTTATTTTCCAAGCTAACTGAATAAGCCAATAAGTGGTTATGAAATCCCTTCAAGTTTAATTTGATTTTGAAAGTATTGAATGTTATTAACCCTTGTTTCATTTCTTTTATTAATTTGGGGTGCTTCATATCAATGAACACTTGAACTCCATAACTTAAGTTTGATGTGTAAATGGAACTACATTTGTAACCAGGCGTTGGTCCTTCTCTAATTTCCCCCCAAACTGCATTAATTAATTATCAATTTTTTATGAAGGAAAATTTAATGCTTGTTGATTCGTCATTAGTGTATTTAATGATGTGTTTTTGTGAACAAACTCCTTGTATATCTTTCTATATCCGAATTGATCCAATTTTTTCTCTAATGGTATTATTTAGACTATATTTGTTTTCGGAAAATAACTTGTCTAGAAAATATTTTTCAAATTTTCCTATGCCTGGGTCCAGGAAAATCAATCAACAGAAAAATATTTTCTTGGTAAATCAAGAAAAGTCATCTTTAAGTAAAACTAGGTCATATCCAAAGAAAGTTGAACATACTCTGTTTTGTTTACTTATTTATATGTTCTCTGTTCAAAAACAGGATCGTCAAGAAAAGCTGGCAAAAAGAGATCAATTTGAAGAGTACTTCCTCTGAGCATTATTTAAAAACTAGAAGAAAGATTTCTTGTCATTTCAATTTTCTATTATTTGCGCTTCTAGAGCAACCATATACTAGGGAATAATGCATGTTGAAATTACATATCTGCCCAATGCTTAATCTAGTTTTCTGTTGCACTTCTTCTTTAAAATTATGATTAATTTACTAATCACCTGAGATTCCAACAAAAAAAAAAGAGGAATAACATATGATTCATTCAAATCCTCTTTCCCTCCAAACAAACAACTGAAGAAAAGAAAAGAAAAGAAAAGAAAACATAACAGAACAAATAAAATAAAATTAAAAAAAAAAAAAAAGAAAGAAGTATTACAATAAATGACAAAATTGTTCACTATTTTCTTTTTTTCCAAAGCCGTCTCTGCTGAATTTTTCTGCAGACTATTTTCGATGAAGATAAAGTAAGAATTTAATAAGATGTGATAAAGACAAAGATATATATAATAATGAACCCATTTATTAAGAAAGTCTCTCTAAGGATTAGCTTGGACTCAGGCATCAATAATTGGAGTTAGCTAGATATTGTATCTCTGATCATATGGGTAGGCCGGAGACCAACCAAGTTGTTGAAACAGTTCAGCCTGCAACAGTAACGCCACCAACATGGCAGCAAGTTCAAGAAAATATTCAACATGGGATTCCTCAGGATCCTTCTGCTACTCCTGTGGTGGTTGAGAATATGGTTACTGGACATCCTTGGACGACTGGATTGTTTGATTGTCATGAACACCAAACAAATGGTAATAATCTCATTGCACAATTTCTGAAATTTTCCCTTCTTAATTTAAATAAAGCCATGTTGATCAAATTCTACTTCTAAATAGCCTTCGAATGAACTCTTTATTTGTTCTATGTATTGTTTCGAATATTGAGGAGAGGATCCAAACTTACGTTCTTGAACTCCTGGGATTCGATCATAGGACTCCACTGTAATGTTAGTGGGATAACACAAGAGGGCTAATCTTACCATTTGTTCTTGTTTGTCTTGGCAGCCGTTATGACAGCATTTTTCCCTTGTGTAACATTTGGGCAGATAGCAGAAGTACTGGATGATGGAGAGATGAGTAAGTCACTTTCCTCTAACAAGTAGGTTAAGAATTAAGATTAGCAAGTTTCACACATTACTAAAGATATATTAACATTAATTATCATCTATTCTTGTTACAGCTTGTCCTTTAGGAAGCTTCATCTATCTGTTAATGATGCCTGCTTTGTGCTCTCAATGGATTATGGGCTCCAAGTACAGATCAAAGCTAAGGAGGATTTATAATTTGGTAGAAGCTCCTTACTCAGATCTTGTCTCCCATTTCTTCTGCCCCTGTTGTTCTCTTTGTCAAGAGTTTAGAGAGCTTAAAAACAGAGGATTTGATCCTTCCTTAGGTACCTTACATTTCAATTCCTTGCAGTTTTTATTATTTCATTATCTGACTGAAGAGGTGAACTTAATACAATACAAAAAATCTCGAAAAACATATTCTTTCTTTGTGGGTTTTAAATTTTAATTGTGAATTTTGATTGTAGGTTGGAATGGGATACTTGCTCAACAGCGCGAAAGACATTATCATGATCAGCAAGTAAATGCTCCTCCCCAAGATCAAGTCATGTCTAGGTGAAATTGTAGGTTGTCTTGTCAAGTTCCTGAAATTAAAACAGCTTCTGTCTTATGGTTTGATTTATATACATTGTTGTCCAAAAGATTATTTTTATTACAAAGAACACTGCATTTGAAGTTATAATTCCAACATCTTCCTTTCTTGGGAAATGTATTTGGTATTTGACAGAAGCTATAAGCCTGAAACAGACAGAAGAAAGACTGCTCAATTGAAGCTCGATGCCAATGTAGGAAATTCTTTCGGAAAAATAAATAATACACAAATAATAAGTACAAAATTATTCCACTACCAAATTTAAAGTTCATCAAAAAGTATTTCTTGAAGTATTTATGACACATTTGCTATTAGTAATCTGTCTTGTAATATCTCAAGGGAATCCAAAGTAAACTTCAAAAATTCAAGAATTATAAAAGGATTGGTGGTTTTTTTATAATAATAAAAAATAAAAAAAAAAAACATTGAAATTATAAAAAAAATTTCCCTGTTTATAAATAGGGGTAAGCACGTGCAAATGAATAAACCAAAATTTTTTCACATGTAAATCAAATTAAATATTAGTAGCTAGATGTGTAATTGAAAACCATGTGACATTTTAATTTCAATAATTAATTAGAATGTCTAATAATACTTCCGTTCCATTAAATTTTAACAGGACCACTAATCCGGTTCGAGGTTTATCGGGTTTGGGGTTTAATTATAATTAAATTATTAACTTAAACTATTTTAGTCATTTTCTTCAAAAAAAAAAAATGTCACTTTTAAGAAATTAAATACATCATAATAATTGACTATTTGATCATTCACGCTTAATTTAGAATTATTATTTAATCATTCACGTCAAATGTTGAATTACCATCTATTCACTAGCTATTTTTGTGTACATGAATAAATAATTTATGAGATTGAATTTTAGAGACTAAATAATTTATATATTTAACCCGAATGGATATCTCAGTAATAAAGAGTATTTGCGACATTGATCACTATGACTTAAGTAATGAGTTCGAATCTCTCGCAATACAAACTCTTTCGAAGCCGATTAAAACCGGCATGGATTTCCTAAATGAATTTATAACTGAATACTCCCAGTTTCCATCCAATTGATAATAATTCCTATATTTTTTACATGAATCAAATCAATAAAATTAGAGATTTTTTTATAAAATAAAGGCCAATATGACTCTTGAATTTATAGTTATGAATAAATTTAAGGGATTAAATAGTTATTTACCGTAAATAATATCAAGCACTAACAGCCACCAAACACATCCTATGGAAAAGACAGCTACAAAAGAGTACAAGGTACTGAAGTCTAAAACCACATGCGTAAAATAATATCGTTCACAACAGTTCCCTGAAAAAGTTAAAAATCTGTTATTTTCTTCTTTCTTTCTATCCAATCGCCATTTGTATTTTACAGTAGCAGTGGAGATCTTTCATCTTTCAAACAAAGGTTAAAAAACTAATTCACTGAACCTTAACCTTCAACTGTAATTGCGGTTTCTGAAGATCACCAACCCTCAACCGCACAGGACACCATCATTTAACTATTACTAATTTCTTCCCTTCCGAACCTTCTCTTCTCACCTAAATGTGCTCCTCATTTAAAGCTCTTACCAAACACTTAAACGTCAGTTACCGCCCTCTTCATTACTATCACACCTCTGCCTGTCGTCTATGTCTCGGCCATTATACGCGTCTTGGATCGCCGTTTTCTTCTCCTTCTCTATCTCTTTCGGGTTTTGGTTCTCGTTTCTCCTGTTATCGGTTTTACGCTTGTAAGTGTATTTGTCTTGATCACCATTGTTTGCTTTGCGGATTTTGATTTCTCTGTTTCGTTAGTTTTTGTTTTTAGCTTTTTGCCGGTTTTTTGTTTGAAGAAATGCCCAGCTCATGATATTGAAGAATTTTGTTTAATGTTTTCTCATTTTAGAATTGTTTTCTTTATATGGTGGTCTTGTAGCGCCACATCCTGGTGTATTTATGGAGTTGGTCAAAGCAGTTTATAAGCAGGGTAATGCGGCTGCAGAGAGCATAGCTATCAGAGCGGACCAGAAGAGTTATAGTTATGGACAACTTTTCTCCTCCGCTTCGAACATATCCAATCTTTTGTGTAATGCTGGATTAAAGACTGTGAGTTGAAAATTAACCAAATCATTATGATATGTTTTTGGCATTGTGGTCTATTTCACTGAATTTTGGGGCACTGTTAAAAGTAAATTACATTATGTTATCGCTTAGCCATGTTTAAGTTTGTACTTAAATGGGTCTTTCTGGTTGAAAATTTAGTTAAAGTTATTCTTGAATATTTGGACTCGTGAAGCTAGCAAAAACTAAAAATCTTATCTTTGTAGATTGATGGTGTTAGAGGAAATGGAGATCTTGGTGGAGCTCGGATAGGGATTGTGGCTAAACCTTCAGCTGAGTTTGTTGCCGGGGTGCTGGCAACTTGGTTTAGTGGAGGTGTTGCAGTTCCGCTAGCGCTCAGCTACCCAGAGACTGAGCTCTTGCATGTGATGAATGATTCAGTATGCCTGAAACCTATTCTCCATCTTCTCTCTCTCTATCTATCTATCTCTCTCTTTTGTTACTGTGGAATTGCTCTCTTTACATTACTGTTCAAGGTAAAACAAGTCTGTGTCAGTAACAAGTGGCCAGCGCCTGGAAAATGATTAATAATTTCTCTTTTCTTTTAAAAAACTGACTGCTAGCATCGAAGACTCTTATGGCTTGTTACCATACATTATGTTGATATTTGTAATTGCTACATGCCACACCAGAATGTTTTTCTATATATTGCATAACAACTGCAAATCTGGTTTTCTTCATGTTAGTTCTATTAAGTACTGATGTTCATCCTTCAGACAAATATTATATTGTCTTGATGTTGATAAAATTTTTTGGTTTCCAGTTCATCACTAGGATTGTTTCCCAACTAAAATCATGTCTTGAGTTATGCAAATATACTGAAAAGGAGTAGATTGTTCCCTTACGTTTTAACTCGTCTTGCACTTAGTCATGTCTTTCTCTAGTCAATTATGTAAAATTTGCTACTATTTAAGCTGGATAGCATAGTATGATAACCGTAGATTTGATAGGAAGTGCCTGGGAGTATTGCTATCCTGCAAAATTTTAATTATCTTATTTTGCTTTATTGTGAATCAATTGTCATAAATCTCTGATTTTCATTTGATTAATAGGAAATATCTATGGTATTGAGCACTGAAGAGCATTATGAGCTAATGCAAAATATTGCTGCAAAAAGTGCTGCTCAATTTTCACTTATTCCATCTGTTCCCAGTACTACTTCTCAGACAAGTCAACATCATTCACAAAATGGAGCCATGGATACAGATAGAGGTCTGTTGAGGAAAACTGAGGACTCATTTGAGATGGGTGGTTCATCATTTTAGGAAATTTATGGAAGATCTATCTTATACATATATACACAAGTGGCACCAATTTTGTTCTCTTTTTAAAAAAAAAAAATTTCTTTTGAAGATGTTGAGTATGTTGATGGTGCAGGTGATGATCCTGCATTAATTGTTTATACAAGTGGCACAACAGGAAAACCTAAAGGCGTCGTCCATACTCACAGAAGTATCACTGCACAGGTTACCTTATACTCCTAAGTTTGATCTTCTGTTTCTGTTTTAGTAACCCTATGATATGGCCTCCTGTACAACTTCTGTGTCAGTTATGTTACTTTCAGTAGTCAATCACAAACAATAGATGGTACCATATATAAATTGTATGATGGATAGGAGTTGTTATTAATACTAGAAAATGATACTGAGCCAACAATTATTCAGTGCTCCTGGTGCATGGTGCACCCTCTCTTGCGTTCATGTTGAACTTACCCTCCATAATTTCAGTGGATCCACGTGAATGTGAATGTAGGTTGCACTATTTTAATGTGCTTTGGGCGCACTATGTCAAAATTTCTATTTTTCTTAGTTATCCCTCCTTATATGGTATACTGTTATCTGTCTTACTGGTAGAAACGTGTCACTTTAGTCATTAGGTGGGATAATAAAGGTGGCAGAAAAATGGAGCATGTAGCAGTACTCTTACAATTTTAATCACTTTAGTATCATTTAACCGTACCCTGAAAATAGTACGGCTGAATACTGAAGACACAAAACTTTCTTTCTTTAGTTCCATTACTATTTTAATGATTTGATTTAGCATTGAGTATGAATTTTTGGCTGAATTGCAGGTTCAAACCTTGGCAGAAGCTTGGGATTATAGATCCAGTGATCAATTTCTCCATTGTCTGCCTTTGCATCATATCCTTAAAATTGTAGCCCATATATTACTGTAATAAAGGTTGCAAGTGATTAGAGGTTGAACATGCTACTGCTGATGCTTTCATTGCTTTAGTGAATTTGTGGAAGATCTTTTGTCAAACTGATCCTTAACTTATGATAAACATGTTCATGGACTTTTCAATGCTCTATTTGCCCCTATATATGCAGGTTCCACGGTAATTTTGTGTTTTTGCTAGCTCCAATACAGACATGTGTTCATGTGTACACATGCAGATATTCCTGCTGGAAAATGATATTTCATTTAGTTGGTCATATTGAATTTGGCTGTAACACCTGTTCATGTTACTGAAGGTTGAGTTTATGCCTAAATTTAGCGTGAGGGGAATCTGGCAAAGATGGCGAGAATCATATCCGATCAGTGGGAATAAAGCTGATGATGCTATTACAGTGTTCACAGGAGTAAGTCTGTTCTTTACATTAAGCATGCTTATGCAAATAGGAACAACTGTTTGACTGACTGACCATTCATGTATTATATAATTTTTCTAGTATAATTTTATTGGAAAACAGTACACTGTATCTCATTCATGGTTTCTCTAACTTCATTTTCTTATTCTCCAATTTCTTACTGTTCTAGAATCTCTGAACTTGCAAATTCTTTTTCTTTTGCACATCAGCTAATATGTTTTTTGTTATACTTTTGAGTAAATGTTGGAATTTGTGTCACTTGAATGGATTCAAAAGGAGCCTCATAAGGTCACCCTATAATACACCTGCTTTCTTGGTTAGAGTTTGTATTTAAAATCTGAAGTTCTAAATTTAACAAATTGTGCTTAAACTGGTGAAACTGTCATTTGAAGTTTTAAGTCATATGCCTTTTTAATGTACAGGTCCCGACCATGTACACTCGATTGATACAAGGTTATGAAGCAATGGACCCAGAGCTTCAAGCAGCTTCTGCCACTGCTGCAAAACAGTTGCGCCTAATGGTAAATACACTTGTAAAACTTGTTCGTTATATATATTGATTTTGAACACCTGGAAGTATTGCATTTAATCGATCAATGATTTATTCTGCAAATAATATCTTCCATCGGTATGATCTTTTTTCTATCACTTGAATTGCTATTGACAATATCACTTCTTTCTTTTCCTGGCCAAAGCCAACTGCTTAATGTTTTGGTCATATGCCAAATCTTTTTTTGTTGTATTTCGCTAGATGTGTGGCTCCTCTGCACTCCCTCTTCCTGTCATGGAACAATGGGAGACCATCACAGGACATCGCCTTTTGGAAAGATATGGCATGACTGAGGTAATTGATCTTTTTAAGAAATGGGGAAGCGCAAGTTATGGTTTTCTTTCTGATATTCTTACTTAATATCCGAGTTTAATTTTTTAGTTTGTCATGGCAATATCAAATCCATTAAGAGGTGAACGGAAGGCAGGCACTGTAGGCAAACCATTTCCTGGAGTGCAGGTATATACACTTTTAATTAAAATATTTTACTTCTGTGTTACTCTGGTCTCAGCAACTCCTGACTCTGTCTAAATGCCTTGTATTCCTACAGGTCAAGATTGTAGAAGATCAAAGTGAAAACGACACAACAGGGATGGGTGAGCTTTGCGTTAAAAGCCCCTCATTATTCAAGGAGTACTGGAAACTTCCTAAGGTATTACTGCCTATCACTTTGGCCTTTTTCTCTCCCTGTGCCCTTTTTCTTTAAAAGAATATATACTCTGTCTAAAAATTGCCTTGCTATTTCCTACAGGTTCAAGATTGTAGAAGCATCAAAGCTGAAAACTACACAACAGGGAATAGGAGTGAGCTTTTGCGTGTTAAAAGCCCCTCATTATTCAAGGAGTACTGGAAACTTCCTAAGGTATTACTGGCCTATTCACTTTGGCCTTTTTTCTCCCCTGTGCCCTTTTTCTTTAAAAGAATATATAATATATATATTATATATATAGTATATATATATATATAGTATATATTGCGGCATATTGTATTCCTTATTTGGGCCAATTTGGATGGGTTCTATTATTCTGATTATTCTAGTTCTGGTTTTTAATATAATTTTTCGGAATTTTTCATTGTTCAATTTTAAGTTCTCCGAATTTATGTGACACCATTTATAGACTTCAGATATACATGATGTATTTTCACAAGGTTTTTCCTTTTATATTCAATCATTGAAAACAATATGATTAGAATTATTTTAGTATATATATTGCGGATATTGTATTCTATTTGGGCCAATTTGGATGGGTTCTTTTATTCTGATATCTAGTTCTGTTTTATATTTTCGAATTTTCATGTCATTTTAAGTTCTCCGAATTTATGTGACACCATTATGACTCAGAAACATGATGTATTTCACAAGGTTTTTCCTTTTATTCAAATGAAACTATAATTGATAGAATAATTTAGCGTCCACTTCTTTTAGAAGAAGTTAATATTTATTATTTTAGCAGAATTATAGAGCTTCACTCATATTTATATTTTTATGTGCTCTAAACTATCTGCAGAAGTGTTGACCTGATTGTGATCTTGTTGTTTTCAAGTGTTAGCATGATTGAACTCTTTTCAGATTTCAAGTTTAGAACTTGCACAATATAGTGCTGTAATATTTCTTCTAAATCTGTGATGATATACTTAGAGGCAGGACTCATTCTCCTGTCTGAACATATTTGGTAACAATTTAAGTGAAAAGTCATAAATTTTCTTTTGATTCTAATTTATGTCATTGACTCAACAAAGTTCAGCTCTTTGCTGGAAAAGGCTACTAAGGAAACCAGGCAATGGCCTATCCAAATCTATCCCATTTCTTTCTTTTTCAACTTTCTTTTTGTTTTGAATGTTTTGGATAAGAATATTTCCTTATAGATTAAATATCCATTTGTAGTTTCTTCAAGGTAGAAATATGTTTTCTTTTTTCATGCTAGCACTTTGTTAGGCTATGCATTCTCTGAGGTGTACATGTTCTAATTAAGGATGGGCTCATCCTCCAGCTTAAATTATATTTAAAGTATTTGGATATTAATGTCTTCAGTTATAATAACCTTTTGATTACTTTGCAGGTAACCAGTGAATCTTTTACTGATGATGGCTTCTTCAAGACAGGTGATGCTGGCAAAGTAGATGAAGATGGATATTACATCATTTTGGGACGTAAGCAGATCTTTATTCTCCTGTATTTTTATTGATCTGTTGTATTTTAATTGCAAAATATACCCTTCTACATGGAACATGACCTGTTCTCCAACTTATTCTGCACATTGATAATATGTGACAGGCATATTTATTGTCTTTGCCACCTGCAGTATCAAGTGAACTAATATCGCATGCTGATTGTTAAATTTAGTGTTTGCTTCTGGCTGATTCAGAATGGAGCTTGTACAATTTTCTTCAGTTCCCGTACATTGTTTTTCTATAAAATAAAATTCATTGTCTCATCAACCCACGTTGAACAAGTCTCGCATGTTGAAATTCCCTTCTTGATTTCCCTACCACACCCCCTTCTCACTCTCTTTCTTTCCCCTCCTATGTAATGCACCCATTTATTCCTTGCCATCTGTTAATATGCCCATAAGTCATTGAAGTTAGTTTTACCAGCATGCAAGAATTTTGGCTTGGAGAATGGAGTTGATCCAATTTTTTCTGCTGTGTTCCTTCGTCTTGTAGCTCATAATTCTTTGATGTTACTTTTCAGGTACAAGTGCTGATATTATGAAAGTTGGGGGATACAAATTATCAGCATTAGAAATTGAATCAGTTCTTTTGGAGGTGATTATTTCTCATTCTCTCTATTACAGTAATCCGACTCCATGGCCATAAATCACTGTCTACTATAGCATCTAATGTTTTTCCTTTTTCTTTTCTCTGACTGTTATTTTGATAGTTAATACAAAACAGTTTGATTATCTGTTCTAAGAAAGAATAAGGTTAAAACAAAAACTTCCCCATTTTACAGCACCCATCAGTTGCAGAATGCTGTGTTTTGGGTTTGCCAGATAAAGATTATGGGGATGCTGTGTGCGCGATTGTTGTTCTAGAGGAAGCATCAAAGAGAAAAGGAGAGGAAGAATCAAAGCCTGCTCTAAGCTTGGAAGAACTCTGTTTGTGGGCTAAAGACAAACTTGCTCCATACAAGGTATTTCAGCCTGGCCATCTCTCTCTTTCTTCCTTTCTATTGGCAAATATGAATGAGTTATAATTTGTTAGGGTGCCTTTTCTTCTAGATGTAGTTATGTTCATTCATTAACAATGAAATACTGTATCAGGTACAGTAGTTTCCAAGTTTTGTCTTCTTTTTTTTTTTTCCCCTTTCAATTATTGGTAGTTAGGCATTGAGCAACAAGTCACTTGATCTTGATGATTAAAACTATTATGATTCATCAAATGACAACAACAATATTCAAGTATTCACAACATGTCTGCTTTTCCCAGTTACCTACTAGATTGTTCTTGTGGGATTCAATGCCTCGAAATGCTATGGGAAAGGTATATGACTTTCACCTTTTATTTTTGCAAGCATTGCAGCAATTTCTATTCCTATACCATTATTTAGTTAATGACCTTTTTACATGAATTTCAGGTGAACAAGAAAGAGTTGAAAAAGGTGCTGGCTGCTAACCAGTAAATCCATAGCATTTGGCTTTCAAACAGAAATGAATGAAATACCAAAATATGCGGCTTCACATACCATTTTCAGATCGCCCGCGGTGGTGCATACCTGTAGAAGCATTATTGGAACTAGGCTTCGTTTAATTCATGGATAGGTTAGGAGTAAAATAAAATTTTCTTGTTCTAATAGTTGTTTCAACTCTGAGTTAAATTTTAAATGCGGAATGTTATTCCATAGCACAGCTATTTCATGTTGCCAATTTTGACTTTGAAGTTCAATAATGTAATTATTTTTGTAAAGACTAAATATTTTACAAAGTTATACAATTCATCTTCTACACAAAAGGGAAGAATATAGAAAGTGGGATATCTCGTATTTAAATTGTTTTAACTGAGTTTTCATTAATTTGGTGAGGTAAATGAAATACTATCTTGTATTATATATCACAATATTATTCGAATCTAATGGATCTTCCTATGAAAATAAATGTATGCACCGTTAGGAAGAGGACTCTTGTTTAATCCTTGAGGATTGTATTGTGATAACTGAATTAGTTTTAAGGCTTTATTTAATTGGCTTGTAATCCCAATTAAATTGGAGGTACAGGGCAACAATTTAATCTTTTCCTTCGAAATTCAATTGAAAAATTGTTATTTTTGTGGTTAAAATATTTTATAATGTTTGACTATTTTATGTTCACATTTAATTTAATATTACTATTTGATGTTTCCCTAATTTTTAAATGGGAATACTAAATAACCTAACCAAGCTTAACCTCATGGATGAGTTCGTTAATTTGTTAAAACAGCAGGAAAAGGAATGAATGTGATATTAATTTCAAATCTTCAACCGACACTGACTCATTTAGAAATTATATTGGGTTGGGAGGCGCCGGCAATTTAATTCTTTCATCTGATTTGGTTGAAACCCACCAAACGCAAGAGGCACAATTTCCCTTCTACTGATTACAAGAAAACTTCACCATTGATAGACCCAAAACAATCAGAGAGAAATGGAAGAAAGCGACCGGAAAGTCCAAATATCCAACAGATGGCTTCAAGCCCTATCTAAGGGTACTACAGGTCATCAACTGGAAGCCTTCTCCCTTGATGGCCTTGAAATTCTGGAGGCACACGAGGGTTTTATTCGCTGTAACTTCGTCGTCTCCAATCGCATATCTGTTAGTTTTATTTTTTTCTTCTTAATTATCATATTTCGTTCAGTGGCCATCTTCTTCTTTTTTTATCTGTTCTGTTTGTGAAGGTTGTGATATTTTTGATTATTGAATGATTTTCAGGACGGAAATGGAAATTGGCATGTAGGAGCCATGGCCACTCTAATTGATGATGTTGGGGCGGCTGCCATATTCTCTTTATCTGGCCATGTCAAAGCATCTCTGGATTTCAGCATTTCCTGTTACTCTACCGCTAAGATTCAAGTACAATTTCTTTATGTTCAATTCTTCAAACCCTAATACACTGACAATTGGCAATTACTTGATTTGAAAGCTCTAACGTATTTCAATTTGTATAAAAGATATGCTGAAAAAATCTATGCTTTGACAAAATCTTAGAGCCAGTTCATAATTAGGACAAATTACAAGTTAATTAAATAGAACGTTTGAAATTAAAAATCTTCAAGCACTTTGCGTGAACTAATGATAAATTATATTAATGGTAATTGACTTTATTACAATTTGGTTTGATTTTTGATTTATTTATTGAAATTTAGAAGAACAACAATGTATTTTCACATGGCAGGAAGAAGTTGAGATAGAGGCAAAGGCTGTAGGAGAGAAAGGAAGGCTTATGTCAGTATTGATAGAGGTAAGAAGAAAGGGTAATGGAGAATTAATTGCTTTGGGTAAGCAATGGATGGCCTCTAATAACAATGCAATTAAAGCAAGTAAGCTTTGAGCTTAGACCCTCGTCTATGGTTCTTATGTTGTTTCGTATTAATTAACAGAATATGTCAAATTAAGACACAGTCATTTTTGTAATTGAAAATGTGGTAAAACTATTTTTACTGTTATATGGATTGATGCTGAGTAATTTTTACATTACAGATTAATATTTAGGAATGATAAATTACTTAATGTATACAAGTGACATAAAATTTGAGTATTTTTAAAATATGAAATTTCTATAATTTTAATATTTTTTAACTAATATTACAATCAAACAATAAAAAATGAGTTGTCTGAAAAGTATTTTTCAACAAATAACGTCAGGTTATTTTTAAAAATAAACTAAATTTAATTTATTGAGAAGATCATGATTCTTATAGAACTCTCAAATCAAATCTCAATGGTCTTTGAATTTAAAAATTAAAAAATAATATATATTCCCTAAGCATTGGAGAATTTCTAAAATATAAAATATCCTCAGTATGAAAACTTAAACGGACAAATCGATTCTTGTATCTTACATCAATCAATTACCCACTGCTTCACGTATGTATTAATGGAAATTTAATTAAATTCTAAGAATTTCCAGAGCTTCAACCACCAGGCCACTAGCAATTAATGTGAACTGAGATTCTGTAATATCAACAATTTTATTTATTTTATAATGAAGTAAGGCTTCCCATTACAGCAAGAAACATTTAATCTTAATATTTAATTTAATTTTCAAATCTAAACAGGAATTTGCAAGATTATATAAACGGATTCATCATTCCATCTAGTCTGCCAAAATAAACAGAAATGGAAGAAGAAAGAGTCAAGATTTCCAAGAAATGGCTTCAACAGTTATCAAAGGGCAATGGGAGTCCAATTGATGGCTTAACTTCTGACAGCTTGAAAGTTGTGCAGGCACAGAAAGGCCTTATACGTTGCCGTTTGGTTGTTTCAGAGCGCCAAGCAGTTAGTTTTCATTTTATCTTTAAGCTCAGTTAATTAATATTCTTGTGATTAATTATTTATCTTACATTAAAAATAAATAGGATGGTGATGGAAATTGGCATGTGGGAGCTATGGCAACTCTGGTTGACAATATTGCAGGAGCTACAGTCCATTCTTTTGCTGGCCAAATTAGACCTACTCTTAATTTCAATATGTCTTATTACTCTTCCGCCAAAATTCATGTTCGTTCTCTTTTCTTGACTCTTTTTTTTAAAATATATATATGTATGGAAGAAAAAGAATTTATGCTTCTTATTATAATATGAAATGATACGAGTACAGGAGGAAGTAGAGATAGAGGCAAAGATAGTGGCAGAGAAAGGAAAGCTAGCAGCAGTGATGGTAGAGATAAAGAAGACTGATAATGGAGACCTAATTGCTTCAGCGAAACAATGGACTGCTTCTAATAACAATGCAGGCAGAGAAAGTAAGCTTTGGACGGCTTTAAATTTTACTAATAATAAGAAAAACCCAAAACCTAAGCTTTGAGCTTCTAATTAATTAAATTTAATCACGCCAATTAATCTCACCCTTCACTGTATAGATTTTAATTAGTTTGGTAGCTCATTGGACTTTATTTTTTCATGGAAAATAATTTTTAATTTTTTATCGTTGTACCGTCAGTTGTATGAAGATTATGCTAATAATAATAATAATAATAATAATAATATATTAATATTTTAGAAAAATATATAATAGTAGTTGACGAATTATAGAATGATTGGGACACGTGTAAGATAAAATATCACAAAAAATCTGGGGTGAATCACGTGGACTTTTTATGATTCAATGTCAACTGTGTTGCTTGGTGGTTCATTGAGATCTTATTACATGCAGACGCAGGTAAGTTATTCAAGATTTGTCAAGCATGTTTAATCAACTAAGCACAAGTGTGTTTATCCAACTTATTTAATAAACAGACATAATTTATTACAAATTTACCATCGTCTTCTTCTCTGCTCTGTTTCCTGTTCTGTTCATAAAGGATAGATATGATATGCGATTTGTAGAATGGAGATGGAAAATGGAATCCGGAGCCATAGCAACTGCAATTGATGTTGTTGGGGCAGCTGCCGTTGTTTCTGCGTTTGGCAGCTATATCAAAGCGCTAGCATCCCTTGATTTCACCATTTCCTGTTATTCTACGGCTAAGATTCAAGTATTTTCTTTAATTATTTATTATCTCTCAATCCACAAATATAAAAAATTAATTTAAAAATATTAAATCGTGGTTTTCAAAGGAAGAAGTAACAGGTGATTATAATAAAAATTAATTGATTGCGAATACATAATTCTAAAGTCAACAATTTATATTGTAATCTAATATTATGATCAAAGATATAGTTTTTTTTTTTATTAATTACCTATCGGTTTGATGGTATGAGACACTAGATTTTTTAAGCAACATCGAGACTGAATGGTTTAAAAAAAAAAAAAAAAGATATAGTTTATTTAGATGTTTGTTTTATGGGGTCCAAAATATAAAAGATGAATATTTTTAAAATAAAAGTGAGAAGCAAAAAACAATAAGGATTTGCAATTATGGTTTGGATGGAGGAAGAAGAGAAGGGACCATCCTCAACTGGACCTTACTTTGTTTAGTACTAGTATGATCCAAATGCTATTATGCTAATGCTCACTGGGCCTAATGCATATGGACCAACAACTCTTCAATATCCTACAGCTCATGGTTACACTTTTTTTTCTTTTTTTCTTTTTTTTTTTTTTAAGATCAGATATTCTTAGAAAAATAATAATAATAATAATAATTCTGCTCTGTTTTCCTGTTCTGTTCATAAAGCCGATAGATATGATATGCGATTTGTAGAAATGGAGATGGAAATGCGAATCCGGAGCCATAGCAACTGCATATGATGTTTGTGGGGCAGGCTTGCCGTTGTTCTGCGTTTGGCAGCATAATATCAAAGCGCTAGCATCCCGTTGATTTACCATTTTTCCTGTTATTCACGGCTAGATTCAAGTATTTTCTTTAATTTATTTATTTATCTCTCAATCCACAAAAAAATAAAAAATTAATTTAAAAATAATTAAAATTAAAGTGGTTTTCAAAGAAGAAGTAACAGCGTGATTATAATAAAAATTAATGATTGCGAATACATAATTCTAAAGTCAACAATTTATATTGTAATCTAATATTATGATCAAAGAATATAGTTTTTTTTTTTATTAGATTACCATCGGTGGTTGATTGGTATGAGACACTAGATTTTTAAGCAACATCGTGAGGACTGAATGGTTAAAAAAAAAAAAAAAAAGATATAGTTTTATTTATATGTTTGTTTATGAGGGTCCAACCCAATATAAAAGATGAATATTTTAAAATAAAAAGTGAGAAGCAAAAAAACAATAAGGATTTTGGCCAATATGGTTTTGGATGGAGAGAAGAGAAAGGGACCATTCCTCAACTGGACCTTACTTTTGTTTTAGTACTAGGTTATGATCCAAATGCTATGTATGCTAATGCCTCACTGGGGCCTAATTGGGGCATTTATTGGATACAACAACTCTTCAATATCCTACAGCTCATGCGTTACTCAACTTTTTTTGTCTTTTTTTTCTTGTTTTTTTTTTTTTAAAAGGATCAATATTCTTGATAGAAAAATAATAATCAATAATCAATTAATTTTCTTTTTTTCTTTTTTTTTTTTTTAAGATCAGATATTCTTAGAAAAATAATAATAATAATAATAATAATAATAATAAGTTGGGCAAGTGGTTGTAAAATATGGAAGAGGACTGAGGAGAATATGCTGATAAGAAATGGAATTAAATAATATATTCTGCAGTTGGATGATGAAGAGTATATAATGGCCTACATGCAAGAATGTTATGAGACAGATAATAAGTTTTGTTATTTATTCATTATTATCCAAGTAGTCATGTCAGATTTATGGTATTAAAAAAAAAAAAAAAGCTGATTTTATACTTTATAAATAAATACTACAAAAGAATTTATATTTAACTAATAAAACATTTTAAAAATAGGAAAAAGAAAACTATCTTTATAAAATAATAAAAAGACAGAAATAAATAATTAAAGGTCCAAAACTCATTAAAAATCTAAGAAATAGTGATGTGAACTTTCTAAAAAAGGATATTCATATTAAAAACACGAATTTAAAATTTACGTATCAAAATTAGAGGACTCAATAAATTATAAAAATGTCCTGAGATTCTTATACAGACGATATGAAATAAAGAATTTGAATATTCTTTGTAGAAAAATGTTTTAACAAATTAATTAAAATTTTGATTTATAAATCTTTTTGCAAGTTAAAAAAAAAAAAAAAAAAAAAAAATTCTTTACTGGTTAGAAAACGATCTATTTAAGCAACATACATTTAAAATTTTGACTTTATAAAATCTTTTGCAAGTTAAAAAAAAAAAAAAAAAAAAAAAAACGATTAAACGTGATTTCGTATTTTACCAATTGGCTTGCCGCGAGTACTGAGTTGTTACACAATGCAACAAACCGCATCCCAGCCCACGAAAACCGCGGCCCCAGTACTCGACGCCGCCAAGGGCTATCGGCACTGTTCATACAACGTGTAACAGTGTTATTATATGTCACTTGCCAACAAAATCTAACCACTGCCTTTGTTGAACTTGCAGACCCTCTGCCTTGTTAGCTGAAACAATTGGCACTAGCTTCCACCCACCCCAAAAAAGCCCCATATCAAGCCAGAGAAATACACAACTCTTTGCAATATATCACATTTCATGGGTCCTGTCTTTTAAAGCTCTGAACATTTATTAGAAAAATTAATAAAATAATATCACTCTATAATATTACACCAATTTAATAAATTACTTATTTTTTAATAAAAATTACTAATTCTATTAATGCTATTCTACCGACGAATGCTCCCAACACATGGCATTTAATCAATTAAAAGTATTACATTAGTCATAAATCAAAAAAATGATACTCCCTGTATTTTCCGACGCAAAAGCAATATATAACATTACAACTGCACGCAACATACCTGTCATTTTAAGTCATTATTAGGATTTTGGATAACTTACTTTAAAAAAAAAAAATTCATATGCAAAAGCAGTATTATACATATTATTTTCCTAAAATCCAAAAATTTGACAAAAAGAAGCGAGGAATTAAATATCAATCTTTGTGAAACTCAAAAAGAAAGAAATTAATGCGAAAAGTGCCCTTTTCTCCATTAGGTGAAGAAGCGACCACGCATAATGGGAATAGACATCCCTACTATAATGCTGATAATAATATATACCCAAACAACATCATTAGGAAAGACCCCTACCCTACATTTTGGCGAACAAACAGATTCCTCTGCCCTACGGAACTTCTAAACTAAAAAACCATTCTACTCCTTCTCTTCTAAAATGAAAAAAAAAAAAAAAAAAAAAAACATTAAACGTGGATTCGTTTTACCAATTGGCTTGCGAGTACTTGAGTTGTTCACATGCAATGTAACAGTGTTATTATATGTCACTTGCCAACAAAATCTAACCACTGCCTTTTTGACTTGAGCACCTCTGCCTTTGTTAGTGATTCATATACAACTTGGCACATGCTTCAATTTGTCACCCAAAAAAGCCATTTATCAAGCAGAGAAAACACAACTTTGATTTTATCATTTATGGTCCTGTCTTTAAAGCTTTAACATTTATTAGAAAATTAATAAATAATATCACTTTAATAATATTAACCAATTTAATAAATATTATTTTAAAAAAATTATATCTATTATGTATTCTACGACGATGTCTCCACTTAATTATTTGGCATTTAATCAATTAAAAGTATTAAGTTCATTGTCTTAATTATCAAATAAAATGATACTCCCTCTGTTTTATTTTAATAGCAATAAATATACATTTTACATTGTTTCATTTTAAGTGATTATTTAGGATTTTGAATACTTTACTTAAAAAAAAAAAAATCATATGCAAAAGCAGATTATAATTATTATTTCCAAATCCAAAAATTTGACAATAGGTAGAAGCGAGTGAATTAAATATCAATCTTTGTGAACTCAAAAAGAAAGAAATAATTGGAAGTTGGCTTCTTTTTTTTTTTTCTTTCCATTAGGTGAAGAAGGACCACGACAGAGGGGAATAGACACCCTTTAATTTCTATAAATGTGATAATAATATATACCTAAACAACATCATTTTAAAAGGACCTACCCTACATTTGGGACAACAGATTCCTCTGCCCTAACATTATTATTCACTATTCATCTTCAAAGGCTGGTATGGACTATGGATCCCACCACCAATCTTTTCTTTTGCTAATCATCACTATCTCATAAACCATACCAATCTAAAAATTTACTTGTATACTTATATTGTTTTCTTTTATAAAATACAATTTATTGAGTTAAGAATGAAATAATAATTTTGGTTAAACATTAGGAATTTCATAGTAATTTTTTCCCACAAGCAAATCTTCAGGTAAAAAAAGAAGACAGTAAAAATAATTGGGTTAAAGAGTGATTATGAAATGATTATAATAAACCCTTGCAAAGACTTTTTCAATGATTGCAAACAGTGGGCTTTAAGCAAAATAAGAAGCTATAAAATTAAAGTCCACATGCATCTTCTTTCATTAATTGCCTTTTTGCATGAAAATACGTGCACCTTTCACCGTTTAAATCATTAACTTTTTTTAGTTAATTAACATCGTGCCTTAACTAATCACCTACCATGTTATAAATATGTACATTTCATATGAGAGTGAATATGCTCATTGTTATATAAATTTCAAAATTTCTTTTTGATATCATCACGATCGTTTTTCCATTATTATTTAACAGTGAAAGAAAAACTAATTTTTGTCGAGTCATGTAGAATTATATTAAAAACCCTCTCTAATTCCATTACTCGTTATGCTATTACTGACGTAGAATTTCTATATAGATTAGTTATTGTCTAATTAAAATTGATTCCATATAAAAAAGAGAGACCCAACAACTTTCATAAATTTCTGCATAAAATATAAAAAAAATAATGATAATGATGACCATGTTGACGACAAAGACAAGGCTGATAATAACACTCTAACATATATACCCTCCATTCTTATTTCATTAAAGTCACAATAATGTTATCATAATGGATCTTATTTTAGATCTCGAATGGGATGTTTTTATCATGATTGTGATGGTTTAGATATCAATTTTCAAAATTAAGTTTATGTCTCAATCTTAGGTATATATCTATAACGCTATCCGAGAGAACGACTAAGAAAATGTAATCAACTGATACGCAAAATATAATAATTCAGAATTTCGTTGAAAAAATATGTTACAGAATGTGTATATTGTATATATATATATAATTAAGACTCAGAGAACACCCATATGTGATATGCAAATGGGTTTACAGGAAGATTTAATATATAATAACTGCAAAAATGATATATAAATATACTTAATTCTCACTATCACACAACAATCACACAATGGTTACACTCCAATTGATTAATTAATTAATTAATCAAGCCAGAAAATCCACTAAACTCTTGATAATTCTTCTCCTTCCACCCCTAAACTCTTGATAATTCTTGTCCTTCCACCCCTTTATTATTAGCTTCATCTTTAATCATCGCCCCTAAAATAGATAGTTCTTCCTCTTCTTCCTTACTGAACCCATTCCCTTCATCTCTAACCTTCGTTATTCTCTCCTTACAGGGTCCATAAGCCCAACTACAGAGTACAAAATATACCAAATTAACAGAACTCATTATTGCAAGAAGCCAATAATAGTTATCAATGTGACCTTTGTTGATATTACTTGGAACCCAACCATCTCTGCCTCCTTTTGAAGTAACATTATTAACAGCACTTAGAATAACACTTGCTAATATGTTTGCTACTGCCATTCCAAGTCCGTTCAGTGCTCCGGCTATACTAGACATGCTCTTAGGAAACTCCGAGTAGTAAAACTCCGTTTGGCCGATTGCATTAAATGCTTCTGCTAATCCATTCAAGCAAAACTGTGGTATAAGCCATGATGCAGACATGTTCAACACAGCTTGAGGATTATTTAAGTACCCATCTCGAATTGCTTTTCTTCGACGAACGTTCTCAACAATGCCTCCAACTACCATGGCTATGCAAGAAATGAAAAGTCCTATTCCCATTCTTAGTTTAACGCCAAGGCGAACTGGTTTACCTTTGATTTTTGCTGCTAAAGGAAGGATAGCGCGGTCATACAGAACAACCCATGCTGCTAGAGAAATGACTACAAATGTAAAGTAAGAGCCTGCAGGGATTTTGAAATTCGAAGTAAGATGTCGGTCCATGGAACTCGCTTGCAACACTTGAAATGTGCTTTGGCTAACGTTAATTGATAACATTATTCCTGTCGACCAAATAGGAATAACTCTAATAAGTGCTTTTAGCTCTTCTACTTGCTCTACTGTGCATAGACTCCATGGATTTGCTGCTGATCCATCTGGGGCTAAATCTTGTTCTTGATTTCTTATTATGCAAGCTTTGTTCAAGAACCTAATGGCATAAAATTTTATTAATTACAGAACATGTATAAACAAGTTGATTAGTTAATCTGTCTAAATCATACCTCAGATTTTCAGTTGGGGCAATGAACTCCGAATTCTTGTTTCGATGATATTTATCATCAGAATCTTCAAGAGGGAAAGGAACATTTCTATTCTTGTAGGCAACAACAAGAACTTGCATAAAGCCAGTGAGCAAACTCTTTTTTGCTTTCGGTTTAAGATAAAGCGGAGATGCAACCAAGAACAAGAAAAGTGCAAAGAACATTAGAATTGCAGGAACTCCAAAACCAACTCTCCAACCTTGATGATCTTGAATATAAACAATTGCTGTCAAAGCAATAATAACAGAAACAGCTGTGGAAGCATAGTACCAGCCAAAATAACTCTCTAAGACCCTTTCATTTTTGGGGTTAGATCTGTTGTCTATTTGATCAGCTCCATATGCTAAAGAACATGGCCTAATGCCACCGGCACCAATGGACATTAAGGCCATGGAAGAGAAGAGCATGGTCAATTGACCTCCTGTTGGGGTTTTACAGCTTGTTGGAGTCATTAGATCACAAGGTAGCGGCTTCAGTCGTGGAATCATTGCTGTTAACCATAGCAGGATCACCCCCTACATCAGAATTTGATGTCATTTACTATTAGTGCATTTATCTTTTACTAATTATTAATAATTTTTAATTACGCCACAGCTGCAGTTTGAACTCATGACTTTACATTCCTGAAAATGACTTGTATGCTCCAATTTAAATCCAAGGATTCAACATAATTGATAATCAAGATTGCTTAAATTCCTTTGCTGACCAACTTCAAGATTTCTAAAAAGTTTATGGTTCTGTTTCAATACCTTCCATGGAAATAAGTAAATAAAAAGAGATTATGATTATGATGAATTCATTATTTTTGTCCTTTTGCTTTATTATTATGATGACTCCAGTTAGAATTGAGACTTGCAAAACCCAGTTCAAATTAAGGGTTTTTATGCATAAAAAGAAAACAAAAGGAAAAAAACAAAAATTCAAAAAATGAGATTGAATCGTTTCAACCAACGACCAAACTTGATAGAATGTGGCCCTGTTTTCACATGTCCAGTCAGTCCCTTTCAGCTTTAAGAGGTCTTTAAGGAATTGTTGCCAACTAGTAAAGACTAGACACAGACAGTCACACTGAAGAGATAACAGCACACAGTAGACACCCACTTAATCCTCTAATCACATAGTATTTATTTATTTATCCCTTTGAACATAATTAACTTAATCACATACATAATTAATTAACTCGAGCATATAATCACTTAAGGTCATAACGAAAAAGAAAGCCCATCGAGTCTTTCTTTTTTCATTGGTTTATTATTAGGCTTTCATAAATAGTTCAGACTTACATATTCACTATCTGGACATGATTCTAACAACTTATTTTTTAAAACTAAAACTTCTGTTTCTTTTTCTTCGAATTATTTTGGTTAATTTGAGTGTAACTAGATTTAAAACTCTCAACCTTGTATCTCTGGTAAAAATACTGATAAAATCCAATAAATTCTTCATTATCATTCTCTTTTAGCAATATCACGGCAGAGTGAAAACAAGATTAAACTCATAAATTGCAAAGGAAAAAAAAGGGAAACTAATTAATTACCGAGAGACTGGCGATGGAACCAATGCCAATGGTGAGGAAGCGACCCAAGTAAGAATCAGAAAGGAAAGCACCTAAAAGAGGCGAGAAATTGGTTGCAGCATTCCAAAGGAAGATTATATTGGCACCCTTAGCCACACTCATGTGATAATCTTTCAACAAGTATAATATCATGTTCGGTAAAAGCCCATAGCTTGCCACCTTCTCAAAAGCCTCATTTGCTGTTTACAAATTATAAACATTATTACTCAAAAATCAAATCAAGATCCAAACACATTGAACAAAGAAAGAAAGAAATTTACCGTAGCAATTTTCATTATAATTAAAAACCCAAAAGGTTTCAACAAGATTTAAAGATAAATAAACTTCAAGAATCCAAGAAACTACATGTTCTTGAAAAGTTTGTGCTTTTCAAGATTGTAAGACCAACAAAATTTCAAGAAACCAAGAAACTGCATTTTCCTGAAACTTTATGCGTAATTCGTACGTACCTATAATAAATGGCAAGGTAACGAAGCCACCTTTTCTTGTTTTTGGAGTAGTCGTCATGACTTCAGTTTGTCTTGATGCAGTCTCTTCCGTTTTCTCCATTTTCAGTGCACTCTAGCTTCTTCAAAGAAGGAATACCATAGAGAGAGAAGAGAATACTGAGAGAGACTCTTTAGTCCTAGGAGTTGCTTAGTTTATGTGATTTAGTGGACAAAGAAAAGAATGATCTTTGTGTAGTAGTTCCTTTGACAGGAGATAAATATAAATAAAAAACATAAATAATAATAATAAGAAATTAAATAATTATCACAGTTGCACTCATATTTATATTTATATATAAGATAAAAAGATAAATTATTGAAGTGGAAAGGGAACACACCATGATCCTATCAAGCTGCAACTTTTTGCTTGCCGGTTACATATACACTTCACAGTTCACACACACCTCCTTTTTCACTTCTTTTCATTTTCCAAAAATACAAAATTGCAAAAGAAATAATTAAAAAAAATAAAATAAAATGGCTTCTATTTTTTAAAAAGAAAAGAGTACATCTGACTGACAATACTCTTTTTGGGGATAAGATGTGGTAGGCTCCACAGTAATATAAGATGGTCCCACTTCCTCTTTTGCTTTTACTTGTGAAACTCTCTCAAGTCAATTTATGCAGACACTGAGAAGCTCAAAAGGAAAGTATAATTATAATTTCTGTAAAAGCTCAGAGAATTTGTGGAAAATGGGGTGGCCTAGGCCCACCAGGTCGGTTCAATTCAAACTAGATTAGAACCAATCTGAGAGAAAAGCGGCTGAAATCGGTCACATTTGAATCCAATTCTGGTTCTAAAATTTGAAACTTTAACCAGCTGAAACCGGTCAATTTCAACCATTTAAGATGAGAAAAACAAACAAAAAAGGTTCAGAAAATGGCAAGAACCGAAATCAAAATTAAACCGGCTCAGCCTGAGTCGGGCTCGATTCCTATTTCTAGTTGAACCGGGCAAACCCTAGGGTGGGGTGGCTGCACGTGGATTATCGTATTTTAATTAATATACTATTCTATTAAGCACATAGAAAAATATAGGATGACTAATTTTATAAGCCATCCGATGTAATGATGATGGATGCAATATTGAAACTTGAAACCTGAGGCAGTAGAAAAGCTAAATTATAGTATATAAAGTACAAGTCTTACAAGAAAAATAGTTTGAACCTTGCAACTATATTGTAATAGTACTATATTCCTACATTTTTTTTGATAAATATATCACAATATATAGTTGATCATGGTGTATTTTATTTTTAGATTCTAAAATAATCAATCACATTATAATTTATTAATTATTTCCGGGTATCTATACACATTATGTATATTTTGATCATGGGATGCAATCAATTCATTTAAGACAGTGAAAATATATTTTAAAGTGTACTTACCAAAAAGCCAAAAGTTGAATACTACATAATTTAAGTTGCGGGACCAAAAAATTCACGAGGAAGCAATTGAATTGAAACTTTTTCAAAAAAGAAATATATATATATATATATATATATGTAAGGTAGTTGAAAGTACAGTTATTAATTGAAGTCGGGGGGTGGCTCGTGAGTGGTTATTGGTTAGGTTATGTGACGAATTTTATTAAATTGGGGGTACATTTAGTACAGTAGAGACAAATGAAATTTGAAATGCGGGTTTCAGGCTTTTTTAAATCATAACTGTAAATGCTCTAGTATAGTGTCTTAATTTCAAATGTTGATGCCTGTAAAAGTAATCTTTATCTTCTTTTTAAATGGTAAAAATTTATTGACCTGAGAGCAACTTCTACACATTAATAACATGTGTATTATCCCAAAACCAAATTAATAATGTATGTTCAATTGTAAAAATAAAATTTTAATTTTGAAAAAATATGATCTGGTGAATCCCATAAAAGATCTGATATCGCCAGTAAGAATAAGAAATCACACGTGTGGGTGGAGAGTACAGTACAGACTACAGCAGGAGAAGTGGAAGTAAAGGTAAAAATGTAAGAAATTGAGAACAAGTAATAATTCTACCTGAAAAGTCAGAGTGAGTTTTGATTCTATCAAAATTTGCAGAATCAGATTGTCAAATAATGGTGGGCCCTAAATAAAAGACAACAGAAAGACGATGCCCATGTCCCTCCCTCTACTTAGCCAGCCCTTTTGCGTGTTCCACTCTCGCCCTATATACACTCTTCTCCTTTATCTTATTTTTTTTTTTATTTATTTTTTTCTGGATAAAGGTTAGACAATGCTGGTGAGCAAAGGCTTTTTCTCCTTACTTTTTCATGTTGTAGGAAATAATTTTTGAAGATTTCACATTGGTTGTCTTAATTAATTAACAAACGTTACCTGGTGGGGTGGGACCAAACATGCTTTATTAGTCAATATTAATTGTTGAATGATTTTTCTTATCAATGTCTAATTAGGGCTCACATTCGTTAATTCCGTCAATAAACATGCAACTTAAAACAAGGAAAAAGGTTGTTCCCCCTCCCCCCCTTACATTATTAGCTTAGAAAGATTAATGTGGTCATTAGTTGTCACATTCCAATCATTTCAACCTTAATAATAGAAACCACTAAATATATACCAGTTATCTTATCTGTGCATGGCTCGGAAACACAGAATAGTTAGTTAAATAGTAGCAGCAGGAGGCGAGGCGAGGCGTGTTCAAGAACGATCACATTCAAATGCATAATTAATGAAAATAGATTTGCAATAAATCATTAGAGGAAAGAGGGTAGTCCTCCTGAGTCATGTAGATCAAGCGTCAAGCTCACACCAATGTTCCAACTCTAATATTTTTCATGTCAACAGTGCTGCCTGATTCAAACAAATTAACCTGGGACCCATATATAATCAATATTGTACTTTGATGGGACAACACAAAATATAATAAAATTATTATTATTATTATTATTATTATATTGAATAATTAAAAAATTTTATATAAAGGATTATAGCCTTGGCCTTAAGAGTGAATCTCGCAGACACACTAATGTTAAGTCACACAAAATTGCATAAAATTAGAAATCACCATAAATCTGCAATTTCAAAAATTACCCAAGTCAACAAAATAGAAATATACACGCAAGCCAATGACCATCAAAGCATGCGTTTCTATTCATATGCCATGTCAAATTTCACAACAGCAACTAGAGTCTGAAAATAGACACAGTTACTACAGTTCCTCAGGTTGGAGGTTCATCTAAGCCGGTAGTCCCTAATGGCATTTCATAGGTTCTTTTAAGACGAGTCATGTAAGAATTGCAGTTTCAAACAAAAATTGTGGTACAATATATGTATAAGGCCTATGAAGCACTGTCTTGTCTTATATTCTGTCTGGCAAAATGTATATATAACCTGGTAGAGGACAATTTTTTGTCATTCTCTTCAATCTTTTGAGAATGACAAGCCTATTGAGTACTTGAAGCATGGGTTGTGATGGATCAATGCTAATGAGAATGATGCAAGACTCATCAAGTTGAAAACTTTTTGGTCAAGTTATAACTTGCCAAAATGTGTAGTCCACACGGATGAAACATTAACATCTAGTCCCATTTAAACAATTACTACTTAAAAAAAAAAAAAGAAAAAAAAGAAAAATCTACTGCTGCTCAATACACAAGGAATGGTCTTCAATCCAACCCCAAATGGCACCCAATTATGACATCACATTTTTTCCAGCAATGTTAAGAGTCATGATAGATGATATTAGTGTAAGAATCATAATATGAATATTATGATAGATGATATGCATTTCACTTTAATTCCTTTTCCGATCACAGGGCAACAAATGCTACCTCATGACTTTTTGGTGGACTTCACCATTCATCAATTATTTGGTTCCAATCCAGAAGTGCCCTCAACAATATAATATTGCACCTAGTGTGTTCACATCCAATAATTACATTGAACTTAACCAGGAAACATAGTCAACATCATTCAGAACTTGAAAAGAAACTGAATAATTCACTTGCAAGTTGCAAACTCTTTCAAATTCACAGTAAAGTTTTCAAATCGTGATACGGATTGCTCAGCATCAACTCAATAATACAAAGCAAGAAACTGAAAGAACAAATATTTTATTGCATTTTCTCAACTAGATTTAGTACATTGATGAGCACGCAATAGCAAGTTCATGAACCAGTTAGAACTTGTCCATGAGAGAGTGTTTGACAGATTCTGATATAAGGACCATAAAAGATTCAGTACTTTGTCATCATCCGGTAGATCAAGCATCGGACTCGCACCATTCATTTAAAGTGGGGATTGCAACTCCTATATTTTTCATGTCAAAAATATTGGCTGGTTCATAGAAATAGAAATCCAGGTCAGTCATGTGTGCCAATTGTGCAATCAGTACAGCAACGCGATATAGAAAACTCTCAAATTATCAATTACAAATTAAAAGAACATCCACACATGAATAACAGACAAAAAGATAATAATACACTTTTCCATAAGCCAAGTTACCAAGCATGCTGAGTGGGAAACAATAATCAGAAGTTAAGCAATGCGAATGGACAGATCTTGTTTCATTAAAAAAATGCAATGCGAATCGGGAGTTCAATAAAGTCCCACCTAGTTTGGAAGTATTTCAAATTAGATAAAATACTTGTACAACAACTATCTTAATGTTATGGTATGGCCTAATTGTCCAATCAGTTTACAGTGCTAAAGTTGTTTCATCTGCCTTATCCGTTTACAATATTCCCATTTTAATATCGCGTATTTTGCTTTTTTTTGTGCATTGAAATCTAGAGAAGATCCCAAAATTCATATCCAGAAATCTATGAAGAAACTAGCCGGTTTGAAAAATCTTAACCTCTCCTCAAAGCTTATTTTCATTTCAGCTGTCTTACATGATATCAGAACTAACAAAATTTTGTCCTAGGAACTTTTATGCAAAATTTAAGATCGATAGGGAAAAAAAAAACACCTTTATCCAGTGAATGCAGTTGAGAAAGCATTTAAATTTTTCCCTTATATCCTATAAGTTTGTGTACAGCATCCAATTTTGAGTTCAAGATTTTAGCCTAATGATTTAAACATACTTCAGCCACAATATAACAGCTTAAGGGGTGCATTTTAGTCTCTCAAAGAGATGATTCTCTTCAATTCCTTCCAGCACTTAAAATGAGGACAAGACATGCAATTAATAAACGCATTATACTTACCATGTCTCATAAATCAGCTCTAAGAAAAGCCAAAAACAGATCAATTGGGTTAGCCACCTGATATTTAGCGGGTCTTACTTAACTGTAATATTTAAAGACAAATTAACCACTCGCCCTTGCATGTGTTATATCTAGATTCTCAATTATGTGTCTATCTTGCATTTTCAATTACCAAATAAGCTGCTTGTTTTCATAACTAGTCCAAACAAACTTGAAAGTAGACCAAACTTTGTACTGCAAACAAATTGAGAAATTTCATATAAGTTTAAGTTGCCATGGTGTGATTACAGTATCATTGTTATCCAATTTTTGCTAAAACACACAAACTGAAGCCTCCCAATCTATGTGTCAAAAACACAGAGAACATGCTCGAACAGAAGACTGACCATGGATACACATATGTATATATATACACACACACCTCATAATTGCAAGTAAGCTCTAATATTGAAAATCTAAAGTCTCCTAGATACTTTACTAATGCAGCAAAGAATAGATGATAAACTAGGTATGGACAAACAAGCCATCAAACTTTAGTCTTACTGTCAATTTTCTCGGGGAAATTAGAAAATTGTCCTCATGCCCATGATTCAGAAAAAAAGGGAGCCGACTTAGTGAGACAATTACACAATTATAAAGTAAATTATTTGTAAAAGAAATTTGAGGCAGTATCAGACTTGATGCCCCTCTTAATTCTTATTATAACTCCCCCCCTCTCTTTCTGATTTTAATCTGACAATGACCTTTATTCATTTAAAATTATCAAAAATCTTGAAAGTGTTAATTAAAACACAGGACAACATCCATTCTAAAATAAGCCATACTCGTTTCGAGCAATGCAAGTATACGTACCAATATGTACATCAGGTGTAGCAGCAGCTGTGGCATCAACAACAACGGAAACATTTTGGTAATCCAGAGCTACTGCATCAAACACAGTCTGCCTAATGCAATTTGGAGTTTGAACACCTAGACATGCAACAAATTACTCAAACCACATGTATATCAACAACAATAGTAAATGGGTCAGTTTCCTGGAGTTGCACCTACCAACAATCACCAAATTCTTAATTCCTTCAGTTTGAAGAAATGAATGGAGATGGGTGTTAAAAAATGCACTGAAGCGTGTCTTCACCACCTTATAATCCCCCTCTTTGATCACAAGGCCATCAACCAGTTCTGCACCCTCACTTCCCTTAGAGGTGGGACCCACTTTACCCGCAGAGTAATAATGCCGGCGGAAAAGTTCGACATCTCTTCCTAGTGGGTCATGTTCGCGAACAGCCTAAACCCAAAAGGTGCCATCATACTCATTAGCGTTATGAACTTCGCTTTTCCAACTCATATATAGCAACAATATATTAAGATTGCATTAAATTCTATAAATTTTGCAAAATCAAACAGAGCGCAAAACAAAGCATACAAAGAGCAACGCAAGCCTTCGTGGATTTGAGACAATTGGCAACTAAGATGTTGCCTTCCAAGGAAAAAGAAAATTTCTCCAAAAAACTAATTGAAGCATTCAACATCACAGACATGTTTGAAACTTGGAAGTAGCCCCCAAATTTTTTGAAAAACCTATCTATTACAATAGTTCCTCAAGTCTTTTGCTTCTTTTTTCGCCTAAAAACCCTTTCTTTAATAGGACAGTCTTTTTGCAACGACCATGGCCATTTAAACAATTTATCAAGTAGTTATAAACATAAATTCAGCAGAATTCTGTTTGGGAAAAATTTTCCCTGAAAATATTTGGTCCCTAAACAAACAACGCAAATGAATTTGGATTCCAACAATCACCAAAATATACAACATCCTTCCACTTTCCAGTGGAAATCAAAATTTTCCCCAAGAAAATAGCTTGCCCATGAAACAAGCAGGTGTATGATAGAAAGATATCGAGTTGTGTGTGTTAAGAACAAATGCGAAGCAGTAGAAAATACTTACCCAAACAACAAGGATGCCGCGCTGCCTAGCAATTTCAACTGCCTTAATCACATTCGGGACGATGGCTTCCCCTCCATTGACTCTCATCAATCCATCTTCTAATATAAAATCATTCTTCAATCCACAACAACCAAAACTAAATTATACAAATTTCATATATATATCAATAAAGACACAGAAAGATGTAAAAAGAGAAAACCTGCATGTCAATGACTAAGAGAGCAGTTTGTTTCCATTTATCTGCCATGTGACTTCACAAATTCGCTAATACCAGCTCAAGGTCCAAAAATACAGACACAGGCGAATTGCTAATCCTCTACTTTCACACATCTCAAAGGTTCGACTGACAATAGAACGGTATGTGGACGACATGCCGTTTCATTGTTTTGACAGTATGATATAACGATGACTCATTCCCGACTCACGAGCAATATCAACGACTGGTCATTGAAGTTCAGATAATTAGATTACATACGAGCTCAAATGTCTGCTTCATCCGTCCAAATGACAAGCACACGGCCAGAACATTCATGCCGTTTTGGTAGTGAGATTGAGAAGTCCAGAGAATGGCCCAAACGGACCATCAAACGAAACTGAGCACAGAAGTCCAGAGAAAGGCCCAAATGGATCATCAAAATGAACTTATTTCAGTAACGATATTTTAATCTGAAGCGTGAGTAAACGTGCGGCGTCCAACGACCGCGCGTCGTTCCATATGCTGATATTTTGACGTTGAGCTTGAATTAATCTCGACCACGTGTAAAAGTAAAAGCACATAACTATACGCCGTCGTTTCCCGTGATAGGAGTATGATTTGATGTAATAAAAAAAATTTGAGGTTTGAAATGATTGAAGTAAGGGTAAAAAGTTTTTATAGTAACTTTCAAGATAATAAAGGGAACATATGTAATCTGATCATTGACGAGGTAACAACCTTTTCAATAGACGTAGGTTTGAACATAAGCGTGCTCTTCTTCGTCCTTTACACATTCATTAATTATTGTCGCAGACCAAATTAAACACAGTACTAAGAAACATATAAATATACACACACACGCATCAAGTTACGTGTTAACTTAACAAAGCCTAGCTGAGTGTGACGCAAACAAAACGTCAGAATGACGAGGGATAATACGTGTCAAAACGACAAGGCAAAGGGTGTGTGGCTCCATGTCACTTGAGTGCATCTAAAAAGCGGTCTAAAAAGACCCAAGAATGGGGTCCATATTAGCATATTCGGGTCAGGCACTATCCACATGCATTTTTTTTTTTTTGGCTTTTTTCTATTTTATTTTATTTTTTCAGAGTTATGTATGAGTTAGATAAGGTTAAAGAACAAATATGCATTCGTATAATGAGTACTGAGTAGTAATAAAAAGTTGCCTTTAGCTAAGAAGAAAAAGAATGTTTTTTTTTTTTTTTTCCTTTTTTCTAAAGAAAAAAAATTGATAAAAATAATTTACCCTTTTTTTCAAGATAAAAAGAGAAAAAGAAGTCTTTAGAGTACAGTGTTTTGTTGTGTAGTTGCAGACTTATAATTGTGAGGATGAATAATAATGGTGAAACAAATGGGATTGGATTCATTTCACAATTCATACAATTCTTTCTTTCTTTCTTTCTTTTCTTCTGGTTTTCTTTTTGGTTGCTTACAATAATTTCAGAGACTGTCATAAAATTACAAAACCAGAGAAAAAGGCAAAACTATGTAACATGAATTTCTGTTTTCTTTATAAACTGTCTCATTTTAGGTATATATATATATATATATATATAAACATGAATTTCTGTTTTCTTTATAAACTGTCTCATTTTAGGTATAATATATATATATATATATATTATATAAGAGAGAGAGAGATGAGAGAGAGAGAGAGAGAGAGAGAGAGAGAGAGAGATTCAATCATAGAATAGAAAACCTAGCCTGCCTGCCATCTCTTTCAGTTCCTTGATCGTCTATTGGCTCAAATTTTATCAATTTTCCTCTATATTTATTTGGAAATAATAATAATAAATTAGTATACATTCCAGTTTATTTGATTCTTTTATGGCTAAGTGAATGTATAAACTGTAGTAAGAAAAGACTTAATTATATCTGATGCATACGTCCAACAAATTTAATAATCACGGTTGACAAATGAAATGGTAATAAATATACGTACACACAGTATAAGTAAACATTTTCCATCAACATGGGCGCATGAACTCATATATATCTATATATCGGAAAATCAAACTTTAATTTCAATCATTGTTAATTAGAATTATCCAAAAGGGTTACAGTTTAATGCAAATGCTTTGAGATTAATCAAGTCATTTAACTAATAAGTGGTGCTCTAAGAAGCACAAATAGACACACAAAGAATGGTTTATGTTCTTCCTTGAAGCTACTTATAGACGTGGATGATTTCTTAAATTATCAATCGTTTCTCTTTTTCATTTTTAAAAATTTGAAGGTGATGATCTTTCTACACCATAATCACTGCTACAAATCTTCGAATTTCCATAACTATTTCAGACCCACTCATATAATAAAAGTTTACAAATAATTCATCTTACTACAATCAATTTATTTAAATCCTTTTCAATTCCTCTATAATTTGAACATTACTATTATTTATTTGTTACTCTCTTTAACCCATATATATATATATAGTCTTATTTTATTTTTTAAAAGACCGTTTATTATTTAATTTCTTAATATATCCCTATTTAATTTACATCAAAATTTGAAATTGTATGTACTACAACTGGGCAAAAAATTGCTTAAAAATGTACTTAATGGATTGGAATGAAATGAAATAACACATAAAGAACTAAGACTAAAAAGAATGGCATTTCTTTCCTTTGATATAATATTGAGAAGAAAGAATGTCATCCCTAAATAAGCATCTTGAAATCAACCGAAAAAAGAAAAACTTAATCGAGAAGCTTCATTATATGAAATGAAGCTCTATAACATAGAGAAAAACATAAACAGACGTACAAAGATCATTAATTATCTTAATTAAGTTAATTAATTAGAGGGTACATGCAGATGCAGGAGCAATAGCTTGGGCACTTCCAGTAGTATCTTTTAGAATGCATAGCATCATGAGCAATCAGCCTTTGGATTGTTTTGCAGAGTGACTGCTCATGATGTTATATCATTCAATCAAATTATTTTCTCCAAAATGAAAAATGCCACCGTCGATCAAAACCCGCCCCCGATTGCCGGAGCCCAATAATCAGCACCATTGTCACTTCCAACATGTTGAGTGCAAGATACAGGAACTAAGCACAACCCTCTACTCTTCAAGTCTTTTGGCTTGTCTTGGCTATTATCCTGATATATAATTAATTAACAAATCAAAATAAAGCAAAAGGGTATCATTACCAATACTTTTTTCATAATTAACTTAATTTCTACCAATGATTTAATTTCAATGTGCATAATATAATATTAGAGCTATAATGAGGGATAAAGATAATGATGATTGTAAAGTAATATGTATATAACAAGGAAAAAATTGTGTATATATGTATATTAATTAACAACAAGTCAAATGAAGGAGAAAACTATAGTATAAAAATGGAGAAAGAAAAAAGAATACCTGCTGGTTAGGACCTCCTTTTCTTTTCAGGCAGATGTCATTCAAGAGCTAAATGAAAAATGAAAAGTTCAAAAAAGAAAAGGATTAGTGTTTTCCATATCTTTCTCATATATCCCTTTTTTTGATTCCCAACTATTCTATTGCTGTTAAGTATGCTTTTTAGTTAACTTTCATTTAGGTAAAGTTGTATAAAAAGCTGGGAACCTTGTTCTTGTTCTTGTTCTTGGTCTTGGTTAGCTAGCTATATATATAATTATATAAATATATACAGATTAGACTTGTTTTTCTCGATTTTTTTAATGGAACTGATGGATTCAAAAAAAGAATGCATACCTGACCTGGGTCTTCAGGAAATACACAGTTCCTTTCTCCTTGAACCTAATGATAAAAGAATTCTTTCCCATTACTTGAGTGTTTAATTATAAATATAATTTTGTACAGAAAATGTATACATAGGAAGAAAAACTAGCATAGTATTTAGTAGATACTATGGAGTAATAGATAAATATAAGAAGAAATACCTGCTGGCTTAGGTGAACCGAGCATCTTGTTCAGACGGCGCAGATTGTCATTCAAAGGCTAAATGAAAAATGAAAAAGTTCAAAAAAGAAAAGGATTAGTGTTTTCCAATATCTCTTTCTCATATATCCCTTTTTTTTTTTGATTCCCAACTATTCTTATTGCTGTTAAGTATGCTTTTTAGTTAACTTTCATTTAGGTAAAGTTGTATAAAAAGCTGGAACCTTGTTTTGTTTCTTGTTCTTGGTCTTTGGTTAGCTAGCTATATATATTAATTATATAAATAATATACAGATTTAAAGACTTGTTTTTCTCGATTTTTTTAATGGAACTGATGGATTCAAAAAAAGAATGCATACGCTGACCTTGGGTCTTCAGGAAATACACAGTTCCTTTCTTTCCTGAAACCTAATGAATAAAAAGAATTCTTTCCATTACTTGAAGTGTTTTAATTTATAAATATAATTTGTTACAGAAAATGTATAATATATATATATTATATATATATATATATAGTAGGTATCTTATATGCCTTCCGGTATATATATATATATATATATATATATAAGAACTTACGAATGTTGATTTCTAATGTTTTGTGATGGCAGTGGTCAAGTAAGGAGAGCTATAAGGGCCTGGATATACTCACTAAGAAGATTATTTATTCTATGAAGATATATAGAACTTACAGAATGTTGATTTCTAATGTTTGATGATGCAGTGGTCAAGTAAGGAGAGCTAAGGGCCTGGATATACATAAAGATTATTTATTTATGAAAGAAATATTAATGATTAGAAAAAGAAAGAATAATTTGAGCAACTTTAACTGCATGCTTTGTCTCGCTGATTCTGAGTTAGTTGCAGAGCCAGAGAGTATAAAATGTGGAAGAAACATCACCTCAATTTGACCTTGAAGGAATCTGATATATCCAATAGCTTCTAACAAGACAGAAGCTGTGTCAGTCTGCAAAAGAGGAACAATTAACACATCACACCCACACTCCCCAACTCTTCTTTTTCTTCTTCTTTAATGTTAAAAAGAGAGAGCCAAAAGAAAAAAGAGAGAGAGAGAGAGAGCTCAATTTGATTCTAACTTTTTTTTTCTTTGTATTAGGGTTTTATATTTTTGTGATAAAAAAATTTAAAAAACTTCTTATTGAGAAGTTAATTAGAAGTTTTACCTTTCCAAATGGGGAAACTAGCTGGTGAAGGGCTGTGATTCTGTCGCCCAACTTCTCCTTCCTTACCTGGATTAGTTTAGTAAAATTATATATTAATTAAAGTAAATTATTGTATACATAGAGAGCTAGAACTTAGTTTTGTTAAAACTTGTACTATTATATATTTAATTTAATAGATGAAACATAGCAGAAGAATCACACATGCCTAAAGAAATGACAATCAAGAAAGACATTACCCAAACACACACTCAGTGACTCAGACATATGCGCACACCCATGCTCTCTGAGTTAAAGAAAGAAAAAGAGAGAGAGAGAGAGAGAGAGAGAGAGAGAATTGCTATAGTTATACCTTTAGAGGTGGCTGACTTGAAGATGGCTGAACCCTAGGCTTCTTACATACCCCACCGGTGGCAGTGCTATTACACTGATTAATATTTGATAAAAGAAGAGAAAAGAACATATGTAAGAAACCCAAATGAACAATTTATTACTATACAGGAAAACAGTTGTATGTACCCACCTCGGATGATTGATCTGGATGTTGATTTCTGATATCTGGTGGTTTATTATAAGAGAAGTCAAGAATATTGCTACTAAGAGTTGTAACACAAGACCTAGGGGAAGAGACAGGCATGACTTGTTGTTGCGACCAGCAAGTAGCAGTAGTAGTAGTAGTAGTAGTAAGTTGATGATGATGAAATTCATCATCTCCATGACCGTACAAATTGCTATTATGTGCAACTTCTTGCTTTACATCAGCAACTACCTGAGGAATTCTTGAATATGATGGATTCAAGATTTGGTCTTCCCAATTTTCTAACTTCTTTGGCTTAAAATGACCCACTCCAACTCCATATCTGTCTTCTTCTTGATCTCCAGTCAAACCACCCCTAGGGAAAAAAGTTAAGAAAAAATAACCATTTGAGCTTGATAATGGATAATTCAAAGAAAAGTGTAACACTTTAACTGTAAAAGAAATTGTATCTGAATTTTAGATCAGAAATTAAAGAAACTTTATAAAACAAAAATATAATAAGAGATAAGGTTGGAAAAAAGATAGAGAGAGAATAATACAAAAGTAGTTGGCTCCATGATTGAGGAAGTTCTTGATTATCAGGCAAAGAATTGAAAGGAAGTGAAGAAGAAGAAGAAGAAGATCCAAACACATATTGAGAAGGAAAGAAAGCAGCAGAAGTCTGTTGTGATGGTGGATGCATGCTCCACCTACTAGGGTTTCCTGCCATCATTAGCTTTGCACTGAGGAAGAAGATGAGCACTCTTTCACTCTTGCCCAATAATCTTCATTCTTGCCTTCAAAAAAGAAGCATATAAAGATAAAATTTTCTTTCTTTCCCTTCACTTTCTTTCTTTCTTTATTTTCTTTTCACTTTGTCATACTATTTCCTTTCCTTGTTTATGCAACCTTACAAGAGCTTATTATCTAAAGGTTTCAAAGTCCTGTTTACTTTCTCATATGAGGCTGAAGAAACTTTGAGTCCATTTCCTCAAAGAATTTTTATAGAGGATGTGGGGTTAGAGAGCTTTGCATATGTTTCCTTCTCTTTCCCTTTTCTTTCATTTATTTATTAGCCTTTTTTATTCTTTGCTTTTTTGCTTTATTATAAAGTGGGGGCAAGAAAAAGCTGGTGGGCAGTGTTTCAGTACATATAAACTAATGGTTTTTGTAGGAGCTTATATAACTTGTTTCCTTGATTTGGGGTGCTACATTGGGATTGTAATTTTGGAGTTAGGGTTAGGGTATTGTGTGTGTGCACACACACACACATATATATATATTTAGGATTATTAGGGTATAATTGTATTAAACCTCAATCTGTCTATTTCTCCTTTTTCTAGTGCAATAATTCAACTTACCAAACAGAAAATACTCATAAATCTAATCAGTGGATGTAAAGCCCTAACATTTTAAGATAATACAAAACACAAAAGCAAAAGAAAACTTCTATACCCACACCCTATTTTATATGTTTGTGTACTATTTAATGTATTTATTTAATTTCCTTTACATTACTCTATTATATTTATACTGTGGTTGGAGGCTGCTAATTTTGCACTAAGCGTGCACATGCTTCCAAGCAAAAAGTTGGATCAGCCAGTTGATGGTTTTCATTTAATTTAAACTGCAACTCAGGGACAAAATATAATGATTGAACATTTTAGCCTATAGTACTTCTTTTATTTTCTTGCTTAGAATTTTGAGTTTCATTAGAATGTTTTTTGTGGTACTGTACAGATGCCTGGACATGAGAAGAAGAAACCAGGATGCCAAGAGATGTTTTCTTATAAATATCAAAGAAGAGAGCATTTTGTTTTTGGATCATTTGATTTGTTGTCTTATAAGATGAAGCAATTCTTGAAGGGTATATATTGTAAGTGAAATATTCAAAAAAAATATAAAATTATATATATCTAAAACAGTAAAGATCATAGGATTGACAATCCTTTGACTGATAATGAATCCAACATTTAGGAAGGCCCACAAATTCAATGAAAATGATTGTTTTGTGGAATCCTAACATATATAATGTTGCAATATATTGTACGATTAATCTGAAAATCAGACAACATTGCTCTTCTAATTACAAAAGCCACATTATCTGGCAGTAGTGAAGAAATATAAATTATTTTCAAATCTTGATGATGGATGTGCATAGTGCAGAGCTCTAGACCACAGTAATATTATAAAAACCACCCAGAGAAAGAGTAAAAGAAGATAATGCAAGAAGAGAGAACATCATAACCATTAAAGAAGGCAAAGCTATTTTGGGTCAAAGCACCAAAGTTTTCTTATCTTGTTTCCAATCTTGTGTTTGGTTCCGATAAAGGGATAAATAACATCAAGCTTTGCACACGCTTCCACTCAAAAAGTGAGGCTTTGAGTTGGAGACATGAATGAACCATACGCATTTCTCATGAAAAACAGAAAACCCAACAATTGCTTCTCTCGTCAATAGTGATTGAAGCCACTGATATGAGCTTTTATTTGTTGTAATCACATGAACCAATTCATATACAGAAATCAAAAGACTTTGATAGGACCCAACTATGAGTCAAACTCCAATAATTCAAATAAGCTGCCGAAACGTTTCTGTATGCAACTGTAAATCAAGAAGCCAAGAATTGGAGAGCTTTTGAAGAATTATTTGTGAGCCAGCTAAAAGAATTTTTTTAATTTTGCATAATAATGGAGACAAAGAATGATTCCCGGCTCAATTAGGGGAATAATTGCTTCTACAGGAAACTCTTCATCCCTTTGCTTCAATTGTATGTATGCCTAATTTAGGCACATTACAGTACTCTATTGTTTATCTTCTTCCTACTGTTCTCTATCATTCATTGACTAAGAATTTGTATGACTGGCTGAACTGCCATGCCGCTGCATAGCTACCACTGGTTCACTGCATCTCGGACACCGGAAAGATGGAGATGCAGCACATCGTGTTCGAAGGCAGTAGTAGCAGTACCTGCCAATCAGGGAGGGGGAAACAAAAGAGATTGAAGCAAAACTTATCCACAAAAAAGCCACACTTAGAAAGAGATGTAAAGAATGTGAAGATTGCTGTAGACCGTGTTTGACCATGAAGTGATGGTAACCCAAAATTAGTGTTCATGTATATTGTACAAACTTGGAATTTAGGACATTACCACTACCACTTGCATATGAACCCACTGGGCTTGGGGAAAAAGGTAAATATAATAAATAGGAATTAATAGGCCCAAGGATCAGGAATGGGTAATTACGCCGTACCACCATGCTATGCATGCAGAAACAAAAAGATGCCTAACCTCCAAGAAGAAGTAGCTTTCCAGAATTTGAAAATAACTGGGGTAAACAGGTCAACAATTTATATACCTGTGCTGACAGGGGAGAGCCAGGAATGGAATGGTTGGAGTTGTCTGGCAAACAGGGCAATTACCATCATCTACTGAGGAACTGGAAGATTTGTCTTTTGAAAATGGGCTAAGCAAGTTTTTAATGGATGATGAATTAAGAAGAGGAAGCAGCAGCAGCAACATTTCCTGCACGTCAGCCAATAAAAGTAACTCCAATCAGTGGCCAGAAGACAAAAAAAAACTCCAAAAGAAGCAACCATAATCGAGTAACTGCTAACTACTACATATCATACACAGCTAGATTATATAATCTATGGTGGAGGCTGTCATCAAGAAAAAAACAGAGTTTCAGCAGCAAGCCATCTAATAGAAGCCTTAAAATGTGCAACTTAATATGAACTTACTCCAACCAACAGCAAAACATTAACTTACACAAAATGGCAAAACTTGGTTTCATTAATTTCATAAACAATTTATATGCCCCCAATTTCCAGCAATATATAGTCCTTAACTTTGTAGCCAAGGCTAAACACTCAACTAGCAGTGTTCATGAGAGGTGTCCACCATTATCACAAGGAAGCCAGACAAGAGGAACAGAAAGACTAAACACGTATCAAATCTCTGCATAAGGCATTTGCAGATAGTAGATCAGGCACTGCAGTTTCAGTAAATGCTGAAGCCTCGGTAAAGAACTTGTATATTATTAAACAGTGGCAGATCTAGAAATTTTTCTTCTCAGTGCCAACATTTCAGTGCCTCAAAACTCTTAATTTTTTTTTACATGGAAAGGGGGCCAATCACGAAAAAATAAGGGGGATCAATTGAGTAATTACCCTATAAATAAAGGAAATTTGCAAAAAAGAAAGGAGGGGCCAGTTGACCCCTTTTTATGAGAATACTTCCGCAGCTATTATTAAATTAAGGTAACAAAGAAATGAATTTATAAGCTGACATCCTGAAAACCACCATGAAAGACTTGTGAACTAGAGGTGCAAAAACTAGGAAGAAAAACCTCATTTTATATCCTGTGACTATGTAAGAGTAAAAAGTGACCCAGCATTGCCTTGGATTCCCCCAACCTCCCCCCCAAAAACTCAAAAGAAAACCCCACCGATAATGTACTGTTCTTTAAGCAGAGTCTGGAAGTTATAAGAAATGAGTTTGGAAAGTCTGGACAATGAAGAGTATTATTAAATACTCATACTCCAACTGAAAAAGAAGTTAAGTGCACAGCAGCACAAAGCCGATTTGTTGTGGGCTCAACACCTAAATGTAAATCTCAAGATTAAATGCTTATAGATTATGGGAGTTAAGAACCAATTACCGAAAATTCATTCCACACTAATTGGCGATTCATGTACTCAAAGCTAACGGCTCGGTTCATATTAGGGCTTCCATAGACTAGCCTTGCTCTTAAGACTCTCTCAACAAGGTTCCTAAATCTGCAAAAAATGAATACAGGAAAATAAAGTTTTATCAAATTCAAAGATGTCATCAACCAAATAATATTTTCTAGTAACAATTTTTTCCACAAACAAATTGTAGAGTAGGATATGCATCTTTATCAATCAAATAAGCCATTTACTTCATTGTAAATCATAAAAGACCAATATAAACCCATTTCTTTCTCTATCAAGAATGGCAACCGATGTCGAATATATATCTATTGAATTGCACACCTATTGCTTATTTTATTTTTCTCTCAAAATTGAAATAATACAAGACATTACTATTTTATTTTGCAAGGATTGAGGTATAACTAATTTTTCAATAATAAGTAAATAAACATTGATTATAGAGCCACCTATAGGAAGAATAAGAGGTGGTCATCTAATAGAACTTCAATATTTTGCATGACTCTTTTAAACCGCATATAAAAAGCATTTTGCCACTATGTGCATATCAAATCTTAAATAAAGATTGATTTTAATTTTCATGGAAGTCATTCTTTTCGAAAAAATTAATTTCATGAACCATGTTCAAAAACATACCGTCCTGTGTAAAGAAAGATGAGTAGGTTGCCAAATGAAGCAGCCTTATAAAGTCCCTCAATACGTTGTATCAAAGTCCATACTCGTTGTGCCAGTGGCCTCTGAAGAATACAAAAGGTAAATCGGCAACCAATTTAATCCTCCAAGAAACCGAATGTGAAAGAAAATGAAGTCAAAAAATAAAATAAACAAAATGGCACCTGCTCAGAATCACCCCATCTACGAAAAATGGAGAACGACTGCAAGCGAGCCCATATATATTGACCGCCAACAGTAGCAATGCAATACCAAAGTTTCTGTGCCATAGTAAGTCCAGGTCCTTCTAAACCTGTTCTGACTGTAGGAAACACAACATGCCAAGCAAAAGTTAGAAGACAAATAGTTCTTGTTGCTAACAGATAGAAAGGGACGTATATTTCTGTAATGGCAAATCACTGAAGAACCTGTGCATGTCCTTGCTCACCTATATTATTTAACTTATACAAATTGCCCAGCTAGAATTTTGAAATAGTCTTCTTTTGAATGTTCAAATACATGAATCATTCATATAGAAAAGACTGATCCACATTTGAAAATCCATAAAGAATAAAGTCATATTGGAAGTATATAGAAATTGCATTTAAAATTCCCAAAAGGTGTCTACAACCATTGAATTTGCTCGAGAAGCATTTATCAATAGCAATAGAATTATATATGAAACATAAATATTCTGAAATTAGAAAGAAATACTTGAAAGGCAGAATGCATATTATGACACAATGATATGAAGGCATAATATTGAACACAGTAGCAAACAAGCAAAGCCACTCTCTTTAATCAACCTCGAAGCAATCATAACCAACACATAACAGTGGAGCTAATATCATAAAGTAACATCAAAAGCAGGAAAAGTGCAGACCTGCTTACCTTTTTCTCTGGGTTCCACCGCACGTTCATCTCTGTATCTCAGATTCATCAGAGCATTTCCAGGAGTAGGCTTATCTACCCAAATAGAGAATCTCCAAATAAGAAACTCAAGGAAAGCATCAAGTTCTGGCTCATATTGAAATAACATTCCTGGCTAATCCCAATAAACGGAAGAAAAAACAATTAAACACTGTCTCTTGCTGCATCAGATAACTAGATATGATTCTAAATAATTTTTAAAAAAAATTCAATTTTGTGAACTGGAATAGCTTGACAATACCTTCATTAGAGAGAAAACCTTTACTAATTGCTCTTTTAACATAGCTGACATTTCAATATCCAATCTTGCAGCATCAAATTGATTAACTCTAGATATTGAAATTGGTATTGTTGACTGCCACAGAAATCAAAATATTGGAAACAATTCACAGCATTAAGAAAGAAAGAAGCAATTACTCGCACATAGGCCCAGTGAAGTATTCAGCTACCCTTAACCAGATATAAAAAATCAGATTTTGCTCCACATAATGGTAGAGAAATTATATATGTTCAAAATTAAATAAAAAGGAAATTGTTGTCCTCTAATCACTAGATTTGCACAGTCATTTTGACAATAAATAGTTTCCAGGCTAAGCTTTCTCCAAGATTTTTTTTTTTTTAACCCAGCTAGTGATAGTGCAACACCATTTAACTCGATAATCATTAAACAATTATAGGTGGAAACAGGAACAATAACTCATATATTATAGTTCAACAACTCATTTCTTGCAAACAGAAGTTCATAACTTTATAGCCACCAACAAAAACCAAGACACGTATGGTTAACCTGGGATTGATTTTCCCAAGAATGTGAAAAAGAACACAATAAAATTTTCAGCCAGAACAGAGAACAAGCAAAGAGGGAAGAAAGCCCTAATTCAGTTTTGTTGTAAGGTTAAAAATTAAAGGAACTAAATTGAATAACAAATACAATAGAAGGAATACCTGGCGAGAGAGGGTAAGAGATTGCCATTGAGGAAGCAATTCTCGGTAAGAATGAATCCAGGCATCTTCCTCCGGCGGTTGTGACGGTGGCGGCGAAATACTGGAAGTAGTCGTCATTTTTGAAGCTGTAACTGATGATGAGATTCTATGATTCTGCAATTGCTAGGGTTACAGAAAGAGAGATGGTGCTCTAACTGCTAAGCATTATTCAATATTGACAGAACTAGTTAAAACAATAAAGAGATAGAAGCTCTGCACAGTGGCTGACTACTGGAAGCCTGGTAATAATAAGATGCCGTTTTTATCTTAGTTTTTTAAAATTCTGCGACGGGATATTGCAGTTATACCTTGTAGATTTGAAGGATATTTTGGTCTTATTATCACTTTTCCAGAAAAGGTGGAGGCAAGTGCCTGTCCTTTTCCTTCTTCCTTCTCTAACATACCGTTTTTTGATGGTCTAAACTCGCGTCAGCAAAGTTTTTTGTACCAAATTGAAGTTATCTAATATCTACAGATAAAAATAATAATTAATTTTGAAAACCGAAAAAAAAAAAAATGAAATCACGAAGACAAAAATAAAGGTTAAATCATTAAAAATACTCATGATTTGTTGGTAGTTTTAATTATATTTTAAATTCAATTTTTTTTCTCTTAATATTCTAAATTTCAATTTTAATTTCAATAACACTTTTGTATTTAATTTAATAAATATAATATTATTTTTACTGAATTTATATTCTCTCTTATAATCAGGTTAACTAAAAATTCATTATTTAATAACGTTCTAACTAATATTGATTATAAATTTAAATTCATAAAAAGTCAAGTAAAATAATAAATTATTTTTTATTTTAATATTTATATATATAAATATAGAAATTTATTTATTTATAAGCAATGTTGGCAGAAAAGAGTCTAATTTAGGAGCAAAAGTTAAACGGGATCCCATAAAATAATATTTTAATCATTAAATTAGGTATAATTTGAAATTAGAGTGTTTTTATAATTAAAATTAATGTTTAAAGGCTAAGAGAAGAAAGTTGAATTTATGGTACAATTAAAACTACCTACTAAATTTAGGATATTTTTAATGATTTAGCCAAAAATAAATGTTATGCGAAATTAGAGAATTTTAATAATTTATTTTAATAATTTAACATTTTTTAAAGTTAAGTTTGTTTAATAAATTTAACGAATGAAGATTAAATTTTCTTATGCAACTTATTTAATAAATGGATTAAATTCTAATTAAGCTGAAGTTTGTAAACAGGCTACTATATTTGTTTTTAAGTAAATAGATGATATTGAATATAAAATAATTACATTATTATTCAGTACGGTTAATTATTTTTCAATAAATCAGCCAAAATTTAAACTAATTATTTAAAAAAAAAATTTTACACACTCAAATTTTCAAATTTAGGCTTGAAAATCCCTCCAAATTCTTTCTCAACCTCATTAGCCAAATCTACCTCGCCCATCCTCCTCAACCCTTTACACAAAACATTAACCACATACTCATCAGCTGGCCACGTGTCCCCACATCCACCTCTCCTCATCATCTCACATATCTTGACCGTCGATTCTCTTCTTCCCGCATCTACCACACCCCTTATCACCCTCAACAATCCCTTGTCGCTCTCCCATTGGATCCCACCCTCATCTTTCTCCAAATCATCAATCAAACGGTCGATTTCGTTGTACACTTTGTTTCTGGAGAGTGCAGAGATGACGTCGCCGTAGAGATTCAAGTCAATCAGACCTGAATATTCAGTTCGGAGAGTGGAGAGGACGTGGATAGCAAGAGAACAGAGATCTTGGCGTAGAAGTTCTCGGAGTATAGCGAGGAGGTCTGCTTTGAGGAGGCGCGACAGATTGGGAAGGTCTGCCAGCGAGAGGTTCGACGATGATGATTTATTATACGCGCGCTTGAGAGACTGGATAGCAAGTATTGCTTCAGTGCTTAAGATACGACCTTTGACGAGAGGACCACGGTTAGATCGTGGACCGCACCGTATGAGAATAGCGGTTGAAGGTTTGGTATGGGAATTAGGGATAGACTTTGGAGCGAAGAAAGTTGCAGGAGAAATGAGGTTTGGGCGGAGAGAGGAGGCCATGGGACGGTTAGAGTGACGGCACGCGCTATTTTGTTGATTTATATTCGTTGTTCAAATATCTTCAAAGCATAAAAAGACTTATTAACCCATGCGAAAATATTTGAAAGACATACTTATCCTCGCAATGCAAAAAGAAATTAAAAGAAGACTTTCAAAAAGCTCGTCGACAGCAGGATTCGAACCTGCGCAGGCAAAGCCCAACAGATTTCGAGTCTGTCTCCTTAACCACTCGGACATATCGACGTTGTTGCATCAACTCGAACAATTTCGTAATACTGTAATAGGCCTGCATTCAATCTCCAAAAGTGGTGTTACCCAGGCCCATCATAATGGCAGCTATCAATCCCAACTTCTAAAGCACATAACTGACCTTAAAAACTATGAGCTTCAAGCCCAGACCTCCAAGAATTTGTTTTTGCTCCTAGCATGTTTGAAGTGACTGATGGCAATTTCCCTTTTGATGTATGATTGATAATTCTATAAAAATTTGTAATAATAAACATTTTGTCATACCCTCTTTTTTTTTTTTTTTTTTTTTTTTTTTTTCCAACATCAAGAAGAAAGAATCCAATGAGAAATTAGATAGGCACAAAATATCATAGATGTATAATTTTGTTTTGATCTTATTAAGTGAAACTTAATTTTCATTCCTAAAATAATTACTCATTAATTATATAATAATCGACCCTATCATATGAGTTGTGATACCACAAAATTAATAACACGAGGACCATTTTCTCCAATCAAATCTGCACATAAATTTAAATGTATCTGCAAATTTATTATATGCTCAGCGGTTTGGTGGATTTGGACCACATGTCAATTACAAACACATAATAAACAAATTCAGAAAAAAACTTAATAAGTTTCGGAATCTAATCCCGAAATATACTAAACACTATTAGGATTATACTAAAATCTTGATTTCCCAAATTCTGCTCTAACATTCCTGAAAATCTAAAATTTACGTATACATATGTAATTATACTAAATTGAGTCGATTCTGATAATGTTTTCCAATGCAAATAGTACTTGGAAGAAATCAAGAATTTTCAAAGTGATAATTTTGAGCTCAATTTCCAACATTGCTCGATTGACTTTGGAGCAATAATATTATGACAAAATTGAATTGTTCTTCTTGATAGATATCATTTCATCTTTTGAACTTTTTGGCAGATTAAAAGATTCTCCCCCACTATGCAAATTCTCACATTTTCTTGATAAATTTTTTTTTTTTTTTTTTTTTTTCCTCCTTTATGGGTAAGTGACTGACGACTGAGCTCCGGCCTGTTTTTATTCCGACAAGTTTCTGAACATGTACGGATTTAGGATTGCACTATTGCTCCCACTGCCTCCATATTAAAAGATTTTTGTCATTTGTTTAGTTCCAATTCTCTTGTTCCTGAACCGATTCCATTCAAATTTCAACTCATTATTAAAAAGTTCAGTAATCACTTCTTTCTAATCAATCAAGTTGAAGGCAATTTGCCATGGACAGCTTAAAATCTATTGGATATATTTGGATTATCCTACATTTGAAGGGGCCTACTGAGTTGTGAGTAGTGACCGCAACCCAATACAATACATGCAACCTTTTATTTTATAAATTGAATGGAATGTGCAATTGGACCTCACCAATAAATAATGCATTCTTTCTTATAGCTAAAACTTTCCCTACCAATTTATATCTATAGACCAAAAGCACATGCAAGGTTATCAATCTTATGGCCTTAGAGGATGCTTGACTGTTGGGGAACCAAAAACCTAACTTTGCATAAAATGGGGAGAACATAATTTTTCATTTTTTGTTCATTGCTTCAATTATATCTATCTAATTGTAAGAAAAATGCATAATATTGGAGCCAAATTTTGTAAAAGTGTAAAAATAAATCATGGTCTCGTGCAATTGGATTGATTTAAATTTATCTGAAATATGCTTAATTACATCATAGGAATAACGTTAGGTGTAACTATTTTTTGATATTTCAACTGTTTATATAAATAAATATATAAATAAATCAAAATAAAATTTACGTAGACAGTGATGTAATTACAACACCTGGAATTGTAGTTAGGATTTTCATATATATGCACAGCACAGGGAAAATATGGTTAAATTGTTGATTGATAGAACCAATTCAGAAGAAGGCAATATTAACAAAATGGCCTACCATTCCATTTCGTGCCTTTAGCCCATAGGACTTTGAGAGCCACAATTGACGCTTGGATATCAAAATTCTTCCTTTTCCATAACAATTTGCCCCACCAAATTAACATGCTTCTATTTAATTAAGATATACTCAAATTATGTTCGAGATCGATAAGTTTCGAGTTTGAAATTTAGTCGGAATCAAATTAATTGAATAGTTTTGCTAATAAAAATTTTTATTTTTTAATTAAATTTCAAAATAGAATTAATATTTATCGAACCTAAGAAATTAAGGTTTGCGGTAGTTTTTCATTTTTTTTACGAAGAAACAGAAAAGAAAGTTGGGGTTAAAGAAGAGAAGACATCATTTTCAGTTCTTGACACGTAACTGAGAACGTTAGATCAAAGCATTTGACAAAAAGAATTCTTCTTTTTGAAGAACAACTTTGTTGAATCTCTTTCTTTCTCACTATATCTTTTTGGTTTAGCCTTAGCTTATCAACTCGCACTCACTGTAGCTATGGTGCGCGGCAAGTAGGTCCCATCTTTCCGATGTAAATATATTACTAGAAATAAACATATGATCAAAATGCAATATGTCAGGCATCGTATTGTTACGCTCGGATTAAAAATGACTTTTTTTTTTTTTTTTCCCCTTTCAGTTACGGATAAAGAGAAGAAAAAAAAAAAAGTAAAAGTTCGGACAAAAAAAAATATAATTATCGCTAATTTTTTATATGTACTCGTGTTAATTTATAGAAGAAAAACACGAAAGATTTAGGTTTTTTTTTTTTGTTAATTTTAATTGTCGACCCCACTATAGTTCTAGTAGAACCCACTACTAGTGGTGTGGCACAGTGGGAGGCACATTTTGTCATTTGGACCCACCTCTTAAGTGGACCCACATCAATCTCTATGCTGATAGTCAAACAATGCGGCGATTTCGATTCCTTCTCTTCTTAATTGTTACATAGAAATGAAATTCAAATTACAAAAAATACAATTCTTAACCAACTTATAAATTTACAAATTATTTATATTTTGTTTAGTAAATCAGATTATAAAAATAGCAATAATTTTTCTTTTGCAATAATAATTTCTATTATACATATATATATAAATGGGAAAAGAAAAATTATTGCACAGTATTATCCTTAATTATGAACCGACAAATTAGCAAGCCAAAAAAAATAGTATCAAGAAGAATATTAAAAACGTGATCATGTGTTTCTTATTAGTGCCGTTCTTTTAAATTTAAAGAGAATGAAAAATGTGCCATTTTGAAACAAAAATCCCCTATGGCAGAAACAGAATAAAGATTGATGTATGAAAATAGCTGGGACAGACAGATATAGTATATATAAAAATTTTTGCCTCTTACGTGTAATAGTGTCATTTTTTGCACGAGATGGAAGGGACTGTGACCTCCTCAATATTTATTTTTTAAGATTATATATTTGGGATTTTATATTAATTTTATTTTAATAGTTTTCCAGTTGTCTTGTCAACCGTTTCTAAACACGAAAGAGAGTAATATTATAAAATCCATTGTCACAATCTCTTATCGAACAGTATAAATAATATTTGTCAAAACATTGTTGTCAGTCATGATCATGTATTTTCCCTCTTCTTATAAAAAATTGTGTTGGCAATAGTTTTTAGCATTTTAAATAGTTAAAAAGTTAAATGCTGAATTTTATAGTTTTCGGTAATATAATATTTGAATTATCTTTTAGAGATTAATATAGCGTTTTATACAAAATAAATTCATATAACATTTAACTTTTAACGTTTTATAAAAAATTATTAAAACAGCTAATATCTACAAAAACAGTTAATTTTACAGAACATATCCAAAGAGAGACTATTTTCGTTAGTTATATGTATCTTTAATAGTAGCTGGAAAAAGTTAAATTAAGGTGCTTTTTGCAGGAGAAGAGATGTGATATGGAATGAGTAGCTAATTTAGTGAAAGTCGTTTTTATTAGATAGTTGTTGTTTTCGTTAGTCTCTATTATTGTATGAGAAAAGAGAATGCAAAGTGGGAAAGCGACCTTTGCTTAATCTTTCTCTTATGTATATTTATACCAAAAATAGGTTAATTAACATAATATCCATATTACGTATGAAATACACTATTATACGTACTGGTATGAATAACCATATATAGTGTGTGTGTGTGAGAGAGAGAGAGAGTATACTTAAATCCACGTGGAGGGACCAAATCTTATATTCTTAAAGTGCTACTCCAATAAGTATAGGGACAGGGATGTGTGTTAAGAGGAGGAGGTTCAATGGCCGAAAATAATATTATGACTTCCAGCTTATAATAATAGTAATTTTTTTTAATTAATTAATTGATGAAAAATTTTTATAATTTAGAGAATTTAAATTTAAGACCTCTCGTTTCTCAGATTAATTAGAGTTTAAAAGTCAATTTTATTATTAAAGTTTAAAAAGTGATTTCAACAGAAAGAAAATCAATGTTCAGTTTAGCAAGGTCATACGACTTAGACCAAATTAGGTTATACCTTATTAGGACTTCAATTATTGAGTCATGTGTCTTGATTAGTTTATTTTTTAAAAAAGATTAAACATTTAAATATTGAGATCATAAAGTAAACAAAAAGAAAATTAAAGTATCAAGCAGCTCTGTCATGTTAATTTTATACAGTTTCATAATATCATGATATCATCCAAGTCATATGTATTATGCTATAATTAAATTAATTAAAGAAAAAAAAGACCAAAAATAAATAAATGCATAAAGATTAGCCCAATAATACTTCTAAATATAATAAATCATGTACTAATTATAAATTGCTAATATTTAATAGTATTTGACATTTAACCACCAATAGCTAACCACAATCATCAAATCAAACAAATCAGCAAATCTTTTTTTTCCTTTTTTGTCCAATGAAAGACAATACTGCTTTGTTAGGTCACCAAGTAACATATGGTCAAACAAGCATGATATATAATGGGATTTTGTTAATTTTATTATTAATAAAGAATTAATTAAGGACCTCATTACATGGCTAAAATGGGTAAGAAAGTTTAGGGACTAAAAAAAAATATTAAAGGTTGCTAAGCATGCTTTATATTGGGATTTTCTCAAAAGTTGATTGGATGTTTCAGATAACACTTTTTTAGGTCCATCAGACAGCATCTTGTGTGTAAAGATTTTGCATAGTTTGCATCCTTTATTAAACTCAAATTAAATCCTAAAAGTTGATTTTTTTTCTTTTTTTTTTTTAATTTTAATACTTTAGTGTTCAACAATGAAATCATGTTTCTAAAGAAACTAATAATATTTAATTATTATAAAAAAACAGGATTAATAATGATTTATACCTACCAATTCCTGTTCTAAAATGCCATCACTTGGCGGCTATTCCAGTGATGCAATGTACTGACCTCTAATAAATAATAATAATAATAAAGAAAAACCTTTGTATGATTACAATTTTTCTTTTTCATTTTTAAGAAAAAAATATGATTACTAATTATTTAATATGTTATGAAATATAAACTAAATAAATGAGAAGGATGGACATGGTTCTTATTAGGTGATTTTCTTTCATTATTCATTTTTTTATTCTTAAATTTTTTTCATTAAAATAATTTTTAAAGAGATTATATGATTTTGCTAATGATAATAAAATAATTTTGAATTTTTTGAATTAAAAAATATAATCTAATTATTATTAAAAGTAGATTAAAGTTTATTCATTTTAAGCAAATATTTTGAATTTAGTACGGAACCTTATACAGTGGCGAATCTAGAAATTTTTTTATCCGGATTCAATATATAATTTTTTAGAAAAAGAGGAGTCAATGATATAAATAAATTAAAATTTATAGATTAATTTAAATGAATATACATATATTATTAAAATATTTTTTAAAAAAGAGGGATCAATTGAACTTCTTTTTATATGCCGTATCCAATGCTGACCTTATGCATGGAAAAATTTATTTAAGAAATTCGCTTCGAAAAAAATAATTTTTATTTTTATACAGAAGATACTCTTAATGTATACTAAAAAATGAAAAGTAAATTATTATATTACATCTCATTAGTAGAATCACGTCAAAAATATTAATTACATGAAATTTTGATTTTAATACACACCTTGAGGGAAAAAAATGGATATATATTTCATAAATTTCTATGATAAATATTTCAGAAGGCAAAAAGAAAATACTGTGGTGGTAAAGTGGAAATTAGCAAAGATAGAGTGGAAAAGGTGGTAAAGGAAGAAGGTTTACCTTTAGGGAACCAACAGTAAGCGGTGTCGTCAATAATTTACCGCTTTACTTGACCGTTTACTACAAATGGGTCAATGGGTCAAGGACCCAATCATGACGGGTTTACTTCCGTCAACTGTAATAAGCAACAACTAAACGCCGTTATGTCCCCTAACTACCGCATGCTATGACGTGGGAAAATCGTAAGCGTTCTAGTCACATATTTTGTTACTCACCGTTGGATCTGTTGCGCGTGGTTACTACTTTTGGATTAACGCACAATAATTACGATAAGATACAGGCGTGGTAACAAAAGATTCACCACCCGACACAATTAAGCCTAATATGAAATTCACCTGACACTTCACTGACCCAATCAGTAAAAACTTAAAAAGTGAAATTCAATTACCAAATCACCCTTGCCCGTTAGAATATGCCGTGTTTCTAACTGAGCTTCCTCATTGGTAAATTATTAGAAATACCATTCAGAAAAAAACTCATTACATAAATTTAATAAATTAATTATAAATTTATTCACCAAGCTTGTTCAAGAAATGAGTCAAATTTAAATTTCACAACAAAGTTTATGAACTGACTTATAAACTTTAATATCGAGCTAATACACTTTTAATTGAATTTAAACTTTATAAGCTATAATCTTTTTTCTAGTGCAAATGATTCTGAGTTCAATTCATAAATTAAGTTCGGATGCGAATACACTTTTTATGAATATCAAAATCGAATTTGATATAATTTGGTTCGACCCATTTTTATTTAAAGTCTAGATTGTTTCTCTCGCTCCCTCGCCTTTTTTTTTTTTTTCTTCTTCTAAAATGAAAAAACAAAAGAAAAAAGAAAAAGAAAGCCTTAAAGACACAAAATGTATTATAGCAAGTTGAATTGGCGATTTCAATCTTCACTTTTTTCTGGTGCTCTGATTGTTCTATGTTTGGTTCGACCCATTTTTATTTAAAGTCTAGATTGTTTCTCTCGCTCCCTCGCCTTTTTTTTTTTTTTCTTCTTCTAAAATGAAAAAACAAAAGAAAAAAGAAAAAGAAAGCCTTAAAGACACAAAATGTATTATAGCAAGTTGAATTGGCGATTTCAATCTTCACTTTTTTCTGGTGCTCTGATTGTTCTATGTCAGCTTTCCAGCAATTTCCCACAATACACACGAAGAGAACATATTTATATGTATAATGATGAAGAAAAGTAAATAAAAAGAAAAATAAAATGAGTACTGAAAAGTTATCATCACATTCACAGGGATCTGAAATTTGATATTTGGACACACAGTTGTTCATTTTCGTCCTATCACTTTCTACTCTGTTTCTGGACTGTCTATGCTCTTTTCTCTCTTTTCTTTTTCCTATTAAATCTATCTTTCTTCCTTCCTTCCTTTTTTTTCTTTTTTCTTTTTTCCTAATAAAAAGGTTATACTATAGTGAACAATAATGAGGCTAGTAAAAGTGAAAAACATGAAAACACTCTGTAAAATGTTGCCGGAGGATACTCAGTCAGCTGTCGGTGGCCACTTCCCTGATATACATTATGATGTGTGAAGAAGGTAATAATAAAACATAACTATAATTATTAGATGGGACGTTATGTAGCAAAGGGACGTTATGTAGCAAAGTTCATCGCTAAATTTATCATTTTTTTAAAATATTACACAAATTCTAAATTTTGATATTTTAAATTAAAATTTCAATATTAGAACAAAAATAAAAGAAAGTTGTGTTTAAAGTTCATCGCATAAATTTATGCATTTTTAAAATATTACAAATTCTAAATTTTGATATTTTTAATTAAATTTCAATATTAGAACAAAATAAAAGAAAGTTGTGTTTAGTTAAAAAAAAAAGAATCAATAATGTTCTATGACATATGGTGGAGAATTAAGAAACTGTAGAACTGAAACTGGATAAGCATTAATCCCATCCCAAAGTCACATTGCCTTTTTAACTTTGTGGTGAGGAGGCTGGTAAGGAAAAATGACTTTAAATTTTAAGCACAAAAATAAAGAAAAGGTAATGTTTTTTTAAACAGATATCAGAGGTTTATATATAACAATGAAAAGCTAAGTAGCTACAGAGAGCCAAAGAAGCTTCTTTTCTGCATCAACAAAAACCAGCTCTTGCAGACCTTAGCAAACCATTCTCTTGATCTTGTTTACAAATTTCTCAACTTTTTTGGTGGTCTGTAATTTTCAAGTTCTTTCATTTTGAACAGCAACTTTGATGTCTATACCAAAAGAACATGATTACATAGGCTTATCAGAGACTTCTTCTCCTATGGAAAGAATCTCTGATAAGCTTTCATCCTCTTCTTCTTCTTCCTCTACTCTATCAACTGAAGAGAACAGCAACAAAAACAAAACTTCTCTCAACCTTAAAGAAACTGAGCTGAGGCTTGGTTTGCCTGGGTCACAGTCCCCTGAAAGAAAACCACTGACTGGGGTCTCTCTTTTTGGAAAAGATATTGAAACCAACAATAATGGGTACTCTCTTAGCTCATTAAAGAATTTGGTCTCAGGGGCTAAGAGAGGTTTCTCAGATGCCATTGATAGCTCCTCTGGAAAATGGGTTTTCTCTGTCAATAATGGATCTGAGACTGATTTGAGTAAAGGAGCTGTCTTGTTTTCTCCTAGAGGTGATAATGGTAATACCCAGAAATATTGTGAATCTGAACCGGCCAAGAAAGAGGTTGTTGGTGTTATTGCTCAATCTCCAAAGCCAGTTCAAGGGAAGAGCAGTGAAGTCTCTGGTGCAAATGAGAACAGTAATGCTCCTGCTGCTAAGTAAGCTTACCTAACCTACTGCTTTAAGTTGGTTTTCTTGTTTATGTTGTTTTGGTTGGTTTCTTACTCTGTTGCCTTGGCCGATCTTTAATTTCAGTGAAGATTGTAGAATATATGGACGGAAAATATGTTCTACAATTTATTGCATGTTTCTTGCTGCTGTGGTTTGTGGGAAGATAAAGCCATCGAGTTTACTTACTGCAGTAGAATTTTATTAGACATGGTTTTGGGACCTAGGATGTGTAAATTATGCTTAAATTTGCAAATATCTTTTTCTTTTCAAACTATGTGCTTAGTCAATTCAATTTTATTTATAATTTTTGCTGTTTCTTTCATGTATTGATGTAATTGATCTCTAGTTGGCTTCCACATGCCCTTGCATGTACATCTTGTTAGTTTATGGTTAAAAATTTAACTTTCTGTGACTTTCTTTTGTGATACATAACGTAGAAGCATGTGAAGTTTCATGTTTATCACTTTTGTAGTCTTCGGATTATTATGTTAAATAAATTGCCTTCCAAAATCTGCAGATTCGTTTGTGCTGTTGAAAATTGGTAGTGTACGCTTTCTAGATATAGACCTTTTCATTGTAATTTATGAAATCTCCCTTCAAAAAATATTTTTACTTAAGTAGCTCGTCTTTTTCTTTCTAGAACTACTCAATTGAATTTCAATGGTACATGATTTTGGTGAATGCTGATCCAAGTATTTCTGCAACAGGGCACAGGTGGTGGGGTGGCCACCTATCCGTTCTTTTCGAAAGAACACGATGGTCTCTAATTTGGCAAAGAACACTGAAGATGCTGAAGGCAAATCAGGATTTGGGTGCCTCTATGTAAAAGTTAGCATGGATGGTGCACCATACCTTAGGAAGGTTGATCTCAAAACCTACAGCAACTATGTGGAACTCTCATCTGCTCTTGAGAAGATGTTCAGTTGCTTTACTATTGGTATACTCTCTTTCTCTCTCTCTCTCTCTCTCTCACGCGCGTGCACGCTCGCACGCAGGCGTGCACACAAAGACGTACCTGATGAGCAAATTGTTTCAGTGAAAAATATCTGCCCTCTGTTGGTTGGTAAAAGGGTGGCTTCTGACAAGCATAAAGTGTGTATTCACCTCTACATAACGCAGTTATGATCCCCTTGATCTTACAAAAGTCAAGCAATCGTCTGCTGCCTGATCAACAAATTCAAAAATCTGAATTGGTTTACTGTTTGTTTTCTGCAAAGTTGAATTATATATCCATTTCGTGAAAGTTTCTACTATTAACTTTCCAGTGAATTTTCTGGTTTCGTACTTGAAATAAAATGTTTAGAAGTTGTGATTTTGTTTTTTCAATCAGAGAATTCTTTTTGGACTGCCTGTCAAATATCACTTGCATGTTCCACTGTTAATATTGACTAGCCCTACCATTGGGAATTTGGTGTTTCGTGGTTGACCAAAAGTAAAGAAGAACGTTTTATTCTAGTGGATGTATGATTTCCAATCTAGTATTTGCATTGGAAGCATGGTTGCTTGATGACTTCTTTGACTAGTTATTTTCTCGTTTATGTTGTTTGCATGTCTTGAGAGGTTATCGACTTGTGTTTATGAATGACTATGATTCAGGACAATGCGGCTCAGGATTTCCAGGGCGAGATGGCCTGAGCGAGACTTGTTTAAAAGATCTTCTCCATGGCTCTGAATATGTTCTCACATATGAAGATAAGGACGGTGACTGGATGCTTGTCGGCGATGTGCCCTGGGAGTAAGTTTCAACAATCTGTTTCCATCCAATAATTTTTTCCTGAGATGAGATGTACATTATCTGTTTAGTTGATACATGATACTTCGATATAACTATACTTCCAAAATTTTTACATTTATGAAGGTAGAAGCAGAACTCTGCTATGCTTTATGTTCCCTTGAATGAATTTTTAATTTGATCTTGAAAAGTCAGTGGGCATAAGCTGATATGCAACTTGGAATTGCGATTTCTTGTAATAATATATCGTTCTTAATCCAATCTTCTATAACCTGAATCGTAACAAGTTATTATCTTATAGTTAACCATATATCACTGGCTTCTGATCTTGTTCTATGTTATTACAGGATGTTTACGGACACATGCAGGAGATTGAGGATCATGAAAGGTTCAGAGGCTATTGGGCTTGGTAAGTCCTATTAATTTATCATGCTAGATGAACAAACATTTGTTCCCTCATTATTCCAACATGGCTAGTCTTTGATAACAAACTCCAAAATCCATTCTGGTCTTTAATTTTATCTTCTGGACTTGGTCAACATTTATATGTTTCTCAACGAATTGGTCTTAACTTTTAATCCTTTTGTCTGTTTGCAGCTCCAAGGGCCATGGAGAAATGTAAGAATCGTAATTAGTCTATAAGCATATCATTGAGCAAGGAAACTCAAAATGAAGTTCTTGAAATTGCAAGTCCGTCTGAAGATTATTCAAATTGAGCTCTTTGCTCATTTGCAATATGTATTTGGAAATATCACAGTTTGCTGTATTTAGTGAATTGTCAGGGAAAAAATGTCTATTTGGAGACAAATATTTAAGTATGCTTAGTTAAACTTGTTCTCTTAGCTTTACTTTTTCCATGTGTACTTCAATTGTGTAAATGAATGGGTTGCTTGTTATTATAATCTCCACCTTTATCTAAAGAGAGAAGAGTTTTGTGTTCAAGTGTTATTCCTAAATGCTTCCTTCTCATTAACGTTGCATTATGGTCCATCAGAAGTTCTGCAATCAATCGAATAGAGGCACCAGAATAATTGTAAACATATTTGACATTAAAAGTATAACTATGTACATTAGCTGTCAGGATTGGTGCTAAGAATCACTTATGATCAGTTATTCTCAATTCAGCAAAAAAAAAAAAAAAAAAAAAAAATCAGTTTTATTATCATGATCCAGAAAAAAAAAAAAAAAAAAAAGAAAGCATTAATCACTGAGCACAATCCAAGATTCGTATAAAAAGCCCCCCAAGGAGACTAGAAATTTGATGACAGCAAAACACAGCAGTAGTGTTTAATGGGAAATTGCTAAACACGTTAGAAACAAGAATTGGATGAAGTGATTCAGAAAATTGAATTAAACATAATATAAAAAGCAAAAAGGGAAAAAAAAAATTTAAAAAAAAAAAAAAAAAAAAAAAGAAAGATTAATCACTGAGCACATCACAAGATTGTATAAAAAGCCCCACCAAGGAGACTAGAAATTTGATGACAGCAAACACAGCAGTAGATGTTAATGGGAAATTGCTAAAACACGTTAGAAACAAGAAATTGGATGAAGTGATTCAGAAAATTGAATTAAACATAAATATAAAAAGAAAAAAGGGAAAAAAAAAATTTAACTGTTCATTTTGAACCTGTGTGGAAAAGGAATTAATATTAACAACTTGTGTGTTTCAATCTAGGCAAAACTAACAGCTCCATCATCTGCTCTGAACAGCTTTAAGATTCTTGTTCAGAGATTTGAAGATATACCATCTGGGTATAGCCATTAAATACAGAATTCTCTAGTCTACCTAGACCAATCCGCTGGAAAAGGCCATAGCGACCATCTTCAACAATAGGAGGGGTGGTTCGAGCAGGATCATATCTTGTTTGATGAGTGAGAGAAGGACCAGCTACTGGGGGAAGCTCCCAATAAACATCAAGGATTGATTCAATAAACCTGCTGTTCTGAAAATGTTCCAAATAGGAAATTGGCTTGTTACTGTGATTAAAATTATCTCGCATCCAGCCTCTAACACCCCACCATGCTTCATTTGGGCCACACAGTTCATCTACATCAACTGCCTTCTCCCAGAATTTCTTCCTTTTTGATCTAATCCTGCTTTCATCGCTATCCCTAAAGCAGCTATGACCGCCTCCTAGATTCAGGAAAATTTTAAAACCAAGAAAAGAAAGGAACACTTAAATGAAGTGAATATTCAAAATACAAGACTCATTTCTAATCTACGATGAGATGCTGATAAAGTACAAAAAAAATACTAAGACAAAGGAAGAATGAGTCACAAAAAAATACTCATTTCTTCAGTGAATGAGTCACAATAAAGTCTGGAATATATATTTCAAGATGCATCTAATGACGAAGAAAATCACATCACAAAATATTTAAGACATTAAATAACTGATTTTCCCTATTCAAGATTATTTCTTCCTTTTAGCCCTCTATTCCTTCTTCATGGTTATAATGCAATTTGTGCACTTCGGGAAGAGTGGATAGAAGGTGAGCTTTCACTATCGGCTATTTCATCTTTCTTAGCATTGAAAAACTAACATTCATGATTCATGTCTTTATTATTTATTTTGGAGTAGACTAGTTTTTATTTTTATTCGCTTTTTCTTTGGGAAACAAAAAGAGAGTAGAACCCAGTAAAGTTTTTTGGGGGAGTGAGTACTCTTCAGTCTTCACTACTGTCCTTGAGGCCATTAAAGAAGGGGCAGAGTATGAATCAGACAAGGAACACAAACATGAATCAGATTTGGGTCCTTTACTTCCAGAATCCTGTGTTTGATAATGGATAAATGAACACCATTATTTCTTATGTTCAATGATGAAAAGTGATAAGTCGAGCTCAAAGAAACCGAAATTAGGAATGTACTGGTCAACAGCAAACGGAGGTACAACCATATTCCATGAAGGACAAGGACGAAAATCAATAAGAACAAGATTAACAAAATCAATAAATACATTTGATAATAATAATGAAAATAAGTATATGTTTTCTCGAAAGAATTGCAGAAACAGTAAACGCTGATGCATTTAAGTAGAATTATATATCAGTCCCCAATAAACTTAAGTGAAAGAAAATGACTCAAGTTTAACACCCAAGTGTTAGTGTGAGTTAAGGCTATATAAAGGATACTGCTAACAAATGAAAAGACCATAGAATGAAGTAATGAACCCATCCCTGGAGCTGCTGTGGTCAGATCCTAAATCTGATTGATGAACCATCCAAAATGTCCTCTGCAATACATGAAAAGCAGTATTTGCTCCCAGCTCCCTAGGTATTAATCCTTTCATTTTGTCAAAATCCCTCGTCATCAACATTCCTTTGTAATAGAATTGGAAATTTCTCACGTATAGAAACCTTTTTCATTTAGAGGGAGAAAAAGATTATATTTATATCTATGTTCTGAAATCTGAACCAGACACAAAAAAGCCCGAGGCAGCAAGCAACTACCTATGTCAATATGTCCTATAGTCAATAAATGAGGTACTGCTGAACATCCTGCCTATTCAAATGCAGTCATCAATTTGGTTGACCTGGTCTGTTTAATTGCAGATCAGATGATTTTCATGTGAGTTGCAACAATTCAACTGGTTCACTTAATGTTGGCATGACACATTTTTGTAGCACCATGTTTGCCATTTTTACCTAAAATAATTTTGAGTGTTAGAAATCTACAAGGCTAAAACCTACACTCTGACTGAGCTGTCATCATGGCACCATGTTCACATTGTCTATAAATATATTGGAAATTATGTATTTATATTTTCTTTTTGCCAACATCACTAAGTCAGCCTATCAATTCAGCTTTGGTCGAGTCTTAAAGGCTCAAACTTTGGCCCTCTCCCTCAATGTTCAGTTCTCAAAAAATAAATTCATACAGTAGAAATCCACCAACCATGCAATGAATACAACCAGGAAGCTTATAGGATAGAGATGAGAGAGAACACACCTCGTATATAGGACTGATCACATATCTGTCTTAAGGAATAATGATCTCCAGTTCCAGTATCATAGTTATCCTCAAAAACCAGATGCCGAAAGCCAGCACTCAATGCCTGCCGTACTCTGCCACAAAAACATTAATTAAGAAAAATACGCATAGGAAAATTAATAGACTTGACTATATCTGCATAGGCACAAGGTATGGAGGTACATTGCTAGTTTTATAATTCGAATACCTTTTCAATTCATTTTGATGGTCATCAAAAAAGATAAGAACTCGACTGAGATCCGTAATCCCATGTTTCTTCATCACACTCTTCCATTCAACACTTCCAAAATCCACAAAATCTTTTCCAGCAAAGTATGTGCAGTTTCCATCAACATAAGCAGGTCCCTTTTTCAGGTATTTCTCAGGATGTCTAGGTGACAGAGAAATGATTGGCATGTCTGGCATCGCTTGCCGCAGCACCCAGGTGGAATGCCCCTTGAAAGCACCACTCTCAATCATTAAATCTGGCTTCAGCCACCTTGCAATAAACCAAAGCCCAAAGCTATGGTCAAAACCCATTCCGTACATGTTGTTTTTGATTGGCCTAGTTTCATATATTGGTACAAACTCTTCCAAGCCCTTGAGTAAATCCTTGGCTGTCCATTCAACTTTTTTTCCATGTTTCGATCTGCCTTTTGCCAAGGACAAGAATTAAATGGGAGTCGATTATAGGAACTCAAACTCAAATTTTCCATAGATCAGGAAAGCTAATCAGTGAAAAATAAAATTAAAGTGAATATAGACGACCATGAGAATGAAAACATCCCAACACCACAAATAAGAAAATAGATATGAGCTATATACCAACTTGCCAAGCAGAGCACATAGCATACCACCAAAAACAGCAAATTGCACAAGGTGATCTCGGACCAAATACATTATGTTAGGGAACCAAAAAGTCCATAAACTCTAATAAAGTTCTAACAAGTATTGAGAAATACCTGAAAATATTTCAAAATTTTCAATTATCTGCTAAAATGACAATTAGCAACTAGTTTTCACTTCACTCATCACTGTAATAGGAGCAAAAGCACCACTCTTTACATTCTCTAAATACTGCATTCTCTCTCCCTCTCTCTAAACACACACACAAAAGGAAAAAGAAAAAAAAAATCTTTGTTTTAATTAGGGAAAAAATAATGTTACGTTCAGTTAAAACTCTTTTAAAAAAATCGGACGAACGATTATAAACCGTCAAATGGAAGCACAAGGAAAGCCATGAACTTGCACAATTAACTGAAAATTCAATGGTAATAAGCCAACATGTATCTATCTAGAGTGGGCTCCTAGTTCAGAGAATGTTGACACAGTTTATACCAAAACTATGCTAAGCAAATGCTGAATAAAAAATTCAACCAAAGCTAAAGATGTGGCCTTGTTCCTCCTCTGTTATCAAAAAAATATTGAAAATTCAAAACTCTCAAAGCTGTAACCTTTCCTTTGCCTACACTATGATCAATATAAAGATCCAGACCCAGATCTGAATCAAACCCATATACACACGAATACAAATTTAGAAGAAAAGGGGACTTACAACAAGGAACACCAAGGACTCCAAAATCCGATTCAAGGCCATCTAACCCGAAAAATCCGACCCGGATAGCGGGATCAAAAGGAGAAACACAGACGAAGTTTCGAGAATGAAACAGCAGAGACGCAATGGACACTGAAACCAAGATGAGGCAGAGTATGAGACAGGGAGTTGGACAAGGGCAGAGGTGGGACAAGCGGGAAAGGTAATTGGCGGCTAACAAAGAGAGGCTCTGTTTCTTGGTCTTGGACTCATCGCCGGAGAGGGGTAAAGTATCGTTATCAGAAACGGCGTCGTCTGGGTGAGGACTGGCCCGGCGAGAAGAAAGCACTCGCTCAAGCATCTTGGAAGAGGCGGAAGTGGGTGTCTTTGGACTGAGTGGATGCTTTAGAGTGTGCATAGTTAAAGGTGAAAATTATGGCTTTCTTCTTCTTTAAATTTTAACCTTCAAGTTTCAGAGACATGGCGTAAGCAGAGGAACTAGAGATCGAGTGAGGAGCTTTCTTTCTACTTCTTTTTCTTCTCTTCTTTTTTGCATTATTTTATATTTATAAGATTTTGTAATATCTCAATTTCTCGTAATTATATAATTATTTTTGTTATGAATAAAAAAAATTATAAATAAAATCATTCATAATTTATAATGTTGTTAATGATTTAATAATATAAGATTTTGGTGTTTGGTTCAAACACGAATATTACATTTTCAGTAAAATTAGAACACGTATGGGAGGGAATTGGTTGATGCTAATTGGTAGTTTGGCAGGGCATTGTTGCTTGGTAAAAAGTAAAAAAACCATTATTATTTTCAAATATTACCATATATAAATATATTAATTTTATGGACCAAATTTATGATTAAGCACAGGATTTAGCTGTTCTAGTCACTACAACAGAGAATATTTTGGATATTATTATTGTCTGTCATTTTTTTTTTTCTTGGTAAAATTATTGTTGTCCGACTTTAATACTGCTTTAACTTGGATTAGCGGGTTAGAAAAACAATATTCCACCACCGATATTTGAAACATGAGAGGGTTAAAATCTGTTATACTCCTATAATCTGAGAAATTAGTGCATCTAGTTCTACCAAAACAAATTAAAATGATTATTAATAATGGCAACTAACTAACAAGTCTTCAGATTTTGGAGGAGGGTAGGCCTTAAATTCACATTTACAATAAATATATATAGGTTAAAACACAGTGATGTCGAATTCTTGAGGGACCCTGTTCATATATATACATATAGATACATACACACAATTGTGTCAAATTTTTCTGTTTGGATTTCATTTATAACCGAGCCTACCAATATTAATTTTCATAAATCATATACTATCTCAGAGTTTTTATAGCAGTTCTGCATCTGCATTTGCTTTGCATTTTGGAGATATGGCTTCAATGGGCTCTCCAAACTCACCACCAAACCCATCTTTTACAATTAGAGAAACAAATCACGAGTTCTTGAAGAGTCTCTCTTCAAAAGAACCTTCATTTGCAGATTTTCTTTTTAGTCCACCAAATTTAGCTACACCACACCGCCTTTCTGTTCCATATTGCTCTCCTCCTCGACCTCAAACACCAACTAATAGTCTCATTTCCAACTCTAAAACTACATATACTTGTTTATCTTCAGTTCTTAAAAAGGACGGTCAAATATTATCTATGGCAATGTCAAATGGACTTGTTTACACGGGCTCTCATACCAATTCCATAAGAATATGGAAATTGCCTGAGTTTGCTGAGTGTGGCCAACTGAAGACCAAGACATGTATGGTAGTTGCATTAGAAGTTTCACATGATAGAGTTTATGCTGCTTATGGTGATGGAAAGATACGAATTTGGAGAAGAACATGGGATGCAGGTTTTAAACATGTAAGATTGGCTACCATACCTAAGACCGGAGGTTATGTCTGGAGCTATATGGCCGGAAAAGATAAGACGGTAATGTTCAATGTCACTCTTGTTGATGTATATTTATTGCATTTACTTCTTGTTGGTTTGTGGGGATACATATATGAATATCATTTATGTTGACTGATATATACATGTATCTACCTTAGGATGTTATTTTAATTTGGCTTTAAATGGGATTCAAATTCTAGACCTTTCAGCTATGAAGACAACTCCAATGCTGCTGAGCTAACGCTCGTTGGTCATAGGATGCCATTTTACTAAAAAACAACATGCGTAAGGGAATGGTTCAGCTTCACTTACCTTTCCAGCCACTATATAAGTACTTCATATTTTTTGCTACTGACAGCATTTTTATGACCATAAAATCGTAACAGAAGAATTTTGGTCAAGTTATACAGAATACTACAGTAGAAAGGCTTTTTGTTCTGTAACCAGGATTAGTTCACAGACGATGTATTTTTCTTCTTCATGCTTGCTATTAATCAAATCAAAAGGTGGTATGTAAAATTGGGTTGTGGTACAATTTGACTGAAAATGACAAATAAAGAAGCGAAAAGGCCTATACTTGAAGTTGCTTGCTTACTATGAGATGTTGAGCCCTAAAATGGGAGCACACACCGAACTGCTATTTATATCTTGCACGGATTTTGAGTTGTCTCTTTACATATATATATGATCTGTTAAGGGGATCCACATGATTAAATATTATGTCTGCAAGTTCTTGCTGAAATATATCACTGTAACTAACCAATCTGTATTCTTCTTCTTTGGACCCAGGACTTAATGAAATTCACAGTCCATTTTTGCTTTTTCATAACAAAATGTACCTATGATAGATTGACCTTGTTAGTCTGTTAGCTTTTTGCTGCTTGCTTCTCAGAATATAGTGAATTGGTATGCAACTTTTATCTGCATTTGATTGGTTGGTTTTAGTTTGTCTGAATCCTAAAAGCTGAAAGTACCGTTTTTATAGCTCAGTTAGAACTACACATAATAATGTTGAAGTAAAAGAAAACAGTTTGTATATCAGAATTTCACTTAGGTAAAAGTTTAATTTTATAGGTAAGAGATCAAGCATAGTTTTTATAACTTCGCAGGAGATGGGTCTAGTACCTTTGAACAGAAGCTGATTAGTAACTGTGTTTAAAATTGACCTACTAGTGCGTAATTGTATCGCTGCCATCAATTTTAACAGATGAAGCACATGGGCCCAATAACATCACTAGCAATCAACATTTCTGATGACACCTTATACTCAGCTTCACTTGATAAAACAGTGAAAGTATGGAGGCTATCAGACTTAAAATGCATTGAGACAATACAAGCGCATTCCGAGCCGATCAATGCCATTGTAGTAGCTGATGATGGAGTACTCTACACTGCTTCTGATGATGCCTCTATCAAAGTCTGGCGTCGCAACTTTTACATAACAGACTTACCACATTCTCTTATCACAACCGTACCTGCCAAGTCCTCTCCTGTAAAAGCCTTGACTCTAACTACAGATCACAATAGAATCCTCTATGGCGGATGCACTGACGGATACATTCACTATTGGCTTAGAGGTAGATTCTCAGGCCAATTACAATATGGCGGTGCACTACAAGGTCACACACATGCAGTTATGAGTATTGAAAGTGTTGGAAGTTATGTTATAAGTGGGTCAGCTGATTCATCTAGCCGGGTGTGGCTTAGAGAGTCAGATGGGCAGCATGGATGTCTAGCAGTTTTAGTAGGGCACAGAGGTCCTGTTAGATGTGTGTCAGCCTATCTGGGATGGTTAGCAGAAGATAACAGTGAAGAAGACTGCACAATTTGCACAGGAAGTCTTGATGGTGTCATAAAATTTTGGCGAGTAACTCGTACAAATAAAGATATTGGAGGTTTGTCACCTAATGGTTATGAGTATTTTGAGCTGCAGTAGAGAATTTCTCAGTGTTTTAAACTTCTAATTGTACAGTATAGTTATTTCAGAACTGCATGTGAAAGTTGATTTTCTTTAGCGGTGGGCTCGTTTTAGTGACTTTATTAATGTAAAATATATGATAGTAAATAAAAGAGGAGGAGGAGCTCCTTCTCTTTCCTTTTTTTTCTTAATCTAATTTTATTTCTGGTCTGCAGCCTATTAATTGGCTTGCCTGTGAGTCTAGCTATTATATATTTGATGAAAATGAAATCACTAATTAAAGAACCTTTTTGTGATTCAAAGGTTACCTTATCTTGAATATTCTGCTTTTTCTTAGATAAGGTTTTCTCGAATTTTTTTTTTCTTTTACATCTTAGATAAATATTTCAAAATTTTCTTCGACTTATATTTTGCTTCACATGGTTATTAATTTGATCAGCACGACGGTTATTGGAAACAAAGAATTTATATAATTGATTCCAATTAGTTTGGAACTCGGGCTTACTCGTTGTTGTTATAGTATTTTATTACTTTCCTGCTCTTGTCCATTAAGGTTTGCTCCTCCAGTATAACATTATCATCTTATCAAGATTAGAAAATATGATCATCTCATCTCATCAAGATTAGGAAATCGCAAAATAATTTTGTTTGCAATCATTTAGTTATATGATCATACTTATCCCAAAGCAAATATAATCATAACAAGAAACGTCATAATAAAGCCATTAATTAAAAATAAATGACAAGAAGAGGCACAATCTGCTCTGTTGCGAGGATTGTCTTTCTGGCAATGTTCTTCTTCTTCTTCTTCTTTACAGATTCTAGTGTGCATGACTTGTCCTCTGTTGCATCTCCATTCCATAATCATGCCGTTCTTCTTTCTTCAACAACCGATAGATGGAATAACAAAGAACTCGTAAGCAAATGAGAATGGCAATGATCACCAGAGCTGTAACAACATAATCTGTTATAGAACGAGAGCGCTTGCACCCAAAAAGAATTCCTATACACACCATGGCTAAGCCAAAGATATGTATGTTATATGTAATTTATATACATAGCAAGAGAGAGAAAGAAACCAGTTGGGTTCTTTGCTTGAGTAAATTGCAAAAGATGGCTTCAAGAGGTGAACAGTTCAATCATTGTATATAAGGTTAAAGGTTTTCTTGGTGTATCCTTGCCTTGAATGGAAATTGTTTGCTCACTTCTGGTTCAAGTTTGGTATAGTCAAACGTAGGACGTTACTGTGTAGAGGAGAAAATAATCAAGAATGTCTGTCTCTCTTCTACTTCAAATTGGGTTCTTTACTTTTGGTCTGTAAAATTGTACAGAGGAGAAAATACCGTTGCTATTATTAAGAGCTCAACGTAGATTTGAGCATGTCTCTGTTAGGTAAACGACGCCGTCGCATTTGCGAAAATGGCCACTTAGTGTTCACACGTGTGAAAGTAACGACTCGAGGAAACTGAAAACCTTTTTTTTTTGCCCTTTTCCGTCGAAGGAGAGGAAGAAGAACGATACGAATGTTTGCTTCCAGTTCTATCTTTCTCTTGAGGTACGCCATTTGTTTCCCAAGAAAATGTTAAAGAAATAACGTGCTGTTCGTTTTTCACTTTATTTTTCTTATCATTCATTAATAAATTAGAAATAAGAAAAAAACTACTGTCACTGACTCACTGAAACAAACTTAATATCAAAAGAATTAGGTTTCCACTTGCTATGGTAAGGATTTGCTTCTTATATCAGTTGCAATTCGAGATAAAAAAGTTTTTTGCTTCAATCTTGAAGTAGAGATACCCTTGTTGCATATTTATTGCTTGTTTACTAATTTTTACACTCAAATTAAGGAATCGCTGATTGGAGCTGTTAATAGCTGAAAACTTGTTTCTCGCAAGCAGTTGAATTGAGTTGTTTGCTTTCACGTTGTTTTAGATGCAGAACAAACCGTGTGCTCACATATGTGAATTTGAAAGTGAACTCAAAGCCAGCCAGTTACTTTCAGGTATTAAGTTTGGCTGGCATATCTTTTTGATGTTCAATTCTGTAAGAACTAAGTTGTTTCAGTGTTTTCTTTTCGTATTATTTAATGTAAAATTGTAGCGTCCACTGCATGCATAGAATGTCATAAATTGTTAGATTTTTTATACTTTTGCTTTTGGTTTGCATTTGGATAGGGGATTTGAAATTGATGGATTTGGACTTGATTTAAGAAGTGAGCCTCTTAAAAACGCTTATAGAAAATGGGGGTTTAATTATTCATTTTGAAGAAGAATGAATGATTTTCCTGGCTAATTATATTCTGAGATTCTTAGCTTAATTTGGAGGTCTTTACTGGAATCTGTGTGACAGGGACACTGTTCTTATTATAGTTTCAGCTTCAATAAGATGGCTGGGCCAGAAGTTAGGTTAGCTGGCATGGATAGGAACAAGAAGCAAAAAACAGTCACTCAACTATGGAGACCAATCTCTGTTAAAGCCAGTTCTGCTGAAGGTTAATTTTCTTTTACATCAGAACATTTCTCATTATGGTACTGTTTGATAATGCTTTTCCTCTTGTTTATCTTTTTGCTTCTGGTCAATTTAGCAGTACATAAATACAGTATAGCAAACCTAGTTCTACATCGCAATAACACCTGTCATCATATTCATATCATGTCTCTGTAAAACTTTTCAGTGTGACTACAGCTTGATTACAAGTTAGCTGAAACATTAGGAGGACTTTAGTGGTTACAAATTGCTTTTTATTTTGTGGATTCACTCGAAGAATTTTCAAATTTTATTTTCTTTTTCTTGCCCCTTGGTTCTCGTTTGACCTTTTCTGGCAAGTAGTCAGTTCCCAAAGCATTAACATTGTGCTGGCTATGTGATATTTGGTTTAGCCAAATGAGTTGTTATTCTTTCAAACAATCTTGGTTTTGATATTGCTTATGGATTGATGTAAAACTGCAGAATCCCTTATAAAGGATGTGACTATTGAGTCAGAAGACGGAGGTCAACTTCAAAAGGTACACAGCAGCGCATCTAGCTCCATTCCAAATACTCAAGAAGTCATGAAAGTTGTTGACTCTGTAACTGAAGTAACTCAAACAACTGTCACTTTTAGCACCGTGGATAATAATGTTGAAGATAGAACTTTGGAAGGAGAGTCCATGATTTCTGTAGAGAAGCATTCCCTTTCAGTCGAGGTATATTAACATTTATTTGTTGAAGTTCAAAGAGTTTGTTGTGTATATATGTATATATTTACAGATTGTTTGTCAGGTTCATCCATGAGATGGGTTTTGAGTATGACATGGTATCCATCAATAAGTTTTCAGCTGAGCTTTTTGTTTCTGTTATGCTCTGTGTTTGTGGTTGTGTGACATGTTTCTTCCTTATTGGAAATGAAAGGTGGTTAAAAAAATGAGTTCTCTGTGTTTCAAATAGGATTATATATATATAGTGCTATTCTAGAACTAGAAGAAAGCGCCTTGCCACGGATCTGTAGGCATATTAAGCCTTCAATCAAGTTGCTCCACTATGACATATGACATACCGTCCAGCTTATGTAATGTTTGGCTATGATTTCTTCTATAGGATTACATTATCTGCAAGATTATGTTACTCATGGTTTCTATTGTAGCTCTCTATTGCAATCTTCAAAACCGATTTTATGCTTTCTTACCTAAGTTGTTATTCAGGTAAGACACCAAAAATCATCTCTCTTTGTACTTCGCATGTCACTTAGCTGCCTCTTCTTTATGCCAACACTTTCATCTTTATATTGCAGCTACCTTGTGGTTAACTCTTTTGTTCCCTTGATTATGTCTATTCTTGCTCTTTTTTCTTTTTGCATATATATAAAATTGCTTTTAATACATTGGCTCAATTTTGTCCTTGATTTGTAGGTAGGTGCTTCTCTATTTCGGTTTATCAAAGGAAAAGGGTATGAAATTCACAGAATATGGGCATTCTTGAACATAAATCAAATCTGTTTTTCTTATTCTTCTAAATTTCCTGCCTCAGAGGATCTACACAGCAAAAAATTGAAAAGGAGATGGGAGTTAAGATTATAATTCCAGCATCAAAGAAGGAGGAATCCATTAGTAAGTTTTCTGGATTTTTTTGGTGAATTGTTTTCATCAAATTACCATATGAAAACTTTCGGAGTACTTTGACTTCTTTACCAATGATAGAACTTAATAGTTACTTTAATTTGAAATTTTCATTATTTTATGCCAAATGTGATTTGCAACAATGTTGGTTGGCCTTTTATTTAGGAACTCTGACATGGTTCTTTATGGCAGTCATTGAAGGCAATTCAGTTGACACTGTAACTCGTGCTTCAGAAAAGATACAGATTATTATAGATGAGGTTTGTGCCCAATCAATGTTGTTTTCAAAGTGGCTCATTTATGTACGTTATTACAGTGTCTCATCTTCGTATTTGAGAGCTAGTTTTGTTTGTTGATTTGTGCATATGAAAAATCTACTATTCCATAACCTAAGCCATATGCGTGGGATGGTGAATTTTCCAAGTTTAGATGGTAAACCAGTAAATACTTTTTCCATACTATCAAGGGGAAAATTAAATTTGTAAAGGGCTCATACTGTTGATGAAGCCAAGTTCGATGTCAACTAACAGAGCTGCACGCAAAAACGTGTTTGTTTTGTTAACTTGTCAATCTTAAATATCCTGTGCTAAGGACTTCAGCTTGATAAAAGTGATTCTGTATATTTTGGCACATATTTTTGTACCTCTTCTATGTGCATGTCTAATGAAAACCTGATTAATTATCCTTCCTAGGTGTGATCCTAACAGTTTTTTTTTTTTTCCTGTTTCCGGGGGTCTGAAACACAGGCAGTTAATAGCCCAACTCTCGATTACTCTCACTTCATATCTCTTCCTTTGGCTATACACCCAGAGTTGGTTGATAAGCTAGTCAAATTTCAGAACTTCATATTGGGAAATAGTGATGCTTCTGTGGATGAGACCATGGAGAGTGATTCCAATGAAGATGCTTCTGACGCTGAAGACAAGGACCAAGAGTTAAGTAAAGGATCTGATGTTGCAGTTGAACTTAAAGTTGAAGATGACAATCATGTTAAAGTGGATCTAACTAGCATACCTCTTGTTAGTTATGCATCTAAAGCATCCAAGTCACCTACTTTATCTGGTAGTGCTAACAAACTTATCAATTTTAAATCTAGGGACAGTGGAGCATATCTTTCTTTAGTTGTTGCTGTAGTTTCACAAAAACATAATATCACTTATAAATTACTGACCATTTTTGCATGTGAAATCTTGGTTCTATTTTTGCCTTCACTTATTTGGAGTAATAAAAAAAAAAAAAAAAAGAATTAGATAAAGGTGGTTTATTTGGTCTGATTGGTGAACTGATTTGCTTCTCTTTCTTTGGCAATTAATCCATTTCTTTTCTTCCTATTTTTCCTTTTCTTCTTTACTTGAACAAAATCTCGCTGATTTATGTTGCACTTGACAGATTTGGGAATAGATAAATCGATATTTATCAAACCTAAGACATTTCACTTAACTGTGCTCATGTTGAAGCTGTGGAACAAGGAGCGAGTCACTGCAGCTTCAGAGGTTCTGAAGGTATACTGTTATTGAATAAATAGGTTTGGCTGGTGGTGACACTGATTTATCATGAAATTTTATATTTTTGTATTAGAGTATATCCTCAAAAGTGATGGATGCATTGGATCATCGACCGGTCTCTGTAAGGCTTAAGGGGCTAGTAAGTAAAACAGAACTTCATTTTCATTGTCTTTTTATCTACTCTATAATAAGATACAATGGCCTTTTGATGTAGAGCTTTATCCTCAGTAAATTATTTGGATGCTTCTTAAGTTTTAATGGTGTTTCTTGTGAAAATGATTGTGTATTTAATAATAGTGGGTCAAGATGCAGGTCCATTTCCCTTTCCATTGAGGATGTGAATTGCTTTTACCCCTATGCAGGATTGTATGCGAGGTTCCATGGCAAAAGCCCGTGTTCTTTATGCCTCTGTGGAAGAAATTGGAAATGAGGGACGACTATTACAAGCTTGTCGTATCCTAAGTGTCAATAATCTAATGTCTTGTGCAAATATTATTTTTGCATTAGCTGCGCTGGGAAACAGCAGTAGGAAAAAAGGAAACCAATGTTATCTAATAGAATTAGATTTAAGGTTTTTTTTTTTTTTTTTTTTTTCCAGTTGAATAAATCTTTTGGATTTCCTTAGCTTTCATAGAGGTCATTACTGATGCATTTGTTGAGGCTGGACTTGTCCTGGAGAAAGATGCTAAACAAAAGTTAAAGGTACTATATATAACCCTTCCATTATCCATTTTTCATTATCAAATGGCTATGCTTGATATGCTGATGTTACATTTGAAATTATTAATGTGTTTGTCGCCATATGCCTTAATCGCTTCCTCACTCTCTCTCTCTCTCTCTCTCTATATATGGAGAAAAGAATTCTAAACAAAAGTTAAAGGTACTATATAATAAACCTTTGCCATTATCCAATTTTTTCATTATCAAAATGGCTATGCTTGATAATGCCGATGTTTACATTTGAAAATTATTAATGTGTTGTTCGCCAATATGCCTTAAATCGCTTCCATCACTCTCTCTCTCTCTCTCTCTCTATAATATATATATATATATATATAGTATATTTTTCTAATTCAAACCATTCTCTACTTTTTATCTAATTTGACAAATAAAATTAAGGTCTTAAAGCATTGACTTCAATTCTATAGTGAGTTTTAAAGCCTATTCCTTCCAGTTGAGATATATTTTCTATTCAACCATTCTCTACTTTTTTATCTAATTTGACAATAAAATAAGGTCTTAAGCTTGCTTCATTCTATAGTGAGTTTAAGCTTTCTTCCAGTTGAGTAAGTTGCTTATCTTTATCCCACCCTCATTTCCTTCTATCTCCACCTGTATTATTCAGGGCCTGATCTTCTTACATACATAATTTGGGAACAGAAAAGTGAGGAAGGCTTTGAGGTATCATATGAACCAAGGTTGTCTAGGGAAATAATTATTGTGCATATCTTGTCGAGGATATATAAAAAAATCATCTTTAATTTTAAAATACGTATAGTAGCACATGTATGCTGCGAATGTTGCATGGAAATGTTCATTTCCTGGTATTGTTGAATGGAGCTCTACTCCTTTTGAACTCCTTACTTAGGAGCTGGGAAGTCCAGATTTTGCTACTGGAGAATATTACTAGAAATGGTAATGCAAGAAAAAATTTTACCAAAATGGAAAGAAACATGCTGTAAAACTTCTGAATTATGGTAAACACATGACACAGTATTTTGTTGAGCAGCCCATAACCTGAAAGTCTGGCCACGTTGTTAAATTGAAAATTTCAAAGGACTGCCTTAAACTTTTATATGCAGCAATGTAGCAACATATCATTGACTACGTCTTGCTGTCCCTTTAGTCTCAAAGCACTGATGTTAACAATTTGTTTCACTCGAAACGCAGTTGCATGCTACGGTGATGAATGCAAGGCATAGGAAAGGGTATTCGCTCTCTCTCCCCTATATTCCTTTATCTTAACCTTCCGCTGCTGGGTCTTGCTGCTGATTTGATTTTGCTTCTCTGTCTGCATTGCTAATACACGGTGAAATTTTCAGGAAGAAGAGAAGAAAGAAATACGATTCCTTTGATGCTAGAGGCATTTTCAAGCAGTTTGGTTCAGAAGAATGGGGAGATTATCTCATACGCGAAGCTCATCTTTCTCAACGTTTTATGTTTGATGAAAATGGATATTATCATTGTTGTGCTTCAATACCTTTTCCTGAAAGCATGCAAGCGGATTGATCATTTTGAAAAATTCCAATCTGAACTTTTCTCGAGTAGGAAACTAGCTAAGTTGTAGTAATAAAATATATTAATATTTGTGTTGCATTACATGTATATGCTTGTTTTCTTTATTTCAGCTTCCAGATTTGTAGCTTTCCTTGTTTAATTTCCTAAATAGATTAGCCATGTGATGTGATATCTTTAAATTGCAGGATACATCACCCTAGAAACTCACAGAAATCATGTTTTATTTATTTATTTCAAAACAAAAATTTTGCCCTTTCCCTTTTAAATAAGTAATGTGCATTACTTCTAGATTATTCGATATTTTTTTTTTGTTTCTAGTATCGTCTTTATCATCACACTAAAATATTAATAACACAAGACGTATTTGAAATCATTTAAAAGAAGCAGAAAGTGACTGGAAAATTTTGCACTCTGATCAAGATCTACATCCACAGTAATATCATACAGAATTTTTACAGTTCTTACTATTAATGGTTGGTGGGTAATCTATTAGGGTAAAAAAAAAAAAAGAAGGGCATATTGTGGATTTTTGGATTTCAACCATGGGAAAAAAAAGGAAGAAAGAAGTGGATTGGCATCACATACAATTAGCCAATTCACAACCACAACATCCCAACCACCCCAAAGAACAACAGAATCACATGGTGGATATCCAAAATTCTCTTTTTGAACTAGGCAAAAGCAAGGACACAAATTTTCAAAAGGAAAAAGGCAAAAGCGTGAAAAATAATAATTACAATAATGCCAAACATCCAAAATGATAATTAATGATAATAATAAGGAAACAAACAAAAACCCTAACCTTTTTTTTTTACCAAAATTTTCTCCATGAATGACAAATTGTCATTTAGATTCCTTTCCATCCTGTCCATTTTGGCCGACCTCCTCTCTTTCTTTAGCGAATACCTAACCTAAACACAATTGTGTGTTTAAATTACATTTAAAAAACCCTAATTTTTCTCAATTATGTGTATATAAAATACCATCAAGCACCAATGAAAAAATTGTGTCCACTCATTTAAAAAATCCCAAAATTTCCAGCCCATTTTTGGAATATGGTCGGTGGGTTTTGTGGACCAAAAGGTAGTGCTCCTCCAAGCACGTTCCTTTCTTTATCATTATTTTCTGCAGACTCTCTTCTGTTGAAGTTGCTAACATGGAAGAATTATTGATGCACGTCCAGACATTTCTAGTAAAGAAAAGTTAATGACAGCTAGGATTTCAGAAACAAATTCTGACGGGATGTGCATGTACAAATACACTTCTCCATATTCCTTATCTTCAAAAATAAGATAACACACACACACACACACATATAATATACACTTCAACAATAATATCCTAAACAACTCATGACTTCATTTAATATTAGGAAAACGACATAAAAATTTTTCTATAAAATAAATATTGAGATGATATATCAAATAAGACTCTAACGTTTTATTATAATTTCTATATTTTTATATTTAAAGTATTTTATTTTTATTTATTTTATAAATAAATATATTCACTTTTTTAAAAAATTATTTTTTACTGCAAAAAAACGCATATTTAAATTTTTAAATTTATTGAGTGTTGCTCATTAATCCTTCATTTTTTATTATCAACCTTCAATTCTATTTTTATTTTGTAAAATTAAACAATTTAACTTGCATTCTTTCGTTTTTTATTTAATGGTTAGATGAGAGATTAACCCCTTTGGATCGAAAAATAATTATATTAAAAGTCTTTTTAATATTGAATTCATGACTCGATCCTACAATCATCAGAATTAGATTTAACACGTTTTGTCTTAAATTTTAAACTTTTATTGTAAAAATTGAATTCTTGACATTAATAATAGTTTTTTCACGTCACACTATTTTAAGATATATTTATTGACATTAATGACTTAGGATTACCGCTTACTTTAATAATTTAGAGTTTAATGCGTACAAATAAAACGGTTTAATAGACAAAACTCCAAAAGTTCAAACACTTAAATGATTATGGCCTTTGTCATTCGCTTTTCATATGATTTACCATGATATTATAATATATTTAAATAATAATACAATATTTATTTCTACAATATACTTGATCTTTTTGCTTATATGGGTAACTCATACTTGCATATATATGTGTGGCCTGATAAATGCATTTTTGTGACATATATCCTTACCTTCTCCTCCATCAAAGCTAGTTAGTCCAGTTCCCTTATTAAGCTAAATTTTTTTCGAAGATGGCCAAAATTGCCTTTGGTCGTTTTGATGATTCTTTTAGTTTAGGCTCTTTTAAAGCTTATCTTGCAGAATTTATCTCAACTCTGCTCTTCGTTTTTGCTGGTGTTGGTTCTGCCATAGCTTACAGTAAGTTCTCTTTCTAAGTTTTCATGGCTCCTTTTAGTTATAAATACTATGATGTTTATAAACTAACTTCTTGGTTTTTTTTTTCAGATAAATTGACAGGAAATGCAGCTCTTGATCCTGCTGGTTTAGTAGCAATTGCTATTTGCCATGGATTTGCTCTCTTTGTTGCTGTCGCCGTCGGTGCCAACATCTCCGGTGGCCATGTTAATCCTGCTGTCACCTTTGGATTGGCTCTTGGTGGTCAAATCACCATTCTTACTGGCATCTTCTACTGGATTGCTCAGCTTCTTGGTTCCATTGTTGCTTGCCTCCTTCTCAAAGTTGTCACCGGAGGCTTGGTAAGTTCTGACTTTTTCTGGCTTATCCTCAAATCTTTTACAATATTACATAATCGTCTCTTTTGACTTAATTTTTGTGACTTGGGTTTCAGGAAACACCCACCCACAGCCTTGCAGCTGGAGTAGGAGCCATTGAAGGAGTGGTTATGGAGATTATAGTCACATTTGCTTTGGTATACACAGTGTACGCAACAGCAGCTGATCCCAAGAAAGGATCACTAGGCACCATTGCCCCCATAGCCATTGGCTTCATCGTTGGTGCCAACATCTTGGCTGCAGGCCCATTTTCCGGTGGATCCATGAACCCAGCCCGCTCTTTTGGCCCAGCTGTGGCTAGCGGTGACTTCCATGACAACTGGATCTATTGGGTTGGGCCCCTTATTGGTGGTGGGCTAGCAGGCCTTATCTATGGAAACTTGTACATTAATAACGATCATGCCCCATTGTCCAATGATTTCTAAGTTATTGTGTTTCTAATCCATTTTTATCTGTGTTTTGAAATAAAAGAAAGGGAAGCAGCTTATGTTATGCTTTCCTTTCTTTTTCTTCTCTTTTCTTTTCTTTTTCGTTTTTTTTTTTTAATATTTCCTTTTTAGTTCATTTAAATTATCTTTGTTGTTGTAAATCTTTGTTGTGATAAGTTTTGCATTTATGAGAAGTGGACGATGTGCTATCACTTTTGAATTGTGGTGTTGGTTTGCTTCTTTTTGTTTTCTACTCTTTTGACAGTTTATGGGCAAATTTCAAATGCAATTCTTTCATACATTAGAAAAAGTTGGGTTACAGCAAAACAATCTTTCATTTTGCAGCGTGAGAGAAAGCACTGACAATAAGAAGTAAGCTTTAATTCTAAATCAGGATGAAAGGAGGAGAATTACAGTAGATTGACGGCCACTGTAAACATAATTTAAACCCTAATGTGAATCTTTTGAATATTGAGAGAGCTATATATATAACAGTACAGGAAGAAATTTGTTTATTGTGGTAATAATTCTGCTGGCAATATTTTTTCATATTTCCATTCATGATTTTTCCACTCAGGCAGTTGCTGGATGACAACCTGCATCACATATAGGGGAATAAGATTCAACATATTTCTTTATAGTAAAAAGAACAAATGGTCACCATGTTCAATTAAAAAATTTAAAATATGAATATGATCATCAGCATACTGCAGAGAGGGTTTACAAACCAGTCCTCTTGAATCTGGATTACCCACTGTTGTTTGGCAAGCAAGTCTCCAATTTTTGGGTTTCTATAAAATAAAAAATAATAATAATAATAATAAAAAACAAAATAAAATAATTTCCTACGTATGAAGGTTAATTTATGAAATCAGTTTATTTCAATGGGAAAAAAAAAAACTCCTTTTGTTGTACTAAAACGAGCATAATTAACTCCTTGGAAATCAAAATAACAAAGACACCTTCTTGAGTATCTTCTTCTCTTTGTCTGTACGAGGGTTAAGTAGCTCCTTCCCCATTATAACCTGTAATGTAAGATTAAGACAATGGTCAGAGACTTATTAGAACATTTACATTTTTATTTAATTAACTGCTAATCATATCAGTAGAAGAATTGATCGACATTTCTTTCTTTAATTAAAAAAAATATTATCTGCAATTAATCCTATAAATAATTTCCCATAATAAACTAACTCATTCAAGAAACACAAACAAAAAAACGCGTATAATTTTGGAAATGTGCTCATGATCATGGTTAAGATGATTGCCAAGTCCCACATAAATAAAAAATTAGTTCATTTTCCTTCAAAAATTCACCTCCACCATGCAAGTTCCACATGTTCCTCCTCCTCCACAATTTAGCAATGGTCGTGCCTGGTAAATCAATTAACCAATAATTAACAATTACTTAGAGTGTTCCTATTCTTACAAGGCATGTCACAAAATATAATTCAATTAACTTACATATGGTCCATACAATTCAATGTTTGAATCCAACATTATGTCTCTAAGTTTTTTCCCACCACAGCTTGTCCGAAAATGCACATCAGGAGTTCCATCAGGCAGTAAAACAGACTAAAACCAAAACAATATTAATAATCCCACCATTTGCAAAAGAATCACTCTTGAATTAGCAAAATGCTTTCACTTACATGAACAAATGCAAAATTGACGGACGGTGGTTCTTCAGGCTCCTTGGCATCGGATTTACTATCGGGGACCGTGCCGATGGCCCTGATTTTAATTCTAGAGAAATTGGTATGGCTCAAGGGTCTGAGGGTTTTGTGGGTAGTAGTGTATTTCGACTTGTGGGGAGCTTTCAAGGAAGCTATACCATAAGAGTTAAGTTGGAGAGTGCTCATTTTGTTTGTTGGATATTATTTCAAGATTCAAAGTTTCTGTAAGATTGCTATATTGGATATTTTCATAAATCAAATTTCCAATGTCTGTGTGGTCGGTCTTATTTATCTTATCTAAAACTATAATGGGTCAACATGGGCTTTTTTTTAAATATTATTTTTCTTGGTTCTGAATAGCCTTGCAAGAAAATTGGGCTAAGTTTTGCTTTTTCTTTGTGCTCAACATTTGGTTTCTTGATCTGAAAAAAAAAAAAAAAAGATTTCTTATTTTTATTAGGATAATTAATTATTTAATTTGTGAGTTTTGCTCGTATTTACTATTGCATTGCTACAAAATTATTTATTCGACCATTTAATAGGATTAAACTTCTGGTTGAATTAGTGATTTCATTAAGCAATAGGGGTGTAATAATAATTTCGGTTAAAATTTAAGCATTAAATAGTTAATTGTCCTTTTAATATAAATTGGAAAAAAATTTGCTCATTTCAGCGCTTCAATCTTCCTCTCCCACCCAACTAAAACCCTTGCAAAATCTCTCTATACAAAAAGGCCCTTAAAATGCAACTGCTCCCATTCTCAAATCTTCGCCTCTTCTTGTCGCCTCTAAAACCCTCTTCGCTAATCTTTTTTCGTAAACCCAGGCCTTACTCTCTCTTCGCGGTGCTCTGTTCCTCTTCTTCTTCGTCAAAACGACCCCGTACCTCATCTAATCGCCAGTCTTTCAATTTTAGAAGCAGAAGAACTCGCAGTTTTAGCAGAGAGAGGGACAAAAAGCTCCCAATGGAATTGGAAGAGACTGGCAATGAGACTTTTGGGTTTAATAAAAGAAGAGCTGAAGGCAAAGATAAGAGTGATAAACCCAAAAGGAATCTCCAGATGAAAGTTCGAAAGCTCAACCCTACCAATACAATATCTTATGTGCAAGTAAGCATTTTTTTTTTTTTTTACACAAAAGATGTGTTTGTTTCAATTTGTTAGGGTTATTCTTACCTTTTTAGTTTTGGTTTGCATATTTGTAGTATATCGTTATTTAGTGACACTGACTGCGTTTTCCATTGTTTTCCAGATTCTTGGGACTGGAATGGATACTCAAGATACTTCACCTTCTGTATTGTTATTCTTTGACAAGCAAAGATTCATTTTTAATGCTGGTGAGGTAATCATAACGTGGCAGTAATGTCAACAATCCTTTTTTGATGCAAAGATACTTGTTGTTAATTCTTTGGTTATTAGAAATTTAACTTGGTGCTTTCATCTATATTATGCTTAGTTAAATTGTACTTAATAACGAGAATAAAAAAGCTGAATAAACTATCGGTACCTATTATGAAATGTTAACTTATGCTTAATATTCTTATGTCTTCCCATGTGATTTACACTTTATACATGAGTGGATTGAAAGTTAAGTTGTGTGCACTCTGGCCTTGCCCAATTTGTCTTTATAACCCTATAATTGATCAAACTGATATATGAAACTAATTTGCGCATTCTGCATTGATGAAGGCTTGGTCTTAGCCTACACGAACAAGTTAGCGTTGCACTTTTCCCTTCAGTGAGTGAATTAGATTTGCATAAGACGTAAGCTTGTTTTACACTATTGTTCATGTTCAAGGGGTGTTATGTCAACATTTCTTGGTGCACGTCTGAATAATGCTGCCATTTACTGAAAGAAGGAAAAATAGATGATCAATCTATCTGCCCTAGCTTACTGCTCTAAGCAATTCACATTTAATAGTCTTCATTTTCTTTTCTTCTTTTGTTTTAAATCATCTTTGAGAAAATATCCTCTAAAGATGGCTTCTAATATAACTCCAAAATTCTGGTTATCCTTCCAAGGGAATGATACAAATTGCACAGTTGCAAATCGCGTGTACTTCAAGTATGAAGATACAAGCTTCGTTATTGACAAGATGAAAGGATATTTTATTATTTCTAATCATAACATAATTATTATAATTTTTTAATTGAGGGTTAACTTCAGAAAGCTTACAACAAATCATGGGATATCTCTCTCTTATATATTCTTTATTGTTTGGGATGGAACTTGTTTTGGCAGAATACCTACAATATTGCTTGGCTTTCATTTGTGTCATTAGCTGCAGTTTCAATATATATTTTCTGTTAATCTGCTATTGTCATACAGGGATTGCAACGATTCTGCACAGAGCATAAAATTAAACTATCAAAGGTACGAGATAATCTCAAAACAGAAATGCACATATATAAGCATCCATATTCAGATGCTTATGATTCTTCTCAAGTTCTTTATGGCTTCAATTTGTTGACATAGTCTAATGTGGAGATGTTTGGATTTTATGGATATGTTTCAGATAGATCACATATTTCTTTCTCGAGTATGCTCGGAAACTGCAGGTGGAATTCCAGGTATAAATATTGTTAGATCATCTAGGATGTAATACTTGTGAACTTCTTTTGCTTGTAACTACAAAATTTGCAATTTTGCAATATGCTCTCGTTGTCAAGCATCATTATTTACTGTATTTGGATGTTCATGCAATAACCACGACATCCCCTAAATTGCTCAGAATCCACCTTTTCTTTTTTCTGACAGGTTTATTGTTGACTTTGGCTGGCATGGGAGAAGAAGGAATGTCGGTAAGTGTCAAATTGAATTTGATGTATGTAAATGCCTCATCTTCCTAATAATTTATTGCCTGAATTTATTATTGCAACACCTCCTTGTCAATTAAAAGTGTAGTTGTTGCTTTTATGGAGGTCAACTTATGGGGCCCTTCAGATCTTCATTATTTGGTTGATGCAATGAAATCCTTCATCCCTCATGCTGCCATGGTTCACACAAAGAGCTTTGGTTCTGATGCTGCTGGATTTAGTGCAAGCAACTTTACAGATCCCATTGCTCTTATCAACAATGAGGTTGTCAAAATATCAGCCATTCTCTTACACCCGACATGCTCAGAAGAATATGTGGTAAAGCCAGGTGATATGTCTGTGATATATGTTTGTGAATTGCCTGAAATTATGGGGAGATTTGACCCTGAAAAGGCAAAAGCCCTTGGTCTGAAACCTGGGCCAAAATATAGTGAACTGCAATTAGGGAAATCTGTGAAGTCAGATCGCCAGAATATAATGGTGGGTTCTGAAGTCAATGATTTATACTTGTAGTGTTACCTTTTCTGGGTGTTGACAAATATGATTTACTTATTGTATTCTGTAGGTTCATCCAAGCGATGTAATGGGTCCTTCAGTTCCTGGTCCAATTGTACTTCTTGTTGACTGCCCAACCGAAGCTCATGGACAAAAATTATTATCTGTGCAATCCCTTCATAATTACTATTCAGATTACTCAGGCAGTCCACTGGAGAATGCAAAAACTGTGACTTCCATCATTCATTTAAGTCCTGCTTCTGTAATAGGCAGTCCTAATTACCAGAAATGGATGAAGAAATTTGGTTCTGCTCAACACATTATGGCTGGACATGAAATGTAAGCTGCTTTTTCTGAACTACTGTTCTTCTAATGGAATGATGTCACTAATTCATGCTTTTCTTGGGTACTCAATCTTTACAGGAAGAATGTGGAAATTCCTGTCCTTAAAGCCAGTGCTAGAATCGCTGCAAGGCTTAACTATCTGTGTCCACAGTTCTTTCCAGCTCCAGGTTTTTGGTCACTTAAGCAGCTTAACAGGACAAGTGTTGACTCCAATTTTTCAGGCGAGGTTAGTTGGACATCCTCAGATTGCACTTGTTGATTCTTTAGATTTTGTGGTTATTATTTAATGTTCAGGGCAATTATAGTGTTTAATTTTTCCTTGTACCAGGGTTGTGTCTCAAAGTTCCCTGAAAGCATTTCAGCTGAAAATCTACTTAAGGTGTGATACATTTTCTTTTTACAATTTTCTATCTTGGTATTATCAGAGTATGATTCACTCTTTTCTTCTTAACAGAGGAGAATGATTCTTATGATTTTTCTTGTTTGAATGCTTTTTAAACTGTCCATTCAAGCCCTTAAATTTATCTTGCCCAATTTTTGCTTCCCATTTGGTGTTGCTAATTAATTTGATTTGTTTTATCTTCTTTACTTATCAAGGATAGTCGAGTTAAGTACCATTATGTGTTATGTCGTTGAGTAAATGCTGCTTTTAATCTTGGGGATTAAATTGACTGCCGATGTGACTCTTTTTTCAAGCTTATAAACCCAATGGAATCAATATTATATTACCCTTCTATCCTGAATTTCTATTCCTTTTTGGTTTTCTAATTCTTGAGGGGACTTCATTTGTTGTTTTGTTTTTCACATGCATTTCTAATGTTATGATGGATATATAATACTCGTAAAATAATTGGGTGTTGCAAAATCATGTATTACTAATCATTTACGGAAAGCAGAAAAAAAAGTTGGACCTTCAAATGAGATTTGGACAAACAAAATAGGTTGGAGGCGTAATAGTTTCAGTAGTGTTTTCTTTTCCTTCCTTTTTCTGTATTCTGCAACATCTTAAGTCATTCTTGAAAAAAAAAAAAATTCTGATAATTCTTCTAGTTATTATATTTCCTAGGGTCTTGTTTAGCTGTTCATTATCATGTCATGACTTGCAATTACTTTTTGGATGTTCTTTGCCTGCATGTGCATGTCCAATTCCTCTTAAGTGACAAGGATTTTGCTTATTTCAATGTTGCGCAGTTCACTTTGCGTCCTCATGCTCATCTTGGATTGGACAAATCAAATATTCCAAGTCTGAGGGCTCCCTCAGAAGTCATTGATGAATTGCTTACAGAGATTCCAGAAGTTGTAGATGCTGCTCAACGTGTCCGCCAGTTCTGGCATGAATCTGGAGAAATAAAAGGAGGCATAACTGTTGGGCAAGCCAACAAAGTTATGATTGAAGAGCCATGGCTAGGAGAGAATACTATTCCTAGTTGTTTGGAAAACATAAGGAGAGATGATATGGAGATTGTCCTTCTGGGGACTGGTTCATCCCAGCCTTCTAAATATCGAAATGTTAGTTCTGTGTACATTAATCTCTTCTCTAAAGGAGGTTTACTCCTAGATTGTGGGGAAGGGACACTTGGCCAATTGAAGAGAAGGTAACATAATACGAATTTTTGGTTAAAATGCGTTCTTATTGTTAGCATAACATTCCTTTTTAACATGTGATTATCGTGGAACAGGTATGGTGTAGAGGGTGCTGATAGCATTGTAAGAAATCTGAAGTGTATTTGGATTTCTCATATTCATGCTGATCACCATACAGGATTAGCAAGAATACTTGCTCTTCGACGTGATTTATTGAAGGACATGGCCCACGAACCAATAGTTATTGTTGGTCCAAGGCAGCTAAAGAGATTTCTAGATGCATATCAAAGACTGGAGGACCTAGATATGCAGTTTGTTGATTGTAGGAGCACCACTCTAGACTCATGGGAAGCTTATGAGAGCAATAGTGGGTACATGGATTGCTCAGCTCCAGGAAGTCCAAGTAATCTTGAGTTTATAAACAAACCTATAGTGAATACTGAATCGACTTTATTTGCTGGAGGAAGCCGTATGCAGAGCTATTGGAAAAGACCAGGCAGTCCAATTGACAATGGCAAGGCATTTCCAGTTATGAAGGCATTTCCAGTTATGAAGAGTTTGAAGAAAGCGCTCAGTGAAGCAGGGTTGGAAGCTTTGATTAGTTTTCCTGTTGTGCATTGTCCTCAGGCATTTGGTGTTGCGTTGAAGGCAGCAGAAAGAATCAATTCTGCTGGAAAAATGATTCCAGGTTGGAAGATTGTGTACTCAGGTGACACTAGGCCCTGTCCAGAACTGGTAGAAGCATCTCAAGGGGCTACAGTACTTATACACGAGGCAAGTAATAAAATTGATTGTCTTTTTGAGAAATCTAGTGCAATATTTATGATTCTCCTGGTTTGAAATTGTTGATAATATATCCACCTGGAATAGCAAATTGATAATGATTTCAAAGTTTCAGAAGAGAAAGCAGCTGCAGATTGTCTTCTCTCACTTTTTATCTTCTCTCACTTATGTTGAACTACAAATATTTGTTTTGGAAACAAAAGTTGGATAATGTGATTGAACTTTGAGAATTTTGCAGGCAACTTTTGAAGATGACTTGGTGGAGGAAGCTGTAGCTAGAAATCATAGCACAACGAAGGAAGCCATTGAAGTAGGAGACTCTGCTGGTGCATATCGTATCATCCTCACCCACTTCAGCCAGAGATACCCGAAAATACCTGTTTTTGATGAGACACACATGCACAAAACATGCATTGCTTTTGACATGATGAGTGTTAACATAGCAGATTTGCCTGTGCTTCCTAGAGTACTCCCATACCTTAAATTACTTTTCAAAAATGAGATGATAGTTGATGAATTGGATGATGCTATAGATTCTGTAAGTGCAATTTCGAGATAATTAAATTAATTGAGTTCTTTCATAACTCAACCGACCAGTTTCCCATCTGGTTTAAGATACTATGTGTTTGGAGCAGTGTTTTACTTTTTGTGGAAGGAAAGAATGGCTTTTTAGATAAATTTAATTTGCTGTCTGAAATGTAGACTTTTATGGGGAAGATCAATAATTATACAAATACGAAATCTGTACCGAGAAGGCAAGACTTGATTGCTGATTAAGCCATAGAATTCCAGAGCAATTTAAGACTTGTGTGGTTAAAGATTAATCTTTTTTTATTTTTTAATTCCATTTTCATAACTTAAGTATTTAATTTAATAATAATAAAAAAATTCAATAATGAAAAAAATAATTTTTTTACAAAATGATAATTGGTTCCGTGTAATAATTCAAAGTCTTTAGCATTTTAAACGTGAGGAAACAAAAAAATATATAAATGGGTTGGGAAAAAAAAAAAGCTGTGACTGGTATTAGCTAAATTGCGCATGTAGCGCAGTTAAAACGCCAACGCGAAGCACAAGACGACGTCGGCCATTCACGCACTTACCAGCTGACCTGTGTATTGTATTTCCAGAAGACCTGTCCGTCTATGCACGATACCTCTCTCTCTCTCTCTCTCTTTCTTCCACATTTCAATTCCAATCTCTCCTCTCTTTTAACCCCCAATTTCAATCTAATCCAAAACTCCCTCCAACTTCACGCCCAATTCATTTGCAGAGCTTTCAGTTGGTCCAATTTCAACGGCCCATATTCAATCTTCGACCTTGGATCCTCGAAGTATTTGCCATCGCAATCTCAATAATCTCATGGAGTCTGATTAAGTTGATTTTGGTTTGCAGTGTTTTTTTAGTTTTCATAAAAAAAAAAAAAAAAAAAAAAACAATTTCAAACGGCCCCATATTCAATCTTCGACCTTGGATCCTCGAAGTATTTGCCAATCGCAATCTCAATAAATCTTCATGGAGTCTGAAATTAAGTTGATTTTTGGTTTGCAGTGGTTTTGTTAGTTTTCAGTAAAAAAAAAAAAAAAAAAAACATTAGTGAGTTTGTGAATTGTATTGAATTGAAAAAAAAAAAAAAAAAAAAAAACATTAGTAGTTTGTGAATTGTATTTGATTGATTAGGAGCTAAGTAATTGATTGTGGGAATCAGGGGTTTTCGTTTCTATTAAGAGGAGATTTGGAATTATGGATTCGAGTAGGAGAGCTGTGGAGTCTTACTGGCGATCGAAGATGATCGACGCGGCAACTTCCGATGAAGACAAGGTCGCGCCTGTTTACAAATTGGAAGAGATTTGTGAGCTTTTACGTTCTTCTCATGTCAGTATTGTTAAAGAGGTATCGGAGTTTATCTTGAAGCGGCTTGAACATAAGAGCCCGATTGTTAAACAAAAGGTATAGTATTTCATCTTTGGATTGTTGAAATTTATGATGTATAAGGGCGGAGTTATGCGCGCAAACGCATTTATCCTATGTTGTAATATATTTACCAAAACTCAATTTTAGTTGTTTTGAATGATTGTTTTGGCGAAGTTTTTTTATGCTAATAAAGGTACAAAGAGAAGATATTGAATCCTATAGTGTTTTGTTGATGTTGTGGTAAGAATGGTGGATGGAAACTGGGGTTCTAGTAATTTGATAGGAGGTGGTATAATTTTTCCCAGCTGCTGGAAAACTTTGAGAAATAGGACAATGATTGTCTTTGGAAATTAGGAGGTCTTCGAGCCAAGTTCAGTGGATATAGTAGTTTCTAATAAGAATCAAAGTTTTTGATTTTTTTTTAGATGCATTTTATTAATGTTAGGTAAATGCTGGATAAATAGGAACTAATATCGTTAAAGCTACAATTACAGAACTAATATTTTATTTTGGCTGACAACTATTCCAAACTACTGTCAAGTCTAAAAAAAGGAGAAATTGCTTGTGTTGTGTAATGCAGTTTTGAATAGCATGCCATAGAATTTAAAATTGTTACTTGATTATATTTTATTTTAGACCTCTTGATGTCCATTATGCTTGAATCCTATGCAGACTCTGAGATTGATTAAATATGCTGTGGGCAAGTCTGGTGTAGAGTTCAGGAGGGAAATGCAAAGACATTCCGCTGCTGTGCGTCAGTTATTTCATTACAGGGGTCAGTCAGATCCATTGAAGGGTGATGCCCTTAATAAGGCTGTGAGAGACACAGCTCATGAGGCTATCTCTGCTATTTTTTCAGAGGAGAATAAGCCAGCAACAACTACAGAAGACCTTACTAAACGAATACAAGGATTTGGGAATACAAATTTTGAAATGCCATCAGAAGATAGGAAATCATTTCTTAGTGAGGTAGTCGGTATTGGAAGTGCATCTATCAAGCAGGGACTTAGTAACTTCACACAAAATCATTCTTTAAGAAAGAATGATAATGGAAACTACAGGAGTCCAAATCTACGGAGGTCATTGACCATAGAAAGTGACCACTCAGATAAATATGAACCAGTTCAGTTACGTAATGAAACTCAGGGTACTTATGGAATTTCAAAGAGTGTGGCTAGTGGACCTTGGGACCAAGACACTGGGGCCTCGAATGCACAGGTGACAAATGGGGACTCTGGTTCAAGTCATACAGCAAGTAAGACTCGTGAAGAGAGGTTATTGGAGACTATTGTAACATCTGGTGGTGTACGTCTACAACCCACCCGTGATGCCATTCAAGTTTTTCTAGTGGAGGCAGCAAAATTGGATGCAGTGGCCTTGAGTCATGCCCTTGAATCTAAGCTTCAATCTCCTATGTGGCAGGTGTGGTCTTTATATTCATGAAATAATAATATGAAATTCCTCCTCTATTTCTCCCCCTTCAATTACAAACTCTCTTGCCTTTCAGAAATCTTCAAACTAGTTAAAGTTTTTGTTGATCTCTTGGCAAATTGCTGTACATTTTTTTGGGTACAATAGTTTAGTAAGGTAATTTGTCAGGGGGAAAAAGAGAGGGAAATAAGTTGTAATCTGTTTGTGTTATGCTTGTATTTTGGATATTATTTCTTAAACTGTTATGGGGATTATCTTTTTTCAGGTTCGCATGAAAGCTGTGTGTGTGCTTGAGTCAATTTTGAGGAAAAAGGAAGATGAAAATTTTGCATTTGTGGCTTCATTTTTTAGTGAAAATAAAGATATTGTGATCAAATGTTCCGAGTCACCCCAATCTTCTCTCAGGGAAAAGTCTCTCAAGGTAAATATTACTTATGAATATGCATTAGGTTCTGTTTTTGCTCCCCTCATGTGCTTTGCTTTTCTCCCCACTTGGGCAAAGAAAGGGGAAACTGTTATTAATTAGTGATTATGATGGATCTATTAGGATAAGACAAGTTTCCATTTCCTTAGATATTAGGCTTGCTTCTCAACTTTTGTTGTAAGCATTATCATACTCATTATTTCATGAAGGATTAAATACTTAATGATATAGAAAAAGATTCCTGCCAACTTTTACCTTTCACCTGCTTTTTGGAATTTCGCTAGATTCTAATGTTGCTCATGTCTTAGGAGATGTATCAGTTGAACCTACTTGACTTCTAGTTTGATACTAAATTGGGTGGTTCTTACTACTGATTGATAATCAACACTTTTTAAATTTTGACAGAACCAATCCTTTTAGTTTGAACTATATGATAAAGATTCACATTATTCTTTTCTTTTCCTTCCTTTTCTGCCTCGCCCCTTTATGAAATCGCATTAGTTTTTAAGTCATTAAATAGACTAAGTATTCACCGTGCAATGATTCAGACGATATTGGTACTGGAGAAACTGAATAATGTTAGTCATATGAATATACTTTCTTTAAGTTTGGAGGTCTACGCTGTGTGGCTATTTGAATTCTCTATGATAATTGTTTGGCCTTTGATGAACAGGTGTTGAGCCTTTTGGGTGGGGAACAAGGAAATGGCTTGATGGGCAGTTCAGAAAAGTCAATAAAGGCTGAGACTACTTTCGCTCAGATGCCTGACTTAATAGACACTGGAGATTCAGGTGACCTCTTTGAAACAGACTATTCTGCAAATAACCCAAGTGAACAAAAGATGACAAATCTGACAAGCACGGCAAGTCCTTTAATAGATGATCTATTTGGAGATGGTTATGGTGATGGCGGGAGCATTGGAGAACAAAAAAATGACGATGACCCCTTCGCAGATGTCTCATTCCACACTGGTGAGAGTAAAGAACATATAGATGATCTCTTTTCTGGGATGACTCTAGATAGTAAGTCAGGTACTAATGAGAATCACGTGCCAACAAATAAAAATGGACCAGAACCATTTGATATTTTTGGGTCAATTTCTGAACTTCCGCTGGAGCAAGAAACTCATAAAACAGATGTTAATGATTTAATGGCTGGTATGTCTATTAATGAAAATGTCTCAAAGACGAAGCAACCAGAAACCACTTCTGGCATGCTTCCAGAAGGCATCTTCTCAGATTCAAGTTATAATTCTGGCAATCAACTCGCAAATGATGCTTTAACTGGCACACTGGGTTCTCAAGTGACTGGGATTAATACAAATCCAATGTTTGCTTCTGGGAGTATGCCATATAATATACCCCCCAGTATGATGTTGAATCCTGCTTTTCTTACTCAGCCTGTAAATTATGGTGCTATGGGTAGTTTTTTTGCTCAACAGCAATTTCTGGCTAAAATGTCCAACTTCCAACACTTGAGCAACCTTAATGCACAAAATCCTGGAGTTAGTCATGGAGTTGGTACTGATGGAGTTGGATATCCCACACCACTTCCTGATATTTTCCAACCAAATTACCCAAATCAAGTTCCTACTTCAATGATGAACAACACAAAGAAAGAGGAAACCAGAGCATTTGATTTTATCTCGGTAAGATTTGATTTCTTGCAATTGATCTTTGACTGATATTTATGTAAATTTTCTTTCTTTATGTTTTGTAAATTGCTGTTGTTATCTTCTTGAAACAATTGAAATTACAAACCTACCAAATTACTTCCTCCTGATTGTGCATTCTATATACTACAAAAGGAGTAGTTGGATGAGTAATATATAGATTGCTGTCTGGTACTAAATTCATCTTGCCTGCCTTGTAGGACCATCTTGCAGCAGCACGTGATCCAAAAAGGGTGGCTTGAATCTTTGAGGATTATATGTCTGACCTTGGTAGGCATCCTTTCCTTGGTATTTGGTTTGATACTTTATTTATTTGAAGTCCAGGTCAAACATTCTTTGGCAACAATGGAACATCAATCCAGTGGATTGTATCCTTGAAAATAGGATTGCAAGTGACGATGAAGGTGTGTGGAGATCCCGGAAGTAGATTCTGTGTTTGAGATTAGAAAGAGAAAATGTGATGTTTGTGTTTGTATTTGGTAATTCAGACGTGTTTTCCCTCCCTAGACGGATTTGTAAATTTTTTTTTTTTCTTTTTTCTTTTTATTTTATTTTATTTTTTAAAATTTTCAGCTTGTGCTTTTTTATTCCTCCCACACCCACAGGAGTGCTTGTGGTGCATGTATTTGAACATAGTGAATAAATAGACGTGCTCTTCGTCACAACGGTAGTGCGAAACTAATTCTTTATTGCTATGATGTGCTGACCATATAGTGCGAAACTAATTCTTCGTCACAATGGTCTATCTAGTTCGTTTAGTATCTATAATTTGTCCAATGAGAGATTTAAAATTACACGATCGCCATTCGAATGGGCCTATTTCTATTGTTACTCTAATGTCTACGTCATCATGAGCCTCTTTTTTACTCTGTAGGCCCAAAAATATACTAAGGACCCATTATGGAAATTCAGGTCCAACTTTAACTAGATTCAGATAATATTAAGCTTATTTTGGGTCCTCTAATGAACATACTTTAGACCACACACACGCAAGCTAGTTTGAAATAACTTGGACTTTTTTTGACTTTTTTTATTTTTTTTACACTTGGCCTTTAAGAGACTTCTACAGATATTAGCTTCTCAGTATCCATCTCATTCGGAAAATGATAACAACCAAAACGCAAACTTTAGATGGATTTACCTCTGCCTAATGTCTTTCCTCTTCTCCATTTTGCATATGGTAATTTGCTTCAGAAGAGCTTCCTATAATTGTCATCAGCAAACAGACCAGAAGGTAATGGATTTCAATCTATACTCTGTAGGATGTAATTATTATTTAAATCATGCATCTTTATCATGTATTTACAAATTGAGCATTTACAATTATGTATTGTGGCTTTATGGAGACGCAACCATTACAGCAATTTATCAGACATCAGAATTAGCAGATGGGTCCTCAAGGTTGATTCTACAGGATGGATCTTGAAGGTTGCTCAACGATAGAACTTCAATCTTCTTGGCTCTGTTTAGTTGTTTTACAACATCAAGCCGCTCAGACGAGTATGGGGAAGGAATCTAATTACAGTACATAAGAACATTATTAGCAAATATATAGTAGAATAGCACAGCAGGAACAAGTGAACAAAACATACCAAACGCGGCATGTATCTCTGGATAGCTGCTAGCATTGCTGCATGGCCTACGGCAGAGACCTGATAATAGAGAAGATTACAATTAATCAGTTCTTTTCAAGAATCGTACACTGTCTGCTTAGATAAACACCACTTCGTGGCAGCTCATGGAACTATAATGGTTAACTAGTGGGAGAGAGTGTGCATGTTGGCTAACCATTAAGAATTGGCATGAAACTAAATTGCAAATCATATGGCTGTTACCGTCTATGGATTCTGAGCAAGAGAAGGCAAAAGAAAACATGCAAGGTCTTTAGTTGGGGTTTTGTTGATTCAACTAATGCCAAAACATCTCTAGATTATTGCGGCCATACGCTTCAAACAAATTCCATGACCACTTGATGTAAGAAAGAGGCTAGAATCTCAGGATAAATGACACAAATGCTCTAGCCTTGAGGTGCCACCTACCAAGACCACTATAACTGGTGGTGTGAAGCTAGAGAGCCGATAACAAGGATCCTTAAAATGCCAAAAATGTTATAAGGCAGAATTTTCAGTTTATTATATCCTGCAAAACTTCTAAAACTTAGCTGAGAAGTTGTAGAGACTCAGCAGCAAGTGATTAGGAGCCAAAACGTGGATATGTTGAAGAGTTGCTACAAGAAAACTTTTGCAAGCAATATTTCCCAAGAACGATGTCAAGTGAATAACATGATTATCAAGTTCCACAACTTAGATTGAAGACATAGGGCGGATAGGGCCTTACAGGAAGAAGCATTAGAATTGTAATTGGGATAAGGGTCGCAATGTCATTTAGAGTTCTCTTCAACTTCCTTCTTTCCCTCTTTGAAACTCTCTGACCGCGTACTTGCTTTAAGAGTAGTTCCAAAGCATCCATAATGTCTACAAAGAGCAATTGGGTTCCCATCCATACATCCTTTAAAAACATTACAGTTAGCAATCCGGGATCCAAAATTTAATTTAATTCTGCTTATTGACAGGAAGCAGGGTTCTTTTGGCTTACGGTGCTTGTAGATACTAATTTGGCACTGTATCTCCTAAGTAAACTCTCATGCAGATGACTTGATTTGGTGGACGTGCTGGGGGCCGCTTCCAAATCCTAATGGACCAAGAGAAAAAAGAGAAAAAACTATATCACATAAATTTTTTTCTTTTACTAGTCACCAGAATCCTACTATACCTTTCCATGGCTTGAATCTACATTGCCTATTAGCCAGTTTCATATAGTTGGTATCTTGGTTCATGTCTACTTTAACTTCAAAGTTCTACTCAACATTCCATTACCCATCTATTCCAGCAACAAACAATCTTAAAATATTGACACTTAAAGACCATAGCTTGGGTAAATTAATTGGTCATGGTTTCTTTATGTCGATATTATTTTAACCAACATTATGTCACACAGTGGTATTATTAAGCGACTTACCTTTCTCGGGTTGCCTTCTCGAGATTTAACTTTTAAGCATCCCTGTAATGTTAACTCATTTGACCTCTGTTGTGCTTCCAATTGAACAGACAGCTTGTCTGCAGCCCTTATTCCTACAGAGAGGGTGTGATCAGAGGCACCTACTTCTGCAATCTTCCGTAATTCACTGCAGGAGGAATTCAACAAAACTGCAGTTATCTACCTCAATATCTCTAAATGTATGTCATTCCAATTGCATTGAAGTAATGACATATCATCCAAAAGAGACAACATACGGATATCTGTCATAAACTGCTCGGTAGTCTTCCAGACAAACAGTTAAGAGGCTCTGGCTGTAAAAGTAAAACCATAATGTCATCAAAATCAATTTGCCATTGCAGAAGATAAAAAGTTAACAAATAAGCTTCAAAGCTGAAGTTTCATATGTTTACGACCTCCGGAGCAAGAATTCTAGTGATTCTGCATCTAAGGACTGTTGAGTTGAACGGCTGAAGTGAGCAAAGCCAGAGAAAACATCATAACAAACAGTAAACACTGTGAATAGGATAATCTCTTTCTCAGCTTGAATCGGATGCTGCTTTGACCTTTTCCTTTCTCGTTTGCTCAGAGGAAAACAAGTAGCATAAAAATCGAGCCATCCAATTTCTTCAGTTACTACCTATAAAGGTGGGTTTTACACATTATAATACCACTTAATGAATTCCAATATACTTATAATAAGAACTCACCTCCATGAAACTTTCATATGCTGATATGGAAGCAAGTTCAGGATGAGTGAAAAGGATACCACACTCCAAGTAGCTGCAGGCAAAGCATTTGGTCCATTATAGATTTTGTATACTAAAAAAAAATGGAATGTTCAGCATTAGTCCACATAGAGAAGTTACTTGAGGAAGTCTTTGACAAGCTCATCGAGATCCTTAACACTCATTTTGGACAAGAATAATCTAGTCTTCTTCCCTAGATATGTAAAAAGTCCGAGAGTAGCCAAACTGTCTGCCTGAACCTGTCAAAATTTTATAACTTCTCTATTGTTGAAATGTCAAAAAAATTATTTTTAACTAACACTAGAAATTCCAAATTTTAGAAGTTGATGAAACATGATGAGGACTTATGCATGAGATCTGCATATTTTGCAAGCATCAAATCAGGATTTGGAGTTGACCAATAATTTTTTTTTTTATCATGAGTTCTGTCTTCTACATAAATTTTCTGTTAAAAAGCATGCAAACTAAAATAAACCTATTGGTTATGAAAAAAAATAAAGAAAATATACCAGGAGACTTTCATGAACCGCAGAATTGGCATTTTCATGAGAGTTTTCTATGCCTCCAACCAAAATTTCTTTGTAAAGTGCTGCTGAGAGTTTTTGCTGAGCCAGCCCAATCCAGAATTCTAGCTCTTCAATTTTGTTGCAAGGCATAAACTTTGCTCCAAAATGGAATAGGAAGTTGAGTTCAAATCCTGCTTCAGTTGCTAGCTGGTGTAATTTGTCCACTTCTACAAGACTATGTGAAAGATCCAAGAGCTCTATTAATACATCCTCAATTGAAAATATAAACAAAGGACAGGAAATTCTTCCAGAACCCAGTTTTCCAACAGCAGCACAGCAGCTTGTTGCCACAATGATTCCTGCAACACCACTGAATACATATATCTATGTGCTAAATTCACAACTCAATTACTATAGTAAACTGCATTAAGATAAAAGCAAGGAATGCTTCAAACAAACCTTCCAGCATATTCCATGGACCATTTCTTCAGCAAGGGAGTGAAAAAACTTACTATACGAGGCAATTCCACCACTCTAAACCATTGTACTAAGTGTGCATGCTTCATGTTCAATAGACTTTCAATGTACTCCCCCACCAAGTTTATCTTTGAGGTCAAGCTAAAGTAGTAAGGGAAAAGGTGTTAAGAGTTAGTTGCTACTGTGACCATTAATGATTGCATTAAATTGCAGAAAACAAGGACACTGAATCAGAGATACACGCAGCATCTTAGCCATGTACAAACTTGCAACATTGGCTTAAGCCAAAATTTCCAGAAATGAAACTACTCTCTCGAGCCAAATTTTTTATATGCAGGCATTCAAGATTGAATCAATATTGTCTAGTTAAGTATTAGTTGATAGTTACTTTACTTTGTCTAATTGAAGCATTATATTGATTTGTATTTTGAATAAAAAAAGAAGAAAACTACTCACATTTCTTTAACTGGAAATGCATTTTTGTGACGATCAAGAGAAAGCAACATCTCAACTTCAATTGCCGTTTTCAACAAAGCATAAACAGCTACCTGGACAGCCACAATAATCAATGATTCTTGTTCCAATTTTTCATGTCTTCTAATGATTCATAAAGATTGTTCCACCTCCACTCAATTAAATTATCTCTGTGATAGTGGTTAGAAGACAACGAACAAAATGAGCAGAAACATGTGAATAGATGTATTATGGGAATTGCTGAAAATAGCCTAAAACATTAGAAAGAACAAAAATAATTTCAATATTCATAAAAGAAAAATGTACTAGCTGGATCATTCTAAAGTATCAAATTTATTTAGGTAATAAGAAAATAAAAAGAAAAACAGCATTTATGTTTGATATGACAGGGGAATACCTGATAAGCAATACGTTTATGCCATTCATGGACATCCTTCCCATTCCAAGCCATTGTAAGCTCTGAACTACTTCCTGCAAGTCCAAGTGACTGAACTGCAAGAGAAAAGCTAGCAGCAGATTCATGCAACACCCATACAAGACAATTTACGCGATTGAACTCCACTTCCTTATTGCCAGCTTCACCCATGGCAGCAGTATTATTGTCACCATCAGTTTCTTCAGCAGAAGCAGAAGAAGCCAAAGGTGTTAATGCTCTCAAAGAAACGGAAACTGAAGAAGCATAGTGTGCAAAGAAAAGTCCAATTGAAACATTATTCCTCTGAAAGAGAGAATTTCCAAGTTCTTTCCCATTTAATTTTAATAAGCTGGTCACATCGGCATTCATCCTCTTTTTGCCTTTTGATCCAAAAGATTTTCTGTGACATCAAATGGACAACCAATTAATGTTCACATCTATAAGACAGAATATACAACGCCAAATATGATGCTTAATTTTCTTCTAATGTTGTTGAGCAGAATATTTCAGGGTCAAACTATTACATTATCAATCTAATTGCTTGTAGTAATCAATAACTTTGACACAATCTTTTCTCTTTTCTGATTTCACATACATATCCTAAAAGACAGTTAATGTGAATCTTTGCACAAGAGCGTTTAGTTGAGCCAATGAAGTCAAATCTTTCTAAATCTTTTCAATGATATGCAGTCGTTCTCCGCAATTTCTGGGCCCATTTACTGGGTCCCACAAAAGAACTTCCTAAAAATTAAAATCCCAATTACTATCCAAATTGCATTTATATACCCATCTGGGTAAGTTGTTAAACAATTATTTTCATGCTTAATTCCAAGATAAAGCATTTTTAAGCTAAGGAATCAAAAGCATCAATATGAATAAAAAAGAAGATCAAGAACACAAATCTTTAGATCGAAATATTCTAAAGAATCACTATTTTCATCAATTTTTATAGAACCCAAAAACAGTTAACACACATGAATATCTGCGCGTGTGCATTGTAGTAAAGATAGAGAAAGCTTACGAGAAGAAGGATGGCTTGAGGAGTTGCAGAGAGAATTGGGATGCCATAGAAGCAGAAGAACAAGTCAGAGAGGAAGAAACAGAAGGAAATGTGAAGCCATTGGCAGTTTTACAAGAGGGAGAGTTGTTTAGCGTAGTCTTCGAGGGAGAGAGAATTGTTTTATCTTTTCTTGTTAGTTGTTTAATGCAATGTGCCTTACCTAAGCTTAGGGTTTGTCTCCCGCCAGCCGTAGTGCTTTAAAGTTTTGATTGTTGGACTATCAGGAAAGAGTTAAAATTTTTATTTCCAGAGAAAATACTTATGTGTGATTGCTGAGACCCAAGCTCCTGTAAATGGTGGATTTTACATTTTAGAATTAATTTTTACAAACATCACCAACGACATTGAACTTGTCTTGGACAGATAGCCCAACCTGGCATTCTAGAAGATTAAATCAAACATACCAAAACTAGAACCAAAAAAAAAAAAAAAAAAAAAAAAAATCTCGAGGGAGAGAGTAATTGTTTATCTTTTCTTGTTAGTTGTTTAATGCACGATCTGCTCTTACACTATAGCTGGAGGGACTTTTTCTAGTACTTCCGCAAGCCGTAGTTGCTTGTTTCAAGTTATTGAATTGTCAGTGGAACTCATCAAGAACAAGTAGTTATAAATGATTACTTTCCAGAGAAAATAATTTACTCTATGCTGTGCTATCTGCTGGCGACCCAAGGCTCCTGTAAATGGTAGAGAGTTTTACACTATTTTAGAAATAATTATTTAACAATATACCATCACACAACGAACAGTTTGAACTTGTCCATTTGGAACAGAGCTGCCTCAAACTGGCATTCTAGGCCAAGATTAGATCAAACAGGACTTCCAAAACATTAGACCAAAAAAACAAAAAAAAAAAATATAACTCAAAATCTTTCCTCTTAAGGAATTGATGGTATGGTTTTTACCAATAATTGGTTTTCAGTTGATTTCATAGCATTTGACAAGCTAGATTGTTCACGACTTCAACAAAGTCATCTTTCTTTTCTTTTTATTATTTTTTGTTATCCTAGAGCTACTTAGGTATTATAGTTGATCCTTCATAGATGCAGACAGTCTTACACTTAAAACGCTTTGAAATGTCAAGTTTACTAAAGCTCTGTCTAAAACTCATCTTCAATGCCTTTTGGAATTTAAACCATAAAATCAGCCAAAATAACTCTAACTTCCTATAATGATTGCAATACAGCCGTATATAATCTAAACTAGATAACAATTGAACAGCTGTACGTTCAATCGAAATGAGAATCGCAAAAAAAAAAAAAAAAAAAAAAAAAATTTCTCTTAAGAATTTTGGATGGTTTTACAATTGTTTTTCATTAATTCAGCTTTGACAAGATAGATGTACGAATTCACAATCATCTTTTTTTTCTTTTTTTTTTTTTTTATCCAGAGCTACTTGGTATTATATGATCTTCATTGCAACATCTACTAACCTTAAAATCAAGTTCAAGCTTGCTAAAAATCATCATTTGAATTACAAAATCAGCCAAAATAATCTAATCCTATATTTGACAACCCTATATCTAAGATAACAATGAAAAGTGTACAGTCAAATGAAATGAGAATCCTGATCAATTCAACCAGCGGATTCAAAGCTCTTCAACTTCATAAATCTCCAGTATTTGATTCCACAGTGCATCCATATGACCTACTTCCATTGGTTAATCAATTATTAATACTCTCATTGTTCCTGCCAGAAGCTTCTGAATCTTCTTTTCCAAACCCGAGTTCTGACATGGCTTGCCTTGCCATCAAGTTTCTGCAGAAAATTGAAAATTTTGTGTAAGAAACGCAAAATTTATCTAACCAGAAAATAGAAGAAAGCAAATGCCTCAGTGGCTACAAAACAAATTTAAAAAACTGACAATTGTAACCTCCGGACAAAATGTTTATAGTTGATCCTTCTGCTCCCTTTGAGAGTACTATGTTACCGATAAAAGAATTAGTTTCCATTTTCAAAAATCACATTGATTTCTATTTTTAGTTCATAAATTTTATCAGCAAGTATCTTGTGTATCTATGTAACATTCTAGCAGAGCAATTTGGCTGAAAAACAGATATCAACCAAACGTGGAGGATTAGTATGAACAGTGAACTAGCTCTCTAACTTCTTAGTGATAGATGCCTGCTTCCCATGAAATCTTCAGGCAAACTTCAACAATGTAGAGTTCTCCTTAATTATCATTTCCATCAAACACATTAAACAGGACATTGAAAATAGCGATCAATCGTTACGTCAGTGGTTGTTCAACAGGCTTGCTAAACTTAGGCTTTTTAAAGCTTGTTTCAGTTCAGTCGCGTCAAAATGGATCATAAAAGACATGCCCATCCATTTACTAACTTAATTAATTGGGACTTTCTGAATGTTAATATTCTTTCACAGTCAGAGGATATACAAGTATAATCAACCACTGATGAAAATTGAGTCGATCCCTTCTGCATCCAAAGCCATATTTCAGTAATATTGCAGCCGGAAAACTATCTAGGTCAATTCAATATCCTAATATGCACATACAGAAATGGCATCCAGTAGAAACTTTACTGTGATATTACCAAGTCAAAAATATCTCAGAACGGGGGCGCACATACCATGAACAGAAATGGTTGCATAATAAAACTTTGATTAACAGTAACTGTGCTGCTGATTGCTTGTGGAATCTCTAACGTGTTAACTAAGAAAAATATAGGAGGTTCTTAAGAAAATATTTAGCAAAACAAAGAGCTTTCCATTCCCTATGCTTTATGGCTTTTAGCTATTGGATTATGTTGATAATTTAGGATATAGTTGTTCATGGTACTTATCTTTATTTTTCCTTTTCCATTTTCGTTGCAACCACTATAACTATAACCTTGGTTGCTCACTATTGAGTTTCACATAAAAAAAAAAAAAAAAAAAAAAAAAAAAAAAAAAAACCAAAAAAAAAACTAGGAACGAAAAATTCACAGATTGGAAACCCTGTGCTTCAACCAGGGCCTTGCAGCGCCTGCAACTATCTTAACCAATTAAATGTCGTATTATTATGAAATCACTATCATAATTATTCTTACAACAAGAATTATATTGGATACTGATAAGACTTTCTGATTATATGCAATTCTATGCATTTCCTTTCCGGAAAAGTGGAAAAAAATAAATTCCAAACACAGCTATGCACTTTCTCTGGCATACCATAACACCCTTACCTCCCCGACCCCCAACCCCTGCCATATTCCCTACCCCACCACCTTCCTAAAAACTTCCTAATAATATTAATGCTCTCTCATTCAGATCTTTCAGAATATTAAGCAAAAACATCAACGTGTAAATACTAAGCTAGATATAAATTGAAAATTTGTAACCAAACCGCGATAAACGATTACCACGATCAATGAAAGGTCAGTTACTCCTATAGAAAGACCATAAACGAAACTTACTTTTCTCATGCCTGCATTCCACGGTAACTTTTTGGGCAGAAACGTTCTACATTTTCAGGGATGATTGGCTAGAAATCTGTCAGACAACAATTAATGGTAATTATTCGTTCTCCTAGTAACCAATAACAATGATAGTATAATTGAAAACACAATATATATAAGGAAAAACATTATGATTATATAAGAGAGTGATAATCAATACATATGTCTTTCTGACTCTATTACACAGCAAGAAAGTGATCTAGTCTAACTCCTAAATGAAGATCTTATAGTCTCAGTGGAGACTTTATGAAATCATTACCACGGTTCCGCGATTGATGCATGTGATCCAAAGGGTCCGAAAAGTTACTCCTTTCTGTCTGGAGTACAGAGATACATATCATGTTCCTCTATTTCCGACCCAAAACGCACCACCTGCAAGAAATTTTAAAACTTCACAAGGACAGGGCAGAGAATCATGAATATAAAGCATGTGGAAGAAAGACTTGTTCACATACAAAAAATTGAATTTACGAGTTAGATAATTCCTATTGGGCTGTGAACTTTTATGGATCAAACTAGAGCACAAACATGTAATTGCGATAGTTATCCGAATCAAATCTTCGAAGGCTAGGTAACCAAAAATCCTTAAAAATATTTGGTTTATCACTTGATTTTAAAAGACATTGAAAAGAATATCACAATTCTTAATGTCTTTTTTTCTATTTGCAAGGAACCAATAACTGGATTATGAAGGATGTTTAACAGGGAAGCAAGACCATGGATTTCTCGCCTTACTTTCATGAGTTTTTCACTGCATGCGGACGTGTGATTATACATCAAATACTAAGCAGTTTGGGGTTTCGAAACTTCCAAAAATGTAACGAAGGTCCTAACTTAAATTCATTTATCCTTACTCCAATAACTTCAGGAATGCAGATTTAGGTCACAGTTCTGGAATGGATCTTCAACACTATTCATAATAATTAGTATGGATAAAGTTCTTAAGACAATTTTACAAATGAGACAAAGACTCACTATTGCAAGACATACTTAAGCTTAAGACTAAGGTTGCGTTGTTCTACGTTAAGAACAGCTCGTCTATCATCCGTCAACATAGCAAGGACGAAAAAATTAAAATTTTGCCATCGCAAATCAAATGCCACACCTATGAATATGACGTGACTCGTCCTGGCAAAGATTTTCTAACTAATATCAAGAATATCAGAGCTCTTCAGGTTTCACTGTATTATTTTACCCTCTTTTAGGGTTATTGCTAAATTAAAAAAAAAAAAAAAAAAAAAAAAAAAAAAAAAAAAAAAAAGGAACGGAAATCAAGATGGAACCTGTCTCAACCAGGGCTGCAGCTGCACTATCTAACAATAAATGTTATATTATGAATCATATATAGATATTCTACAAAAAGAATATTGGAACTGATAGATTCTGATCATATGAAATTTATGCATTTCCTTTCCGTAAAAAGTGGAAAAAAAAAATTCCAAACAAGTATGCACTTATTCTGGCATACCATAAACCCTACCCCCACCCCCACCCCGCCATATCCTACCCACAACATCTATAAAACTCCATAAATATGCTTCTCATTCAGATCTCAGAATTTAAGCAAAATCCAAGTGAACTAAGCTGTAAAATATAAATTTGTACCAAAAGCATAAACATCCACATATGAAGGTAGTACTATAGAAAACAAACGAACTTACTTTTCCATGCGGCATTCCAGGTACTTTTTGGAGAAACGTCTACATTTTTCAGACTGATGGCTAGAAGATTTCAGACAATTAAGGTAATCTTTCTTCTCCTGTAACCAATAAAAGATAGTAATTGAAAACACAATTATAAGGAAAATTAATTAATAAGAAGAGATCAACATTGCTTTCTGATCCATTACAAGCAAGAAAGTGATCCTTCTACAAAATGAAGAATCTATAGTCAGTGGAGACTTTATGAAATCATTACCACGTCGCATTGATGCATGTGATCCAAAGGGAAGACTCCTTTTTCTGGAGGTACAGGTCTTAGTCCTCTATTTCCACCAAACGCACCACCTGCCAAGAATTTTAAACTTCACAAGAATACAGAGAGAATCCATGAAATAAAGCATGTGGAAGAAAGACTTTTCAATCAAAATTGAATTTTATACGAGTTGAAATTTTGGCTGTGATTTTAAGGGATCAAAACTAGAGCAAACAATGTATTGGATAGTATCCGAACAAATCTTCGAGCTAGGTAACCAAAATCCTAAAAAATATTTTGGTTTTCCACTTGATTTAAAGACATAAAAGAATCCAAATTTCTTTAATTTTTTTTCTTTTGCAGGAAAATAACTGTTGAGGATGTTTCAAGGAAGCAGACCATGGATTTTCGCCTTATTTCATGAGTTTCATATGGGCAGTATTATCATAATATAAGAGTTTGGTTTCGGAAATCCAAAATGAAGAAATCTTTAAACTTATTATCTTACTCCAATAATTCAGAAAATGCAGTTTATCAATGTGGACTGATCTCAAAATCATAAAATTTATTGGATAAAGATTACAATTTACAAATGGAAACCTCTTTCAGAAATACTCTAAGAAGACTAGTTGTTGTTTCGTTAAGACAGCCCACATCCAACATAGCAAAGGAGAAAAAATAAAATTTTGCCCAAATCAAATGCACATATGATGCGTACTGTCCGCAAGATTTTCTAAATAATCAAAGGAAATCAGAGCTTCAGTTCACTGTATTGTTTTCCCTCTTTTGGGTTGCAATTAAATATCGGGTAAAACTCAGTAAAGATTAAAGTTCCTGTTTTAGAATAAAGTTCGGTCCTTTGATTGGTAATAAACCCATTCAACCCATAGAGTTTGCACAAATCAATGGAAATTCGAATGCCTGAGAAGAATTCACTGTTGTATATATACAGAGAAAGAGAAAAGATTTTACCTGCACTCATTTGGATTATTTTGATGCTTTCTGCTCTGTATTTTTATATTCTGCAGGGATTCTTCAGATTTGAATCCAGGGGTACATGATGATACAAAAAACCGAAGACAATTGAATCGGTGGACTGCATTCTGGGTGTCCAACCCGAATTCTGGAGTCGTGAAACGACACTGTTTTGTAAAAGGAAAAGAATATTTTAATGGCCCTCAAGATTAATAAGAACGGCTTGCTTTGGTGATGGGCTAGTGTATTTTATTACTCATCTATGGACTTCTTAATCAAATTACTCATCTGACGTGAACGACAGATCGTTACAGGGCTTTGATATTTCTCTCTGTTGTGCCTTAGTGAAATAGCAAAATTGATTGGCGCTCTTGCATTTCCATATACAAAGGCAAAGTCTTTCACTAAAACTATGCGCAAAGGAAACCCTAGAAAGTCAAAAAGGCATGGAGGGTAACAAGACAGTTCCGTGAATATGTAAAAGTGTTAGCTATGGACAACTCAAATCTCTCTTACAAAGCCTCTGCAACATTTTATTAAATTTGAAATTTTAACCCTCTTTGCCCTCTGATACCTATTTACTCTGTTAGACCATGTCTATGTTTGTGACACAGTTATACATTAAAAAGATGGAAAATATATACATTTCTTTCTTTCTTTCTTTTTTTTACAGGATTACAATATTTCAACAAATACATTTTCTAGGCAGTACAGATCATCTCAAAGTGAGCTAACCCTATCAAATTTCTATGAAAAGTAAAATTCTGCGAGAAAAATTGGAATACAATTTGCAGCTACATCCGTCTTGCCCAAAAAAAAAAAAAAACTGTACTGTACTCTGTTCCTCTGTCATGAAGATGCATCTGTAGTATGGGAAGCTATGCAATTCGAGGGAGAGAACAAGGATGTTGAATAACTACTATAACTGAATCCCTGGAGCTTTTATCACAAGACGGTGAAATTGGCTGCATGAGTAGAAAGAACATTTCAGTTCACAAGCCAACAGATAATCAAATAGTAACAGGCTCATCAACCGATAGAGGCCTAATTTCATTTACTTACCACTCCAATGTGCCATGCATGACGGTTAAAGTCATTGAAAGTTGCTGCATCCATTTCCTGCAGTAAAGAACTTCTCATTATTAGAAAAGAAGATATGTCAAGGAATAGTTGAGGTATGTTGTTTAGAGAACTACTATTTTGAAATCACTTACCATGCTGTAAATTGGAGGCAACATTATCTCTCCTTCAGATTTTACGGTTGGCATCACAAAGAACCGGGGTGCTAATTCTTGTGGCCGAAAAGTCCATCTGTAAAAGAGAAACTAATAAAATAAGAAGTGATTGAATTAAAATGAATAAAAATCTAACTCGGGGAAAACATATCTACTTTATACTTCTATTTTAGTAAAATGATCCAACGATGTCTTGCTCTTGGAATATTTATACATACCCGATGAACAGAAAGATGCAGAACTGAGCCCATTCCTTAACTAACAATCGTAGCCAGTAATTTTCTGAAGAGGTATCCATATTAATGCATATCTGAAAATTAATATGCTCAGTCGTCTCATTAGTCCTGCCTATATTGCATTTTATAATGAATGCATAACAGGCACAATAGATAGATTCATACCACAGTTTCAGCCAAAGCTACTACTTGCATTGCACTCTGAAATTTCCTAGACAGTAAAGAGAGAAAAGAAATTTGAGGTCACCTTTGCTAAATTAAATGCAAGGTCACTAGAAAATATTATAGTATTGTCCAATCAACAATACCAGGAATTAGAATTTTTAATGAGCAACACATACTTGAACATAATGTACTTTGTATACACTGCATCATGCATGTCTCGAACGTCCTCATCCTCTATAAAAGTTAATTGTTCCCTCAAAACTGATAGATTTTGAGATATCTGGCGGAAAATCAGATAGAATGAAATTAAATAATTCAGCAACAGCAGGACCTGCAAAAGAGCATATTGAAAGAAATCAGTGTCTATTGTACAATTCAGTTGGGAATAAGCATTAGTAACTCCTCAAAACCAGAAAAGCATAGCAGCTGTTACAAATCTAATATCAGAAAACAATAACGAGTCAGAAAAACTACCGTGAAGTATGGGACAGAAGCCCTGTATCCAACAAGAGTCAAGTAAAAGACACAGCCAAGTGCAGCTGTAGCACGGCGCTCAGTTGCTGAAAGGCGCTCACACATGATGCAGTAACCATGAGAGATAAGCAAGAAGGAAACGAAAGAAGCTGTCTGGAAAAGCACTCCAGTTATGTACACCCCAAATGACAACCACAGTGAACATATTTCATGATAAAAGCATGAATACCTGCAAATGTTGCTTGGAAAATTAAAACAGAATCTTTCATAAAAGGATATTTCAAAAGTTGAAGTGCCTGCAAAAAAGTAGAGGCATACACATTTCACTTGCTGAAAATTCATCAAAGATGCCCATGAAAAGATCAAGATGCATAAAAAGATAATACTGGCTCTCAAATTTAATGGCTTCAAGCAAACCCCTTTCTTTTCTTTTATGTTCTATAAGATCCTTGAGAGTCTAGTATGGTTCTTTCAAGACTTAATTTTGACCATTACCATCATCCCCAAAAAATGTACCAAAATCTCCTGTGCTCCACGGGTAGGTAAAAATGTTTGTTTGTTGGATTCAAATATTAGTGCACATAGTTGATTACTTTTGTTGCATTCAAATTTTATTACAAGTTGCACATTGTGCATCTCATTCTAATATAGATAAATTTTCACTATAATAACTTCCTTACTTTAATAGTATGTCCAAAATTTCTTTGCTATTCACATTTCTCATTTGGCAAGCAGGGAGCAAAATCTGATTGAAAAATGAAAAACAATATCACAGAGATAGCTTCTATCTCACTTGATCATATAGAATATTTTGTCATTTATGCTTTTACACTTGCCATAATTTACAACCTATTCTTTGTATTTATTTTCGAATGAAGAAACCTACCAGAAGAGGAAAGAAAGCATTAGCTGCAAAGCTTTGATCAGTGGCACCGATGCCAGCATCCACTGCAGATTGTTCATCTGTTCTAGTATGACCACAATGAAAGGATACACAATCACAAAACAATAATAATAATAATAATTAGTAATTTCTCTTAAAAAATAAAGGGAAATGTCCAATTACAACAGTAAGCTGAAACAATTGTGTAATGAAACAGAACAAATTAGTCCTATACCAATAATTACCATAGCAGAAATGGAAGCAAATAAACATTTTGGAAAGCTAATTTCTTATCCAGCTATATCAGCTTAACTTGCAAAACTCATCAAAGCCCAATAAAATGCAATTTCACTTCCTTTTCTATTTGAAAATTTCCCAGGAATTAAAACAAAAAGAAAATACAGATAAAATCATAGGAACCATTTGCGAACAAGACAAACTAAAATAAAACAACTGTTGTTGTTTGGCTGCTGGAAAATTTTGAGAAAACAGAACTCCATTAAATTTTGGCTCCGATTCATCTGAATCAAGAAAAAAATTGATCAATTCAGGTCTTAACTAAATGGTGTTATTTTCTTGAACAATAAACGATAAACGAAAATTCAAAATAGGGTTTTCTTGTCTCCTCCTATTTTATTTTTTTTCTTTTGCTTTCTCACGAACTAACGAATCAGACCAAAAACAAGAACTTCAACCCAGAAAAACAAAATTTAAATTCAATTTCAACGTTTTATTGAATCCGACCTCAAATATCAGTTACCGAAATAGCTCGAAAAGAAAATGAAGTAAAGAAAATTAAGGACCTGAAAGTGGCGCTTCTTATAGGTGTTGATAGTCCAAGAACAAGCGGAGACCAACCAGACAGAAAGTAAAGCGAAGTAAACTGAAGGGAGAGGACGATACGACTCATCGAGTTCGCCGCGAAACGGCCCTATACTTCTCGGCATTTCTAAACCGAAATAACTTGCGATTCTGATTCAGTTCAAAATTTCAGACTTTCAGTTACGGTTTTTTCGTGCATTTCCAGGTGCGAGTTGCCTTTATACATATGTAGGCACTGCACTTCATCTACGTGGCCGTTCGTGGCTAAGTGGCGTTGCTTTAAATTTTGAAACTGATGGTAAATTACAATTACGCACATAGACGCAATTCTAAATAGCAAGTGTTGCCCTTGTATGATTTTTGCCATATTTTTCTCTTTTATTATAATTACAAATTTTTTTTTTCTGTTCATAAGTCATGCATTTATTTATTGTTTTCATAAAAAAAGTCATAATTATATTATATATTTATTAAGATAATTATTAAAATAATTTAATTAAAAATATCAATATTCATGTTAATTAAAGTGTATTTTTTAGAATAAAAAATTATATTATATTCAATTATTGATCAAAGACAGAACATAGTAAATTAAATCTAAAATTCTATTTTAATTATTTGGTAATTTTTCCTTACCTTAATAGATAGAAATTTAAGGTTAATTATCCATAATGAGAGAAATAAAATAATTAATTTACAATTTTGTTTATCAATATTAACATATGAATAATAATTTTGGCATGAATGAAAAAATGATGGGCCATGTTTTGAGGAAAATGAAGTTGGTGGGAATAAGTGCATGATGCAGTCATGCAACAAAACCACCCTTCCATTTGCTCTTCTCAAATCTCAAGTCTCATCATCATGACAAATTTTGGAGGTTCAACTAAATCAACACAAATTGAGTTACATGTACCCATAGGATATCTACTTCTCAAAAGTTTCAAAATCTACATGCCCTAAATAGATATAATGAAATACCAATTTAAATTTTCTAACAACTTATATATAAATATGTTTTGGAAGACCAACAACCACTTAAATGTGTCAAACTCTATTATGATCTAAAATATAAATGATGTCTAGTCTGAATGGCAAAACGATTATAGTTTCATGTTCAATCCCCTTCTTTGACTTTTATAAATTTATAATTCCGCTCTTTATATATTTGTAATATAATCTAAAATGATGTATTTAAGTTTAGATTGATGCAATTTATAATTATATTTTTGAAATTGTATTGATATAAAAATATGTCATGGAACAAAAAAGAAGAGTATATGATTTGAATATATGTGTATGACCAACTACCATCCAAAGTTTAGGCAACTGGCTTTGACCATCTTGAAGAAGTTCAAAAGAAGCCTTAATTCTTTAGTTAAGTTAGATCATCAAAATAATAAGTAACATTAGGTCAACAAACTCTTTAGCAAAACTAGTTTCTTTCTATCCTACTCCATTTAAATTACACATTAAATCCTACCATATTTTAATTTTTTTTTAACTCACAAATTTTGTAGGTTCATTGTGATTTTTCAAATTGAATTTGATAAATGTGATATAATTGATGGTTTCTAATTATTTTGAGTGAATTAATGTTTTTACAATTTCATTGTCTAAAAATATAATTAGACATTGTTAAATTAGTTTTTAAATATGATAGCAGCTTATAATTTTTATCTAAATAGTTCTAGCTAGAATTTTATATGTAAATTGTAAAAGAAGGGTTTGAATAAATATATTTTTGACCATCCAACTTATTTCAAGCACCACTTATTGATAGTATAGTTGCAACTAAATTTGGAATGAATGATTCGTGAGTTATGATTTTTTACTAGAAAAAAAAAAAAACAATAATGAGGTTTTTTCTATGATAGTCGATACGTATTATCTTATTATGTCTAATTATGTTTTATTTCATAATAATAAATATAAAAAATGAGTATAGTCAACGTGCGATGCACGTCATAAAAAGAACTAATAATAAATAAATGTACAAATAATATATGTTTTTTTTTTATTTTCAACAAGAATTTGTAGTATTTTACACTCTTTTGGTTACTTTTAACCTACAATCACTCAGGCAGTGCTCCAATCAAAATAGAACTTAATATCGACTTTAAAGGCGGTCCACATCATAACAACTAGCTGTCAAAAATGATTGAATGCATAAATTCACCTCTTAACTTTATAATTTAATTTTGTGACACCATGAATTTTACAGATGACCTATTATGCATTTGAATTTGTAAATTTTAGTAGAATGACACACTTTTTGACACTAATATCAATATTTTTTGAGATTTTTGACTTTTATTTGTAGAATATCGACTTAATATGTAATTAGCATGACTTTTGAAATAATAATTTTCAAATTTAAACTTTTTAATGAAAGTTTAATTGTTCTAATTTTACAAGTTGAAGTATTCAATAAAATAAATTTGAAAATTGAAGTATTTAATAGGTATAATTTTATAAATTGAAATTTAAATTTGTAATGAAGTTTAATTGTTCTAATTTGTACACAGTTGAAGTAATCTCAATACAATAAAATTTGAAATTGAAGTATTTAATAGTATTTAATTTTATAAATTGAACGCAGTCTTGATAAGTAAGGAGAATTGTTCTAATTTTACAAGTTGAAGTATTCAATAAAATAAATTTGAAAATTGAAGTATTTAATAGGTATAATTTTATAAATTGAAGCGTTTGATTAAGTAAAGACTGAGGGTGTCATAAGTTTAAATTAATCAAATTCAAAGAATAAATTTATGTATTCCGCTGGAGAAAAATAGCAAAACCCCATAATAGCAATGGAAGCATATATGGGCTAAAATGCACTCCTTAGGGATTAAAATAAAAGAAAAGCCTATATGGGCTAGAATAAAGTGGGCTGGGCTCACAATAAAATTCCACTGGAGGAGTTCACAACCAATCCAAAGGAAGATTATCCCACTTTAACATATTAACTAATTAATGCAATATTATTTTAGAGATTAATTTATTTTAAATATTTTCATATTATATTATAGTAATAGAACTGTTTTTAAGTTTTCCAAATTTATTTTCAATTATATTCAAGTGAATAAATTTTAAATTATTTTATTTTCATCATCAACACAAAAGTAATATCTTTTTTTTTTTCAAAAAAAACTTTTGGAAGGTCCTATCTCATGCTAGTATGTTTATTATTTCCATTGATCAATGCGTTGTTTTTACATATATTGAAAATTGTAGGAATGGATACATTTTTGAGAGTAAAATCAACAAATTCTTCACGAAATGTCAAAATTCCCTTATTTATAAAATTGAAATGGAATGGTATGTAAATTAAAATTGCAGCTATTGTTTTGGTCCAAAAGGGGCAACTCTAATATTTATCAAACATGTGATGGATACTTCCTTTTTTTTTTTTTTTTTATGGATACTTTCCTTTTTTTTTTTTTTTATTACATGTGAATGGATACTTTCAATATAAGAAGTACCAATTCGTTAGCAAAAAGATTGCTATCATTGAAAATAATCAATAGCCAAAATAATTATTTATTTTAAGACTAACCAATAAATTCATTATTTTAATAATATAAGAATTAAAAGAAAAGAAGCACAATACTCAACAATGACAATAGCTTAGTGCCCTAGTGATTTGATAGATCCTTTTTTTTTTTTTTTTATTACATGTGATGGATACTTTCAATATAAGAAGTACCAATATGTTAGCAAAAAAGATTGCTATCATTGAAATAATCAATAGCCAAATAATTATTTATTTAAGACTAACCATAAATTCATTATTTAATAATATAAGAATTTAAAAAAGAAAAGAAAAAGCAACAATACTCAACAATAGACAATAGCTAGTGCCCTAGTGATTTGATAGAATATTTGAAAGAAAAAGAAAACCCGTTCTTTTGATAAAAAAAAGAAGCCAATACAGCCATATGCTTATATTAAATTCCCAAAAGAAAAGATTTCTTAAAAATGTATTAAATTCGTAAAATTGAAAAGAAAAGGACACATGATGATTATTTTTTACCTTTTTCTTTTCATATTTTATAAAATAAAAATTGATTACATGTAAAATTGACTTTAATTGCGTGTTAATCCCATATTGGATAAATATAAAATGAGTAAATGATATATACTATATAATAGGGAAGATAAACAAACTAAAATGGTTTCGTCATTTTGTGTTAAAAGAAAGTCAAACTCATTATAACATTAATGAATTTGATTAATTACTCTCATCACACCAGTACTCAAAAAAAGAATCAATACTATTTTTTTTATTTGAAATGAAATTTGGATTCATGATTTTTGTTTGAACAAAGATTAAGAAAATGGAGTTTACTGTAATTGGTCAAGAGTTGTAATAGAGATGATCAATCTTAACCACATGATGTTTGAATTTAATAGTCCTAACATGTGTAAACAATAATTGAGGGACAACATCCGAAACTCATTTACATTTTTTTATGGCATTTGAATTTGCTCTGAATCTATCTCTTTCGCTCAAATAGGACCTCCAGCAATCCTAAAGGAAAAAAAAAAAAAAAAGGACCTTAAGCACTTAGGCATGTTACTTTTATACTGACATAGCAAATTAGCATGTGAGTAGACTTGGGTGTTTCAAGTTTGTTCTTATTGTTTTCTGCAAGTCATAGTCTTATTTTTATGAACAACATACGATGTATATGTCTTTGAATGTGCATTTCTGCCACTCTATGTTCTCTTCTTCTTTTTCTTTGTCGTTTTCATTTTTTTCCATGTGTAATTCTTTTAGTACGAAGATATATTTTTTTGTAAAAAAAAAATAAAAAAAAATCATGTAGCGCTCTTAACTGTTATTTTGATTTGCACATATTAAACACTTCAATTTATAAAATCATTTTCTTGAATACTTTAATTTATAAAATTCAATCGATTAAATACTTATTTAAATTCAAAAGTATAAAAATTATTGATTCATAAGGTATATTAAGAATGCATCAAATCAATATTATGCATATAAAAGCTAAAAATTCTAAATTATTGTTGCTAGTGTAAAGAGGTGTACAATGTTACTAAAATCTATAATTTTAGAGGCATAATAAATCGTGCATAAAATTTAGAGTCCGTAAAAATTTTTCGCTAAGAAGTACAAAAATGAACCTACGTTCATCTACTTGTCTTTCCACATAAATATGAGTTTTTACAAATTTGAAATTCCACATGGTCATGTCTGAATATTTACTCAAGTGATAGGGACAATACACAAATCTATTCCCCTCAAACAATTGTGATACTCGTGTTAAATAATTGTCGGTAATATTTATAACATCTCATAACAGCCATCAATTAATTAAATTTTATAGATAAAATTTATTTATAAATACAGTTCAGTTGTATAGATCCAACATCAAAAAATTAATCTCAACCTAATAATTCATCGTTTCAAATCAATAATAAAAGAGACAAAAATTTTCAACCAAGATACAAAATAAGCATTTTGTATATTTTGTTTTGGGATACACATGTATAAAATACAAATAAGCTTTGTTGTCATTTGATTAACAAAAAGATACGATGAGATTATAAAATGTGAACAACAAAACTACCAACAACAAAATCTTGTCTTTCGAGTAAGACTGATTTAAACCAATTATTGTGGATTTGGGGGCCTAAAATTGAGACTAATGAGACAAAAATATGAAACTGATCCTTACATAAATTTATATTATAAAGTTTCCTAAGAAGAGATAATAAAAATTTAGAACATCTTATATTAAAAAAAAAAATCTTAGTTAAACTAGTTGTGGTGTATGAATCTATAGCTATGAAATCTAAACTAGTAGCAAACAAACAAATAGGAAATTTTTTTAAAAAAAAATAGAAATTCAGAGACAAAATATCAAGAACAAGCATGGGAAAATCTAATAATTAGCAAAATGGACCCATTTGGTGAAATCTTTGAGTTGTTTTTTTAAATAAATGTGCTGGCAGATATGAAAATGAATGCATGCATCCTCGTGCTCGGTGCCATGAATCTTCTCCGCTCTTGCAGAGAGAGGGAAGGTTATGGCCTTATGGGTGCTTTCTTTCCTTCATCTTCTTTTCTTCTTCCTAATTCTTCCAGCTTCTTATTCATCATATATTTATTTATTTATTTATTTTTAATTATTTATTTATTTTTAGATGTTGGGATAGAATGTCTACTTCAAGTCTTCAACTACCAGTTAAAATAATTATGTTTTGTAAACTCACCAACTCCAGGATTCTATGGTTTAATTAATAATCTTTTTTTAATATAGAATTCAATCAGTTTAATGGCTTTGAAGTGGATTTTTGTACCATGTAATTAATAAATATCATGAGAATAATATGATGATGTTAAATTTATTGAAAACACTTTCTTATTTATGGAATATATATTTATTTTCTTGCACTCAATTAATAGTTGATTATTTTTTTTTTAAAAAAAAAATATCACTCATTATTAATGTTTTCAATCATCGACAAATAACATATATGGAAAGAGAAACAGAGAAAGATTTCAGATCGTTTTATTTAAAATGAAATTTGTAAATTTTGTTTTAGGGTAAGAGAAGCAAAACGGCGTGTTTTACGACCTTTCACTATATTGGGTTAAATTAAACTATTATGTAGCTACGAGTCTCATATGCTATCTTTTTAATTCTTTAATTAAATTCAATTTTGAGATTAGGAGACAATTCAAATGAAAGGTGAAATTTGGGGTTTCCAAGAGATAAAAATTATTTTAGAGTGGTGTATTATTTTAGCGGAATAATACATTATATTCATGGTTGATTTACAAATTAACTACCATGTTTGAACACGTGCAGAATAAGAGGAAAAGGCAAGCTAGTTCGTTCAGGAATCATGTAAGGACTTGATTGCCCTTTCTTGCTTTGAGGAGACAAATATGAAAGTTTTTAGCTTTTGAAATATGTCACACATATTTAACACAACAAAATAAATGATTTTCTTTTTTTTTTTATTAAAAAAATGACATTTCTTGATCCTCTCTTATCTGTTAATCTTTTAGTTTTCTAAAAACTACCATAGAATTTTTTATAGAACCACTAGATATAGTCCAATCTTTGAGCCGTAGGATATAAAGATATTTGGCACTTGCAATAAGTGTATTTTTGAGAATCAAATTTATATTTTCATCTTTATAGAAATTGAGTTTGTGTGTGACTTCAAGTAACGTATCGTTAATGAAACTATAATAGAATTCAAAACAAGAAAACTCAGTTGAATGATGTCAATCCAAATCAAATGTCTTTTTTTGTATATTTAATTTGATTTGATGATGCAATTCTAACTACCAATGAGACAATTCAAATTAGTAATAATACAGTAAAAATAGTACACGCATTTTCGATCGTGTATATAAAAAAAAGGAAAATAAAAAAGAATAATACATCAAAAATTTTAAAAAAAAGAAAAAAAGATAAAGGCTCGTAAAACATATAAAAGGTGAGGATTAGAGAAATTTTTATTTCAAATGAATTGTTATTATGCTTGTGCTAATCCAAAGGTTATTGATTTTTTATACCTACATATATATAAATAAGTAGTGCTGTTGATTTTGTGATAGCAAAAACCCAAAGAGTTGCAGTGAGTTAGCTTCCAACTTTATGAAGAATCCAACAAGATTTGCTCTTTTGTCTTTGTCCTCCATTTTTAACTTGTTAAAAACTTGCATTGCTCAGGAAAAGATTAAAAAAGCACATTACAGACAAAGAGGCAAATCCGTAACGGACAAAACAAATAGAGAGAAATAAAAAAAATTCCAAATTTAATTGAACGTTGTTTGGTTCAACAGCGTTATTACTAGTCGTGCTCTGTCTTTACAGCAACACCCATTCTTCTTTGGGTCCCCCACTCCCTCATCCTACTCTTTTTGTCTTCTTTTACCTCTTCTCAAGTTTTCTACTTTCTACACCAAATCAATCTACTAATACTGTATACACCAAATTATTTGTATATAATTGAGAAAAAATTTAATACGATATGCAAAATTATACCGTATTTTAATTTTTTTTTTTCCTCAACTGTCTGAGTTAGCAAGTTTTTGTCATTGGAAATGTATATTCATAATTCATGGTAGGTTAAGGGTCACTATAAAGGAGCGTATACTCCCTTAACCATTTCCCCTACAAAACCCACTCACATTATTCTCTTCTTTCTCATTATCTTCTCTCTCTCTCTCTCTCTCTCTCATTCTCTCTCTCTCTCATTTCCAGTATTTATTATTCCACTTTAAAAATCATCTTCTATACTATACAGTTCCCTTTTAGCAATGTCAGAAGAAAGTACTAGCTCCAACTCCTCTTCATCTCTCTCTCTCTCTCTCTCCACTGCTCTCATCCTCCTCTCTCTCAATTTCCAGTATTTCCAGTATTTATTATTCCACTTTAAAAATCATCTTCTATACTATACAGTTCCCTTTTAGCAATGTCAGAAGAAAGTACTAGCTCCAACTCCTCTTCATCTCCGCTACCATCACCATCTTTGCCCACAACCGCCGCCGTGGGCACTGCCATTAGCAAGTCCAAAATTATTCAAGAACCAGTAGAAAAAAAAGCACCGAAAAGAAAAAAAAGCACCGAAAAGAGCAAGAGATAACAGTAGCAAACACCCAGTCTATAGAGGCGTTAGGATGCGAAGTTGGGGTAAATGGGTATCGGAAATCCGTGAACCGAGAAAGAAATCACGTATTTGGCTTGGGACATTCCCCACGGCGGAAATGGCGGCCCGTGCTCATGATGTCGCCGCTATGAGTATTAAAGGTAATGCTGCCATTCTTAATTTTCCAGAAATCGTTGACTCACTGCCTCGGCCAGTTTCATTAATGCCGCGAGATATTCAAGCAGCCGCCGCCAAAGCTGCTTCAATGGTTGAATTCAACTCATTATCATCGTCATCTTCTTCGTCTTCGCTGCTGTCGGAATCGTCATCATCATCGTCGTCGTCTTCGGTGTCTGTGTCCGATGATGTTTCAGAATCTGAAGAATTGAGTGAAATTGTCGAGTTGCCGAATATAGAAGGGAGTTTTGACTCGGCCGAATCCGTGACTGAGTTTATATTGTTTGATTCCGTTGATGGGTGGGTTTATCCACCACCGCAGGACATGTGTGGAGAATTTTCTGATCAGTTAATGGGATTAGAAAGTCTGATTTCCAGCAACTTTGGAGCTTCGGTTTGGGATTAAATGCTAAATGGGTGTGTTTTTTACTTTTTAATTTTAATTTTTGTCCATTATTAGGTTAATCATAGTGATTTTAGCTTTTAACTAGATGCCAAATGTTGAGCTACTTTTGCTGACATGTGACTTCTGCTGCTGTAATATACTGTTCACCAGTAGCTTTTCTTTGTCCTTTTGATTTTTTTTTTTTTTTTTTTTCCTTTTGATTTTTTTTTTATTTTTTTTAAATGTCTAAATCATGGTCATACTCACATCAAAATTAAATTGTTTCCTTTGATATTACAAAATAATATTTTTTTTTTTTTTTTTTTAATGTCTAAAATCATGGTCATACACATCAAAATTAAATTGTTTCTTTGATATTACAAAATAATAATAATAATAATAATTTGTTTCCTCAACGCATATAATAATATATACAACCTGTAAGGTGTTTATTTTTTGATTCTTGGAATGCGCGTATTTATTTTTAACATCAACTGGAAGGAAATAATCGATTAAAGTCCTCTCAATAAATACGTTTTCGACGCTTACGACCTTCTAAATAAATTTTACCTAAAAAATATAATTTACTTCTATCTAACTGTTTAAGAAGTCTTTCTTTAATTTATTTAGCGTACACTAGGAGGACTTAATTATTATTTTTACTATTTCTTTCTTTCTTTTTTAATGGAGAGTGGCAATGAAAATTTAAAATATCTGACTTTTATACTTCAAATGAGATAAACAATTGATTAGTTAAAGAGCTATTCAAATTGAATCATTCAATTTTTTTTATAACAACTTTCATATTTATTTATTAATTATTAGTTCTTATAATTTAAGGAGAATAATTAAATTACATGATTAATTAGGAGGATTTTTATATTAATAAGTTTCTTTTATTATATATAGATTATATTTTAATTCAGTAAAGTTTAGTGGTTTGTTTTTCATCAAAGTGACATTAGATATAGAATTTTCAATCTGGAACTGTTAGTCAGTCACACTTGTTTAAATTACTAGACTATCTTGTCACAAACAAATTATTGGAAAAGATATTTGCCACAGTAATACACAGCTGGAAGAATATTACAATCTTCTCAAAATAATGGGATATTTTTCATACTGTGGGGGAAATAATTTTCTCTAAATTTAATATTCATTAAAATTGTCATCACTTTTTGTCCTAAAAAATATTTAAATTCAAGAGTCAAAATGTTCCGCTACCTATATTTTATAAAAGACGTTATTAGATTAAATCGCGCATGTCTATTTATAAATTATATTGTTAGTCTATGCATCTTATATACACTACTAAAAAGAATATCATGGCCTTTTGATATGGAAGTAGAAACACAGCTCAAATTTGTTATTAAAGCAATGGAAAAAAAAAAAAAAAAAACATTGGATTCAAAATGTTAGGACACTCGTTTGATTTGTTGTCCTGATTCCATTCCTAAATACATAAAATTATGTGTGAGTTTTAAATGGGCGTAAGCAGTGTAGTGGCGCAATCACGACAGCACTCAGCGCAAGCAAATTGCAAAATGTACCGTTGGAAGGTTTGGAATTTGGTTGACATGACATAAGCAGAATGTACCGTTGCAGTTTTACTTTTTATTTTATTTTATTTATTTATTTCGTCCTTGTTTTTTAAATTTGTTGACTTTGCAACAGGATGTTCGGACATCATTTACGACATTTTTAAGTTACAGGAATTTGCCAAATGTAATTTTCCTCCACTCCAATGTCCAGAAACTCGAACAAACGACACCGCAGTATCAATCCCAACGGATTCAATAAGATGCTATCTTCCAATTACAAATGAATTCTTTTTTTTTTTTTCCTAATCTCCCACTTTTTATACATAATGTTAGGGTTGATTTCTTTGCGGTTTAGCTATTTATTTAACCATTTACGGCTTCAATCAGTTATTAATAAGGATAAAATTGCTTATGCTCCCGAAGGCTATTGCCTCCAAATTAAAAAAAAAATTTATTGGCCCCACATAAAAAAAAGATCTTAGTGAAAAAATTGCTATTAAAACTTAAAAATTATTCATTTTGCTCATAAAATTTTAAAAAATCACATTTAATTACTCCGTTGAATTTTAATTTTTAATTCTGCCATTGGTTGATTGAAATTTTTAAATAACATATGTGACTTAGCCGTAACTGGTGAAAAATTCTTAAAAAAAAAATTAATAGAGAATAAATTAGAAAGAAGGATGTGACTTAGAAAAAAATAATTACGGTTGACGTGGTAAGAATTCTCCGGTGTAACTGGGAGGTAGAAATCAAAGTACCAAACGAACAGTACTTCCAAACGCATGCTACTTTCCAATCAGCACGTGACAAGAGTACACAAATGGGTTCTTCATCAGTTATTGATTAGTTAACACATGATTCAATGCGGCCGGTTTTTAATTGGCAAAACAGCATTTCAATTTTTAAATAGAAACCGTACCTATATAATAATATATAAGTTGTCCTTCTAACTTAGAAGGAGCGGCTACTCTGCCTCCTAATTTTATTTTATTTTATTTTTTATTCTCGATGATTTTATTTAATGATACCTCGTCTTTTTTTGATTTAAAAAATACCATTCTAATTATTTTCAAATCAATCCCTATTCCTTACTAGAATTATCTTTGCACCCATTGAACTTTATCTAAAATTATGGTCAAACATATCAATAATTATTTTTTAGCTAATTTTTGTAGATGAAAATTTTATCTTACTCCATATAAAAAAACAATCCCTATTCCTACTAAGAATTAAATCTTTGCAAACCCATTGAACTTTATCTAAAATTATAGGTCAATCCCTATTCCTTACTAGAATTATCTTTGCACCCATTGAACTTTATCTAAAATTATGGTCAAACATATCAATAATTATTTTTTAGCTAATTTTTGTAGATGAAAATTTTATCTTACTCCATATATGTTGAATAATTCTTTTTTTTTTTATTATTTTGCACATGGTAAATATTAACGGCAACTGCAAATTTTAGACCCTTAATATTATAGATAAAATTCACCTAGTATATAATTCATTTCCGATGATCTAATTATTTATTGATATATTTGTTTAATAAGTAAGAGATTTAAATCACCTTCTTGTGTCCTTAAATTAAAAAAGAAAATTGAAAGACCGAAGTTTATCTTATTTCATCCGATTACCATTCCAATTATTTTCAAATTGAAAAAAAAAATTCCTATATTTACTCTATATGCGTGAAATATCAATTATATCTTTGATCAATTTAATTATTAATAGTATTTCTTTTTGCAATTAAGATGAGAGGTACAAAAATCAGAACCAAAAAAAATAAAAAAAAAATAAAAATCCAAACCAATAGACCGCTTCTCCACCTACCAATGTATCCAATGCTTAATCACGGAACATAACTTGTTTCGGGTGGCACGTAACTATATATGCACACGGCTTCCTGAGTATTGGTTGGATTAATACTATTTAAAGTGAAATAAAGTCAGAAGTTTAAATACAAAGATCCATATATATGCTCTTAAATTTTCATCACAGTTGACAAATTGTGTTAAATTAATTTATTCACGTGTTTTTTTTTTATATAATTAAGTGTGTTTGAAAGTCCATTAGACTCCGACCACGTTCAGTTCGAGTATTGCAGAGTTTATATAGGGGGAGACTCTCCCAACGTAGCAATTTTCTTACCCAATACTCAAAGTGGAAACCTTTAATTAAAAGAGAAGGAGTCTCAACCAATCCATTCTAACCAACGTTGGTTATTAACACGGTAATTTGACACGAATGCTTTCTTTAAAGCTTTAATTAGGGCAACATTAAAATGTCTTTTACAACTTTCTAAGGGCTAACTATTGTTTAAAAAAAAAAATACACATAAACAAATACCAATAGAAGAATTAATGTAAACAAGTAAATGTTTAGGTCAATGCAATTTGAGTATTTAAATCTTTGAAAAAATAGCCTAATCTTAATTATTTTTTTTATCCTCCTTCACATGAAATTATGGCTGTACTATATGCATATATAAATATACCTAATTAAAGATCCACGCTAGTTCAAAACTTTTAGTTAATTAATTAATTAATCCTCCTTCACATGAAATTATGGCCTGTACTATATGCATTTAATAAAGAGTAATACCAATTTATAAAGACCGTCCACGGTTGGCTAGTTTCAAAACTAAGTTTAGTTTAACTTAATTAATTAATTATGATTTACCAAATTATAAATTAATGTACCCAATCCTTTGTGCACAATCAAAACTTTAATCACTCTCAAAATCTCGAATCCCTTTATTTAAGTTTGTCCTTAGGAAGATGATGACCCATGTCAGAAGATCAAGAACCCTAGCTAAACTGGGTAACTCTTCTGGAACAATCTGGGAAATAACCAACGAGTCCTTCCATTTGAGTTAATCCTTTTACTTTAGGGGGACTTATTGGAATTGTTCTTAATAACAAAGGTGTAGTTGGGTAAGAGAAGATGAACATTTTCTCTTTTGGTGAGGACCAATGAGACATTACACTAATTCATTGTCTTTTTTTTAGGTTTCCTTAAATACGCTTATTATTGGCCATAATTTTTTACAACAATTAATAGTGCTCAAAGAGTTCCATAAGTCTATTTCCTGTCGTGTCTCATAATTAAGTACGCTACTATAGTCGTGTCTTCAAATAAGTCATTTCAATAATGCCTTCTTCTTTAAATAAAAAATAGCCTAATCTTAATTATTTTTTTTATCCTCCTTCACATGAAATTATGGCTGTACTATATGCATATATAAATATACCTAATTAAAGATCCACGCTAGTTCAAAACTTTTAGTTAATTAATTAATTAATTAATTAATTAATTAATGTAAATTGTGGCAAATCCTGAATCACAGTAGAGTTTGCTAGATGATGACATGTCAAAATCAAGAACCCTAGTCCTTCCATTTGAGTTTTACTTTAGGGGACATTATTTGGTAAATTAACAAAGTGAGTCGTGAAATGACATTTCTCTTTTGGTGAGGACCAATGAGACATTTTACACTAATCTATTGTCTTTTTAGTCCTTAAATTACGTATTTTTATTGGCATATTAAACAATTAATAGTGCTCAAAGAGTTCCATATAGTCTATTTCCTGTCGTGTCTCAATAATAATCCAATAATTGCTCTTCTTTAATACATGTATC